AAGATGTCTTTTTCAAACTTCTTTTAGAAAATAAATTTTCTAAATTTCTCACAAACATTCATTAATAATGATATAATAGGTCAAGATATCCATTAAAGTGTTATGACTTGACCTATTAAATAGAAAAATTAAACTTTTAGAATTTTAAAATATTTTAGACTTAATTGCACTTGGAGTTCTTATACGGTAAGATATGATTATTTTTTTCCCTTTTAATTTTAATTATTCATATTTAGTATCTGTATAAATTAATTCATAATTTTTTATTGAAATATTTTAGATATTTTTTCTTCTGTATGAATCAATTAAAATATCATACCACTATTATAGTTTTATTAATTATTAGATAAAATTTTAAGATACAAAACTTAATTTAAATAATTAAAAATTAGAGAAACTAAATATTAAAAACTAAAATTAGAAAAATAAAAATTGAACATATGCTAAAGTATAAAAACTAAAAATATAATTAAGACAAAAATTTATTATCAAAAGTCTAAGCATTAGCCTTATCTGTATTAGTGGTGAAGTTAAAACAAAAAAAAATATATATCATTAATATAGAATATCAATGACAAATTATTTGTGACTAATACATTTTTATAATAATTAATAAAATTATAGGGATAATTTTTATATAATAATAGTCACAATGTAAAAAAGTGCAAATGATGAATTATTGCCAAACAGGGTATAATATAGATTATTGGCAAACAAGACCCACATTTCATAAGTATGCATGGAATTATTGACACACAAGAGACATTGATCATAGCCCAATAGGAGTTTTCAAAGGACACAGACCAGTAAACAAAGGCCCATGTTGCAGATCCGTAAGCCCAAACCCAATTGACAATGGAAGATTGACCTAAACAAAAAATGAAAGTGAGAGCCACACAGTTTTCTCAAACTTGGGTAACCAACAGGCTTAGGCCTTACAATAAAAATTTAATTTAATTTCTTCAGAACAAGGCCTAATCCAAATGAAAGGAAAATTAAATATATGTACTAAGCACTAATTCAATTTTTAAGGAATTTAAACTAACAAATGCCATCAATTACCAATCTTATTATCAGCTCAAGTTAACCTCCGTGAGTTTTAGACAGATGAAATTTTAAAAATCGTTAATAACAACAAACATTCATAATATTAAAACAGACAAATTACATTGAAATAATTTGTACTTAGGTTAAATTATGCTTAATAACTATTTTTTATACCTTACTTAAAAAATTTTAATCTAAATAATTATATAATATCATATATATTTTCATAGTAATAAATTTTGTTTTATTGTAATTAGACACGTATAAACGGGTGATTAAATAATTACATTAAACAACAATAAAAAATAGTATTTGACTAATTAATAGAAAATAATTTGAAACAATGTCCCATCGATGGCAACAAATAGAAACTTTGAACATTCAATCATGCACCACACTTCTCATCTTTCAACATTGTTATTTCTTTGTTACTTCTCACATTCTTCAGAGTAATGTGAGTTACCGTGCATGCAAGTCCATGCACGTGCTCATTCAACGGTAAAAGAGTTGACTCCAAACTTCCAAGTGTTGCATATTTTGACAATTTTTTAAAATACAAATTATCATTAAATTAGTGTCTTTATATATAGCTTGTTGATATTTAAACATGGTTAATTTGGAGCCAAATTACGAATAATTATTTTTTAATATCAAATGATATATTAAATTATCAAATAAAATAAATTTAAGAAAATTTTAAAATGAATGTAAAAACTATATTCTTTTTATTTCATCGTTAAAAAATAATTCTTTGTATAGAATTCAAAATAAATATATATTTTTAAATTACCTTTAATTTCATATATTGGAGTATAAAATCTATTTTATATAATCAATTACAAACATATAATTTCAAAGTAACTTCTATTGATATATGTGTTTTATTTTCCACATGATGGCGGAATTGTATTTTATATAAAAATAATAAATAAGTATAAGAGAAGCATATTTGCCGACAAATCAAATCAATAAGTCATCAATTCCACATGGTGGCAGCCAAAGAGTATTTGAAACTTAAAGTAGCTGAAGCAAAGCCATCTTTCCGAGCCTCCGCAATAGACTTATCACAAACTACCCCGCCAAGCCAACCAATATCACCCTTTGCATGATTTTAATTTTCCATGTTGCTAGATCATATTCTAGGTTGTGATAATGAAAAAAATAATTAGATTAAAATATTTTAAAAAATAAATAAAAATATTAATAGCACCAAAAGATTCAATTTTAGTATTGCAATATGATAAATTTTATTATATCCTATATAACTCAGAGGATTTTGTATCCTTTCTTAGCATGCAACTATCGTCACTACTAATTATATGTTAATAAATAATAAAATTAGTAGTTTAATTAAAAAAATATTAATAATCTCAAATGAATTTTCTGTTCTCGAAACACTAATTAATGGTTAAAATATTGACCTGTGCAAGAAAATAGGGCTCGTGATTCGTGTCTGTTCCAGCTTCTGGAAGCACGTGATGCCGTATCAATGAAAGAAGAACATGACTCCAAAAATCTTTTAATGTCTATGCATTTCAATTATCACACACACACACACACACACACACACATATATATATATATATATATATATATATATATATATATATACACTTTTAATATAAATTTTATTGCGTGAATTATTAAAATCAAACTTTAATATTTAATTAATTTAATATAATGTCCAATACTATAATCTAAATATCTGTAGGTTAGGTGAAAGAAAAAAATTGCATGTCCAAGACTTGTCTCTCATAAAAATCCGATTAAAAAAATAAAAAATAATTTTTTTGCACGGCGATCTAAAGTAAAATATCACGATTTTTTTATGATCTTCGGAGAATATTTCTCAAATACTTGTATATGAAAATAAGATGTAAATAATTTATATAATATTATTAAAATATCAGTTTTTAGACAATATATAAAGATATCTAGCTACACTCATATGAGCAATAGAATTTTTTTTTATCCTTATACATTTTGTAAAAAAAATTACATTAATAATATAAATATTACAATTTTACACCTATAAAAAGATATATAATATTAATATTTGATGAACTGATAATTTACAAATAAATTTTTTAGATTAATGGAACTATTTACTGGTATGATGTATGATACTATTAATATAAACTTAAAATACTAATACTAACAATTTAATTTTTATTAAATAAAAATAATATAAAATAATGCAATGGACATAAAATAAATTATTTTTCTTCATTTCTATTTTAAAACCTTTCAAATAAAATAATAAATTATTCTTAGTATTATTGAAATTTAATTAATTAAAGAAAATGAACCAAATGCCATATAATTTTTCATTGTTCACTTTGCAAACTATTGAAACCAACCCCAAATTGAAAAACTACGACTGCCAATAATTTAAAATATTAGATTCGTTGGCCCATTCTTTGCGCGTAGGAAAAAAGAAACAATTTAATTAAACAGTGTTTCACACCGAAAAATGGAAAGATGAAAATTACTTTAAAGATAATAATATAATTTTATTAATTTAAATAATAAAAATTAACATTAAAAATTAGTATACTAGTATTAAATTAAAGATCTATATACACTGTTAAAATAAAATTTCGATTTTGACTCACCAACTATAGAACAATATTCAAGCACTGATACTATTTTTTAATTAAATGAAAATTTATTCTTTTAATTTATTTAACAAAAATTGACATTAAAAACTAGGATAATAATATTAAATATCACTATATATTATCGAGATAAAACTTTAATTTTGATTAAAAAATAATACTTATAATATTACATTTAACTTTTAATCTTATTTTATTAAGTTTGATATAGATTATATTTAATAATATATTTTATTTTTAAAATAAACATCATTTACTGATATAAAATTAATTTTATGTTTTAAAAATTATTAATCTTGATATCTCTCAGTACTGTAATATTAAAAAATAACATGCGTTGATACATGAGTCAGTCATGTTATATTTTATTAATGATAAATAATCAAAATTAGTAATTTTTTTAAAATATAAAGACTAAAGTAAAAGAATATAGTGTAAAAATAAATGTTAATATATTAAAAAAAAAACACGTTTACCTCGTAAATTAATTTATATACGTGTAGAAGATGGTTTGATTTTAAGCGTAAAAAGTAAAATGAACGTGTCACAGGGACTCCATCTTTTAATAATACGTAGATGTGATGTGTTCTAATAGGAGTGAAATGTTTTTTTTTTCTTTTATTTTCTTTTTTTAGATGATAAACATCCAAAAGTTACGTATATTCGAATTAATTTGAGTCAAAGTTGAGAGGAACATATCTGAAAAAATAAAGCCATCTCTATATTTATATATTTATATATTCAACAGTGGTTCTACTTCCTAGAAATTCCACCAACTCTGCAAAAACCGCCTCCATTACTGAAGACTGAAGAGTTTGCATATGGAAAGAAAACAAAATTGTCAAAATCCTTGTTGCTGCGAAATTGCGATTGAGGTCCTTAATTTAAAACTTCGATCATCACAGCTAAAATCATTGAAAAAAGAACATATCTGAAGCACAAAAATCTACATGTTTACGGCGAAATTCGCTCAACTTGTTTTCAAGTTAAGTGATTTAGCATCGTTTAAGTAAAGTTACATGTTTAATTATTATGTGTAAAAATGCATAATTCAGGTCAAATTCTGATTATAAAAAAAAATTAACAACTAAAAGTATTGAGTTTTAAATAAAACAAAATAATAGCATTCGCATAAAATCACATTAATACATTTATAGTAAAAAAGTAGGAAAAAGAGATACTGAAGAAAAGGGTGGGACCGGTGGGTTGAATATAGACGCTATGAGTCAAGCGCAGGCAAAGACTGCAATGGCTATAAATAGACAACGTTGTTTAGCATAAGATGCATGCAAATGAAGGTGATTGAGCTACATAACCTAGCAAGAATCATCTATTTTACTATACTACTGAACCGTTATATTTGATTCACTAGCTATCCGAAACAATATCATGGGGTTCCTTTCCTTCTTTTATTACTCGCTGTTTTACATTGCTCTGTTCATCGTATTCAACCTTGTTATCAGAGCTAGAAGGTTCAAAAACCTTCCACCGGGTCCACCTTCTCTTCCCATAATAGGAAACCTTCACCACCTCAAACGCCCACTCCACCGCACCTTCAAAGGCCTCTCAGATAAATACGGTCACGTGTTTTCCCTCTGGTTCGGATCACGCCTCGTCGTCGTCGTTTCTTCCCCCTCCGAATTCCAAAAGTGCTTCACCAAAAACGACGTTGTTTTAGCAAATAGACCGCGCTTTCTCTCCGGAAAATACATCTTCTACAACTACACCACTTTGGGCTCAACCTCCTACGGCGAGCACTGGCGCAACCTCCGCCGCATCACCGCCCTCGACGTGCTCTCAAACCACCGCATCAACAGCTTCTCCGGAATCAGAAGGGACGAGACGCAGAGACTCATTACAAAGCTAGCCGAAGACTCGTCCACGAACTTCGCACACGTGGAACTCTCTTCCAGGTTCTATGACATGACATTCAACAACATAATGAGAATGATTTCGGGAAAGAGATACTACGGTGAAGACTGTGACATGGCGGATCTTAAGGAAGCGAGCCAGTTCAGAGAGATGGTGTCTGAGTTGCTGCAATTGTCTGGTGCTAACAACAGGACTGATTTTTTGCCTTTACTTGGCCTTCTTGACTTTGAAAATTTGAAGAAGAGGTTGATGAATATTAGTGACAAAACTGATGCTTTCTTGAGAGCACTCATTCAAGAACACCGCAACAAGAAACAAGTCAAGCAAAATACCAATACCATGATTGACCATCTTTTGAGCCTGCAAGATTCACAGCCTGAGTACTATACTGATCAAATCATCAAAGGCCTTGCTCTGGTAAATTATTTTTTTTATATTATTATATACTTCCTCTACTCTTTTTTATAATTTCTTTTAAATACTTTTTCTGATATTTAATATAAGAGTTTTTACAAAGTTTTTAAAATATTTCTTATATTTATCTTTGAAAAATATTAAATTTTTTAATATTAGTATCATAATAAAGTTTGATCCTTTAAATAAAGATAAATTTGAAGTTAACACTACAAGCCTTCAAATATATATTTTAAGTATTGATTGGAATGTATTGAAAATTATAAAAAATTACTTAAATTAAAGCGTAAATTTTATATAACTTTTAATAAATAATAAGAGTGTATTATCGATATCTTTTGAAGCATTATATATTTTTTAAAAATTAATATGTTGAATAGTTTTAATCATTTTTTAATACTTGTAACTTAATTGAGAGGAGCTTATCAATAGACGAGGGACTACAAAAGTACCATATAATTTTTAAATAATTTGATGGAGTTAATTATTTGCATTGGTGTATGTAGGCCATGCTTCTTGCTGGAACCGACTCATCTGCTGTAACCTTAGAGTGGTCGATGTCTTGTTTGCTGAACCATCCAGAGGTATTGAAGAAAGTGAGGGATGAATTGGATACTCATGTGGGTCAAGATCGTTTGGTAGATGAATCAGACATTCCAAAACTCACATACCTTAAAAATGTTATCAACGAGACACTTAGGTTGTATACTCCGGCTCCGTTGTTGTTACCACACTCCACTTCGGAAGAGTGCATCATCGGAGGATTCAAGGTTCCAAGGGACACTATAGTGTTGATTAATGCTTGGGCCATTCATAGGGATCCTCAATCATGGAGTGGGGCCACAAGTTTTAAGCCAGAAAGGTTTGAGAAAAAGGGAGAGATAGACAAGTTGATTGCATTTGGGATGGGAAGAAGGGCTTGTCCTGGAGAAGGCTTGGCTCTTCGTGCAATTAGCTTAACTTTGGCTTTGTTGATTCAATGCTTTGATTGGAAACGTGTGAGTGATGAAAAGATTGACATGGGTGAACAAGATGGATTCACCTTGACAAAGTTAGTTCCCTTGAAGGCAATGTGCAAATCTCGTCCCGTCATCACCAAGGTTATCAATTAACTGTCATATATGCCATATATCCTTAAAATTAATAAAATCTAAGCTGTAATTTTTTGGTATCAGGGACTCACCAAATTCATTATCAGTCCTCAAATAAGTGTACAAGAGTCATCTATTCATCGAATGAACTTTGGTCAACTGAATTTTCTCATATGCATTAATGTATTTGCTTTTTATTGCTTGTAATTCATATACGTGACAAAGAATTTCCCTTCGATTCCCCCATGTAGTTACCTAGAATATACAAAAATAATTCAGAGTTAACTTTGGTTTATTGTTTAGCAGTTAGAGATTGTTTCGAGTTTAATCACATGTTATTTTAATTTTTTTAATATAAACTACATATATCTTTCAATAAAAGTAATTATGCATACTTGTGAGTAATAAAATTATTCTCTTAAATATATATTTTATTTAGATGTATTTTTTAAAACTCAAATTCGAGATTTAAAATAATATGATTCAAATGCTTTCTTTGTTAATTCTTTTATTTTGTTTTTACCATCCACTTTCGGAAAGATGCATAATACATAAATTAAGGAATATGATTAATATTTTATTTTATATTAAAATCATTTTAACTTCCCAATATGTTCTCTTGTAAGCCAAATTACCTATCAAAATTTGAACATTGTATTGGAGACGATGGAGGCACGTTTCGAGCTGAAAGAAATATGAATGTCCAAGTAACTATTGTATGGTTAAAGGCAATTGGTTTGACATAAGTTATATGTTTTCTTTCAGAATTTATTTACGATGTGCAACTATTGTTTTGGAATTTAATAACCTTTTAAGAATAAACTCAAGTTTATGAGGCAACAAAAATATAAATTTGTTAAAAAAGAAAAAAAAGATGCACTAAGAAAAATAAAAAACATATGTAAAGAAAGATAGATAGTAGTAGTGAATTCATCAACGTAAAATTAACTCGTTAAAATTTTTAAAATGTAAATACATAAAATGTTGCACAATCTCTCACGTATTTCAAAAATTTTAAATAAATCATATAAAAATATTTATTTTTTAAAAAATTTATACCATATGTGTAAATACATCGATCAAATTCAGTGGCTTTAAATTTGAACTATAAACTAAAGTTTAAATAAATAAATATAAGTTTTGGTCAAGTAAGCATTTTTATATGAACCAAAGACATTTCGATACATATTGAAGGCTTATCAATTATATTATGTTCCCACAAAAGTTAAGTTATAATTTTTGTCGATACCAAGTTGACTTAAGTCTATTTTCTCTTGATATTTTATTTATTAACATTTTACTTTGTGTTAAGTTGTCAAATTAATTTTAATGTATCATTTAATATCTACTTTTCAGACTTGTAACTACATATTTTATTATTTATTTTTACTATTATTGTTTGACAATCACAATACATAAATATGGTAAAATATAAATTATTTTCATAAAAATAATTTATTATTAATTTTCTTAACTAATCATCCTCAAATTTTGCTAAAAACAATAAATTAGTCTTCATAATAAATCAAATTATACAATTCTTTTTAAATGACTTTCAATACATATCACCTCTTTTAACTATAAAATTATATTCATACATAAGAGTTAAATTTAGATAATTAACATTGCTATATTATTTTTAAACATTGAAAAAAAATATTATACATAATTCTCCAATTAATAATATCTTTATGATAGACGAATCAAAATAAGTTTTTTTTAAATATTTTTTAGTATAGAGTCAAACCTCAGTTGATTCACGAAAATATATTTTAAGTCAAATTTAATTTTATGTTTTCTTTTAAAAAATATAAATAAAGTTTTTAGAGTTTTAAAAATTATAAATTAATCAAATTGAATTACGAACAGAACAAAATTGAGTAAAAATGAATTAAGAAACATCAATTTATAAAATACTAAATTTGTGTAACTTCGACTATCACAGTATCTAAAGATTTAAATCCGATTTTGAACAATCATTTAATTTAATTATTAAATCAATCGAATAACCTAATTGAACAGAGTTACGAATTAAATAAAATAATTATTTAATCTAATCTGCATTAATTATCAATCAAGCATCAATCGAGTCTTAATTTGAATTCTAATAACAGAAAAATTAATCATAATCGCAATACACAATTCTGATATTAGAGAAAAAAAGAGAACAAACTTGGAGCAATTTAGCGCATAACTCAAGTCAGAATTACAACTTTTGGATTCTGCAGATTGAACAAGATGTTTAGCATTCTCAAAATTTTAAAGTATTTAATCACCTTATCTAAATCAGAATCTTATTATTCTATTTTTAAACTCTAATTAAGGTAAACTAAATGGCCAAAATTTGAGCCTTAATTATAACTACAAGCCCAAATACAATTATCTAATAACAAAGGATTCAAATACAATCTCATAATAATATTCAACAAATCTGCTTCAACTTCAAAAAGTCATAAAAAATTAAAATTAACTCTAAATCTAACGATTCATGTATGCATTTTGAAGCCTAAATGTGTAAAATTTAATGCAATTGGAATCAACAAAAAATGATATCCATAAAAAAAATTATGTCCAAAAGAATAGTCAGAGGTCAGAATTATCAAAAAATACAAAATTAAAATATTTATTTGTAATAAGTCCAATTTATTCAAATAAATAGAAAATAATAAAAACTCTAAAAATAAAGTATATTAAAAATATTTATAAATCAAAATAAAATTATAAATATAAATATAAAATATGTTACATTACTCTCAAATATTTCATGATTAAGTGTAACAAGCATATTAAAATTATATTTCTAAAAATTTATCAAATTTAATATTTATAAGAATTTATTCATAATTTGAATATACTTATATTACACAACAAAATTTTCTATATATTTTTTTATTAATTGAGTGTTAGCATTATAACAAATTTTCAATGATACGTACTTTTAAAGGATTCAAACTAATTCAAAAGTTTCTCAACATAAGTTTTAGTGACAATATTATAAATTCTTCCTTCCTCATGATTATAGCACCCAAAATTGCATTTACTTTGCCAATAATTATATTTGTTCCACTTGTACCTTTCAAACTTTGACATGCATCAATTTCAATAACTGAAAAATAACACAAATTATGCAATAATAAAACTCATTCTTGTGACGTAAAATCTATTTATCTACTCTATATAATGTTCTTCAAACTTGTAATACATCATTAACACTATTTCCATTTCAATCATTATATACTTTCACAAAAAGGCATAAAACTCAAAACTCTCCGCTATTGCATACAACCAAAAGAAAAGGCAAAGGCATATAGTCTTGTGTTAAACCTCGTCGAATCACTTAATAACTACCTCTTGTCAGTTTAATAGCAACGGAACATGCATGAGAAAATTCAAGCACAATTCAAGAACAAGTGCAGTATTATATAAATACTAATCGTAACAATAAGTGACGCCTACTTTGATTCACAGATTCAAAGAAGAAAAACACTACAAATTGTGACAGAGGCAACGTTGATAAATTGTGAGATCGTATAATAGACTAAATAAGAATTCAAGCATAGTTGATCAATTTGAAAACGTTATCAAGAGAAATAAACTAAATAAACGTACAATCATTGAATTATATCACCAAGGGGTGGGAAGACTTTTGCCAATCGACCAAAATCAAAACTCTGATAATACTTATCAGGCGGGTCAACGCAGGTGCAGATAAAAATAATTTTAATTTACAACTTAAAATAGGCTGAATCAGTTGGATATGAGTGATAATTTTCTTAACCAATTTTAACTGATTCAACTGAAAAATATACACCATTTCTCTCTATCGCATATGAGTCTCTTTTTTATATGTCTTGTCTTATCACAATTTTCTTTCTATGACACATATTTAAAGCATTTCATTTTTACATCTTTACTCTCTCCTGCAATGCGAGTTCAGTGTAAATTCAATTTTCAAAGTCTATTATTTAGTTTTATAGATTGTTCAACTCCATGCTTTCACTTCCAGCCATGATTGTGAACAAGTACAAGCTGGAGGAGAAAAATTAAGGGCTTCAATTTCGGAAGCATTGATTATAGTGTGAGTGTAATAGCTGTTGATCTTGCCAAAGACATGCTTCAGATTCACAGGAACAATTATGTGATTGTAGTGAGCATGAACATAACCCAAAATTGGTACTTAGTGAACAAGTCAATGCTGATGCCCAATTGCCTGTTTCGTGCTGGTGAGGCTGCAGTGTTGCTCTTCAACAAGGACTTTAATAGAAGATGCGCTAAGTACAACCTTTTTCATTTTGGGAGGACAAATAAAGGTGCAAAAGATAAGTGTCTTTATCTAATGATCAAATAGCACCACTTTGGATCCCCTTGTGTTGCCCATAAGCAAGCAACTTCTCTTTTGTTATATTGGTAGTTAAGAAGCTTTAATCATATTTATAAAACTACTAAAAATTTGGTATGCGGCTTCAGGATGAAAAAACTAGATCTAAGACAGAAGTTGTCAAGCATTTAGTAGAGCAGAACCCTGAATCTGAAAGTTGATGTCAACCATTCTAAAAAATCAGTGTTGCTAAGGTAAAAAAGCTATTGTTTACAAGAAGAATTGATGCAACCTACCTGAATATTTTTGTATCAGACCAACCTGCTACATGAATAATCTAAGATGAAAAACGAATGAAATCGGATCAGAGTAATCACTCAACAGTTGTCTTTAGAATTTGTGATTTTGACTTGAACTCGATCGCACCGACCAATGTCGAGCCCTAATATCACCATTTGATTATACATGAAGAAACTAAGTACTTATCAACAATAATTATAGCACTAGTTGAACCAACTTAATGTATCTATAATTATAACTAAAATTCTGTAACTATAATATTTTATGATATTTTTTTATTTTCTAAATCTTTTATCATAATGCTACATAACACTTTTTAATATTTTTTATTGTTTAATTTTTAAAATTTATTATTTCATTTTTATGTTACTTTTACTTGTAAATTTTAATTTTTTAATAATTTTTTATATTCCTATAATTATTTCTAACTTTTAGAAAAAACCAAAAAAATATAAGAATTCTTAATAAAGTATAGAATTTGTATTGTATATATTAAATAAAGAAAATAAAAATGCATATTAACATAATATTAAAATTCAGAAAAATATTCATTTCAATAATATTTGTTAATTATATATAAATATTTTGTTGTAATTTTTATACTAACACTACATCAAAATTAATTAAACTCTTAATACTATTATTTACGATTCTAAATTGTTAACAATATAAAAAATATTATTCACTTTAAAATGTGATATATTGTCCAGGTATGAAATTGTTAGATACAAACAAAATTCAACTAACAAAGGCCTAACGATTTGTTTCTTTTTTTTTGTTTGTGTACAAAATTACTTAAGCTATCATGTTTTCGTTCTTTTTGGTGAATTTATATTCCATCCCTACTGCATGTTGCTGCAATCTCTACTTTCAACCCAAAGTTGAAAACAAATAAGCCTATCAATTGCAGCTCAGCTACTGTAGATTAAAAAACTTTTGGGTCAAGTTAGATTAAGTAATTTAATTATTGTTTAGAAACTATTAGTCCTGTTCGGCCCTTTTACTAATCACAGAATAAATAAATTAACCACTATATTTTCTAATTTAACACTGTTTAGATGAACTTGTGAATAAATTATTTAATGATGGTTTGCACAATATCTCTTCTTTTTGTTACATCAAGACAAATTTTAAAAATATTTAAGGCAAACGTCAAATAAAAATATTTATTTATCATTACATTAAAAAAAAAGTATTTGCAAGTGGGTTTTGGTAATTTCTGTTTTCATTTGATACATTAAGTATGAGTAAACTTTCAGAGATGTTTTATAGGGAAAAATATCATAAAAAAATTAATTTATCTTTTAAATTTTAGAAAAATTAAATGAGAGAACTTTAAAAAATAAAGAAATATAAAATATTTATACTTTTTACTATTTTTAATATATATTTTTAACTTTAACCAAACTACTCAGAAACAAGACAAAATAAAGAAAAGTCATATATCACGTCATCCATCTATTGATTCTCAGAGATATTTACATCGACGTTCCTTAAATATTATTCTTCTAGCATTAAAATTACATATAATACTATCATATGAAAAATTAGTGTCTATATCTTATATAATAAATTTACTAGTGTTAAAATTACTCATAATTTTTTTTTATACAAAATCTAATGTAATTAAAAAATAAACATAAAAAACTACATGACATAATCATGCATACAGAAGGAAAAGTCCATACCATTCGTTTATAGAAATCATTTGACAAGTCATATTTTTTATATTTGTCAACTAGCATTTAAAAATTTTTATAAAATAATTTATAAAGATAGTTTATAACTTTCAATTTTTTAATTTATTTAATATGTTTTATTGAAATATGCTATATCAGACTTATTTTAAAAAATGTATTAGAATAATAATTAAATGTTATGTGTTTAAATATATTTTTAATGCATTGATTGTTTATTTTTATGAAGACTGATTTAAAAGTTCTGATAATTTTTCTTTTTTGTTTTTTTATTTATTATCTAAACATAGAGTACACTAAATATTAAATAGTTTTAACAGAAGATGAGAAGCTAAGTTGAGTGAGAAAATTGTTTTATAAGAGGGTGACACGTGTCATAGATATTTTGATTATTCGGTGAGACCCGTTTTCAAACTATTATCGTATGACCGCAAGAGAAGTCTATTAAATTTTTGAAATTACTCAATTCATCTCGTCACAAATGGAAGATTATTATCAACAACTGATGCCAAAGTCATCTTTTCAAAATAATTCAATATTATAAAAATAATAAAAATAAAATAAAATTGAACCATTGTACTTCAACTACAATAATTTTACTCCGTTGAAATAAAGGAATAGAAGGACTAGACTTAAAAAGTTTTAACTTTCGTGAACACTGTCTTAAAAAGTTCAGAAGGAAAGTTAATAATGCTTTATAAAATAAAGGACTTAGTTTCAGCAATATAATCTTTTTTATTTTAAATTATAAAAAATATTACATCAGTTTTAAAAACTGATTTTAAGTATTTAAAAATAATAAAATATTTTTTTTGTGATAAAACAAAAGAAATAAAATTGTAAAAAGTTATAAAAATTTGCTCTTCTTTGTGTGAAAAAGAAGAGAGAGTAGGAATTATTATTTATCTTTATATAATAATGAAATTGCAATCCTTATATTTTAAGGATTCTGGATAACAAGGATAAACTTGAGAAGTTGAATATATATTATGATTTTATTCTAAAATATCTTTAAATTTTTCTCTGGCTCAGTCACTTCACAGGCTTTCTATTTTTCTTCTAAAATCATTTCAACTTCATCATGAAAAAGAGAAATTAAACTTTTAAAAGCTCACTCCTATGTTTCATCAAACAAAAATTAGGGAAAAGTGGATTGATCCGGTTAAATTTCAACTTTCATTCCACAGAATAGTACGAACATAAGAAGAGAGAATAAGAAAAAGTAAAGCAGTTTGAAAGGAGTAGACGTAGAGATGGGGGAAGGAAAAGGGGAAGATCTGTCATTAATAATATGAATTACAAGCAAAGAAATTTATTTGAGAATTGAAAACCCTATAGTTTTACATAGTTTAGATGACACCAATTAATGCATACTCAGCTCAGTCCACATACATGACCCTCTTGTGCATTTATTATAGCACCAATAAAAGTATTGATGCATATGTATGTGTTTTACTTTGAAATTATAAAAATTATTACATTTCATTTTATTGTCGATGTATACTCAAACACGAGGCAAGGCAAAACAACAAATCACTTGACAAGCTTGTTGATGACTGGACGTGTTTTACACATGGCCTTCAATGGGATTAACCTTGACAAAGTGAATCCACTTTCCTCTCTCATATCAATCTCTTTATCATCTATGAGTTTCCAGTCAAAGCATTGAATCAATAATCCCAAAGTCAAGCCAATTGCACGCATAGCCAAACCTCCTCCGGGACAAGCCCTTCTTCCCAACCCGAATGCAATTAACTTATCTAACTCTCCTTCTTTCTCAAACCTATCGGGCTTGAAACTTGTGGCATCACTCCACATCTTAGGGTCTCTATGAATTGACCAAGCATTAATCAAGACTATGGTGTCCCGTGGAACATTATATCCCGCAATAACGCAGTCCTCTGAAGAGGAGTGTGGCAATAACAATGGAGCAGGGGTGTACAACCTAAGTGTCTCATAGATAATATTTTTAAGGTAAGGTAGTTTCGAAAGATCAGACTCATCCAACAAACGATCTTGTCCCACATGAGTTTCCAATTCATCCCTTGCCCTCTTCAACACCTCTGGATTGTTCAGCACACAAGATAATGCCCACTCTAAGGTTACAGCTGACGAGTCAGTTCCAGCAAGAAGCATGCCCTACAGTCAGATTCGATTCCATTAAATTAATACTTATTCAATAGTTTTTTAAAAAACAATTATTTATACAACAAACTTAACTAAAAGTTACTAAGACGCACTGAAAATAACTTATTTTGATAAAATATATTAAAAAATTCTTAAACTAAGTTAAAAAAAAAGCTTATCAAAATCTGAAACTATTTTTATATAATTTAACGAATAATTAATATCAATTTTAAAGATTAATTTTAAGTATACCAAAATGGTTTCTTATAAAATAATTTTATTTATTTATTTTAACAAAATTATAGCTTTAAGATATTTTTAAAAAAAGCCTCTAAAAAGTTGTCGATTCATAATTTAATGAAATGGTTAATCGTAGAAATATATAAGAACGCAATTTTGACAGAGAAAAAAGATGAGAAACCCAAATTATTACCAAAGCAAGGCCTTTGATGATTTGATCAGTATAATACTCAGGCTGTGATTCTTGAAGACTTAGGAGATGATCAACCATGGTGTTTGCGCGCTGCTTCTTGGTGCGATGTTCCTGAAGGAGTCCTTTCAAGAACGTATCGGTTTTGTTACTAATCTTCTTAAGCCTCTTCTCCAAATTCTCAAAATCAAACAACCTAAGTATAGGCATGAAATCGTTCTTGTTGTTCGCCCCCGACAACTGCAGCAACTCGGACACCATGGCTCTGAACTGCTCGGCTTCCTCAACATCGGCCATATCACAGTTATCCCCATAGTATCTCTTTCCGGAGATCATTCTCATGATGTTGTTAAACGTCATGTCGTAGAACTTGGAAGTGAGTTCGACTTCAGTGAAGTCGTTAGAAGAGTCCTCAGCAAGCTTTCGTATAAGCCTCTGAGTCTCGTCCTTTCGTATTCCAGAGTAGTTGTTGATACGGTGCGTTGAGAGGACATCGAGGGCGGTGATACGGCGGAGGTTGCGCCAGTGCTCGCCGTAGGCGGTGGAGCCCAAAGTGGTGTAGTTGTAGAAGATGTATTTGCCGGAGAGAAAGCGAGGTCTGTTTGCCAAAACGACGTCGTTTTTGGTGAAACATTCTTGGAAAAGGGAGTGTGAGTGACAAACGACGACAAGGCGCGATCCAAACCAAAGGGAGATGACGGGTCCGTATTTATCTGAGAGGCCTTTGAAGGTGCGGTGGAGTGGGCGTTTGAGGTGGTGAAGGTTTCCGATTATGGGAAGAGAAGGCGGACCCGGTGGAAGGTTTTTGAATTTTCTTGATTGAAGGAGAAGCTTGAAAACGAGAAAGAGTGCCAAGTAAAGCAGAGAGTAGGATAAGAAAGAAAGGAACCCCATTGTTCTTCTTTATGCTTAGGTTGGGATTTGATTGTTTTGGGGTGTCTTACAATGGTTTATATAATACTCCTTTCTTCCTCATTCAACCTCCTGCATGCTGTAACGTGTATATTTCTATTGCAGTCATTCAAACTGTTCGAAAATGACCTTTGAAAGTAAAGTATACCAACGCACCATCTCCTCTTTGATTATTCCCCAGACCAACCAATTTTTCATTAACAAGCTCTCTATGCTTCTCCACTCCATTTTTTATGTATTTAATTAATAAATAATTTCATCATTATAAAATGTTAATATATTATTATGGAAATTAAAATGATCCTAACACTTAATAATTTTTATTTCTAATAAATTATATTATTTTAGATAATACGAATCGAAACATATTTTATTTGGAGGCATCTAAGAATACTCAGTATTTTGTTAACATCTCTTAAGTTGCTGGCAACCAAATATTTAAATCGGGCTAAAATTATTTTGTTAACACTCGGAATCTTTTATAGTTATGTTAAAGTCATACTTTATTCTCTAAGCTTTTTCCATCTAATTATGTAATAATTAAATTTTCATTTTTAAAATAATTTCTTATTATGTGTCTAAAATGTATATTAAGAAGTTAAAAAAATAAAATGTTTATTATCTTAAATTTATTAAAAATATTTAATTTGTAGGATAAAAATTACAATATTTAATATTTACACGAACAACGATTTTTAAAATAACGGCGGTCCAGGCAAGGGGGAGCATTTGACAGCCCTACCTACAGTCCGTAGGTCATAAAATCAACCCACGTGGTCACTGTGTTTCCTGCAAAATGCTACTTGCAATGAAGTATTAAAAGTATATAATATTTTTTTTAAATAATTTTATTAATATTAACTTTTATGATTGATTTTAAACATTTAATAATAATAAAGTTTAACTAATTTCTTATTATATTTTTTATAGAATAAATATTTTTAATAAACAATATTATTTTGAAAATTTTAAGATAATTCTAAAGATCAATATTAACATTTTTAATTATTGATTTTTTTTTAAAATTACTTTTTTATTTATAAATTAATGACACAAATTATTTTTATTTTTAAAACATAAATTAATTATAAGAAACGTACTCTTGAAGAGTGTATTTGAAAAAAAATTGGATATTATATTTAAAAAAGCATGCCTCAACATGTGCATCACCATTCGAGGTACTGTGTTTGTTAAAATCATGAAAATCAATATATTTTTTAGGAACCATAATTTTAAATTACGATTTACTAGACAATAATTTTGTTATATTATAAAAAATAATGATTCAAAATTTTGCTTTATTGATATAATGCAATGTGTTGTTTCAAACTATGAATTAGCTTTAATTCATGAGATTAATTCAATAAAATAAGGAAGAATTTCACATTTAACGAGTCACAATTTTAAACTCTTATTTTGAGACATCATCCTTTTTTTTTAATTAAAAAACATAAATGAGCTTTTTTAATATTTAATAAAAATTAAAATCACGATTTATTTTAGAATAAGTATTTATTTTATTATCTATTAATTTAAAATTAATCAATTTTTTTTGTGCTCTATACATCAGGAGTTCCACCTAATCCCAAACCACAATACACGCAACATCAGCCGCCACATATTTCAGGTAATTAAAAGCACAGGAAAACGTTTCATCAGCAATTAAAATGGATTATTAAAAAAAAATTTAAAAAATATTTCTAAAGCATGTATACAAAAAAAAGTAAAAGAAAATATAAATAATTATATATAATACTACAAATACTTTAAATTAAAATTAAAATGGAATTTTCAAATAAAGAATGTTATATAATTATTTTTTAATTTGACAAGTTTTATAAATTTTAAAAAGAGGTTATACTTACATATTAATAAAAAAAAAATATTTTACTCTAGTAACTAGGACTAAATTAAGGAGATAGTATATTTAAAATTAAAAAATAAATTGTGAAAAAATTAAATAAAAAATAATTAATACTATGTAATAAACATATATAGCTGCTATTGAAAGCAACAGCAGAAGGTGAGAACGATAAAGATGCACGTTGTAGTACGTACCATTAGGTTCCGTCAGTACTGAAGAAAAAAATCATGGCTTCCAACCATCGCTACCATTAAAATTAAAACAAAAATGTGGTTTAAGTTTGAAATCTTTATATAATATAATAAAAAAATATTTTTGAAAATATCTTAATTAAAAAATCGTATAAAACATTATTTTCAAAAAGAGCAAAATAAATAATATGAATAAGAGTGTCGTTATAGATAGATAACTTAATTAATTATTTATTGAATATTCTTTTTATGTAAGGTTTTATACTCATATTTATAAAATTTATTGACATAAGATAAAAATTAGATCTAAAGAAAATGTTTAACAATTAATAATTTATTTTTTTATTAATTGCAATTTTGTTAGGTGATCATATGTGATTTGAGCCACAAATTTTAAATTTATTTATAATATTTTACCTTATTGAGAAATTTGAAAAATAAATTATAACAGTGAAGTAAATAAAGGAAAGAAAGTTTAAAAGTATATATTATATTGATTTTATTACTTAAATTTCTAATTTTTTATAATAATTTTTTACGTTTACATAAAAATAACGCAACAAAAAATTTAACAATTTATTCTTAATATGATACCATACCATTCTCTTTGCTAAATTTATATTAATGTCAAATTGGTGAAAATAAATTATTTGCACAAACAGTCTAATTATATGACACAACGTGAGTTTGAATCTTGAGTCTACCATGTATAAGTATTGGATAAAATTTAGGAGTTATTTTTATAATTTATTTTAATAGTCTAATAGTAATATGAAATATTTTTTATTAAAATAAAATTTATAATTTAATTAAAAACAATATAAAAAATCAGAGGGATAAATAGCTTTTGTTTTACTCAAATTGGTAAAAATAAATATTGTTCGTAAAGCTAATGGTATGGGAGGTAGAGGTGGTGTCATCTGAAAGGATAATTGACTTTGAAAACTGATTAATTTCCTAATATAATTAGTTGATTCATTTGTTAACTGTAGTGTATTAGTCCATATATGCAGAGAATAAAATTATTTTGCAGATATAATGGAAAAACAGGGTTGTTCTAAAGTTTATTTTTATTAGTAATTTTTTTTAACGATAAAAATTATTTTCTTTTATTTTATTTAAAGACCTTTCTTTAAATTATTTATATGAGAATAAAATTAAAAATAAAAATTCGTATATATACTGAACAAAATGATATTTAAACCTTTTTTTTAACATATTTCTATGAAAGTTTATTTTCATTTATCTATCATATTTAAAAGTTTAAGCTAACACTGATTTTTTATCTTTTTTTTTTTGCCAACTAAATCTTTAACTTAACATAAACAATAATTAATTAAAACTAGAAATAAAATGGTATAACAAAATCATACAATAATTTTAATAAAAGCAGGAATATTAAATCTATTCTATATATAATTTCTATGTCAAAAATTTAAAATAAAAGATAAAAAAACATGTACATAGTATAATTTAGTTAATCATTTCAACTTAATACTATGATTCACTTTAAACATTTTTACTATTTGACGAAAAAGAAAACCCAAATTGATATATAAGAGTAGGTCCAAACACTAGTCTATTATTTTTTATAACAAAACACTAATTTATTTAAAGACATAAATTTTGTTTGGGTGAATTTTTAGACTCGTCCTTATTAAAAAAAATCAGTATAAAAAATAATTTTTTATAAATTGAAAACAAAATTTATAATTCTATATTTTAAAAGAAATTCTGAGAAATTTTATATTTTATTTTTAAAAAAATTTAAAAACATAAGTTATTTTTTACTTATAAAAAAATTATTTATTATTTATATTATTTTTTAAATAAAAATTTCTCTAAAAATTTACTATATGTTTTAACACATTATCAACCGGAGATAAATAGACATTGAGCAATAGGCTGTTTGACTTTTCTTAAAAAGTTGTATGTGTTGAATACTAGGCAATTTGCTTTTGATATAGGTTTACGTAATTAGTGCAAGCTTGAACCAAGTAAATTAAAATTATTGTCTCTGTTTAATTATGAGGTGATATGGATCAATTTACAAGTTAAATGAGTTTAGTCTTAGGCTTTGCAAATCAACTCATTTATCCACGTAATATAGGCTTATGCATCTAAAGTTTTAATGTGGAAATGTTTGTTAAACATTTGCATACCATACTTTTATTAATTATGAATGACAGAATTGTCAACAAAAATCACAGCAAATACTACTATTTCATGCAACATGGTAATGATGTTATTAATTCAGCTAACTCATATGATTAACTCAGTTTATAAACGAGGGAAGTTAAGAAGGGTTGGGTAGCTATCGATCAACTCAGAATTGAGCTAACCCATATTTTTATATGTTTATAAATTATAAATTCAATAAATTTAAGTTTGAATCATGTATTTTAAAATTATAAACAGAATAATTTTGACAATAATTTTCTTGGAGTAACTTAATTCTTAAAAAATAGTCTTTATTTATCAACATTATTTTAATAATTAAAATAAAAACAGTAAATAATAGTCTCAAAATATTAATATAAACTTCATAAAACAAGAGTATATGTCAATAAATTCAAGGTTGATTATATTATCAATCTCCTTAATTCAAACTGTGTCCAATTTTGATTATTCAAAATTTTTGAGTTAATTAAGTTACTCTATATTTAAAATCAAGCAAATACGATTCATCTGTCATTTTTTTTATATCAAATCCTCAAATTCTTTTTTTTTATCCAAATATAAGGGTTTAGAGTGGATTTATAATCTTAAAAAGTTTCAAAATGAAATTAAATTTGGTGAAAATTGATAAGATTTGAGAGACTTTATGCGGTATGATGATATGAATTAAAGATGAAAAAAATTCACATTACTTTGATTTTTGTAAAATTTGATGTTTGGGTTTGGGTAACTGAGTTTTAAGTAGAATATCGAAAACAATTTAAATATTTAATTTAACACTTTTTTAAGGTTAAAAGTAAGTATTTAATACTTTGAGTGAAAAAATAACAAAAAATAAAAAACATTTTAAATAAAATACAATTAATCTGAAAAAATAAACTGAAATTGAACAATCTAAACTAAAGAAATTAAAAATATTATCAAAGCTAAATTCAAAGAAAAATGATACGCAGCAAAGGAAATGTAGTTAACATTCAATAAGTCTCCAAACATATTGAAAGTCAACAGTCAAAACACAGAGTTGGAAGAATTCAAACAATGATTCCTAGTTTGAGTAGAGTTGCATCACGGTCATATATATCCTTAACACAACATTAATACTTGTATACCATAAGACTGCACCGTGACCACAAACTTTGACTTTTGCTCCAATTAATGGGTATTTAAACTCTTGAAAAGTCAATATATATAGATATATATGATTAAACTTAAAAAATAAAAAAATTCAAACTATTACCATCCAAGAATTCAAAACGTTGCTGGATATAATATTCACACATCCCTTAACGTGACAATGTTCTAAATTAATTTAATTTGTTAATATGGGATTATATATTAATCATCCGTTTAAATATTCTCTGTGATTGAGATGCAAATAATTTTAAAATGTGGCTGCTGCTGTGATCTCCCTACATTCTTGAGTCTGGGATTTGAATAGTTACATTTGAAAATTCGTATTTGATCTTAATCACAATAAGTTGTTTTGAATTCAAACCATTCTGTCACACTCTCACATGTGGTAAGCAAGTTGAAATTATCGATGAAATTATTGAATACTTGCTTTTTTATTTCATTTTATTTTTGAATGAGTAGATAAACAACTTAGCTCTTGAAATTATACATATATGTTCTTATATTTAATTTCACTCTCAATTCTTGTGGTTTAAATAAGAATTTTGCAAACCAATAAAATCTAGTTGGTAAATAACTTAATCTCTCAAATATACTAAGTAAGATTTAATTCTTAATTATGCATGTGAAAAAAGTTTTACTGAGAGGAAAAATTCATTTAATGATCTTTATATCTTGAAAGAAATTAGTCTTTGACTATTATTGGAAGATAGCTTTAGTATGTAAAAAAATAAAAATAAAAACTATAAATTTTAAACCCAACATTTACGTAAAAATATGTGTCAGATATATTTCTTCCTAATGTCTCACTCAATGCTTTTCATTTGACTTCTGCGAAATGAAATATCTTCGAAGGACCGTTTTCCCTGTTTTAATGCTTTGATTTGAAATGTACATGCAACGCTTTTTTTTTTTTTTTTTTTTCTATTTTGTAATATTTCATATATACATACACTTGGAAATAACTTGAAACCATATTGAAGAATAATTAAGATAACAATATCACTATAAAGAAGAATTTTTATTAACAGAAAACATATTGAACATTAAAATCGTTTAATAATTAGTATAATTTTTATCTAATAAAAATTAAATCATTAACATAAATATTATAAATCTATAATAATTATATAATGTACAATATACTGACAATATATATATATATACTCAATTTGTCAGTAAAATTCATGTATCATATAATTAATGTAGACTTATACTATTAATATTAATAATTTATTTTTATTAAGTAAATATTATCTCGACAAACGCTAAACGATGCTCAAGCATTAGTTTATAACATTGTTTTTGTTTTCTAGTGAAAGAAATTATAAACTAAAACAACAAATTGAAGTATGATAACATTCAGACTTTAATATTAAGATGCTATATATATGATAAAGATGATCTTTCGTTAACAATTGGAATGGTCTTCAAGTACCATTAATACTCTACTTCATGGAACATTGCCTCAGATGGAGAAGGTCTGCAATAAAGCTATGCACCACGTACGTTATTCCTGATCATTTCTTCATATCTTCAACAAAATTTGGAATTCAGGCTACGAATTTCTTATGCTTCTCCTTTCAATCATTTGAAAGGACGCTCAACATTGTAAGTAATGAAATAATAAGACAACACTCTTTAGCTAACAAGCTAGCTTTTAGAAAAAAAAAAAAAAAAAACAAGCAAGTTATTTGACACAACACTTATCTTTCGAAATTATCTTGATTATCTTGTCACTTTGTTCTTCATGTGTTCAACAAGTTGAGATCAGAAAAGTTCTTAACTCTCCCCACAAACGATGTCAATGTTATCACTTGAATCTTGATGTAGAAACGAGTCTCTTCAATCACGATCCTTCTTGATACTCTTGCTTCCAGTTGAAATTCTTTAGAGAAAAGAGCTACAAATGCTATACTAATGCTTAAATTCGCAAAGATGTTTTAAGTATGTGTCAGAGAAAAAAATGGAGTGTGTGTCATACCCATGGGTGGTCCTCTAATATATAGAGTGAGATACTTACAGTTACGGAAGTTAAGATCATAATAATAATAATAAGTAATGTCATTGAAGAGATAAAAGAAGGTGGAAAAGTGAGATTTTGTAAGGTAATTATATTTTGCACAACATGATGGACTTTTAAAATATATAATATTTTTAGTTTCATTTTATTATCCATTTATAAAGTATTATCAATAATATTACATTATTTTGTTATTCATGTTAAATATATATATGTAATAAAAAATATATTAAAACATATTTAATATATATTTATTTAATATCTAAAAATATTTACTTGATATCCGTTTAATTATTAAAAATAATGTAAAATTTAATATTTTTATATATTAATTATTTATAGTAACAAATAACTGTCAGAGTAATTTAATAAGTTATAAATTAAACTAATATTTTTGTGCCTTTTAACATTTAAAAATTTTAATATCATCACAAATATTTAGAATATTAAATTAATGTTAAGTAAAAGGACTAACAAAATTTAAAATATTAAAATTTAATTTATAATATTTTTGTACATTAAGTTAATTTTGATTTAATTAATGCAAAAGTTGTATTATAAATTGATGACTTTTAAATTGATTATTATAAATTCAATATTTTTATTGATATTACAATTAATAGTTGAGTTCCAATGTAAAAACTTTTATATTGTCAGTGAATTTTTTTTCATATTATGGTAAATACTTTCTCTAAGATTAATTTTGATATAGTTAACATACAAAAATATATTGATAATTAATTAAAATACATAATAAATATAAATTTTAAATTAATTATTACAAAAATCATTTTTTTATTAATATTACAATCAACCAGTTGAGTGTTAATGTAAAAATTTTATATTATTGATGTATTTTCATTAAATCAAATTTATTTATACTATGATGATCACCTTATATATTTATATAACACTAAAAAAAATTTGTGTATTAACAAACAAAAATTATCAACCATCAGAATAATCTTTATTATTAGTCTTATTTTAACAAGAAAAAATTATTAGCATAGACGTTAAAGCTATACTAACTAATAATGTATTACACTAACATTTAATTTGATATATTGATAGTATATGTTACTATTTTTATTAATAAAATTATTTATAGGTATAGTATTTTATATTACTAGTATAAATTCGTAATATGTATATTAATAGTTAGTTTTTTCTTTTTTTTTAGAGAAAGCTAATACTTAATAAATGACAATTTTTGTGCAATGTAATACCTATTTAACAACACAAGTTACATTTATCTATCTTTAAAATAAAAAGAATTCGTAACATGTGATTTATGTTCACACAAATGTGTCCTATTTGATGATGCGAGGAGGGCATTATTTTGAACTGATAGTAATTTTACAAATGTTTTTGGAGTTGAATTTCACAAAACCTAATATTAAATTAAGTTTCTATCATCCACATCATACTGATATTTGTTTGCAACATTATATGGAAGAAATATATATTTTGTCTTTCGTAGATGTTTTATTACTGGAAAATGATGTTATTTTTGCAATTGGTTGTGAATCTGTCATCTCATTAAATAGAAAGTAGAAACATACATGATTTGCTTCTGTATGCTTTTATTTGTCTCTGCACACAGTTTTGGTCACAAAGAAGTTTAATTTCTTAAAAAATTTCGATTTTTATTTTTAATTTATCTCTTCTTATTATATCACTTGTCAATTGTTTTTTCTTTTTATTTCTCTTGCTAAACATACACACCTCATAAATATATAGCCGCCATTGTCTAATATTTGTCTTGTTATTTTATTTATCTCTAAATAACGCTCTTCTGTTGGCTCTTTGACCTTTTATGCTTTTCTTCTCACTTCGAAACATTTAAAATGCAGCTATTTAATTAAGATAATAGAGGAAAACATTGAAACTGGTTAGGACAAAGGGTTAAGCAGACAGATGGAAAGGTGAGTAGTTGTACTCTATCTCTACATTTTATATATTATATGATCTTATCTCATCTATATTATGTTATACTAAGCTAAAAGTCTCTTTGTCAACTACAAAGCTAAAGTAAATTGCTATAGGATGAGAAAATTCCTTCAATCGACCCACTTCATGAGTCTCTGTGTCCTTTTATGTGATGTAGCTCTGATTCTTTTTTAAGCAAAGGACTACCCCTTCCTTTTATTTTTTAAGCAAATTGTTCCTACGATTGAATTTACATTCTTGTGAAATATTTACCATATTTTTCCCTTTTCCTCTTAATAAATAGAATTTGTATTTGTAGAAACCTATATTAAAATAAGGTTATCATAGTACTATAATATAATAATGTAATTATATAATAATCCATATGATATTATTATAATAATAGATATTATATTACTAACAGTTAATAAAAGGTTAAAAATACTAAAAACAAATATTTTATTACCATATTCCTACAATTAATTTTAAAATTTATCCAAGTAATCAGTTTACCATAATTTATCAGCTTAATATCAAATATAATATGTACAGAAAATTATAATTTAACCTTTAACGTTAATTCTACCATACTCTAAACTAAATAGGCATTAAGAGGTTATTAATCTCAAACATAAAATTCATCCCATTTGAGGATGGTAGACGTGGAAGTATGGAACTTTAAAAACAATTAAGGATCTCAACAAAATTACATTTTGATATTCTCAAAGCTACTAATATCTTTTGACAAAACATCTTCAATTAACAAAAGACACCTTTAAAGTCACATTCAAGTACATGATTGGTGCAGAGATTAAATACCCTATCCTTGATGTTCAGAATGAGTCATCAACATCAACCACTTCTCCAAACTCAAATTGTGTTCTAACTAAATAGCTATCTCTAGTTAGTAAAAGGTCCTAGGCTCATAATGCAGAGATTTGAAAGGTCTTCATGTTTTTTGTCAAAATTTGAACAGTCTTCATGAATAAGGATAAAAAGCACAGCACCTCTTAAATAGCTCACCACAACCTACAATAGCAAATGCCACACCAAGGTATCCCAAATTATTAAGTCAAACATTTAATCCTCAGAACTCATGCTTAAAACCCTGCACAATTAACAGATATGCTTTGCACTGTTAATCATGGTTAAAAGGCAACAGACAAAACAAAAAAGACGAAGGAAAAAATAAAGATTAGTGTTTCACTGAAATAACACTTTCTCAAACCAAGTTCTTGATTCAATATGGAAAATTACTAAGACCTAGAATTATACTAAAAATCGTCCCAATTACCTAAAAAACAAACTATTAAATATTTTTTGGGTTCCTGAGATATTGAAGGCACTGTGCTTCCATTAAATACTTTGTATTTTAGGCGATTAGAAAAATTTTAAAGTGATTTTACAGAAGTATTGAGCTAGCCTACACCACTAAAAATTATTACAGATTAGCAACTTCCAAGTATTCAGAGTGACAACAAAGCCAAATGCATTGCATTAGGAAACACTGCTATAGTTCAAAAGTATTTTACCTATTTCAACTGTTGAATTGCATAATAGAGACTGTCAACAAGTAGTAATGCTAAATGAAAGGAGAGACTGAGTGTCAAAAAATAATGCCTGCGCACTTGTCATAGTAGTGTGGTGCAATGGCTGAGTTAGAGATAACATGTAATTAGACAAGGGAGATGGGGACAGCTCAAAATGAAAGCTATAGTGTATGTGTATTTCAGCACTATGTTTTGCATCTTCATTTCCTCATTCTGATCTCATATCCCATTGATATAGAGGTCATGAGAGAGGTTACTGTCAATAAACATTTTATTTTTGCTCAATATTCTGATGCAGTTCTATTACTAGTTATTTGCTTGGGAAGCATTTTAATATGATTGAGCCTTTTAGGAATAAAGTTGTATATGTCCGTTACATTGAATGGCAGGTGCTTGTGGCTTAAGTTTTGAGTTTGTGATTTAAGAGTATTATATGAAATTGAAAATATTTTCAATTTGAGTTGCGTGTATCATGGGGTCCATCGATCCATGTTAGATCCATGTTAAGATCACACAATTTACAAATTTCCCTCCCTTCCAAATCTCTGGACGATCTCAATTATGACTACCTTGTTCTAGGCTACCTGTGTTTATGTGTCATGTCAAAGCTACATAAATTCATGTACCTACAAATGTATTGTAAATGGCAGTAAGTCATAACTCTTTTATTTCAATTGTAGGAAAAAAGATGTCTATCACAGCATTTGTTTTTCTTAAATCACATTGTTAATTATTAAAAATTTACCATTTTAATAACCAAAGTCAGTCAAACATAAAACTGAAAGTTATGTTACCAAAATGAAAACTGATGCATGTAATACACAAAGGCATGATACAAAGTAAGAATTCATGTTCAAAATAAATGATATATCAGTACCTTCTCCGTTGAAGTTATATGTTACGCTTTTTGCTGAGCTTTCCCTTACCACGGCGTTTGCTTTTAGCAATTTTCAATTTCTTCTTGGATTTTTTGCCTATTCCACCAACAGCCTTTAAGGAAGTCATGCTTTGACTGCCATCAGCCATCTCCACATCTGGAAAATTTAAAACCAAATACAAGATATTAGATTGTTCATCCAAGGGTAAGGAAATCGAATGCCAATAAACAGGAGTATGCATTTGGGATTTTATAAACATAACAATTTTATTATGCAACACAGCTTCCACAAATGAATAGTTGATGCTCAGAGTGAGCACAAATGGTAAGTAGGGTAAAGCAGTACCACCCTTTCCAATCAGCATGGGAAAAAAACAGTAACAAATAGTATTAAAATCAGTTTTAGCATTTTGAGACATATATACAAATATTAATCTTTCACAAAAATCAAAATCAAGATATGACACTTCTCATCAACATTCATATCAATTCACAGATTTCACCCAAAAATGAAAGGCAGAGAGATGGAATAAAGCAAGAGAGGGGATATGATACCCATGTTGGTGTTGATAGTGGAATTGGAGGCATCCATGGATGTATTTGATTGATGAGGAACTTGCAGCTTAGGTGCAGCAAGGGCAGCTTCTAGGGCGGCCAGCTTAGCAGCTTCTTTCTTGTCATAGAAGGGTTCAACAATCTCCCTCCGAATAGCCCTCAGCCTCTTCTCCCTCTTTGATCTCAGTGACTTTGCCATTCTCTTGCACTCCCTTTCTTCAGTTGGGGTTTCAGGGTATTTCTAGGGCCCTGTTTGGAATCAAATTAATAGGTAATTCAATTAAGTTATATTATTTAAAAATTCTAGTGTTTGGAACAAATGTTAAAATTTATTCAATCAAATCACTGTTTCACATGTATTTTATAATTAATGGAACTTATTTTAATTTCAAAATTTACAATAACATAATACCTATGACCTATCAAGACAACAAATGAATTCCCTCAAAAGTCACCATCTATATCAAGCAGATAAAAAGCAACCGCAAGAACCACCCCAACAATTTGAGTTTTGATAATCAATGTGCTTCCAATTGAACAAAACGTGGTATTTCGACTTAGAAAAAGAAGTCATATAAATTGATGGAATTAAACACAGGTTGCAGGCAGAAAAGATAATAACATAGCCTATCATAAAATTTCAGCAGTACAACTACCAAAATGGCTGGCTTTACTTCCTTCCAAGCAGTGGAACATAATAAAATACTACTCCATTCAGCTTCATCCCATAACATACTACCCATCCCAACAAAGCCTTAAAATCATGTTATGTACATTCTCAACGGCACAAAGCACCGAATCAATGTAATTATGTAAGAAGGAATTTCAATACACAATCATGCAATATATCCTTCAAAAGGCATAATATGAAATATAACAGCATAACCCCATCGTTAAAAAAAAAAAAAATCTGACTACAAAAGATTGAAACTCATTCACGACACCAGAACATAAATTACTGTAAGTGCACTGGAACCAACAGAAGAAAACCCATATGCCGAAACTTCAATCAAACATTATAAAAACTAATCTTAAACAAGCCCAAACAAATTTTTTTTTCCGAAACACGCACAACACACAGATTGAACAAAACAAAACAAGAATAAGGTTGATTGATTACCTAGTAGTATAGTTTGAGGTGGTAACAGTACCCAAATAAACTCAAACTGCGCCTCTGGACCCTGCTCAATGAAAGAGGCGGTGGTAAATTATGTGCTAGGTTATATGCGAAGGAAAATTGCAAGAGGGTATAATAGTCTTTTAGTTATGGGAGGGCCTAACTTAGTGCTTAGATTTGTTAAATGGGATGGACAATTTAGATGGCCCTTTAGCTTTTTCAGGCCACTCTTTATTTTGGTCCATTGTTTTCGTGGACCGAAAAATAAAATCCACCGCTTTCAAAATTGACCCATTTGACACGGCATGATTACTGCCTTGTTTGGGCCCAGCCTAGTGTTGTTGGGCCCAGCTGTTTTTCTTGGAGGCAATCAGGTCATATTCGACCAAGAACAATTGATTTTAGTTTGGGTAAAAAAAAAAACCGCAAATTGATTTTAGTAAAATTCGAAACCAACTTTATAAAACTTAAAAAAAAAAAAATGTTTGACAAATTTTTTTTCTAAGATATTGGTGTTTGTAAGAGAATTATAAAGCATAAAGGTCTTATTAAGTAAGAAAAAATATTGTAAAATATCACAAATTAAAAAAAAAAAAAATATATATATATATATATATAATATAGAATTGGATAAGATTTTAAATATAACTCTAAAAAGAATTACAATAAATCTTAATTGTACAAACAAAAAATCTACCGGTTGAAAATTTATTTATTTTTATTATTATTTTTGCTTCTCTTCCATTTCAGATCTTGCATTGATCCTAAAATTGATTATGGATGGAAATCAAGGAATAAGATCAGTGATATCTGGAATACTAATTACAACAATCCTGTGCATGTGTCCTGATATTTTGGGGTTTATAATGAATATTAAGTAACCACAAGGAACAAATTGAACCACAACCATTCATTCATTCATAGCTAACCAATTTGGTGGAGATGGGTTCACTGGCACCATATTCAATTGGGACATGTCTTCCTTACCTGCAACCCCAAAAATGCAACTATTCAGCACCACTTAGTTACACGATACGTGCTGTCCAAGTCCAACAACAAGTAGATGAGAGGCAGTTGAAGAGAAGAGATGCATTAGGCCTTGCCTTTAGTACTGGCCTTGTTCATGGTTTGTGGCAAACAGGAGTTGCATCAGCAGCTGAAATTCCATGTGAATTTCAAGTAGCTCCTTCAGGTCTTGCCTTTTGTGATAAACTTGTTGGAACTGGTCCTCAGGCTGTTAAGGGACAGCTTATTAAGGTGCCCATTTTCTTATTTTTCACATACATGATATAAGTCACACTCTCTTCTTAATATCATTCATGTTGCCATGGTTTTGGGCTTGGTCATTTTGTGTCACTATTATGCCTTTCGGTAAAGTCCTATGTGATACCTTTTCAGGCTCATTATGTGGGGAGATTGGAGAATGGGAAAGTTTTCGACAGCAGCTACAATCGTGGCAAGCCACTTACGTTTCGCGTCGGTGTTGGAGAGGTATCATAATTGAAACAATGACAAACTGTATGTGTTTTTCTCTAATTTGTGCATTTTGGACATTATTATTTGAAAAAAGTTACGGTATGCCGTGTACAAAATTGGCTTACCCTGGATTAAAGAGTGACATTACAAACACTCGTTTATTTTGAAAAATAAAGTTAAAAAAGCTCTTTTGGGATTATAATTGGTGAAATCAGAAAAGCGTTGCTTTTTAAGAATGAATGAAAACCATAGAGTAAAATACCATGTTTGTTAAAAATTATAGAGAACCCTTCATAAGTAGCCATATTATAGAGTACCCTCCCTGCACTGCCAAGTTCAGGAATTAAAAACTATTCATGAATCAAATAGGTGATCAAAGGATGGGATGAAGGCATTTTAGGAGGTGATGGAGTTCCCCCCATGCTTGCAGGTACTTCTTTTATCATTGTAAATTCATTGTATAATGACATGCCAATAAAATTTTGTTTACTATTTTTCTGACACAGGAGGGAAACGTACACTGAAGCTTCCTCCAGAACTTGGATATGGCTCAAGAGGGGCTGGTTGTAGAGGAGGCAAGTACTCCCTTCTTTTTTGTTTTTGTGCTGCTAAGCAATACTTTTTCTCTGACATTATATAAATTTCCTGTATAATTTGTATGGAAAATAAAGACGAAATCTTGTTTGCTCTTGGTTGTTTTGCACTATGTGGAACTAGCTCTATTGAAGATTATGTTGACGTTTTATCTTTAATTGCTATTAATAGTTAAAGTACTGGTTATTATCCTAGAATCTGCTTAATTTTCAATACATAAAAGCCTAGTATAATGGTTGTGGTACTAATCAAATTTGCAGCAAGTGCATAACATTGCAGAAGTAAAAAAGATAATGGACTCAATAGGAGCTGAATTTCTGTGTATTTTTGGCCTGTTCACTTAGCAGTGTAGGAGAATAAACAAAAAAATGCAATTCATTATGAGGAAAAAGATAATTTGATAGGACTTAAGAGGCACTTAAAACTTAAAAGTTTTCCTTCTAATAATGAGCACTTTTTACATTTTTTTTTTTGCATGAATTTCTTCTTAGCCAGCAAAAATTAAGATCTAGTCATCTTTGATGCAGGTTCATGTGTCATTCCTCCTGACTCAGTACTCTTGTTCGATGTAGAGTTCGTTAGCAAAGCATGATTTACAAAGCCCTGGGGTTTTGAAGATTGGAGCTTAGATATACAGTTTTTCACTTTTGATTTACATTTTTGATGGCTATGATATTACATTTCATGCAAAGTGGAAATAATTTAAGTATTCTATCGCATCACTTGGGTTCTCATAGAGTAGAAATTTTAAAGTAAAACTTGCTTGAAAAATTAATGAGTGAGTAATTAACATGTGTGTATGTTTATCCACTTTTGATTTCACAAGCTACCTGAACTTGTAACTGATAGTTATGAGCTGCAGTTCAGCAGTATAAAACCACTCCTCCTAAGTTCAAACAAAGAAAAGGAATAATCATTAAGAAAACGGAAATAACCAAATACAGAGAACAGCAGGTAAAAGAAAAGGTGTCAAAGCATTTGCTTTTGGTAATAAGACTACCTGATAAAGATAGCTTGAATTTGTAGGTTATTAATTTAATCAATAAACTATAAATCTGTAGAACTATTTGATAAATACAGAATAAAAGAAGTTTCTGAGAGCTTGTTTGATCTAGTTTTAATTTTCATTTTTTAAAAAGTATATTTTAAAACTATTTTATAAAACTATTTTTAGAAAAAAATAAAAATAAAATCTGATTGGTAATTTAATTTTTAAAACTCTTTTTAATTAAATTTTTGTTAGTTTTAAAAGAGAATAGAGGAATAAAAACAAAACACCTACCAACCCTCTTCATCTTCCTTGCTATAAATGTTGGTAAGCATATAAAACATAGTTAACTGAATAACACTCAATGTTAGTATCATGCATATCTATAACTATGTTTTATTATATATTTATTTGTGACAATAAAAGTATGAAAGATTTAATATCATTAAATAAATAAAACAAGACAAAACAAAAATGAAAAAAAATTTATCGTTAGATCTATATTTATTGTTTTAGTCATCAAACATGCATTTATTAAACTTACCATTTCAAAATATATAATTTAATAAAAAGTAAATATAAAATAATTTGAATTGATAGTCACTCGCTGTGTCATTATTTGATATGTCAAAGCTATATATTTTGGTGTATACTTTAGATAACGTTCAACCAGAAATCATGTATTAGTCCTTTTAACTTATAAAGATCATTAAAAAATGTTTTATCGCTTTTAATAAAATATTTTTAACACACACGTTAAAGTTCTAACCCCTAATTTTTGTTAACGTATTCCAAATAGATAGATATGTATCCACTACATATCAGACTTTATTGAAATATCAAATCCACATGCAATATTACAATTCATCCAATAATATTTTTAGGAAAAAAGCCTTTCATATATTTAACATGAAACAAAATAAAATGAGTCAAAAACATAATTTTATCCACTAATATTTTAACCCATCTTGTATTTATTTTTCAGTTTGTAATAGTCCGAGTAAATTAAAATTATAATATTTTGGTAAATCATCTTGTTAATTAAATTTAAGAATTTAAAAGTAATAAGTTTTTCTTATTTTTTATTTTATCAAAGATACAGAAATTTAATGCATATTTATTATTATTGTTGTTAATTACTTGATTTAAGCATTAAAATTTAAAATTAATATTATTCTTTTTCGAAAGTAACTTCCATATTATTAATAAATTTTTATACTATTTTTTTAAATATTGCAACATAAATATTAATAAATTAGACTTTTGAATTGTCATTTTTACATTCTATCTTGGATGGATGTCCGAACTCCTCTACATATGCTTTGGGATGTAGTAATTGGGTTTACACATTTTAATTTATTATATTTTTCTTATATTCCTGGATGGAAGTAGCTCTAGGAAAATTTGATCTCTCATGGTACAGTTGAATACGTTTATGTCTATTGAATTGGTGAGTACAATATAGATGTGTTTTACCAATTAATCCAATGTCTAATTGCATTCATGAGCAGGTAGACCTATTGGTGTTCACTTGCATGGTGAGTGTCATGTCAAAATTGATTCAGCCATTCAAATGGTAATAAGTAGCGTTTTCTATAATTGTATGGATAGATGGAATAAACTAATGAAGAGATCACCATAGGTGAAAAGTTTTATGTATGAATTGTGTTGTCTACCTGGAGGACCAAGTTTGGTCATAATTTGGATTTCCATCCGTTTGAATTGCATGTTGGGAATAAGTTGAATTTGATGTTTATAATTCTTGGTGATATCTAAAGAATATTCATTCATATAGGAAATTGACTCCTTTAAGTTCAAGAACACGTTGAAATTGCCAAATTCAAACATTTATTATGAATTTTCGTTTTGTCTTTCTTTGCAAGACAATGTGAGTATGAATTTTATGAACTTTTATTATCAGAACAAAAGGCTCCCATATTCTCATTGGGGCACAAAACTGACATAAAATACTGGTTGTGGCATTTGTTTGTGTTTTGAGGTTACCAAGTAAGTTAAGAATGGGAAAAAAAAAAAGAAAAAAAGAAGCAGCAGCATACATGCAGCATGTTGTGTACAAGTTAAATTTGATGTTTTCAATTTTGAGTGAAACTTGCTATCCAAAGAATATCTGCCTGTAGTATTGACGCTTGTAGAGTAATAATGTGTTAAAATTACTAAATTCAAACGTTTGGTATAATTTTCATTCCTCTTTGTTAGCAGGACACGCACACATTAATATTTTGAAACTTATATGATAAGAACGAAAGACTCTTAGATTCTTACGAAGGCACGAGAATTGACATTAAAAGTTGGTGGTGACATTTGTTTTGAGATGTGAGGCTTTCAAGTTGATCAAAAATGAAAAAAATCCATGCATATAACGTGATAGACATAAGTTAAATTTGACGTTTTCAGTTTTAGTTGAAACTTGATATGCAAAAAATATCCATCCATTCAGACAATTTGACATCTTTGAGGTCAAGAATACTTTAAAATTGCAAAAATTCAAATGACTCATATGAGTTTTCTTTTCATTTTTGGTTGCGGGGCACACGAGCATAAAGTTTAATGACTAGAATGAATGACTTATATTTTCACTAGAGTTCGTTTTGTGTTTTAATGGACACATGCATACGTTGTAAACTTGTAATGGACATGTTAAATTTGAACGTTTTTAGTTTTGGGTAAAATTTGGTGTCCAAAGAATATCCACTCATTCGGGCAATTTTGACCTAGCCGAGGTTAAAAATGTGTTACAATTGCCAAATTCAAATGCCTGGTGTCAGTTTTCCTTTTGTCTTTGTTTGCGGGGGCATACACACATAGATTTTACAAACTTCTATGATTGAAACTGAAAATGTTAAATTTAACCTATGCCTAGCACGGTGGTGCACAATTTTTTCCATTTTTTTAACAAACTTGTAATCTTGAAAATATAAAGCAAACGTCACCACCAATTTTTTATGCCAATTCTCATGCCTAGTAAGAATAAGAGTGTTTGAGGTAAGAAAAATTTTCTAAGTTAAAAATCATGTTAAAAAAAGTTACATTTCGACAAAATTTTGAGGGTCAAGAAAGAGTCAAAAAATAGGCCTGAACATAAGAGAATAGTGAAAGATTATTCAATACCTTTAGTTTTTATTAAAAGGGAAACATTTCGTGCTATTTTAGGAGATTTTTGTCTTTTTGACTTTTCTTTTAACTCATTTCATTTTGTAGTAGGTTCCATTCTTTGAATATTTACAACAAGAAGAAAAAGGTATCAGATCACTCTAAACTAGGGTTCCACAATTTTTTTCTCTACATATTTTATTTAAGAGGAAAGGTCTATCCTTATAATTAAGCCAAGAAAGAGCCTTTATTGTGTTTAATACAAGAATAATTAATCCAATTTTTATTAAAAGGGAAACATTTCGAGCTATTTTAGGAGATTTTTGTCACATTATGGATTTTTCTCTAAACTGCTTGAAAGACAAGAAAATATTCTAAGTCCACAAAATTGAAGGTTTTTTCGAAGAGTTTTGAGGAATTTCTAAGTCACTGACATCAAAAACTGCTCGAAAAACAAGACTGACAAGAAAATATTCTAAGTCCACAAAACTGATGACTTTTCGAGGAGTTTTGAGGAGTTTTCAAGTCCTTGACACCTAAAACTGCTCAAAAAACAGGAAGTGATCAGAAAATATTTCAAGTCCACAAACCTGGTTGAGTTCCAAATTCTTTCCAGAAACGCTCGAAAAACAGGAAGTGGTCAAAAAATATTTTAAGTCCACAAACCTGGTTGAGCTCTAGAGTCCCTCCAGAATTGCTCGAAAAACAGAAATGAGTAAAGAAAATATTCTAAGTTCACAAGATCAAGACAAGTTCTCAAAATTTCAGAATTAGTCGAAAAGAGAAGTCAAAGAGAAATTATTCTAAGGCCATAACACTAAATGAGCCTCTTAGAATTCTACCAGAAATACTCGAAAGATAAAAAAATAAAAGTCTTGATAGGTCAAGTCATTGCAAAATCCAAAAGTGGTTACTAGCAGTCATCAACATTCACCACTACGCAAAGGAGATCGTGAGCGATAGCAGTTATGAAAGAAGCCTCAACCAACAGCACGATCACAAACAATCGTGGATAATGAGCATCAACAATTAAAAATAGTTACTAAGAAGTGCCTGCAAAAGAAGGAGAATGGTGGTGATTTTCCTATCTATAAATACTCCAAAGCGCCATTTTACAAATAACGACTTTTTGCATCCAGACACCGCACTTAATTTATTCTAAAACGCTGAAACCCTGCACCGCACTAGACACCAGCTACAAGGAGACCCACGGTGGCCACTGTTCACCGTTGTGAGGAGTCGTACTTAGCACTTTCCAACATATTTATATTCTTGCACATTTACCCTTCCGCATTTTAATTCCAGTTTGTTGTTTATTTCCTTTCTGTAATTTAGTTTCTTACTTAGCACTTTCCGCAAAGAACCTCTACATTGTGATTCAGTTTACACTTTTTATATTCACTATTCTGGCTAAACGACATCTGTTTTACTGTTAAACAACATACTTAAAAGAACTCAAAGAGGACCTAATCTAATCCCCAGATTGCTCTTGAATTATTTGTTTACAAATTGTCATTTTTCACCGTAAAGAAAGAGACCCTTTCATTTTGATCATAAAAGTTCATAAACTTCACACAAGCACTCTGACCTACAAATAAAGACAGAAAGAAAACTCATACCAAACGTTTGAATTTGGCAATTTCAAAGCATTTATGACTTCAAAGGGGTTGAAAGTGTCCCAATGGTTGGATATTCTTTGAATACCAAGTTTCACCCAATTCTATAAACATCAAATTTAACTTGTGTCTAACTAGCTGTATGCATGATTTTTCTTTTTTTCACTTTTAACCAGCCTCAAAACACAATGAATGCTACTACCAACGTTTTATGCTAGTTCTTATGCTCTAGTGAGAATATTATATCTTTTCGTCTTGATCATAAAAATTCATAAAATTCATGCACTTGTGCGACTTGATAATCATGATAGAAGGAAAATTTATGCTACATGATTCAATTTGGCAATTTTAACGCATTACTGACCTAAATGTATCAAAACTGTCCGAATAGAAAGATATTTTATGGATACCAAATTTCACCAAAAATTTAAAAACGTCAAATTTAACTTGTGCCCGTGTACATATTTTTTAATAAAGCTTGAAAGCATCAAAATACAAGACGAGATGAAACTATTATACTTGAATATTATTCTTTTGATAATTTTATCATAATTTCTAATATTTTGATTCATTCATCAATATTTTATTTAATTAATTATATTTTATTTTATATTTTAATATGAATAATGTTAATAATAATTTGTTTACTTATATTTAAAATAATTTGATAATAAATTGTTAAAAAATCAATTTTATTTAGTATTTTTTAAATAAAAAACATTCATTTATTACACGTAATTTAAATCATTCCATTATATGAAATTTTCCCAAACCTAAACTAATTAATATACATTATGCTAAGTAAATAAATCACTTATATATAAAGGCAAAATTTTACACCAATAGTCAAGCTTTGAGTCTTCTTAACTGTTAGATTTGATAATATTTGTGTGTGGGCGCTGTTGAATGAGATATCCATGTATGTGCCTTTGCTTTAGCATCCCCTGTTGCCCTTGCTTTTGTTATAGTCTCGGTGTTGGGTTTTCAATTGACTCCTCGCGTGGAGCTTCCCCAACTCAAAAACAGCACATTGGCCATTCAGGAAAGTGAGGGAAAAATAAATAATAATAGTAATAAAGAAAGAAAGAGAAACACATGCCCAACACAACTAGCTATAATGATTATATATGTATATATATATTAGGGACAACACACAACTCAAGCATACAGAAGCCCATAACCAAAGAGAGAGAGAGAGCGGGGCACCCACGCAGGGAACACAACTGAAGAAAAGAAGCAGGGGGTAAACAAAGAGAAACGAAACCCAGAATCTAGAGGAAAAGAGAGCAAAAAACTGTTATAGCATATGAATAGCATACCATAACAACAACATAGAAACACAGAAAGAGAAAGTACTTCCCCAAAACCATATATTATATATACATATACATAGTTTTGTGTATATCTAAGATTGTTGTTCTCTCTTTTTTGTATTATATTCATCTGAGAGAGATCTTGTCCTTCTACAATGTCTACCTTGTAGCGGACTAGGTAAACTCTTGCAATAATTTTCACTTGGACTCACTTTCACCAATCGAAATTTCACTCTTTTTTTTTTTTTTTTTCTCGTTAACGCTTCGAATCAGAGTTTCTTTTCCCCTTTTGATCGATACCCATTATTGCTTAGGTAACAAAAAGTGTTTGATTATCTTTATTCCATTCAATTTTGCTGCATTGTGCACTTTTTTTATGTTTATTCAATAAAAGTTTTCAGAACTGGGATTAGGGTTTTCTGTCCTTGTGGGTATTTTACGGATATGTGGACTCAGCTTGTTTATGTTGTGTTTTTTCCCTCTAGGGTTTCATTGGATCATAATTGGGACACTTGCTGAATTTGGAAAATTCACGATTGATTAGGGTTTCAATCAGAGGGTGTCACTGAAGGGAAGACCGTGATTGTTCCTTCTCTGTGTGGGTATGCATGCAATGGACATCGGTTCTGACCTCTTAAGTGATTCAAATTGTGGATTTAGAACTGCTACAATGGTGGAGCATTTGCTCTTGGAGATTTCTTAGAATGGTGTTCAACATTGCTTCTTTGAGCATGGAAGAAGATTGTTTATATTGTCAGTAGAGATCAAGATTTGGAGAACCCTTTTTGGACACCGTACAAAACCCTTTTGGGTCTTCATTTTTGGTGTTTTCTTCTGTGTTTTTCGTCTTTGCCTGGGGATGATTTTGGTTTTGGGCTTGGACACAACGAGAAAGCTAATGATTCTTTGTTGGCTCTCAAGAAAACAAAGAGTATCTGATTTTAGTGGTCCATTTTCGTTTCTGAAGCAGCCCTTTGAATTGACATAGTTACTCTGAGCTTAATACTGTATCATAGTGCTCGTAAACATATACTGATTGGGATTATTGTTGAATCATTTTTTGACTATAAGTAGTTAGACTGAGAGGTTGCTGTCCTGTGCATTAATTTTGAATCAATTTTCCAGTGATATCGTTTGAATATTTTAGTGAAGAGTTGTAAACACCGGTGGTTTCCACTTTCCACAATTTGTGTTTGTTATTGGAAGAGGCTTATGGAGAAATATTAAAATTGGAAATGAATGAGGTGACATGGTGCATGGACAAGAGCATAGTTGTTGGTTTGTTCCCTTTTTGGAACAGTGCTACTGGAAACTGATTGAAGCACTCTCAATTTTAGAAGGATTTTACACTAGGCATATCTGGATTTTGTGCAATGTCGCGCTGTTTTCCATTTCTACCACCAGCATATGAAAAGAAGGCTAGAGTGGATGAAGTGAACTTGTTAAAAAAGGTTAATATACTCTGTCTATATTCTGTTTGTACATATGACATAATGTTACTTGTGATGAGTTTCTAATGAATTGTACAATGTTTAATGTCCATCAATAAATTTCATTTTCTAAGTGGAATGCTAGAATGTTTCTCTAGAGTAAGTGCTTAATGCATTCTTATTCAATTTAATTGTGTATTTAGTTTTTCATCTGTTTCTTCTGAATAATGACACATTTAATTTGTTTGGAGTTCATTGTAAATTGCAAACTACAAACATTTTACATGGCCACTTTTGAAGTTCACATAATCAATAAAAGTACGAAAGATCTTGTTTGGTCAGCGTATAGGTGCAGTGGAAAATGATTAGAGGTTTATATGACTTTATCTTTTATGGCCTACATTGATCTGTAGGGCTTGTACAGTCTTCATTGATGGTTGGTTCATGTGATTTACAACTTTGCATAGGTGCACATCATATCAAATTTTGCCTTATCTGTCTTCTTATATGTTTACTAGAATCATGTTAGATTTTTCTTTTGTTGTGTCCAAAATTTTGATTTTTATACTATTGTGGTATGTAGTGCTGAAATATATAATTTTCAAGAGTATTGAACAGAGAATGTGTCATTGCTGGTGCAGATTGAAGGACATAATGATGATTTAAAGTTTATATGCTCTGCTTGTTATCACCAACTTATTGTCCTTCTACTACCTATACCTGATAATTTTATTTATTGTGTTGATCGTAAGCCATGAGAGTTCAGTTTTTAAGTGAATTTGATTTGTATTTTCATGTTAAGAGCATGAGTGTGCCATTTGCTTCAAAGCAATTTATAAAATTTTGCATGCCTGTCAAAGCAATCTATAATGTGTGATTTTGTTATAGATTTCTTCGCTTGTTTTGTAGGGGTGTGGATGTGGTTCTTCATAACATAGTCTGATTAGTATTGAATAAATAATCATCAGTAATCAATTTATTAATCCTCTTATTATATAATGAAGTTTGGACTTGATGATGTGCCTTCCATGTGGCAGCTTAGGTATTGAAGCAAAATTTATTATTGGTATTGCTCATATACATTTGGGTTATGAGCAGTATTACTGATATACGTTTGGGTTACTAGGACCTTAAGTACAGATAGCCTGGTATAAGCAGTCTTACTGATATAACTATTTGTTCTTTTATGAGCACAAAAATTAACTTTTAAGTGTTAAACATTCAGCATACAGGAGGTCGTGACTGCATTTGGTTGCAACCTGTTCCTTATTTAAATGAATAAATTGTGATAGTTTCATTTAGTTTCTCCTTTTAATCTGCTTTATAATGTATTTATTTTTAAACATTAACAGTAATTGCTAACATTCAGTTTGTCAAATCCACCATGAAGGAACTTGTAGAGCATAATAGTGTCAATGTTTTGAAAATAGAATTAGAGATTGAACCGGTGACACCTGATGTAGATCAATAAGCTTAGAGTAGTCCTTGTCCTTGTGATCAGAATACTCCTTTGAGTAGAACAACAAAGTTGGATTTAATTCCTCTGATGTGAGGTGTATAAAGTGAGAATGTAAGGGTGTATCAACCCTTATTTGAATTAAAGAATCTCATAAACTTAATCCATTTCATATCAAGGGTGGACGCACTCTTACTTTTTCACTATAGCTTCTTACTTTAGATGATTTAAATCCCATGAACTTAGAGTAGAGCAAGCTACTCTTCTAACTAGAATTTTAAATGTTCTATGAGGAAAAGGAAATTCCAATATTACAAATATGCTAAAGGTATAAATAACATAAGGCACCTAAAGGGTATTTATAACCCTAAGATATTAAAAATCGTAGATAAATTATAATTTATAACAAAATAAAAAATTATAAATAAATTTGAATCAAATATAAAATCCTAATGATATGCTTCTCCATTTTGCATCACCTCCACGTTGTGGTTTGATTAGTTAAACTGATTAAATTTGTGGTTCAATCTTGATTGAATAAGATAATGTTTGAACCAGAGACATAGCCGGTTCACTGTCAAACTGGTTCAACTGACCAGTCCATTTTATTTTTGAAGCATTTCATCCCATCACTTTGTCATGAGTGTTCAAAAACTAAATGGGGAGATTTAGTTTCACACAAGATGAAGATCCTAAAGTTTCATCTGTTTTGCATATAGGATACTTCTCTACAGGAAGGAGAATATCCTATGGGAGCTAAGTACAATAATATCTTTGGCATGGTAGTCAATATTGCGTACTGAACTCATCGAATCATGCGATTCTATGATCCTGAACCACCGTGCTGTGCTGGCTCACTAGCAATATTGGCGATTTGTAAGATCGTGTGGAATCACTTTGCAAGATCATAGAATCGGTAGGCATGCATGATTCTGCCATATCCGTTTAAACCTGTTTTTGTGTTTTGACTTCTAACCTGTTTTTTTGACCCAATTGCTTAATTGTATTCAATAGCGCGCAATAGTAGCAGTGTGTGGCAGAGCGGCCTTCGGCTGCCACAGATCTGCCATAGCAGAGTGTTTTGCCGTTGCGACTATCACAGCGGTATTCGCAGCCTTTCACAACGCAATGGCGCTGCTAGAGTAAAAATGCCAACTTTCCCTACCTACCCTCAAAACCAAGCAATTTTTTAGGGTTTCTAAGGGTATAAAAGACTTTTTACCGTTAAAAATAAGCTGAATTTTCCTTTTTGCCCTTAAATGATCCTGTTTTATGTTTTTTTAAGGGTAAAATAGTCTTACCAAATTTCAGAATACATCACATAACCCATTTTCTTTCTCCCCTTCTCTATTCTTCGCCCCCTTCTCTCATCTCAGTCTCTATTTTGAGGGTGGCTCCCTTCCCTCACCTATGTCTCTATTTTGCTTCACTCGTCTTCATATTTATACTGTTTTATATGCATACATACAATTTTGTAGGATCTTATGATCCTACGAATTACGATCTTTGACCCCTTTTTCGATCCCATTAGGCATCCTATTGTATTGGCATTGCTTCTTGTGACTGAGAAGATGAATGGGCTGTGGCTTTGTTGTTTGTCTTTGCCTTAACTTTTTGAGGCATAAAATGATCTAGGTTTCTTCTGTTCTGCATTTATCTTTAGTCAAGTATTAGAACATAGGAATGTGTTTTCCTTGGTATCTTTGAAAGCCTCCTGGTTGTTCCATCTATGGTTTATTATAACTGGGCATGTTTATCTTATTGCCGGAGTTTTGTATTGGAAATCTTTAATAAAGCATGTCAGTTGCATGTCTCCAAATACAGGTTGCATGTGAAAGATGACAATCTTGACATTATTTATGGCTGTTAACATCTAATGTCAGATGGCCAAAGCATGATACTTTTCTTTTCATTTTCAATACCAGACATAGAACTTGTTTTTAAAAATGTCAGCATATTTTAATCGTAATATGTACCAAAAGCCAAAAAGAAAGTCATGGATTGGAAAGTCCAGCTATAGCATCTAAGAATGAATCTGTTTCTGTTGGGCTTAAAGAATCTAATCATTGGAACTGCATACTTAATGAGGCTTCAAAGTAAGATATTGCAAAACTTATATTCTGACTTCAATGGAACTGTGTTCCCCCTTAGTTTGGTTTTAGTTTACTACAACATGCTTTCTGAAAATCTAGAATATTCCGTGTTGGACAATGAGAATTGAATGGAGTTTGATTTATTGTTATTGTGTGGTTTCTTCCCGTTAGGTATATGATCTGTGATGCGACAAGGACCATGTTTTTTTGCATGTTTTACCGCTGATATTACTCTCTCTCTCTGGTTGCAAAGCCATTGGTTGTTTCCTTATTTGATTATTGTTTGATATCTCTTCTCATTGTATGGTTTGCAGGAAAAGCAGAAAGGAAAAAAACATAAGAAAGATAAGAGGGAAAGCAAGGAAAAGAAAGAGAAAGAAGGAAGGGATGGAAAGAATAAGGAAAAGAAGGACAAAAGGGACAAAAAGGAAAAACACAGAGAAAAGAAAAAAGACAAGGACAAGAGCAGAGGTAGAGATAAAAGTAAAATTGGTACAGCGGATGACAAAGGATTTCCAGTACAAGCTGAGGGTCCCAATGCAGGCAAACTTCATCAAAAGGAAATTAAGCAAAGCGATAAGGGTATCTTGTTTGAGAACAAACCTGCCAAACAGTATACCAGTAACAATGGAGAGAAGGCAAGAGAGAATAATCATCTGGCAGAGGAGAACAAGGATAGGAAATTCCTGCTGGAGTTGGACAGGAGGATTAGGGATGTTAATGGAGGAGCTGGCAACCAATTGGTTCAGAAGTTTACAAATACAGACTGTAGAAAGGATGAGGGGACTGTTAGGGTGGTGGCTAAAGGTTGTGGCACCTGGCCTGACAGAAATGAAAAACTCATGGATAAGGGTCTTCATGGTAAGAAGATTAATGGTAGAGGAATGTGGGCTGAAGTCCCTCCTCTTGGAAATGCAACGGTTCAGAATCATGCTGGAAAGTTTCATCCTAGCATTGATGGAATGCCAAAACTTTTGGGGAAGTATTTTAACAAAAACTTGGAAGCAACAATTGAAGGGGAAGAAAAGGCTAAGGGAAAGACGGAAGAAGGAAAAGAAATGGCTAAGGAAAAGAAAGATGAAGGAGAAGGACAGGTTAAGGAAAAAAAAGGTGAACGAAAGGAAAAGAAGGAAGACAAACGGGGAGACAAAAGGAAAGATAAAGAGAAGGAGAAGAAAGGGCATGGGAAGGACAAAGACGGGGATAAAGAGAAGAAGGAAAACAAAGCTAAGGAGCAGCATGAACTTGAGCCCACAGAGCATAATAAATTATACGGAAGTGACATAATTGGACCTATAGATTCAAATTCTTTCACACAGGTTTCCAGGAACAACCATGAGATTGCTATTAATGGGAAAATTATCAAGAAACGGAAGGACATTGAGTCAAATGGAGTTCCATATGGTGAGTGTTATTTGTGAGTAGTCTTGTTCTCGTTGCTACTTGGTGATCCTGTTAAGTTGTATCTTTAAATACAAATAAGATGTTTCTGTTATTGGGTTTGGACTTTGGAGTAGTATATTGCTGACCTAATAAGCTAAATACTGGATACTTCATCCGGTGAGATAATGGTGGGTTTCCCATGTCACAGGCTTATATTGATATTTTATTTGTTAGTAACTTCTCAGTTGCATTGATCAGTTTTCTCTAGTTTGTGCACATTATTTTGCTGTTGGCTGACAAGTTATATTAAGTAATTTTCAAATTTTCTTACAGCTGATGACATGCGGCCCAGTAAGTTTCCAAGATTGTTTTCATCACTTCCACTCACTGAAAATGGAAGGGTATTGGAACCTTGCCAAATTTCCATTACAAATGCTTCAGATACGTCAGGAGTAGCCACCAGTGTTAAGATAGAAAATGAGGAATGCAAGATAAATGGCATCATTGAAGCTCAACCTTCTGCATTTTCTTCAAACAAGACTCACAGTGCTACTGTGCCTGCTGATCCGATAACTGAAACATCCGCAAAGCCACCCCATCCAGATAACAAGTACCTAAGCCAGGTATATTCAGTACCAAAGGTGGAGCAGTGGTCTGTTTTGGATGATCAAGAATGGTTATTTGGCAGAAGTGTTTCACAAGATAGAAAACTTGCGGAATCTTCAGAGCATGGGGAGACACTGCAGGTATGGGCAGAAGCTCTGCACATAGAGCCAGCAGATGTTTTTGCCCTGCCATATGTGATTCCATACTGATTGATTATTTAATCATCACACGATACTTCAATTATATCTGCACAAGGAACCCTCCTTTGTCACCTTGCTCACATCAGGAACTGCAACACTTGGGGGCTAGAGAATGATTCCAAATTTCTTGATGCATTCTTTTGTTACTTTCACTCTTGGAACGAGTAATGAGTGACTGATAGCCTCGATCGTCAACTGTTTGTATGGGTGGTGACTGGTGTTGGACTTATTTTTTGCTGCAGGCCAGGTTGGGGGTGCCACTTCACATCTAGTGCTTCATTTCATTGTAATTCATTTAGACAGAAAATACTTTTGTACACAGGTTGTGGAGAAGGGTAGAGGCAGAGACTTGTGCAACTTGTTTATTCTATTTTTGCTGGGAGCTCAGCAAGCAGCTCCTTCTAATTGAGAATGATAAAATGTAAGTGAAACTATATGTGGTCTTTGCAACTCCACCACAATTTTGATTTGTAACATAGGACCCTTGTTTACAAGAATATGTATAATAGAGAAGAAAAAAAAAAGTTTATCGGATTCTTTTTTTCTGGTTTCCTTTGGTTATTTTATCATTTTGCACTCTTGTAATGATGAAGGTCGAATTGATTCAAGGGATACTGCAATTAATTTTAAACATAAAAAATATTTTTATTGAAAATTTATTATATAATAAATATTCTTTAAGTAAATCATATTATTACTTTTGTTTAATATTAATGTTAAAGGTTGATACTAATACTGAAAAATATGGGCAAGTTACAGTGCATATAGGTAATATTATTGTTCCTGTGAGTCTGTCTAAAGAGAAGAAGAATTTTTTTTTTAATTTTTTTTTATATAAAAGTTTAAAGATACAAGTTTATTAATTTTTAGAGTTGATTTTCAACATAAAATTATGCGAGTTTATATTAATATTTTTTTTAGAAAAATATGGGCAAGTTAGATTGCATATATTATTATTGATCTTGTGTTTCTATCTAGAGAAAGAAGAAGAAAATATTTATTTATCTATATAAAAGTTCAAAATAATATAATTTTTTATTAATATAATTTTTTTTATTGATTTTGTTTTTATATTAACAATGTTAATACTCTTCATTAATGCTAATAATGAAATTAATTAGTTAATCATATTTCTCAACCCAGTTTTCATAACCGCACGACATCAACTCCAAGGTAGTTCCTCACTCAAATTCATTGATATCATTATCACAGTTTATCCTATTTATTAGTATAGTATTTACTCACAAGCATCTGATACAAGCAATGACAATAATTAATAAGCCAATGTTGTCGACTATATTGTCAAAGTTATCTTCATTATTGACATTGTCACTGCAATTATCTTAATTATTTGTCATATATGAATTAAATTATTTTAATTTTGTGAATTTGAATGCATTCAGTACAAATTACACGAATAACAAATCATTTTTTGTATTTTGATATATATAAAAATGTGATGTATATAACAATGTCTTACCAAATTATATATTTACATAAATAATCTTATATATATATATATATATAACATGTAACATAATAACTTAAAATACTTTGTATAATGCATAAACTCCTAACTAATTTATTACATACAAAATTTGAACTCAACCGATTCTCTCTTTAGACTAAACTAGGCAGGAATGTTATGCGCACAAAGATATTGATTTTATCTTGAGCGCACTATACAAAATTAAGAGTAGATGTCAACTATTAATCAACAGAAAAATACCAAATTTAAGACTTTTATTGTGGCATACAAATTTAATTTGATTAACACAGATTTACCAACATAGCTTGGAATGTACCATCTTCAATCCAACTACTTTGCTTGACATTATTCACTTCTATCAATGGGTTGTTGACATCTATTTAAGATGAAGGTAGATGATGATGATGATGATGAAAGCGAAGCCTGTTCAGTTTGATACTTGTATCAATGGGGACCAATGGAAATATCTCTGGCCTCAAAGAGCTTTGATATTTTGTTGGATGAAGAAGATAGTATTAATTTGTAAGAATGAGGACGTTCAAATTCTTGAATTAGCAAGGTTTTCATTATAAGCAATACTTCATTATTTACATTAGAATAATTCCTCCAAATTTCACATAGCTAATGTGTTTTGCTGAACACACAATAAAATATTAATAAATAATATTTTTACATATTAATATATTTCAATTAGTTTCTTTAACTTTGTAATATTTATAAATTAGTTAAACTTGTTCCTATATTTTTGTGAATCTATTACGAAAGTAATGAAAAAATTGTCCTTAATAATATGAAATTTATATCCATGATATAAATCTTTCATTAAATGATATAGTTATGGAATTGTATTTTCACTTAAGCAATTTTTTTTGTTTAAACAAATCAATTTTATCCAAACTGTTTTTTATAATCCATTTTTGCCTAAGCGGACTTCAACTTCGTTTAAGCAAATTTAAGGTTTTCAAAATTTTCTCTTTTCATAGTAAGTTATGTGGTAAAATGAAGTGTGTAGACATAACTCTCCAATTTATGCTCAAACTGCATGGGATTTTAGTTTACACTAATCACAAGTTAATTTAAAAGAATGATAATTTAATGTAAACAACTTTAATAACACATCAAATTCTTATTGAGGGAAAAGGACAGGAACATAAAATAGATAGAAGCTTTATCCATTTAATTTAATTTTAAAAAACATTTTTTTATAACTATTTAAGAAATTTTTTAAAATAAATGATTTTTTATTAAAAAAACTTTTTTCTAAACTTGTATTAAATTTTCATCATATATCTTATATCAATTTTAACCGATACTCACGTACAATTATAGATCTGTTAACAATAATTTATTATTTCTTATGGTAGCACAACAATACCATAACATTACACTATAATCTTTTAGAAAAGATCACAACTTTTTATGAAGAAATAGACATTACCAATATCTAACTTACCCTTGTATAATATTGATTGTATCAATTTATTCTTGACTTGAACTTGCCATAAGCTAAAATTGATTCTTTTATTAAATTTTTCTACATCACACTTCTCAACTTTTGAAAAAATTGACATTGTATTTTTTATGCATCATGTAAACCATGTATCAAAATTATATTCTTATGTGAAAGACCAAATAATATTGCAACAACCATTCTTACTAAACCAAAGGCTTTGATATTTGGAGAAAATAAACATGATTCTTAGGACATAATTTTTTAGAACAAAAAAACTAATTAAATGCCCCTTAATCATAAAAAAATTATTATTTTTGAATACTTAAACTCAATCTTAAAAATTAAGATTAATATTTTTTTTATACTTTAAAAAAAGCGAAGCAATAATAAAAGCTTCTCATCTTAAAAAAAAAATTCATAAATACCATATTCATTTACATAAGAAAAAAAATATAATTTTTAAAAAAGCACATGAAAGGATAGTTATTAAAATACTTCTTTAAAAAATTTACTCAAAATTTATTTTATTATAAAAATTATTATTTAGTAATAATTTAAATATAAATTAATTTTATTATTGAAATTTTTAAACAAAAATTAAAATGTTAATATTAATACTTTAATTTTATACTAATAATATAATGCATATTAAGTGATGAAGATATTTTTTAAGTAAAAGTGAAAGAAATAAGTATTAAGAGAATGTTTGGTTTCTATTTTTTAATTTTAATTATTTATGTATAATTATATGATTTATTTTTTTTTTTACTTTCTTGCTTTTCCTACAGTATTTTACTAAATCCTAATATATTATTTTATGAATATAATAATGTTAGTATATTTCAAATTCTTTAGTAATAATTTAATTTATGTTAGACAAAATCTATATTAACAAATGTCATCTTACACTTGATAAATTATGTGTATTAAGGAATAATAATTTTTTAATGGTTAAACACTTAATATATGTATATTGTTTTACATATGAGTAAAATTTATATGCTTATTTTAATAATGTTATTTATCAATTATAATTTTATTTTAATAAAAAATGTATTCCATATTATCTTATATTATCATAATAATTTTTTTTTTTAATAAATAGCACCAGCGACAACTAAAATACTTTTACTAATACTAGTATTTTTTTTTTCTTTATATATCTACTCACTTTAAAACACTCAGACTTAGGTAGATGATTTCAGTTTTTCTTTCCTCTATAAATTGGTCAATGTCACAACTCACCAAAAAGGCAGCTAGTATATTAATTGCCATGTGATGATGTGTGGACAATTACTTACTTAGCTGTACTGTGCCATTTCATCACATTATTGGCAAATGTGCCACAATTTAAAGGGGAATGATCGTAAAAGAGATTTTCAGGTACAACGTTATCTGCATAATATCCAACCTACTCTTTATAATATATCTTTTATTATTAGATTAATGTTTCTTTTACGTATATTTTAAATTTTTAATAAATTTTAACTAGTAATATTTTCTTTCTATATTCTGTATTCTGTCTTCAAGAGTATTAGCAGTCTAACAGGAAAATACTTTTCTTATTTATGAAAATTGACAAATTCTAATGTCTCATTAAGCACCCTAATTGAATTATTGGTGGTGAAGTATGTTGCAGAAAGGTTGGCAAGAGTTGGTTTACTGAGCAAGGAACATTCCATGTAAGGCACCTTTCCTGGTAAAAAAGATTTGGTCGTAGTTGTTTTTTAATGGAAAATATGTTGTTTGATACTTTAAATACGAAATGAGAGTCTCTAACCGTTTATTTTGTACGAACCAATGGCAATGAAACGCACAATAAGTTTCCATTAAATCTCCAACCAGGCATGCAGGGTCCCTTCATTTCACACCACTCCATCGCTCTCTCTATATATGCTTCAAGGCAAACTCCATCTTTGGTACACCCACCAAAGCCTCTTTCCCATTACCATCTTGCTTTGAATTTGCAGGGTCAAACCAACATGGTTTTGGCAAAAGAGGATGAGAGTTTGGTGTATGATGTGAGGCTATCCTCAGTTGGCCCTGGACGCTCCACCGGCTCGGATGTTTTCCACAACCCGGGTGGCATCGACTTGGCCATGAAACTTCACTACCTCAGAGTCGTTTACTTTTTCGATAGTGAGGCTGCTCAAGGCCTTACCATCATGAAAATAAAAGAGCAAATGTTCCCTTGGTTCAACCATTACTTCATCACTTGTGGCCGATTCCGGCGATCGGAACCTGGCCGGCCCTTCATCAAGTGCAATGATTGTGGATCCAGGTTCATTGAGGCTAAGTGCGACAAAACCATCCTTGAGTGGCTTGCAATCAAAGATTGGCCTTCCTACAAGTTGCTCGTTTCTCACCAAGTCATTGGCCCTGAACTATCTTTTTCTCCTCCTGTTTTGTTGCAGGTGCTTAGTTCCTCATCATCAACTGCATGCTTTCAAAAATATTCATATTATATTCATTTTTAAGTATCTAATAGTATACAGATTTTACAAAAACTGTTATCTGAATCACAGCCATAATCATAAATCATAAAAGGATTTTAATTTGTTTAATTATACTATTTAATTTTATATTTATTTTTCATTCTCTTCTTTATACCTCTATCTTAGCCTTTTTAATTTTTTTATTATATTTTTTGCATAATTTGATTTAAAAGTTGATTTAAAGTTAAATAATTCTTTCTCAAGTATCTCACTTATTAACATGTTTGGATTTCGGTTTACAGAACAGACTTTGGATGAGTTGAAGTTTTCCAATTCTTACCAAACAGACTTTGATATTAAAATTCCGTTTATAGCTAGATACCTAAAAAATTAGTGATTTGATCAAACATATTAAAAAAAATTAATTAAAATATAAAACACTCTTGATTTATAATAGTGGATAATTATATAATTAATTAAGAGATTATAATATAACAGTTTTCGTAAGATCATATTCATAAAATATACTAAATTGAAAATATTGTAAGAATAAGAAAATTTAAACTAAAAAAAGAAAATAAAAATAAAAATTCAAAAAATACTACAAGAGCAAAAAAAAAAAAAGTATGCTGTATTACTTTAATATGTTATGACTTAGAAGATTATCTACTTCCTTTGCCATGAAGATATCACTGACAGAATGGTAATCAATGCATCAATACAATGACTAGCTGGGAATTAGCCCTACTACACTGGAGAGTAAAGTTGAAAAACGTTTGACTGATTCTTAATGAACTAGCTTGACTAGATGTTATTTTATTAAAAAAGTAATATATTGATACTTAATTTTTAGATGTTAAATGAATGAAAGATGAAAAGAAAGAGAGAAAAATATATGATGGATGAAGTGATAAAAAAAAATATATAAAAATGAATACAAAAATATAAGAAATAATTTTATATTAAAGTGAGAATTAATATGTAATTCCTTTTTAACATAAAAAAAAATTAAGTATTTATATTTTTAATAAAGGTGTACGAAAATATATATAATTTAAAATTATTCTCCATTTTTTATGAACGATTTAAAATTTAAAGTGGCGACCTCTGCAGGATGTAGAATAGTACAAAAAAGAGTGCAAAAGGACCCCTACCCATCTTTTTCTTGTCCCGGTTGAAATAGTCTGAGTAGTTAATACACACCCTATCTTCATTCATTATCCTTAATTCACTTACAAAGTGGTATGGTAAGGTGGACCATTTTTCTCACAAGAGATAGGGTAGATCCTCACATGATCCCTTTTAGTGTTACTTTCGCTGCCATTAATGCTTGTCAGAGAGATAACTCCAGTTTTTCATTCAACTTTTACACCGTTGAATATATTTTAAACTTATCATAGACACTTTTACTACTCTATAAATTTCATTTCTATGAATGTGCAGGTGACACAATTTAAGTGCGGTGGAATTTCATTGGGTCTTAGCTGGGCTCATGTTTTGGGGGACCCACTTTCAGCGTCAGAATTCATCAACTTGTGGGGCCATGCAATGAATAATTTAAGCCTGAAAAAGCCGTTTAACATCCCAAGATCCGTTCCAGAACCCCGACAACCCGGACCCGATAAGGATCCAGTTTCAGCAAAACGGATAGACCCGGTGGGTGATCATTGGATCCCACCCAACAACAAAAAAATGGAGACATTTTCCTTCCACATAACCAGCTCCCAGATGAACTACTTGCAAGTACAGATTTGGGGTCCAACTGTTGACCAACAGCCTCCTTTTGAATCCCTGTGTGCGATTATTTGGCGTTGCCTGGCCCGGGTTCGGGTAGGATCCGAATCCAAAAGCGTAACCGTTTGTAGAACGGACCCGTATAATAGGGGTAATGATATCATTGGCAATAACCAAGCGATATGCAAGGTTGAGGCTGGAAGTGAATGTTCTATTGTTGACACTGATCTGAGAGTTTTGGCAACCATGCTCGCGGATCAAGGTGTGGATGAGACGAAGCAAATTGAGGAAGCAGTTGAAAAAGATCAAGGGGTGACTGATTTCTTTGTCTATGGTGCCAATTTGACATTTCTGGACTTGGAAGAAACCAATGTTTATGACTTGCGGTTGAAAGGACACAAACCATCATTTGTTTATTACACCCTTCAAGGGGTTGGAGATGAAGGCCTTGTTTTGGTTTTGCCATGCCCAAAAGGTTCTATCAAGAATAACGGTGTTGATGGCAAGTTTGTGACCATGATTTTACCTGAAGATGACATGGTGAAGCTTAAATCTGAGCTCAAGATGGATGGTATTTTGCTTCATGGTAATCAGTAATGAGATTAGATTATTAAGTATGTGTCAAAAGAATAAGTTTCCTTTTATTTGGTATGTTTGCGAGCAGGGAAAGAGTGTAGTTTGTAGTCCCCTTTTTAAGGCCATGGATTTGGGGAGCCCTTTAAGCATTCGTGTGGCATGATCTACTCGTTCTCTATGAGTTGTTATTAAATAAATTATTTTATTGCGAAAATTAGTTGTAGTAAATTATGAGAGTAGTTTATGTTTTTAATTTACTCTTTAATTACGAGGAAAATGATATATGCATGGCATTTCTGCAAATAACAAATCATTGATTGTGCTTCATTGATTGTGTTTTTGTTAAAAATCAAAATAAAGAATAATTTCCCAACTAAGAAAAAGTAATTGCAACGGAGTATATATTATAAAAAATACAAATATAAAAAGAGTATAAAACATAAGAGCTATATATAAAGTAATAGAGTGTGGATATTCATTGTTTTTTCTCCTGTCTGTCTTCACTCTTGTGCACGCTGCCTAGGAACTATCCTCAGTAGCATAACTTTCCTTGCCTCAGAAACTGGAGACGATGATTTTAGTATTCAACAAGAGTTAACGTTTGTCAATGATTTGGGGGGACAATGGGTGGGGTATAGGGGTGGACTTAATTGGCAGTGTTATTAACCACTCTGCATGCAAATAGGGTATGTGTGGTGCCCCGTGTTCTCTTATCTTCCTTGTGTCAATATCATGATTGGACGATAACCTAAAACAGAAATCACACACCAATCTTTCAGACAAAAACAATGCTAAATATATATAGTCCATGATTACTCCGGTTAACTAAATTCGTATTGTCCTATGTCAATTGAGTTTAAACCACGTGTCACATTCTGGACCTCCTCACAATATTAAATTAAACTACTTTGTGGACTCTCTTTTAAGTATTCATTTTCTAATTTATTGTGAGTAGATGTATTTAATGTTAAGGATAATTATATACAAGAAAAAGATGTGAACTTAAATCTATTGTTTGGAATAATTAATTTTATTAATTATATTCATCATAGTTGTATATATTGTATATGATGAGTAGTTGTATATATTAATATTTTATTAAAATTATAGCATTTAATAGTAATACATTGAATTGTATTAATTTTCATAATTTTTTCAAAAAAATTATTATATACAATTTTACACAAATTAATAAAATCATTGTTGATAAATTAATAATCAGCAAATATTTAATTACCTTTTGAACACCATTGCTAAACATGCTAAGATATGTTATATTTATTTTTAATCAAACCATTTTTTTTATCGAGTCATTTCTTTAAACCTGAATCTAATATTGGATTTGAAGAGATCAAACAATATATAAATCAAATTAAGTCTTGAAATTAACTAGAACATTGGATTCCAAACAAGTCTAGGTTTAGATTGACTCTAAAATAGTAACAAATTCCTTACTAAACCACTTAATCGGTATCCACCAAGGAAGACCTATTATCAACAGGACTCGTAGCTTCATGCAAATGAGTTGAGAATCAATGTGATACACATAAATAAAGAGACTAATAAATGCATTATTAGAAGAAGAAAAAATGAAAGAAAATATAACTTTGTAGATAAAATGCAATGCACGTAAAGACAAGAAAAGCGAATTGCGTACTCGGCTACTCTTGACTGAGGGGGAATGCTTTGGTTCTAAATATAAAATTAAAGTCAACTTGAAGAAAGAGTTGACCCTATGGACACTATTGAGGATTGAAATTGGAGGTATGACTACAATTATTTTTTCAACACTCACTCTGAATACCGTTATATCGGTATCCTAACAAGTTGCATAATTAAAATCTTTATTAAAAAAATGTTACCAAATACTTAGGTCTTGGTAAAATTAATCAAGTTGTACAGCAACTTAAGCTATCTGCCAGTAAATGCAATTAGTGAGAAACAAAAAAGATTAACTTTTAACTAAAATCTAAAACAAATCAAAGATAGGTTTATTTGTTTTGTCAATATTGCCTCTATTGTTAAAATCAATGTTGGTCCTCTAGGTCTATTGTGTCTTATTTATGGTTAATTATTTGCTAATTTTGTCAGTTTTGTCCTTTCTTAATACAATGGTCCTCACTCTTGTTTGCTACTTAATTTGTTAATATGTCATCTTTTCTTCATTTATTGATGTACAATATTAGTGTGATGTTACATCACAACAGAATAATTAGGTGTATAATAAATTAAAATTGACTAAATAATTGTCACATGTTAGTTCAAACGAATTGTATATTTTCTAAATCTTCCTAAGTAACAGAAGCCTTTGGATTTCATTTGAGCACATTCATTTTTGTTTCCCTATGCTTTTGCATGCCCACTGATGTAGTATTTATTCTTGATTACATTATAATTATTTTAGTTTCTGATGTAAGACATGCTTTTAGGACCTATTTATTTAATTATTTTAGAATATAATTTTAAAAAATATAAAAGAGATTTAAAAAAAAAACTTTTGTGATATGTAATATTTTTTTTAATTATAAAATTACTTTTCATTCTATAAGGTACTTATAATTTACAGTATTTTATGAAGTTACTTAAAATAACTTCTCATAAATATATATGTTAACATCATGATAATAAATAATTAAAATTAAAAATCGTAATTAAAATACATATGAATAACAATGACCACCCACACCCACTGTCTAAATGATGTATCACAAAAATAAAAAAATAAAATGAAACAAATTGAGTTGTGAAATTGATTGAGGTAAGCAGGTTCCTGTATTATTAAGTAGGATGGGTTCAGTATGAACATTCCTCACCCAGTTGATAACAGATTTTAAGATTTTATTCCGACTGAAATTGAACTAAACTCAATAAATGTTTATCTCGTAACATTTTAATGTTTATCTGACAGTGTAAATTTCTTCACAAGGTTTTTAATCCAGTTAAACTTATTTATTTTTGCATTTCTTAACTTAAAATATATATTTGGTTCACATATTTATAAATTTTTTTATATTTAAAAATTTATATTTTTTTACATTATCATGACACAAAGATTCAAAACTTAATAAAATATTAACACAGAAACTAAAATACAAGTTATTTAAATGTAAATAAATTTAAAAGGACTCAATCAACAATTAATAAAACTAAAATTTGAAATATAACTCTCACAAAATATGCTTATTATGCATGATATTATCCAACGTTTGGATAGGAGTTTAAATTCTAAGTTTTCAAAATAAAATAAAATAATAAATACAAAATTATAAAAATGAATAAACTCACTAATTGATCTTTTGCTTTTAAAAATTATTATGTTTGCCCTTCGTATATTAGACAGTGAAGATGAGTCTTACTAATTGTTACTAAGAATTTAAGATCCTTGAGTCAAGATGAGTTAAGTTATAAGACATTATTTTGAGATGTTGCTTGGGTCAAGATCATCGATGACTGTAGCAGAATTGAAATAGCAAAATGGAATTTTTCACCTTAAATATATTTTTAATTCTTATACTTTTGCAAAAAAAAAAAATTCTACTTTCAAATTTTATTACTTAATTTTTCTTTTGTCTCTAATGATAATGTCACTAACTAAAAAGTTGTTAAATGTCAAGTTTTTTGTCACATGTCGATTTTTTGTCATAATATGTGTTTATTAATGGTCAAAAGTATTAAATTTAAAAATTAGAGATTAAAATAAAAAAAACTAAAAGATAAAAAATGATAGCTCTGATCATGATCCAAATACACGACAAAATAATTCAAGTGGACATATCCACCAATGGTTTGGCCACAATTTTTGGACTAGAGTTTGAACATAACACTTGCAATAATTGGACAATAGAAAGCCAGTTCAGATAGTTCTAACTGATGGGTGATAAAGAGTGGGGACTAAGCATAGATCATTTGCTCTTTTGACTAATAGGCCAAAAGACTCAGTCATGTCCAGTTCTTGAGGGTTTGCTCCATTTGGCAGCTTCCAGTCAAAATGGTAAAGCAAATTGGCAAGTGACAGTAAAATGTTACACATGGAAAATGCAATTCCAGGACATATTCTCCTTCCAGCGCCAAATGGGATGTATTCAAAGTGTGTGCCTTTAAAGTCAATTGAGTTATCAAGAAATCTCTCCGGTAAAAATCTCTCTGCTTCACTCCAATACTTTGGATCTCTTGCAATGGCCCAAGCATTGATAATGGTTTTGCTCTTTGCAGGTATTTCATATCCATTTATTACACATGACTCACTGTTTTCTCTTGGAAGCAATAATGCTTCAGGGGGATGTAGCCTCAGTGTTTCTTTTATCACTGAATTTAAGTATTGTAATTGTTGAAGGTCTGTTTCATCTACACACCCTTTGACATTAAAAACCTTTCTTACCTCACTTTGTGCCTTCTCCATGACCTTAGGATTTTTCATCAGTTCTGACATTGCCCATACTATAACTGCTGATGGTGCCCCAGTCCCACCAACAAACATGTCCTGAAATTAACCATCATTTTCATTTTCATTTTCAACGTTCATAATACTGCCATCAAAGATATATCATTCCCTGAATCCTAAACTTTAAACTCTAAATTCTAAATCCTAAATCCTAAATGCAGCACAGTCCAAAACAAGTTTTACTCGTTGTCTCATCCTACCAAGTTTAATTATAATTATTAGCTTTTTAAACAACAAATTTAAATAATATTTACATATATTTAAATTTTAAAAATTGCTAAAAAATGTCTTTTAGACGTTCGTTAAAGAATATAAAAAATAAAAATACATTTTACTTTCAGAATTTTTAATATATCATAATGTAATTTCTATTAAAAATTTACTATTTATTGACTCCTTAATTATCGTCGTAATTTATTTTTTAGACACTTTCTAATAATTTACATTAATTAACTAATGACTTGTTATCATATAATAGTTGACTTTATAGGTTTAAATGTAATTAGTAGAAAAAGTTAAAATATTTCATTTTAATATTTAACAAATTATAAAATATTAGAAGAGTTAATGAAAAGGTCATAAATTATATCCAAAATCCCAAATAAACTCGTTTTAACGTTCCATAAATCAACATCTTAATGAGTAAAAGTTATATATAACAATTAACTCTTTTAAACACCCCATAAATCATCGTCTTAATAAGTAAATTATATAAGCTATAGTTTACATACAGTGACGTGAGTCTGATCAATTTTGACATGAGAGAGAGACTTCCAAAAAAAATTCATATAAATGATAATTCACATCTATGAAGTGGTTATTCATTTTGATAAAGAAAAATAGGGAAAAAAATGAAGTTAATGTGTTGAGTCAAGGAGATCATCAACATTTTCCTAGTAATCCTTTGTTAGTATCTCTTGTTCGAATTAATGGGATAATAATAAAAATAATAATAATAATTCAAGTAAGGTATATTGTGTGGTACCTTTAACAAATTTTCAGATACCTTACCTAAAAAAATTTAAGTAACAATATTTAGATATATGTTTAAATAATAAATTTATTTAATAATAAATTATTATATTTGTTACATTTAAACAGAGAAACAGTTAAGTCTTTCAATAAAATTAGGATCCAATCAAAATTAAATAAATTAAAATTTTAAAATAAAATAATAATATTATATTAATATTTTTTTATATTCTTAATTTTATTATTATTAATATATTATATTATAATTCTTTTTATATATAATAAATAGAAATTATATTCTATTCAAAATTAAAAATATTTATATCATATTTAAATAATAAATTTATTTAATAATAAATTATTATATTTACTACATTTAAACAAACTGAAGAAGAATTAAGTTTTTTAATAAAAGCAAGACTTAATCAAAACTAAATAAAATAAAATTTAAAAATAAAATAATAATATTATATTAATATATTTTTTAGATTTTTTATTTTTTTATTATTAATATTTAATTATTTACTTATTATATTAATATATTATGTTATTATTTTTTATTTATAATAAATAGAAATTATTTAAATATAAATTATATTTTATTCAAAACTAAAAATTTATAAAAAATATATATATATATATATAATATATATATAAATATATATAACAATAAAATCATGTCCTAAATAATATAATAATATAATTTTAAATAAATTATATATAATAATATTTTTTTAACTTGCTATATATTTCTTTTTTATTAGTATAAATTTTTTGAGTAGGGTATTCATAAAAAAATTTAGAGTACTCCAGTATACATTAAATATTTATTATTTTTAAGCAAGAAAATAATAAATATTAATTATAAAAGTTTATTTAAATAGTTAAAATTAGAAAAAGATTGTGGATTAAATCTAAGAAAATTAATTTTTAAGGGATTAATTGTAAAAACCGTGACAACCTACCAAAAATATTTAAACATTTATTAAGATGAAAAAATAAGTAGTATATATATAACGAAATAAATATGCCAATAAGCAATTTATAAACATGATCCTTACCTTTTAGAATAAAATATATAAAAGGCACACGGGAGGTCAAAGAAAATTGCATACTGACCCAAACGATTGCTTTGATGTTGTTGAGAGATAAGGGAATTTGCAAGTCATCTTTCTTTTGGGTTTGAAGAAGAATATGAATAAAATCATTCACTATCCCACCAACTGCATTAGGTTCGTTGTGATCCTTCACCATGTTGTCCAAGATCTTATCTGTCTCTCTCTGAGCCCTTTCAAGTTTAGCTTTCATTCCTGTAAGTAGAGGAAGCACTTTGATTGAAGGGTAGAAGTCAGCAACGCAGAAACCTCCCAACAGCTTTAGCATTTGCCCCGTTGCTGATATGAAAGCCTCCTGTTCTTTGCACCTTTTACCATTGGCTGCCCTTGCAAGTAGAGCAATTGTCAGCGACTCAATTTCCTTAGTAAGGTTGATAACTGATCCTTCATTTGCATGAATATTTCTAACTAGTTTTGATACCTCCTCTTCTCTTATGTGCCTTAGTGATTGAACATGCTTTGTACTTAACAACTCTGAAATGCATATTTTCTTTAGTTCCCTCCAAAATCTTCCATGAGAAGAAAAGGCTATGTCACTGTCTGCATAAACACAGAACTTGGAAGCAAGAAGATTAGGCCTATTAGCAAAGATCACATCATGCGTTTTCATAATCTCTTTTGCAATGTCTGCTGAAGAGACTATGATATGTGGCTTCTCACCAAGTTGCAGGTGCATCAAGGGTCCATATTGGCTTGCCAAGTTTCTCAAAGTTCGATGGGGAAGTGACCCAACAAATTGGTGAATGTTGCCTAGAAATGGTAGTTTCCTTGGCCCATGAGGTAAGCCTTTGAGGGACTTCTTATTGGAATTTGATCGATTCGCAGTGTTGAACAGTGCAAGGAAAATGCAGGCAAAAGTGAACAAAAGAGAGCAAGGAATAATGAGAAATTCCATCATGAGAAATGAAATGCTGTGTGCGTTAATGGAAGCCCATTTCTGCATGCATTTAAATGAGTGGTGTGTGGTCAATATCATTTTCGATGCAGATGATTTTCGTGCCGCTGATGCAACACAATCCAAATAATTTCCGCGTTTTTTTTTTGAAAAACACGGGTTGACGCCAACCTTTAAAGTTTAAAGATTAGTTGAATCTGATTGAACAATGTTTATATAAAAACAAGACAGTGCTACCCCAGTGTCTTCAATCAACATTATTTTCATGCAAGTATTATTGCGTTGTCATTTTTTAATTGAATTAATCGTTAAATAATCATGTACAATTTAAATTATTGGAATAAATCGATACTTCTAATCGCTAATTAACTTAATTCTGTTTTCTTTTATATTTCAGTCTCAAAAAAATATAATTCTCTTTAATTACATATATACATTTACAAGTTAGTTTATCTATATCACACCCCACAATTATTTATATTTAAAATTAAATATAAATAAATTATATGTATTAAATATATGTACCACATAAGACACTACTTGATCTTACCTACAGAAAAAGGGAATCGAGTACTCCATTGGGTCAAGATAAGCCGAATACCTTCTAGGTCAAGTTTAAAGGTAATTAACCCAAGTAAGGATAATAATCAAATTAATATTTACTCTAATTAAAAGGCTAAAATCAGGGTTGACTCAGCAAGCCCATTAACTCATAATATTTCCTATAAAAAGAAAGTAAGAGGTACAGATAAAATGTTGACTTTTGAATATTTAATAGCATTTACTGCTTAGAACCGAGATCTAACTTCAGCATCGGAGTGCCTTTTGCAAATACCCTCCCCACGTCAGCAACGTACGGAAGGACGTCATCCTACCCAGGCAAAGATTAGTGTTTCTCTAATAGAAACATTGTGGCGCTCACCGTGGCTCAATTGCCTCAATTTTCCAGTCATCATGATACTAACAAGAAACCAACAAAATGGACAGATTTAGCATGAAGGAACCTCTCATCAGTAAGAAGATACTACACCCAACCAGCCGATCCCTGAGGTGCTAGTAGATAGGGGGAGTGGTGAAAGCCTCTTTGCAATATTGAGGCCACTCAGAGCAGAGATGATAGAAATGAAGAAGGAGAGGGAGAAAGACGCTCTTGAGCTTTCAGCTTTGAGAAAGGAAAATGTCAACCTAAGGGAAGAGATAAGAACGCACACACTTTCTCAAACTACACCCCTGGCCCAAGAACAAGGAGAGTCCTCAGCGTTACAAGAGAAGCCAAGAGTAGTCCAACAACTTGGAACCCAAATTGATCAAGATGATGTAGTAAGCCGAAGCTCGTTTGCTCATCATATCTTGGATGCCAAGCTACCTGACAACTGGAGAGGTCTAACAATAGAAAAGTATGATGGCACATCTGACCCCGGAGAACATTTGGATATTTTCACAACCCAGGTCGGTCTGTATACAGAAAATGATGCCTTATGGTGCATATCCAGACGAAGCGTACCATCCATATCCAAACGTGGATGAGGGGATTTCTATAAGAGGATGAGGGCTCGAGCAAGAAGCTCTCTAGGAAGAGACTTCAAGTATTCCAGGGCCGACACCTCTTTAGCCGACAACATGTCCTTGGGTAAAACGTCATACCGACCAGGTACCCAAGTCCAGTGAAAGGGGGAAAGTGGCTTGTCTTCACTACCAAAAAAGTATTTTTTTACCTATAGGGTGCACGGTTACCTTGAAGTAACCAATCTTAAAACCTTTAAAAGACGAAGCATAAGGTTTGAAAAGCGGCAGTTCGGGTTGCCTAATTAAAGATACCCATCTTGCTAGGACTGAAGGATGAGTACAAAAGAAATAAAGAAACAAACCTACATTAGGCTCTATGTAATGAAATTTACAAAGAATTCTAAAGGCTTGCAATATCGTCCACCCATTCGGATGAAGTTGTGTCGGAACTACATTTAAAACCCTCAATACTCCCATTTGGAAGTCGTCAAAAGGTAACTTTATACCTAATTCCCTAAATATGTACTCATATACAAAGAAGGTGTCGGCCATTCCAACAGCTCCTAAGAACACTAGGTCAGGATCGCTGGAGCCATCCCCTCGGCAAGTGTCAATCGTTATTGGATAGGGAGTAGAAGACACCCATAATGAAATATCGCAATGATCTACAAAAGATTGAAGGTCTCAATTCCTTTGAAAGCAGGAGAAGTAGGCGGTCACTTCCCCATGAACCCACTCATAGTTAGGAACCTTACAAGGAGGGAATATTGGTCTTTCCCTAGGGGGGTTGGCATTCGGTAACGATTTGCAAGATTCAGAGTCATCGGCAACACCCGACGGTTCGGCACCATCACTGTATTCCCTAACTATTAGTTCTACCTCATCCTCCACCCCACTCGGCCTTGAAGAAACCTCACCCTCTTCGGTTCCTCTAACACTGTGAACTTCAACAGTAGTCGGCCCCGATGAATCAGACAGTGAATTCTCCCACTCTAAGGATTCGGCCATTGCAGACTAAGGAAAAGTTAAATGACTAAGCGTACCTTGTTGTAGTAGTCAGAAAGAAGAAGAAAAACTTATAAAAGTGGTGTATACCACTAGGTCTAGAGCAATGGTATGCACCCTTCAGTTTAGAGCAAAAAAGGCGTAAACAGTGGCCTGGACCACCACGTATTTATAAAACCAGAGATGCTGGGCGTACGAAGGGTCACATCACTTCCTAACCATCAGATCTTTCTCAGATCTATGGACGTGATCAAGTACCCTTTCGTTTCAGAGGCACCCAAAATGAGAAAACCCTAACAAAAAATATCTCTGACACCCTAAAGTGGCTGACATCATCATATATATTTATTTTTTTAATATTGTATTTAAATCTAAGCTGAAGACGTATCTGGTTTGTGTCTCTTCGGCTTATTTATCTCTCTATTAAACTGAATACCTCTTCAGTTTTGCCTACCTTCTCATCACAACCAAATATCCCCTCGGCACTCTTATCTCTTGGCTTAAAACTGACTACCTCCTCGATCTACTTAACTCTCCATTACAACCGAGTACCCCCTCGGTCTAACACCTTAAATTTAATTTTAATTAAATAATAATTTCACAAATTTAAATAACCAATTTTTGTAAGATATTTCAAAATAAGAGAAGGGTTACAAATTAATATCAAATAACTGTTACAGGACTAGTTTAATTACAACATTTTTCAAAATAAAATCTAGGTGTTATAGCAGTTAATCCATCCTTTCACTGAGCCCGGTGCTGATCGTCTTGATTACCTGAAAAATATATATAAGGGTAAGTACTCTACACTACTTAGTACACAACAAGCATAGAGTCTCATCGTGCATATACTTTACACAAGATAAACATAAACAACATTTTCACACAATTCAATGCAATCCATCATTGATGCACTTATGGCACCAACAGTTATACACATTCACACGCTCATGGCACGCCGCCACGCTCACTGTGATCACAGATTTTCACTATGAATGGTCGTCGGTTACTCCCGCCTCACGGATACCACGTGGGCAGTCACGGGTCGCTTAGCAAAGATAATGGTCAGAGGTCTAGTCAGGAAGAGAGTGTGTGGCCTGTGGTGCACCCGTTCCACAGTCGGTGTCACCACCACTCCCTCTTCCCCAAGGTATTTCTACCGTCCTCATCTTCCACACCCCCAATGTATCGCTGAACCATTCATAGCATATTACAACGATGCTACACGCCCCATTCACATACATTTTATTCATACACGCAATATTCATGCTGGCACACGGCACACAGCCTATATTCAATTCATATTACATGGCACATAACCCACATTTTATCCACAATATACGGCACATAGCCTTCATTTATTCACGATAACATTAATTCACTAATCAATGGCATTCCATCACACACAATCACCCTTACGGGTCCAATTATTCTATCACATATCACATTGCATATCAATTTTCATCAAAGACACAATTTTTATCTTCAATCTTAGCCACATTGCATTAATCATCAAAACACACAAGAATCACAATACATTGAGATAGGATAGAGTCCCCCCCTTACCACGAATCAAAGACACACACACTAAATCTACCAAGAAGTGCTTCTCCTCACGGATTTCGTCCTAAATACATGGTGAAATTCCATGAGAACCCAGGGAAATCACGAAAATAGAGAAAAGGGATGAAAAATTGAAACCCTAATCATTAAAACTCTCCTCCAAGCGTTCTCCACACAAATTCAACCTTCAATCAAGCTCCTGAATGGCTTTGGAGGCAATTAATCGGTGAAATAAGACTTTGGGTTGAGAGGATTGAAGAAATTTAGGAGGAAATTTGAGAAATGAATCTCAAATCCCTAAACCCCTCTAATCGCGACACTCTCGCTGTAACGAGGCATCTCTCGCTGCAGCGACGCCCTCTATCGCCACAACGAAAATCTCAGATGAAACTGCACCCTGGTTTCTGCAAAATCTCGATACAGCGAGACCCTCTCGCTACAGCCAGACTGCACCCAAAAATGTACCACAAACTGTCACTCTGTCACTACAACGAGACATCTCTCACTACAACAAGAAGGCGACAATTTCGGTCCTTTCTCCCAGAGCTCTTTCACTACAGCGAGAATTCTCTCGTTGCAGTGAGGATAAACCAGTATTACACCCTTAACCTGTTTCTAGCATCAAAAAAATCTAATTCAATCAATCATACCCCCACGTATACATATACATACATATATTCATACTCATTACACACAAAACCACCATCATTACACTTTCAATGCAAATTTACAACATCTATTTACATTTATACGCACACACATATATATATATATATATATATATATATATATATATACTTATATAAATAATAATAATTAATATCACAAAAGTCGGGGCGTTACACTCGGTACCCCTTTTGTCTGCATACCATGGGTAAGTATATTATTAAAGCCCTTGCATCATACCTCTTCGGGCTTGGGGGGCTAGTGTACCGGATAAGACACTACTTGATCTTATCTACATAAAAAGGGAACTGAGCCCCTCGGTCAAGATAAGCTGAATACCCTCTCGGTCAGATTTAAAGGTAATTAATCCAATTAAGGGTAATAATCAAATTATTATTTACTCTAATTAAAGGGCCAAAACAAGGGCTGACTCAATAAGCCCATTAGCCCATAATATTTACTATAAAAAGAAGGTAAGAGTTATAGGTAAAAAGTTGACTTTTGAATATTTAATAGCATTTACTGCTCAGGACCGAGACCTAACTTTAGCATCGAAGTGTCTTTTGCAAGTATTCTCCCCACGTCAACAACGTATGAAAAGACGTCATCCTACCTAGGCAGAGATCAAAAAATTAGTGTTTCCCTAACAAGGACAATATATATTAATAATTTGAAGAAGTATTTATAAATAATTTTTTATTATATATAACTTATTCAACCTAAATTTTCAGATTCGTCTAGTGAATAAAAAAATAAAAGATAGAAAGATAAATAAAAATATAATCAAATAATAACGAACTCTTATATTATCTTACGATTAGTGTATACCATGACAGTAAAGCAAATAATATTAGGTCGTTATCTTTAATATTTGAAATAAAAAATAATAAAAATAAAATATATTTAAATAAAAAATTTATTAAAATTAATAAATTTGAAAATTAATTTTTATTTAAATATTTTATTTTCTATATATATATATATATATATATTAAAAAATTCAATTTTTTATAATTAAAATTTTAATTTTAGGCAATAAATTATAATTAGAACAAAAATTATAAAATTATAAAACATATTTTATAAAATAATTAAAATAGTAATTTACAATTTTTTACTTACACTTTTTCTCAAAAATTTATAAATTTTAAAAATATATAATTTCTTAAAAATAATTTTCATTAAAAATGTTAATATAATTTTTGTATAAAAATAATAAAATTATATGTTTTAAAACAATATTTTTTATAAAATTTTTAAAATTATATAAAATATTAGTAAAAATATAATAAAAAGTATTATCATATTCCAGACAATTCTTAATTTATCACTCTCTTTGATATAAGAATTTAAAGTAACCTTGTTAATCAATAAATATAAAAAATAAAACAAAATAAAGTAACTTATCATATTATATTACACTCAATGCCTCAGAAATGTCCTTTATATTTCTCAAATTTCTTTTAATTATATGTTAATCACTGTACACTAAATCAGTGCGGAAGAAGACGTTATTTCTAACACAAATAAACATGGGTGGGGACAAGATTCGGGATTGCTACTCGATAGACTCGCCATGGGGACTTGCGTGTTCAACTAAGATTTGGAGCTGTCATCTTCAGTAATGTTACACGTTTTGTTCACAATAAATACTAGTACATGCACATACGCCACCTTAGGCTATCATTTATCAAGAAGGGACAACTTCTTTTCACTTTTATGTGTTTATTACTCTTTTTTTGTCAATGTTTTTTCACACAAGAATTACCATGTGTTATCAAATATTCCACTTTGTTTCACCAAAAGATTATTCGAATTTGTTGGTAATTTTAAAAAATGAAAACAAAATTACAGTGGTCTACTCTCCTCATTTTGTAGATATTTATACTATACATCCATCCCATTTCTTTTAAAAAGTTATAGTTAATTACCTTGATAAATTAATAAGACTACACTTTTATCCTTCTTAATGCAAATCTTAAGGACTTTTTTTTTTCTTTCAAACAATCAGCATCAACAATATAGCTAATTTTGAATCCCTAGCTACTATCAAATTTAGGATTTCAATACATAAAGTGAAGATTTTGAATGAAATTTGGAAATTAATAATACAGATGTTTAAAACTTCATTTTCTTCTTAAATCTTAAAATTTAATAATACAAAATTCAAACCAAAGGGAAGAAAAGATGTCCAACAAAAACTTGTTTACAATTGCTTGCCACTGCTAAGAGAGGTTGATATATATCAAAATGGATTAGAATATAGTATATTCACTAGTCAATTGAGGAGAGTATAATGAATATCTTTTCACTTGGTTGACTTGATTATAAGATGACTTCGAATCTATGATAGGTGATCTAAAATCCATAATAAAACATTGCTTAAATTAATAGTTTGTCATGACTTTTAAATGGGAAGAGTCTCCACTCACCCTTAACTTCAAGGTAGGTTATCTTGAAAGAAAGTTCTCTTTACAGGTTTGTAACTCTTTGACATTACATCTTTAGATGATAAATGCAGACTAATCATCCTCTTTCTTTCTATTTTGGTCAGGAGAAGAGTATACGGGTATGAGATAGAGAAAGGGACAAGAGTGCATAACGGGAAAACGAACTCACACCCTGTTCTAACCCCTCAAGACAATGTGATATACCATTAACAATGTCAACTTTCTGTTTGGAATTGAATCAATCAATGTTATTTATCAGGCATGAAACTAAACAATAACAACGCTCACAACTCATCGCCTAATGTAATATTTATGACCGTCAATTTATTCACAGTATCTTGAAAAATGCTTAGTTGTTCTACCATTGATTCCTCTTATTAGTATTTTGTATTTGTTAGCTTTCAAGTTATAAATGCTTTACTCTGTTATTTTGATCCTTCACCTGCCGAAATGAAAGTCCACATATTGCGAACTCTTTCTTACATGTACTTCCAACCACTGCCCAAACAAAACAACAGCTTTTCAAAGGGGGTTTAATTAATGAGGGACTTTACAATCTTCCCAATTGTAGAGTTTAATCAATCGATAATTTTAACAAATACTCAAAAACACAATGAAAACATATATAAAGTTTTTAGTTAAAAATCACAATATTAAATACATTAATAATATCAAATACTACAAATTTCAATAAAAACTTACTATTTATTAAAAAATTATCATATATTCTTAAACCCATTATATAAATATTTAATAAATTTTATTTGATCACCCTTGATTTTCCTCCGTTTAAATTCATAGATCAAAACAATAGCTCCTAATACCAATTTGTTAGGGAAAACTAAAATAATCAACTACATGCGCAGCAAAATACTTTCCTCCCACCATATACATAAATAGGCACTAAAAAAAGTCTTCTCACAGCAAAAATAGCAACCATACAGAAAACCCATAATTATATTTAAATGGCAAAGAGGCAAATTTATTTTTTTGACAAACTATATCGTTAGCACATAGGACTGATCTAGAATAGGAAGATGTACAAATCTATATATACAGTTATACACAGCGACGTCTGAGGAAAATCATAGTCATAATTAATCTGACAAGTCATCTCTATGCTGGCGCATTCGAGCGGCCCATGACATATTCGCTCCAGCAGCATCCTTGCTTTTACTTCTTCTCTTCAGTTCTGACAGTTGAGATTGCCAGCGAGTTTTCCATTCGCTTTTTTGTTCAACGACCTGATGGGAAAGCAAGATCTTTGATCAGTACTTATAACAAGAACACTGTTCTAGCTGCCATCGCCCCCACTTTCCCTTTTCCTCAATTAGAAAGGAGAGATCTCTTTGAAAATTCTAAGTAAATTGGACAACAGGACAAGCAGCAACAACCAATCCTTATCGAGTACCAATCCTTATCTCACTCGATAAGATCAGCTACATATATTACACAACTTCATTAAGCTTGATCAAAAACTACTTTTTTTAGAAATTTGGTTGATCAAAAAGTCTCTTTTAATAACTTTGGCTAAGATTTTTTTAAGTCTCTCTCAACTCACAATTCACTCTCCTTACTATCGCTTTCAAAAATCTTCTCTGCACATGACCGAATCATCTTATACAATTTTCAATCATCTTTTTCATTATAGGTAATATTTCAATATTCTTTCATATACTATAACTTTATATCTTGTCCTTTCTCAATAGTCCACTCATCCTCCTTAACATCCTTATTTTTGTCACTTCTTTTTTCTTATGTTGTTCTTCTAAGGTACAACATTCACTACCATATAAGATATATGGCCATATTGCAGTATAATAAAAAAAAAAATTCAGCTTAATGGATATTTTATAATTACAAATAATTCTTAATATTTTTCTCTACTTTAAACGCTCAGTTTGTTTTTTGTGAGTAACATCTTCACATTAAAAGGTCTTTGTCTCTTTAAAATGCATGATTCATGAAGTCCATTAGTGGGACCTACTTATTACCATGATAAAATAAAATATAGTGCTAGTATTATATGAATACAGAAATAATCAAGATTACATAGTTAATCTCAAATGAGGATACTTTTCATCGTTATTATAGTTATTATTATTTATGCCCTTTGACACTGTTAACTAGTACAAACTTTTAATGTGCAGAAGAGCAAATTACACATTTTATAAAATTATGAAACACTTATTCAGTTTTTGTAGTGGTGAGCTGGGATTGAAGTAGATATATTAAAAAGAATGGAAAAAGAACTAAGGCCAAAATAAAAATCAAGAAACAATCTATTCAAACCAGGAAAATGTCATAAGGAAGGATCTGCTATAGCCCTCATATTTTATAAAAATATAATTGATTATGGGTTGGTAGTACTAGGTACAGTGGCAAAAGTCAAATTTGTAAGTTGTAATCTCAATAGACATAGAAAATGATAATATAAGTTCACAGCAGGAAGAATCTGACATACTACCATGGAAAAGAAATATAACTTGTACTTTTGATGTACTGAAGAGCCAACTATACATTTAATATACTACTATTACATTGCACTTGTTCAAAATTTGTGGTGGTGAGCTGAGATTGAAGTTGACGTATTCAATAAAATAAAAAGGACAAAAGACAGAATAGAAATAAAAAAATGATTTATTAAAATGTCATAAGACAGAATCTGCCATAGTCCACATAATTTATAAAAACAGAGTTGATTATGGGTAGGTGCAGAGCAGAAGTTGAATAGGAGCAGTTTTAACAGACATTAAATACTAAAAAAGCTAACATCAAGAAGAATCTGTATACCATCATTAAAAAGAAATTCCAGCAGCAGCAGGGTGACCACTAGAGCTGCAAATTTTTTGAACTTAAAGAGAAGGAGATAGTGCAGAGAGGGAATCATGTTCCCATTACTATATTAAATTATAATAAGCAACCAGAAATATCAAATAACAGAAATGAAAAGTGCAGGATGAAGTAATTTCCATTCCAGGTCAAAATTGTATGATACTCAACAGTTCATTTCTTTGTTTCCTGACTGAGATAGGGTAAACAAATCAGTACTCAAACAATTTAAGAATTTATTAAATGGCAATTCAAATTTTGAATCACCAAGCTACTTTAGAATCGTGAATCCTCACTCAAATCATAAGATTTAGAAATGCAAGGAAAAATAGCCTGATGTGTATATAAGCTAAATAGTATATAGTCTTCAATGTAATAATTATAAACTAAGAATTGACAAAACAACTAAACCATTAATCTCACAAAATAAAAATCATAAGCCATGTGTCATACTACTGTTCTTATTTATCTGTGCAGAAAGAGAAGGAAATTTTAGTTCTTATTTATCTGGTCATGTAGAAGTTCAAGACAAAATGAATTACTATTCTTCCACCAATACCCTTTTATTCATTCAAAATATTTACACTATTTGAGTAGTTCAAGAGTGTAAAAAAAAATTAATATAGGGTAAATAAGTGAGTTCAGCAATTAATTCCAACAAAATGACTGGATTCCTTGGTCTGTGTTATTTCTGCACTCTCTGGACAGATAAATAGCAATGGAGGTAGTATGTCATAAGTCATAACAAAAACAAAGCAATGATGTAGCCAAATAAGTGCACATAACATGAGTGAGTGACAGTGCGAAGACTTTGTTTCCAAAAAATGAAAACATAATAACAAAAATAACGCTACTAAATGCACGCTGATATAAAACAATTAGGGTGCATTCGGTAGCACTACTTTTATTCCTTTTCATTTAACAATTTAAGTGTACTTTACTTTTCAATATCTTTGATGAGGATACCCCACCCCCAGCAAATCATTGAATTGTGCAATTCGAAAGTGCTACAAAATCACACTAATTCATGCATGTAATGAACAATCCAACACCATTTGCAATTCGTCACTTAATACGAATCACTGCTCGCTGAATCATCAAATTGAATCGCGTGATTCTAATAACAATTTCAAATACAAAGTAGTACCACCGTACCACTTTGATTTTGTGAAGCACGTTTGTATCATCCAACTAATTACCGGAACAATTAAAGCTGAACTATTTATAAATATAAGCATAAGAAATGTGAAATAGTGCAATTGCAGCAGCAATAGTGCAATTTACGCGGTCTTTGCAACCATCTCAGAGCCACAATTACGAGGAGTTATGTGATTAAAGGGAAAAAGAGAAAAGTGAAATACCAGATGGTGGTGTCTACGAGCGTTGAAGGCAAGGCGAATGCCCCTGGCCATGTCTCTATCATAGATGGCTCTGAGAGTGGGATCAGACAAGGTTTCGTAGGCCTCCTGCACCTGAATAAATCTCTTAGTGTACTCCTCGACCCGACCCGGAGGAGACACATCCGGGTGGTACTTCCGGGCGAGTTGCTTGTAGGCTTGCTTGATCTCCGTCAACGAACCAGATTCCGGTATCCCTAAAAGCTCGTAGAAGCTCGTCTCTTCCTCCACCACCAACCCATCTCTTAGGCTCGCCTTCGCCTTCGGAAAGCCCAACCCCACCACGATTGCGCTCATGGGCCTGCTGGGCCTCACAAACACCGCCCTTCCGCTTGGGACGCACAACCCACGGTCGCTTCCAGGGATCATTAAGCCATAACACCGCATTCTCTCTCTCCCTCTCACTCTCAATCTCTCTCTCTCCTCATTCAATTTTAAACGTTCCTTTTTCTAGTAACCATAATAAATGAGGCCAACCAAGGATTTTCATTGCGTCCACAAACTCGGTTCACAAACCCTGCCCCTACTTGAGGATATTAATTCACTCAAATTTTTTTTATATTTATTTGTAATTTTTTTTAACTTACGTGTTTAATATTATTAGTATATTGGATTATATAATATTTAATAAAAATTTATTATGCATAATTTTTAGGATTCAATATAAGCTTATACATCACTTCCATGTCATTTTATTTTTAAAAATATTTTAAATTTAATTATAATTTTAATCTATATGAATGTTACATATTTTGTAATAGTTTTTATAATTTTTTAAAAATTTAGTTCTTAAATATTAAAAAGTTAATATTTAATTTATATTGTTAATTTTTTTTAATGTTAAGTAATAAAAAGTCAACTAATTATTGTTATGTATTGTCACCTTATTCAATTTTTTTAATATTTTATTATTTAAAATTAATATTTATAATAAATTTATGAATATATTTTAAATATTTATAAAAAAATTTCATTGTAAAGTTCAACAAGCATCTTAACAATAGACTGAATAATCTATATTTTAATGAGAATCCTAATACAGATACATAAAATTTATCATATGAACATACAAAATCAACAGAATAAGAGTTTACTAGAAAGACTAAATTCTAACAAAAAAAACTTTATAAAGATCTATTACAAAATATGTTACATTTATAGTAACAAAAAAAAACAAGTTTAAAATATTTTAAAAATAAAATGATATAAAAAATTTGAGTTATCTCTTAAAAAAAAAGAAGTTGACAACAAAAATTAAACCTAACTTCTTAACATTTTATATACTAAATTCTAATAAAAAAATTATTATCACAAAATATGTTATATTTATAAAAAGTAAAACTATAAATAAATTTAAAATATTTTTAAAAATAAAATGACATGATAGTAATACGAGAGTCACTTTCCGTAAATCAATTTAAAATTTAATAGAAGAAAGGTTAACAATAATAATTAAATTTTAATATTTTTATATTTTAGTGACTAAATTTTTTTAAAAAATTATTATAAAATATGTTATATTTATATACTCTAATTACATATTTAAACTTAATTTTTATGATGTCATTTAAATTGTTCTTATAGACAAATTTATTTATTTTTTTTAAAAAGAAGCTAACGAGTAGCTTTAAAATACAGTTTAGGAAATAAAAAATAAAAATATTTTATTAAAAATATATAACTATTTTCAATTTCATGATTTTTAATCTAAATTAGTTTCAATTCATCCTAATATAATTTTAACATAAATTTACTATTTATTTATTCTTAATTACTTCTCTAAAGATACCCATAAAAGTGTGCAATATTCATAATTATATTTAGTTCAATTTTTAAGTAAAAAAAAATCATTTCAACAGAATATAAAAGTGATATATAATTCAGTTTTATTTAATTTAAATATAATAACAAAATAAAAATAAAATGATATTTTGTGATTCTAATTATTAATTTTTTTATTTTTATATGTTTTTATTTTTCTTCTTTCTATTTCTATATAATTTTTTAACTTTGCAATTTTTTTTGTTTTTATGAATTTATTAAGAAAGCAAAAGAACAGAGATCACACCAATTAAAGTGGTATGAATTTGTTAATAAAACGAAAGAAAATTTTATTTAATTGAGAGAAGAGAGTGAAAGTCGAGAATACATAAGAGCACAACAAATCTATGCAAGTTATAATAAATTTTAAAATATTTTTATATAAAATTCAATTTAATTCGATTTTATATGAACAATAAAAATGAAAAACTAACAAAACCACGATTAAAAAAATATAATCTTCTGGGCTTTCAATTTTTTTCAATGAAAATAATTTGCTTCAATTTTTAATACCACAGTAGCACAAACGACGAATCTCAACAGCCTCAAGTTAGGTATTCGTTTTCGAGAAGTTTATTTTTCAATGAAAAAACTATTTACTATCATAATTAAAAGTAAAAATAGCATTACTATTTTATGTACAATTCTAAAAGAAAAATAGAAAAAAATTATATTTTTTTAATCATGATTTTTTAACTTTTTATTTTTATTGTTAACTATTTAATCTGTTATTTAACTATAAATTATCATATTTATAAAAACTATTAATTTCTGTAGTAATTAATATAAAAATTATATTTATACTATATTTTAATTAATAATATAATTAAAACAAAATTCAAACAATTATAAGTAAGACCTGTCTTTTATTTGTCATTTATTATACATACTCACAGATGTGATATTGAATAGAAAATTAAAAAAAAAATATCTAAAAAATTAAAGAATGATTTTTTTTTCTTTAGTTGGTTCAATTTTACATACATAAAAAAATTGTCAAGACATAAAAAATCTATAATTAGTTGATTTATCTCTTTAGTTCCATTTTATTAGTAGTTGTTTGTCCAATTTCTTTAAAGGTAAAATACAAAATACCTCTTGTGGTTTTTATATTATTTAAATTAACTTCTTATAATTTAAAAATCTACTAATCAACTCCTTGTAGCTATCATTGAAATAACATTTATTTTAAGAGACAATTAATAGAGAACATATTACACATTTCTTAATATTTTATAAACTGAATTCACTTCTTAGAAATGAACAACAATAGGACAAATACAAACACCATTAAACAACAACAAACCAACAACTTCAAACTCTTCACCTCATGTTCCAATTTTTTCTTCCAGACATTCCATGGTTGCTTGACCTTCAACAGCTTGGTTCCCAAAACTGCTTATATAAGGTGGTGACTTTCGATTAATTTGATTACACTAACACCAAAATCTACATTCACATCATTCGCACATAAAATGCAGCATGTCTTTAGTAGGTTTGTAGGAATCAACAATTTTTACCTTAGCTTTCCTTCCACATTCACATAGCTTATAGTAACATCTCAAATCCTTACTTCCACCTCCACTTCGATAACAAGATAAAGATGCAAAAGAAGATATTGTAAAATAAAATTTCGCCAGTTACAAATTATATGCTGTTAATTTCATTTTTTTGAAGGAGTAAAGCACTAATATCTTCTATCACATAGCGGATTCACCTTTTCACGGAGGAAGAAGATAATAAGAAAAGAGAATATTCAATTCCTCATCTTAAATTACTCATAAGGGTACAATAGTAAAATATGCTAGGATAATTAGTCTTTTCTCATAAAAAAGTTAACTACATTACGTTTGCATTTTACACGCAAACAAAAAGTTAACATGTACAATTATAAACTGCAGGAAGTTTCATTGTATTTTACCCTTTTATTATTATTATTATTATTATTAAGAAACCGTAGCATACACAATTTTACCACCATAGAGGAGATGGGGCGGAAAGAATAACTAAGAACCTGCTACTTGCAGAAGCAAGCCATGCATACACCAAAATGTTGGTCTAGAAAGTAGGAAAAATAACAGAAGATGAGGAGAAAAAAACGATTATCCAAATTTATCAACAAATGGTCCGTGCAACGATAATCCGAATCGTCCAAATTTTCCAAACAAGAATCAAATCAAAATCATAAATAAATTGCAAGAAAACCAGAATCATCCATCCACAAAAGTACTCCTAAAAAACTCATGTTCTGATTGTTGTTGGCCCTCATTTTGCATATGCTATTAGTAGTTTTCATTACTAGAAAATACTCAAAAAGTTTATAGCACCAATAAACTTTAGGATAAGGTGGACTAAAAATAATTAATGAGGTTGATGGATTTTCTTACATAACTGGTATGGTGGGCTGTGTTTGATGCAATTATCATTCTGCATTAGATTAATCTGACGAATAATTTTTTGAACGCAGCTTTTCTTATGGACCAAAATTTTTCTTTGTATAACTGAACTCATAATTTAAAATCTTAAATAAGCATGCCCAAGAAAAAAAATTGAACTAAACCGAACTTCAAGAAGAGTATTCTCCTATTTCTCTAGAGAACCTTAGCGCTGCCTCTCTCTCCTTCTGTTAACTAGCAGCTCACTCTCCATTATTACAAGGTGGAAAACTCTCTTCTTTTTCCCTCCTCTTTTACCAAGGTTTTTCTTCTCTTTCTTTGTGAACTTCTTTTTAATGGATATTTCCACTCATATTTGGTGTGTGTGTTTTTTTTTTTTTTTTTAACACGAGAGTTTTTCTGTCTAAAATACTTTCTTCTTTTTAAGTTTTTCATCTTCAACCTCGTTATCTCTTCTCTCATCATTTTTCTATATTATAATTAAACTTGCTAGAACTCCACCACATCGTACCATTCTTTCAAGCTGCTTTTTTGTGATTATTTTTAGTCTTGATAGTCTAAGCTTATTTTTGAGCTTGTCCTAATCTGAAAGTAAAAAATAAAATAAAATCTTCACATCATTCAAGTTGAGTCTTTATTCAATAATTTGGCATCGATAATCTAACTTTGTTTTGGGGTGGTGCTAATCTCGAAGGAAAAAAGAAGGAAGAACGTATATTTTTTTCCTCGGGTGTAAGCCTAGTTCTTATTTTGTTACATCTTTAAGAATGTTAAATTAGTGTAGTTATGAGTCGGCTTCATTGTAGTTTTTTTCTCTTTTATTTGATTTTTTTATTTTAGTCTTTCTATTTTTAATTACACAATTTTAATCTCTCTTTTTTTTTATTAAGCAAATACATTAAGTGCAATCCAATTTTAACAATTGATAGTATGGCCTTCTTCCTCTCCTCCCCACTACCCAACCTTTGCCACAAGAAGTTCAAAAGCCCAAAAGATTCTTCCTTCCTTCAACAATCTCACCAAAGAAATCATCCTCCTCCTTATTTGTCATCACCTGCTTATACCATTAACTTGGAAGAGCGGAGGAGCACTGTTAAAAATTAGATGACAATTTAACGAATAAATAAATTTATTAATTAAAAATAGAAAAACTAAAATCACGTAATTAAACATTAAAGACTATAATTAAACAAACACAGAATTGGAAGACCAAAAGTACAATTAAACCTATTTTTTTATGTATATATTGTATATTGTTGCAATGCTCTTTTTGTTCAACATTCTTAATTGTAAGTGTCATTAGGTATTTTATCTATGAAATTTAACTTTAAAAAAAAAAAACTGACTTCAAACATAAGTAAAAGCACGGTTAAACTCAGCTAATCGAACAGGCCTAGACTTTGATAGAATCACATAAAGTCGAGTTTGCACGTTTACTTAGGGAGCGGGGAAAAAATATCCAGGAAGACCAAAAATAGAATGTTTCATTAGGGCTGGTGGGTTTTCTTTTTTTTATTACGTGTCTGTCATGCTGCAGCTTATTTGCACCTTAAATTTAATCAAGTCAGTGATAGGTGACAGAAGTTAATTGCAACGCTAGATGTGAATTTGACTGTGTCATGATAATTAATCTCCTATTTTATTTGTGCACAATTATTAAGTTGAAATGCTTTATATTTATTATTTTACAAACATTATGATCAGTTTTTTTTAATATTATCTTAGCATTAAGAGAGGTCTTCCGAATTTACAATTCAATTTTACAAATTGAGTCTACAAACCCTCCATAGGTCTACGTAATCTGCGACAAGCTTGATAAAGAGCCTCTTAAGAGGAAGAAACTGGCTAATAAAAGAAACTACGCAACTGTCCTACTAAAGAAAAAACCTTTTAACTAACGAGCCATAGCAAAAAGAGAGCAAATACGCCCACCACACTACGGGAAAAAAAAAATCTAGGGTTGGAATTAACTAGATTGCACGTACTTCGCATTTGCCACTTACATTTCAAACTCAATACATCGACAGACATATTTTCCTTTTTTATGAATGGGTTAGTCTTGCAACTATGATATTAGGATTCTTTTCGGGGAAAGAAGACATATATTCGAGAAAATACCCCCAAATGCCAAAATCAACATGCAACCTTTATTTTGTGGCATATTCTTCAAAGATTTAGTAAATCAAATCTGAGTATTACAGTTTTGAATGCTCTCAGGAATGATTCCACCATCTTAACATGTTATGCTACTACCCTCAATTCTCCATATTCGCCAACACAAATTATAACTGAACCACTAGTGATTTGTATGTGTTTAAAGGGCACGCATCAGAAGGTTGAGAGCTCGACAAACGGATTATAACCTAGAAAGGTAATGCCCATTTCTTTTATTACTAAGAACACTTTCCGTTAAAGTCTAGACGCCAACTTGCAAAGGCATAAAATTGACAAATTGCCATCGATGACAAAACCAGTTGATGCGGATAGAACAAATGATACGGAAATCTAACCCAAAGGAAAAAGAAAACTAAAACACCAAGAGAACTTCCAAGAACAAACTTCACAATCATCTGGTGATGAGAATTTGCTGCTGCCCACAAGATCATCATATCCAATGCTTTAACCTAACCAGAAAAAGGAAAAACGGGAAAAGAAAAGGGTTGGCAGGAAGGGAGAGAAAGTGGGAGGGGGGAAAGATGAAGAAAAGAGTGAAAAAGAGGGGGAAAACTTTCAGTTTTGATCCACCAAAAAATAAATATCCCATATGTCCTCAAAAGAACAGAAAAAACCCATTAGTTCTCCAGAGTCTCTCAGCAAGAAGTTCATTCATGAAACCCGAAGTTTAAGTTGATACCACGTCATATCAACACAACAAATTAGATGTGATCCACCAAAAAAGTAAATGTCCTCAAAAGAAAAGGAAAAAGCCAAAAGTTCTTTAGCACCTCAGCAACAAGCTCGTATTTTTCAAAACCAAAAATTAAGTTGCGACACCATACCAGATCAACACAAAAAATTAGATCTCGTCCACAGAAAATATCCCTAATGTCCTCAAAAGAAAGGAAAAACCCAAAAGTTCTCCAGCACCTCTCAGCAACAAGCTCATATTTTTCAAAACCACAATTTAAGTTGTGACACCATATCAAATCAACACAACAAAGACTCATAACACAATCATTGAGATGACACTGAAAACCAGTCAATCAGCAAATTATTGTAATGAGGTAAAGTGTAGAATCATCAATGTGAACAGGACAACATAAAGAACTAAATGAAGAATGACATGACTGACAATTAAATCGAACATCCTACACAAATAGTGGAACCGCCCAATAGTTTCATGGGGAATTACCTGTTGAAATCATTTGCATTTCAGCATTTACTTAAGTAAAAACTGTAACTCATCCAATTTGCGCAAATTCAACATGATGTAACTCATTGCAGCAACATCCAGGTTCAGTTGACCTTTATATAGAAGCGTTACCTAACCATGACAATTTCTTGGGGAAAAAAGGAAAAAGGAAAGAAAAAAGAAAAGGGAAAGAAAAACAAAAGAAACGAAAAAAAAAATGCAGGACAATATAAGACACCAGATGATGGTAAAAAAATATAGGTAAACAGTACTTAGAGCAAATGCATTCATACATAATACAAAAGCTAAGCAGCCCCCATTGCTCTCATAACACTAAATGGAAGAAAAACAGATATGCTCTAAACCATAGAGCATCAGAATCTGACAGCATACCTTTGTTCACATAAGAGAAAATCAACCCAGCATAAGTGTATCTCAAAGCTCCAACAGATTTCAATGAGAATAACCTGCATTTGTTTTGGATATAACATGCCCACCATACCACAAAACATGAGTAAATGAAACGGAACCTATGGTTGGCCACATCAAATAATGATGCTTGCCATAAACTAAAAAATCACTGTAGAAGGTTCAGTTTAATATATTATTGCTATCCTCAGCCCAAAAAAGTTTTAGTTGCATATAATCGGACACTGGCTAAAAGGGTTTCTCCCTCCACACTGTCATTAATTCTGATGAACTATAAACCAAAAGTATTCAGATTCCATCAAATTAAAAAATATATCAAGACTCAAACATGGCAAAAATTACCTTTAATAAAAAGAATAGTATACTTAACATTCCAACATACATCAATCAAGCAGTAAAAGAAGCATGATATAAGCGCTGCATGGGTGATCATGTCAAAAGCAGGACATTTCTTGAAACCTTAAACCATATCAACAGCTGTGGGATTCCACACCCGATCTTTTCCAACCCAACCTGCAAAAAGAAATAAACAATGGAAGATGTTCATAAGCCAAATAATTTAGGCATCATCCTCTGAGAATTGCAGTCCTCCTAAGAAGAAACAGTATATTCCTTGGAAAGAACTTGTTCAGGAAACTTAAATGAGAATATGCTCTTATCCCATAACCATTGACAGGAGCAGAAATCTTCAATCACAGACAAAACCATGATCAGTGCTTTCAAAATAAGATTATACTCTAGTGACAAGAAATCATATCAGCCTCTAGTGACCCGCTTCTCCGATCAGCATTTATAAGCAGGGATCTTCAATTATCCTTTTAAATGCTTCCGATTCAAGATGAAATAAAAGAAATCTATACTCATAGCTATATTGTTAGCATTATCAAAAGCCAGCTAGAATCTTTGATGTCAATTAGATCCACCACTCCTGAAAGCACAGAACAGAACCAAGCTTTAATAATCACGCAAGTGCAAAGTCAAATTTATTCTATATTTAAGTTCATAGTCGTTACCAAGCAAATTGGCTTAATGTTTTTCACTTCCCACTTCTTCTGCACATATCCATCCTGTATCAAAGAGGATTCTCAAATTTGCAACACATAACATAAACATCAATGTTTAACAATAGGCTTTTCCATACCTGGTCTATCATCAGCTCTTGCATTTTCATTTGACCCTTCTGACTTGTAGTTATCATTCACTGAAATCAGCATCCCATTATCATTCCGATCTGTTGAGTCCCTCACATTTATAATTGGTTCCTGCAAGGCATCTCCAAAGAGTTTTGAATTTTCTTTTCTAGTTGCATTTTCTCCATCATTCAAGCGATGCTTAACTTCTGCAGATCCTGAATGAGATTGTGTTTTTCCTTTCGATTTTGATTTTGATTTAGATGGGGTCTTCTCTTGATGCTCTGATTTTCCACTTCTATTTCCATATTTATCACTGGAGTGATGCTTGGCCTCAGGGGACTTTGACCTGGATTGTCTCAGTTCAAAACTGCTATGGTCCAAATTTTTGTGGGGTGAAGTGCCTCCTTTGTCATGCTTACCTTCTATTGATATTGACCTTGAACGCCTTCTATCACAATGCTTTGATTTCTTATCTCTACTTTCACTCAATTTATCTTTAGAACGATGCTTCCCTTCAACAGATTTTGAACTGGTCCTTTTAGTATCATGATATTTTGACTTTTCATTTTTGCTTTCATCCTCTCTGACGTCAGTTTGATCCCTATTTTCTGTAGATCTTGATCTGGAGTTCCTCTTATCATTATGCCTTGATCTTCTATTTCTGTTTTCATCCAATCTCTCAGGTGAATGGTGCTTATCATCCACAGATCTAGACCTTGACCGCTTTTTGTGCCTAGATCTATATTCATCCACTTGTCTTGGGGATGATCGGCTCCTTCTGTGAGGCTTCTCATCCACTGATGCTGACCTGGATCGCCTTCGCTCTCTCTGTTTAAACTTTCCATTCAATAATTCATCATTTTTGCTTGAGGAGTGAAGCCTATCATCTGAAGATCCTGATCTATTTCTCAGTTTTTTCTCATCAATCTTTGGAGAAGACCTGCTTCCTCTGCGATGACTTGGAGAGCCAGAATCAGCACGTGACTGTTTCCTTCCTCTATAGGGTGAACTTTCTCTATGATGTTTTGGAGAAACAGAAGATTTCCGGGTATAAGGACTCACACTCCTACTTCTGTTTCTTCTTGAGTAAGATGAACGATGATCAAGAGATCTATCCAAATCTCGTCTTCTGTATCTATCACCATGTTCCCTATTATCTCTATAGAACCTCCTTTCCCTTTCATAACTTGAATGATGATGAGATCTCAATGGTGATCTTGACCGACGATCCTTAGAATGATGAGCAGGAGAGTAAGAGCGAGACCTCCTCCTTCTCCGGTAATTGATAGGAGATCTTGACTTCGATTGTGATCTTCCACGAGGGGGAGAAGGTGATCTGCCAATGAAAACAAAATTTTAAATGTAATGTGGACAGAGAACCTTGTAAAGAAAAGCAGAAACTGATAAGACTGATATAAATATAAAATAAAATAAAATTGATACACTAGAACAATTTCTTTTCACCACAATCTATTTCAAAATAGCCAAGAATCCATGATCTATGATAGACTAGCCAATTGTAAGGCCACCAACAATATGTTTCTTTTTGCCACAGAAGACACCAGTTGATTCTAAATACAAATAATTCATCCAGCCCAATTATCTAGGAAGTAGAAACTTTTATGTTGAAACCTATAATAATCCAGGACATTGTGTTGGTCTAAGGACAGTATCCTGTCAGTCATTATTCATTAAGTCATGAGCTCAATTATGTACGTCAATTGAAATTCATATCCAACAGAATCTACGCAAACAAGGAATGCAGACCAAGCAACATGAATTTCTCCCATGTCAATTCATCCTTTAATATTGCTGTTCGACCTGAATGACCTCCAATAATGCAGGAAGCCAGGAAGGCACATGACCCTATAACTTAGCATCTTTGCAATGCAGGAGTAAGTGGGGAAGTGGCTTGTGTACCATATACCTACTATTCCTGATGTACAAACTACAAAGAGCATCAAATAAACAATTTCCAACAACATCCCTTCTCAAACCATGAACCATAAGTATATAATCTGAATTCTGAAACTGCAAATGAAAGATCCAAGACAAGAGTTGCTTTTCCATTCTAAGTCCCTGGGAAAATAATCTGGAATTCCTTACCTAGCCCCTTAGAAAATATCTTGATTGAAAGCATGCCTTTCCTACATATATTACAATTTACTTTATTATCTTCAGGAACATTAATGTCCTATATACAATTCAGATTTTGGACACAAATCTTAATACAGCAGAGAAACTCAATTTCTATTTAGTTACAATAATTTCTAAACACTAATCACAAGGGTTGGAAATACACTTCTGATACGTTAAGAGTAAAATACTGCACTACTTAACCTCATGCTTTGACACATTAAAACTACAGGCTTCTATGTAATAGGCAAAGGTAGGGTAGCTCCCATAAATAAATAATATTTAAAAGCAAACCCAGTACTAGATTTGTGTTATGCAAAGCCTAGTAAAGCAAAACAGATGTGAACTTCACAGCCTTTAACACATACATTTCTGACCTCTTTACTCAATTTGTGACATCATAGGTTATTCCAAGCATTACAATATATGAGCTCATGATTCTTAAATTTCCCATGTAAGACGTACTAACTAACAAAAATAATCAAAGAGTTGCAGCAAGTAAAATTGTGAAATAAAATAAGACAAGAAGCACCCATAGAATATATATTATCCTCAAAACAATTGACAAAGTAATCAAACCTGGATTTCTGCTTAGTCTCTTTCTCTTCACTTTCAAGTCCAACAGGTTTCAATTTCTTACTTATTTCTGCGGCTCGGGCTGCAGCTAACTCTGTGGCAGATTTCATAGTTGCAGCTCGGTTAGCAGCCTGCTGTGCAGTCATAGTTTGTTGCATGAGCAGTGCCTGCTGGAATTGCATCTGTTGCATTGCAACAGCTTGCTGCATCATCAAAGGAAGAGAGGATGAAGCAAGTGAAGAATTCACAAGAGACGGTTTCTGCGGAAGTGATTTTGCCATTTCAACATTCAGAGGGCGTCCCCCAACATCTATGTTGTTTAATGCTAGAGCAGCAGTCGCCTCCTCAGGCTTTGAGTATTCTATATAAGCAAAATGCTTTGAATCAGTGATTGTACATTCAACAACAGTGCCACAGAAGCCAAAGAGTTGTTTTAGCTGTTCCACTGTGAGAAGAGGGCTAAGATTGCTAACTTGAAGGGTTTTCTTCAATGCATCATCCTTACTAGATTTTTCAGGTGAACCTGATTGTGGTAGCAAAAGCATTTATAAGAAAAAATCAGGAAACAGTAAAAACGCAACAGCAGAAAAGAATGTTAAAGAAAGGCACAACCAATCATAGTGCAAAATCAAGGAGAAAGAACATTCATCATGTTAGAGCTGTGAAATGAAGAACATGCCACCAATACAAAACAAAATTAATATAACAACAGCATACCAGTGGAATCTTTTGCTGACTGAGCTTGCACCTGAGCTGCATGTGCTTGAAGAGCTTGGGCAGCAACTATGGCCTGAGCTGCAGCCATTGCAGCAGCAGAAGGCGCCATAGGAGCTTGGCTAAGTGTTCCCATTGAGGTTGTCGCAGCTAAGGCAGTCATTAGCAAATTATGAGGTGGGTGATTCAACTTACAATCAACTTTTGCACAGCGCCCATTAAGGTAATCACGACAAACTTCCCCAAGTGAGGCCCCAATTCCTGGCAAAATAGCACCCCCAGAAGCCCCAGCAACAACCCCCGGAATCATTCCTAACAATCCTGGGAATGCGCCCGAAACTGATCCAGAGTAATTTGGCATGTTAGGCATAGTTTGATTAACCAGATTTGGAAATGTTGATGCAGGAGCTAAACCCAGCAGCCCTCCACTACTATTACCTGCAACAAAACAAATCAAAGGACTGAAAATTGACCACCATGAAGATTATTACAAGCCAAAAAAAAAAAAACAGTTATATGTGCAGCCACAACCAAGGGTGTATACAGCACAACACAATTTCAAAATGAAAATGCTGAACCTTAGCAACAAATCTTGTTATTTATCACAAATCGAGTGGAACTTTCTTTTCAACTCGGATATGATACACAGGAAAACAAATCATAGACATAATGAACAACTTAAAAGAAGCACATGTGAGCAGTAGATAGAGAAAAAGAAGTAAACACAAAAGCAGAGGGTTTGGCCATGTAGTACCTGCTGCACTGAAAAACACAGGAAACGGACTTCCCATGATAGGCTTCCCATTACATTCAACATTGACCATATAATTCCCTCTCTTAGGCACCACATAAGTAACAGTATAAGTTCCATCACCCATATCCTTCACAATCCCTTCTTGGTCAGACCCCCCAACCCCCAACCCTGGCGTCACTTTCACCTTGATCTGCGCACCCCCAGAGGAAACCTTCCTCTCGTCAGCATCCTTAGTCACCACCAAAAATGATGACGGAGCACACGCCGTTCCGCCCGCAATCCCGGTCCCCGCTGCGGTGCACTTGGCCGGATCCACAGGCCCAACGGGCTTCTGGGCCAAATCCTCATATTCATCAGATTCACTGTCCGATTGAACTGTCCCCCTTTCGCGACTCTTCTCCAAATCCTTGAATGTGGCCTCAAACGCAGCTTTGGCTGCCGCAGCTTTCTCGGCCTCGCTCTTCAGCTTCGCCTCCTCCGCTTGCTTCATCCAAATCGGTTTCGCAACGGCCGAACCCCGATCAGCCATCAACCCTAGCTTTGAAACAAAAAAAAATGTCACCAAATTCGGTGATTGAAATCTTCGATAAAAACTGTTTACACTAGAATTAAGGATGAGGCCAAATACGAAACAAGAAACCCTCGAACTAGTGGGGGGAAAGCCCTATTCGAAAAGCAAAAGAAAAAACTATTTGAATCTAAACGCAAGATATTTTTAAAATAAAAATAATTTCCCAGATTTGGAAAAAAAATATATGAAAATGATTGTTATGGGTTGAGAGAAGATCGGAGAGAATGAGGGTAGAATGGGAAAAGAGTAAGATGGGGGAGAGTTCAAACTTGAAATCGTACCGGTTCGTTCTGACGGCTAAGTTTGGTGTTGCGTTGGAGCTTTTGGCTTTGGTTTCTTTTTTCTGACGATGGGAGAACGAATCAGAGTTAGCAACAGGGTTATAATGAATGAGTCACCTTTTCGTTTTTTTTTTTTTAAATAAATAAACATTCTGCAAAACTATTAAATCAAATAATGGTGAAATACAATTCATCTTGATGTCATTTGAAATTATATGTTTGATGTAAATTTTAATATTATTTTTATATTAAGTATTTTTAGTTAAATTTTAATTTCTTTTATAATTTATGCCAAATAGATTGAATATTTTAATCAAAATGCATTAACAATTTTTTTTAATATTTCAAATCTTAATGTGTTACAAAGATTTATTAATGAAACCCCCTACGAAACATGACCACTAGATTTCTTCTCTCTTAAATCAATCAAGATTTTATGGACATGCCAATTTTAGCTTTGGTGGGTCGGAATAATCGAATTTGATTTGACATCCTATGCACCTTCAAATTGGAGGTGAAGGAATGGGGTTTAAAGGCATGCTTGCAATATTAAGTAGTTAGACAAGTAGGAGTGAATATTGATTAGATTTATATAAAATTCATCTAAATCTATTTTAAATTTAATTATGTAAATTGAATTTTAAATTAATTTATATTATTTTTTTAAAATTTAGATTAAAATTAATTTTAAAATTTAAATTTAGTTTAAAATTAGTTTTAATAATATATTTTCTCAGTATAGCAAGATTTATATATATATATATTCATAATATTTTATATTTTTATTTTATTTAATATAAATTAAATTATATAATATTATTTTTTGTAATAATTAAAAATATTATTATAAGATATAAAATTTACTTACCATAAAATAATTAAAATTTATTTTTTAAAATACATTTAATATAAAATATTATATATATATATATATATATATATATAAGTAATACGATAGATACTACAAGAAACAAAATTTATCAAACTGAAAAGCGTATATTTGGTCACATAAGGCTTGTAAAGGGACTTGGAGTGAACTACTACTGAAAATGAAAAGCCTATGTTTGGATGCAGGCTTGCATAAGGGTGCTGAGCAAACCACCAATAGATTAGATGTCTAAATAAAAATAAAAAAAATCAGATTTTTAAATCTAATTTATTGTAGTTATAAATTAGATCGTTAAATCTGGGTTTTTTTAAATATTCCTACAGCAGTACCAAGTCTCAATTTACCCTTACTATCTAAACGGTCTCTAGTTCCATTGAAGCCAAAAGATGGGCTAATTGATAAAAGCTTGATGTCCTAAAAAATCTTACACTTGGTGTTAGTTTTGATAGTGTATATATTACTTGGTACCATTTTGATTTATTTTTTCAGCTAATTTCCACTGCAAGTTGGTTTTGTGGACAATTTTTACCACCCTCAATCTTATGTCATCATAAAAATTAGTTAGTTGTTAGTTGTTATCTGTTATATACATTAGTTATTTTAGTTTTATTAGTTATTATCTCAAGTTGTTTTTATATCTCACTTTTTCGCCTATCAAATATGTGTTCTTATCTTGAATAATAGATTTACATATTATGCATTTTTGCTCTTTGTCATCCTCCCTCTCTGTCTATCTTCTTTCTTGACTCTTGACACACACAAAAAAAATTAGAACTCTTATCATTAAGGATTAATACCAACATGCAAACTGTAATAAAATTGTAATTTACAATCAAGTGTTTATTGAAAACCTCCCCATAATTTTTCATATATTCCATTTTTATCCATAACTTTATTAATAAAGGTAGACAATTTGTATTCTTATGTGTAACAAAAAATACACATATTATATACAATAAAGTTACTCAGATAAATTATTCACAAAAATTATAAATTAATAAAAAATTAATTTATTAAAATTTTTAGGTTTTAAACCACATATATATATATATATATATGCCACATATAAAATACATATTAAAGAATATTGAATATATTTTAAATTATTTTATAAAATAAATAATGGATGATATTTTAAAATACAATAATTGTAACTACATAAATGCTAGACAACATCTTTAAAACACTGCTTAGGGAAACAAAATTGAAAAAAAAAATATTACGAGTATATTAGAAATAAAAATAATTTAATATTTATTTTTTAATTAATTTAAAGTATTTGTTAACATATATTACTATTAATTATTTTTTAATAAAATTCCTTATTCGCCTGCTTTTAGCTCGTAGTTTCACTCTTACTTTGCCACTTATGTCTTCAGCTGCTTGGATGAGAGAGGACTCAGAGCAGAGACAAGCACCCCATATATGTCAGTCAGACTCCTTGTCAGAAGAGTTATCAAGCGCAAGCATTTGTTTATAGAATGGTGGAAGGAGGAAGAGATAGCAATACATTCCGCCTAAGCTTGATCACTGCATGACTAAAACTCCCTTTCGAGCTACCTGCATTAGGTATTCTTATTCTAGCAGGGCCTATTCCTTCAACACCAGCTACGGCATTGATCCCTAGAAATTCCGTAAGAGAAGGAGTCTTATACAGCACTGCTGCCATTTCCTTTTCTCTTTTTCTTGAAAGAAAGGTCGATGCCATAGATAAAATATGCTTTATTCCCTCCTAAAATCCCATAATATGTGCAATAAGTTCCTTCACACCAGTCGTAAGGTGGCAAAAAGTATGTTTTCAAGGGTAGCAGGTAAGCAGGACTAGGTCTAATCTCGGATCTTGCTGGTTTAAGCACGCTAATTAGAAGGTCCTTTGCTATAAAAAAAAGAAGGAAAAGTGGGATACGATATTACTAGTGTTAACTGGAACAGAATGACATGCTTCTCAAAGCCTTTATTCAATGGAAAGGATTCCTTCGCCTATTATTCTACCCAATGAGCTCTGGGTATAGTAATACAATCTATTGGGTCTAGTCATACTAAAAGAGTAGGTGTAACAATTATTTTCAGAGAGAATAATCTTATAGCCTTTGCCACATGAACACTTGAAATGAATGCTTAGGCAGGGGAGAAGGAGCCAGTGAGTCCTCAGAACATTTATTATTGACAAAGTTAATGTTTTGTCCTTTAACTTAATGGTCAAATTTAATTTTTCCTTCACTTTTATCCTGGTTCTCTAACTTTTACAAATATTTTAAATAAGTTATTTTTCATTTAAAAAATTAATTCTATAAATGTTTTTTTTGTCTATTTTTATTATGTGTACTATTTTTTTCCTCAAATATATGATTTTGTTTTGATTTGTGAAATGTAATCAAAAATCTTGACAACAGCTATAAGGTAGGTAGAATGTGTGCTTGCATGGCAACTTTTGCATTTTGTTATTTAAAACTAAATTCTCCTTACAAATTGCACATTCTACATCTTTCTCTAAATTAGCTAGGATTTTTTTATGACAGTAATGGCAAGTTTGGTCACAATTTTTTTATTAGCAGGAGGGACTCTTAGAACTACATGACCTTCATCTACTATCTAACTAAAAAAGAAAGTTCAAATTATAACAAATGCTCCTAATTAAACAGTGCAAATTGTAATGATATAATATCATATTGAACTTTCAAGTGTTTTATTTACTTTAACATAACTAGAAGAAAATCTTGTTCAATTGAAGATTTTAGATAAATACTAAGGCACAAATTGGGCACAACCTTAAAAAAAAGATAATGAATAATGTAAAACAATACACACGGTAGAAAAAGATAAAAAAATATTAACAAAATTAATGTTTTTAACAAAAATTAATTTATTTAAAATATTTATAATAATTAAAAGATCTAAATAAAGTTGAAGGATATAATTGAAAGATGAAAAAACTAATAATTACGCCTTCATTATTATCATATAACTTACAAAAGAAGATACACAACACATAATATATTATAATAAAATTTAATTAAAATATATTGTAAATATTTTTTGTACTATCATTTAATAATAAATTATTAATTATATTAATGATAATAATTAAATTTTATGATAATTAATTTAGAAGTTTTAACTATTATGTATTTTAATTGAATAATAATATAATTTTTTTTATATCAATAGTGTATCAAAATTAAACACTTATGATAAATATAATTATTTTCATCACGAAAGACATTGGAAAATACACAAAAAATCTTAATTTGAAGTAATTATTTTTGCAGCACGCGTGACATGTACATGGTTCTCTTCATTTCATTCCACGGTCTCTTCTTCTTGCACCTTAATCACTTTCAATTTTCACGCATAACCAAAGTTTTTCTTTATTCTGATGATCCATGGCTTTCTAACTTCAAAGTTCGCAAGGTTCCAACAAAATATGTAACATACCTTTCACACATATATAATATATATTACATCACAATTTCTCTCTTTCTTTTTATATGTGTATGTGTATTGGATCAATGAGTTACATTGTGTAACTCATATTTATACATGTATTTTTGCTGTATAATTCATCTCATTTCCCGTTTTAATGCATGCACGTTGAATCAATGGCTTATAGGGTCAGGGCAATGGATCATACATTTTGGCCCTGCAATTACTTCGTTCATTTTATCAGAAATTTCTTTTATATGATTTGCATTCTCATGATATATGGGGATATCTTCTGATAACATAACTGGACTTTATTCTCGCTATCTCTTCAAGCATTTTCATTGGCTCTAGCTTTATAATAAAAAAGATGGAGCTAAAAAAAGCAGGCACTACAGGAAAAAGTGCAGGTTCATAACCTTTCTTATGTATACCTTTTTTTCCTACTAACCATTGAATTATCATTTCTCCAATCTTTACATTTATTTTACTTTAATTTCATCAGCCTTTGGAGGACATGCATACTATATGAACCATGGTGGTGGCTTGGAAAGATTTCCAGTAAGTATCGTTTAGTTTTTTAAATTTATTTTAGTGCTCCATTCACTAAATTCTACTATATACCATGTACCATTTTTCCATGTAATCTCTTTTAATGATAAATATAGTATATAATTAAGTTGCTAATTATTTATAGGATTTCTTGTAACCAATTTTGTTGCATGTTAGATATAATTCATCTTTAAACGAGAGGTTGATTTGTCTTTATTTACACATTACACTTCTGATTTTATTTATTCTTGAAATTTCTTTAATTGTGTATCTGTGTTTGGTGTTGTATCATGATAAATTTTATGTTTTCTTACCGCATGGAATTTGATTATTTCAAATGATTTGCAAAACTCGTGTTCAAGCATCTTCTAAATCACTTCTATATTTAGGTTTTGAAATTATTTGATAACATATCACCACTATTATTGAATTTTCAAGTTAAAGTTGTCCTTTAGCTTAAGTGAATAGCATGCCTAAATTTTTTCTAATTTTTCACATAAAGAATGTCACATTTGTTCTCTTTATCTATGTTATTTAGGATGATTAGACATTTTCCTTATTTTTAAGTTTTAATACACAAAGTTTGTTTTCTAACAATATATTTTTTTTAGTCAAATTTATTTAACTTCTAATAGTGTTTTAGGTTTATATATCCAAAAACATATTTTTCAAGTGATAAACATAACTAACTCAACACTAAAAATCCACACAAAATAATTTTACATATGTGATTAAATAGCTTAATTGTTTCTATTATCATCAATGTTAGAAAATTTCAATCAATTGTTATATATATATATATATATATATATATATATATATATAATATGTATGTGTGAGGAATAATTTTTTTACACTAATATAAGTTCTAAATTTATATTTAATGATTAGTAAAGTAATAAATTATAATTCGTTAGATGTAAATTAAATAAAAGGTCCAAATCAAGTGTAATAATTTTTATATTTATACCAGTGTAACAAAATTCTACCCCTATATATATAGAGAAATAACTAATTTACGGCTCATGCATTTGCGCTTCCACTTCTTATAATTCTTTTGGAAGAGCTTTAAGTATCATTTTCAGCTAAGAAACATATGGGCTTCCCTAAACCACTTATTCTTAAGATACTTATGTTTCTTTTAGCATGTGTATGGATGGATATCTTTATCGATAAAATTTAAATTTTTATCTTGGACGAGAAATTGCACATCCTTAGCTTGATTGGATGTGTTCTTTGTATAGTGGGATCTACAAGTATTGTCTTACAAGCTCTCCATGAAAGGGATATTCATTCCGTTAGTGTGGCATATTGCTATATAACCAGGTAATTTTAATCCTTGATAGCTTAGTTAAACAAAAGTGAAAGCAAAATTAAATGATCCATGAGGAGTGAGATGCATTATGCTCTTAATGGATATAAACATATTCATCTATGGTTAATTATGCTAACATTGAGCTCTCTTTGATCTCATCAACATGCTTTCTTATCTATAGCCGTGTAGTTATAGTTTTAGTTGTCCTGATTTTCTATTATATGTGTTCCACGATATGGGCAAACAATTCTAATTGTATAGGTTGAAACATGTTCTCTCACAGGATCAATTTCGGTAATAATTATATCTTTAATCTTCATGTGTGTCTTGATTAACCATAATAAGTTTCTCTTATATAAACTTAATATTGTTCCTTATGCATAGATTATGTGTGTGAAAGCAGTATCAATAACTTTTAAACTTACGTTTGAAGGCAAAAATCGATTCACTTACTTTCAAAAACATGGTTCTTTACAATTAATTGTAATAGGATGTTGACATTTGCAAATTAACAACTTGAACAAGGTAAGTTCTAGCTTATAGTTATTAGTATGGATGATTATTGTCATTATACTATATCTTGCAAATTATAACTTTAAACAACTATATAAAATAAATAATTTTTTAAACCTTTTAATTAGTGATTATCTACTTTAAGTTAAAGAAAATGTTTCTTAAATTGTCTTCGTGTAATTTTGCATTTTGTTCCCAAAAGCATATTTTGTTCTTTCTTACATATATACTAATTAATTGAAAGTTCTAAATATGTAAAATTTATTTTGTTTGTTAGTTGTTTTATTTTATTATTTTAAGCATAAAATATTTATTTTAAATAAACATATAAAATAAAATTTTAGCCATACCGAATGTATTTGTATGACATAACATATTCAACAATCATGAGAATCACTTCCAAATTCACAACTTTTGATAAACTATTTTTTTTTAGAAATGTATGAATGATAATACGATAAGGACAAAACTAATAAATATATTTTATAGATGAACAAATTTTGTTTCTTCTCATTGCTTTTAATTAGCTATAGATATTCGACCAAGAAAGAAAACCTACTAGAGAAATAATAAAAATAAAAGAATCTAAGATAATCTTTCTCTTTTTATTTTTTTTCCTTCCCAATTTTTTAGTTTTTTTTTCTTTTTTATGTGAAATTGTGAATGGCCAATAGCCTAAAGGTAACCTTCTTTAGTATAACATTACGATCCTTTAAACCATTTATAGGTCCAATTACAGTCTTCACATACTTCAATGTTCTCCTTATTCATGAGTAAACAAATATCTAGTATTCATATTTGACTAAGTGTACATGTGTATTAAGATCAACAAGGATAAAATCACCTTTTTATGCACTTTTTTTTTTTGTTTAGCTAGATGAATTATAGTTTTGATTAGTCTTTTAGTTAAAATTCAAGCATAATCAAGAGAGTGCAGCACATATTTGTAACCATGAATTTCTATAAAGTGGTCCTTACAACAATCCTTTGTTGATAGCTATTAGATATATTTTTTTAAATATTACATCATTATATCCAACATCTATCAATAGATGATTAAGGACCATTTTATACAAACTTCTTGTCAAAAAATAAAAATAATTTGTATTCTTAAAAGGATGTTTAATGAGAATAACACAAAATACTTTACTTCAAGCTTAAGTTTAATTAAAATTAATTTTACAAAATTACATTTGTAAATATTTATCTAAACGCATTATAACTTGGCATGTTCTCAGGTTAAGATTACATTTGTTTTTCTGGTTTATTCAAAAACTAACTTAAGTTGTGAGACAAGTGTGTTTAATTTAACAATTAAGAAAAAAAATACATAAATAATATGTATTTTACTACTAAAACATTTTACTGACAGACTTCTAACACACTTGTTATTATGCTAATATTACATTTTTTTTTAAAAAAATTAACTTAAGTGGTAAGACAAGTATTAATGATGTATTTACTTTAACAACTTGAAAAAAAAAAAGCTAAAATAACCAAGACATAAATAATATATTATTACCAATTCATTTTAGTTCAGATTTGTAACATACTTTTGAATTAGACAACAGTAGAGCTTTCATTTCAATATTTATTGAATTATTAAAAAGTTTATCCTAACTATAATATATAATGCATATTAATATTATTTTTCTATCCAATTAATAAGAGAAAAAGAAGTGAGAGTAATGCACTAAACAAAGTGGCACTTATATATATATATATAATACTTAAATTCTTTAAACTTCTTTTTATCAGCATCCATACCGATTTTAAATATTTATTATATTTTTAATATTATAAAAAATAATAAAATTTATCACTTTTAATTATTTTATATAAATTTAAAAATAGATACTTATGTTTTTTTGTTTTTAATATTTTGTTGAACCTTACTAGAATATTTATTTGAAATCAAAATTATTGCTTGAACCAAATTCATGCAAAAGAAAATATCTATTTTTGACCAAACTGATATGTGCATTTAAATCGAATATAATTATGAATGCAAAAATAAAATTAAAATAATATTGAGAAGTCATTTCCTAAACTAGCTATAAACACAAGATATCTTGTTGCAAAGTACTCAAATTAATTCTTGAAAAAATGTCGAAGACACATGATTCTTTAAAAAAATGTTTTTTTAAATTAAAAATTATGAGAAAAAATAATTTTTATTTTTATTTTTATGTTCAATAAATAAAAGGACTAAACTATATTTTGTATTCAAACCCATAAAATATATACATATATATGTCAGAAAAACATATGCTAAACAAATAGCGTGAGCAGCAGGATTCGAACCTGCGCGAGCAAAGCTCACATGATTTCTAGTCATGCCCGATAACCACTCCGGCATGCCCACCGGAACGCTAGGTTCATTTCATATTATTTTATTTATAAGAGCTTTAAAAGCCCAGCAAATGAAGTGTAAAATTAGATATTATTTAAACTTGGGAGTTCAAAATTGGGCCAAAAATTGTTCTGGAAAATAAAATTGGCCGGGAGATTTTCGTTCTCAGCTTTGGAATATAGCTTTTCGTCATTTCATTCCTCAGTGAGTAATCATTTCTATATTTTTTGGAGAAAATATAACTGTCCAGGAAAATCACGCCGAAGCTCCTCTCGCTCGTTCTCTTTTAATTCCAATCCCGAAATCTGTCAAGGTAAGCAAGTACCATCCTTCTTTTCTCTTATTTTTATAGATTTTTGGAGAGAATCCATCAATTAACCATTCGTTAGGTTAAACTTTCGGATTGAAAAAGAGAGGAATAAACATTGAAACGGCTTGTACGATCTTCGAGTTCTCGATGCAATCAGAATCGATATCGGAAAAGGTTTTGGTGCTTGAAGAAGAGGAGGAGGAGGAAGAAGAAGATAGTGAAATCGTTACGGTTGGGATTGGTTTCCGATGATTCCTCCGAGAAGGAAGAAATGGACCGAGGCGGAGGAGAAAACCCTAATCGACAAGTACGGCGAGATGGTCGCGGACGGTTCGCTGGCGAAGATGAGAACTCGCGAGAAGAAGTTCAAACCGATCGCTTATCACGTGAATTCTGTGCACCACCTTCGCGATCCCGTGGCGTACCCTTGGCAGTGGAGTTGGAAGGACGTTTCGACGAAGGTGCAGAACATGAGGCACCAGTATCTGCTGGTGAAGCAGAAGATCAAGAAGCCAGAGTTTTCGGCAGGGGATTGCGATGGGAGTGAGTTTGATTGGGTAGAAGGACTCACTCATTGGTCTAACTTTCTTAGGTACAAGGATGTGTTTGGGGATGTTGCACTCGTTGGTGGTAGTCATGGTGGTAATGAGTTCATGGTAATTGCGGATGGGGATGGGGACCATGGAGATGGGTTTCTTGCTGCTGGTAGCGGCGGCGGGAGTGGCAGTGGTGGTGGTGGGGGAATGGATATGGTTGAATTTGGTCAGATGGGTCATTCCGGGGATGGAGATGGGGATGCAGACGGCGATTTTGTGGCTGCTATGGATGGGGTTGACAATGAGGTGATGGGTTTGGGGTTTGAGTATGATGCTGAAGAAGGGGAGGTGAATTATAATGGGAGCGGTCAGGTGAGAGAGGATGCGGAGAATGGTTTTGTTTATGAGGAAGGGGAAATGGCGGGGTCGAACTTGAAGAAGAAGAGGAAAGTGGTGAAGGGGATGGAAAAGAAGGCGTGGAGGGTTCTTGCTAACCAGCTAGGGCAGTTGAGGGATATGGAGGCTCGGTTTGAGCAACGTGAGGTGGAGAGGGAGCGAGAGAGACAGCGGAGGGAAAACTTACGAGTGGAGCTTGATAAGCAATGGGAAAAGAAACTGGAGGAAAGGGAAAAGGAGAGGGAGGAGAGAGAGAAGGACAGAGACAAGCTGAGGAGGCAGAAAATGGTTGAGTGGGAAGCTATAGAGAAGGAGAATGAAGAGATGGAAAGGAAAAGGAGAGAGGAAGAATTAGTTCATGAGAGGGAATGGGAAGAGGGAATGAATTGCAGGAGGCTAGAATGGAAGAAAAGGTTTGACGAGATGCTGAGCCAGCACCGAGCAGAAATGGGCCAGATGCAGACTCGGATTCTTCATGAGCAACAAAATCTCACTAGCCAATTACTTGGTATATTCTCGCAGTGGACTGCCCAACCTGCTGGCTTATCTGATCATACTAGTGCTAGCAACCATTATCTTTCACAAATGATGCAAAATTTGCATCATGTAAATGGTATTGTTCATGGTGACACTAGGGTTGAGGGAGATAATCAAGAAGATCAATTCATTGTTGATGGATGATACATCTCTGCCATTTTGTTTATGTGTGCTGGGGAGTCCTGGAACATTTCTGTTACAAGAGATGGTGTAAAGTGCACATAACTGTTGAATGCATTTTTAATTGTACTTTATTCGATTAGGTATGATTTGTATACTGCCTCTAGTTTATAATATTTTAGTGTAACTAATTGATATAAATAATGCTTTTTGTTTCTTGTTTTCATCTGTATTGCACTATGAGACTGCGAGTGTAAAGGTCACATTTTTTGTCCTATACATCTTTTAATGCTTCTATTGAAACAATCTATTATTTGAATCTTCTAATATGTACTACAATCTAGGAGTAATTTTCTGTTACTTCTTTAATGTTGTAATGCTAATGAAACAGGAGATCTAGACTCTGGAGTGGTATATTCATCCTTTGTTATTTTTTCCTGCCATACTTTAACTAATTTCATATCCTATATATATACATTCTTTCTATGTATTCAGTATAAGTTAATTCTGGCCTTGTTTTCAGCTTTATGCACAGGTCAGATGTGTTACTATGTGTTTGGTACAGTGAAAATTTAAAGGTTCTACATGCAGGAAAGAAATTGAGAGATGTATTTTGACTTGTCGTATTTTTAATTCTACATTTTCTTTCTTACACTTTTACAGAGTTCACCTGTACTACTCTTGCATGTAATCCTTGAATCTGCTGTGTAATCTTATGTTACTGTATCTTCATATATTGATTGTATAGACACATCTCGTGCCTTGACAGAAAATATTCTTTTTATACCCACCTGTCGCAGTATGCTTAAAACGGTCTAGTTATATCTTGCAAATGTTAGCATAGCATTGACAAGCTCTAAAATGATAGGGACAATGAGCAACTATGAAGAAAGTACAGCCACCTCCAAATAAAGACAACTGTTTTTCTGCGGCGGAGTTGTGTAAGATTCAAATTTCATACATGCTCCCAAGTGCATGCCGAACTTCTCACGAGCCACGCATAGAAAACAAGAATCTTTGCGTGCTTCACTGGAAGAGTCCTGTGAATCCGTTTTGAGATAAACCTGGAAATTTGAAATATTTACTGTGTTGGAGTGTCTTACTGATTTAATGTAAAGTCCAACGTGTTTGAGTTGAAACTAGAGGGTCTGTGAGTGACTTATGAACAAGGTTGTTGAAGCAACTTATGAATATAATGGAGAAATAGCCTTTTTTTTAGAAGCAATATTTGTCTACTTTACTCATACCTTACAAGTTTCTAACAAATAACCCGAATAAGAAAACAAAAAATCGATATTGGGGTAAGCTTGGATTTTAGGGTCTATGAATGGAAAATGAGCAAAAATTCATTTCTAACTAATCCGTCAATTCTAAAGTGATAGTCTTTGTACATTACATGATGTTTTGAGAAAGAGAAATATTAGTGACAAACTTTCTAACACACTCAATTTAACATATTTTTAGTAATTAATTCAAATTTATTAAAATTATGTTATTCTTATTTGTAATTTAATCTAATGATTATTACCTTTAATTTAATGATTATTTTTCATGTTTATATGATTTTAAAAAAATTAGTTAATAACTATAAGTATGATAAAAAAGAATGCATTATAGAGTATATAGTTTGACAAAATAGATTTAACTCTACAAATTAACTCGTTTAACCCCAATTTTTTATGAGACGAGATGAAAATTTTATATTCATTTATTTGTTTAATGAGTTTTACTTAAAATTAAATTACGAGTTAGATGAGTGTGAGGTGAATTAATTTATAAGGTCAATTTTTTTTTAAAATATGATAAATATTAAATTAAATTTTAATATCAATAAATTATTTATTTATTTAAGTTAAATTTTAATTATATATTTTTTTAATTTATATTTTTTATTTTTAAATAGGTCAATCCATTTACTTATTATAGAAATGATGTTAGTAATTTTAGGTCGTACATGCATGCATATATATATATAGTACATAATTAAATGTGTTAGGGCCATTATTTTATTAGTCAAAATATTAAAGTGGTCTAATTAATATAAAGTTTATGGCTAAGGGCATATATGTCATGAAAGGTTAATTGTGTAGATATCATTGGTGATATTATAATTTGATGATGGGCCAAATTATAATTATCAATTTTGGGGTAACTGATGGCAGTTACTAATATAAGGGTTATGGTCCCCCATTTGTAGAGCAAGTAACAACACGTACAATTAAAGTTCTTTCTCTTTTTATCCCCATCAGAAGAGAAACCCAAAAAGAAAATCTAAGGTGCTCTATATTTGGAAGATCAAATACCCGCTGTCAATCTCATAACCTTCATCATTCCTAATGGCAAATTCAGGTACGCTTTCGCATTTTATTTTCATCATGAATTAGGGTATGGGTTTATAAGAAAATATATGATTGTGCTGTAATTTTTATTCTATATGGATAATAACATGTGATTAGATACAATTATTATTTGATAGAAAGCCAACAATTGGTATCAGAGCCCTCCATACTTAATTCATGTATGATTTTGAAAATTTTGAAATTAGAGTTTCAAAATTGAGATTTAATTTGGGTTGCGCTATTGAATTTGCATCGCAATTTTGCCTATCATATTTTTGTATGACATTATGAATTGCGATGCATGACATTACATATTGATTTCCGTTTCGATTTCTATTTCTCTCTCTTTTGTTTCCTTTTTGTGGCAGAGGGTTCTCAAATAGTTCCAATAATTGATAGTCTTCAACATTGCTAATATTTTATTAGTTAAATCTGAAACTTTATTGTTATTCTGCATCGTAAATTTGCCTTCTGAATGGTTTAAAAACTTTGATCTATACATTTGGATCATTATGTCAATTTGTTTTTTTTAGCTATTGCTTCTATATCTGCTAATCTGAATTCAATTTCGATTCTTAATGGTAAAAATTTTAAGGACTGGAAAGAGAACATGGAAATTATTCTTGGCTGCATGGATCTAGACCTTGCATTAAGGATTGAGAAACCATCTTCTCTTACGGATTCTAGTACCTCTGAATAGAGGAAACTTCATGAGAAGTGAGATCACTCAAATCGCATGAGTCTTAGATCATTAAGCGCGATATTCCTGAGGTCTTTAAGGGTACTGTTTCAGATGATATAACAAGTGCCAAAGAATTCCTTGTTGAAATTGAAAAGCGCTTTGCAAAAGCGATAAGGCGGTAACAAGTACTCTTCTTCAGAACTTGATTTCCATGAAGTATCAAGGCAAAGGAAATATAAGGGAATACATTATGGGAATGTCAAATATTGCTGCAAAATTAAGGGCATTAAAGCTTGAGCTGTCAGAAGACTTGCTTATTTATTTAGTTCTGATTTCTTTACCTTCACAATTTAGTCAGTTTAAGATCTCTTATAACTGTCATAAGGAGAAATGGTCTCTTAATGAGCTCATTTCATACTGTGTGCAAGAAGAGGAAAGAATGATGTAAGAAAGGACTAAAAGTGCCCACTTTGGGAGTGCCTCTAAAGACAAGGGCAAAAGAAAGATGACTCGAGACTTTAAAAATGAAGTTGTTAAGGGTCCAACACAAAAGAAACAAAATCAGGGTGATAATTGTTTCTTTTGGAGTAAGTCTAGACATGTAAAGAAGAAATGTACCAAATATCATGCTTGGCATGCAAGGAAATGTATGTTTTTTACTTTGGTCTGTTCTGAGGTCAATTTAATTTCAGTACCTAGAAACACTTGGTGGTTAGATTCAGGTGCCACACTGCAAGATTGCCTAAGCTATCGAAAGCCAATTGATTCTAAAAGATGGATATATGTTGGAGATGGCAAATCAGTGGAAGTGGAAGCTATAGGGCATTTTAGATTATTATATGTACTGGATTTTATTTGGATTTAAAAGACAGTTTTGTTGTACCGTCATTTAGACGAAATTTGGTTTTAGTTTCTTATTTAAACAAGTTAGGTTATTTGTGTTCATTTGGAAACAATATGTTTAGTTTGTCTTTTAATTCAAATATTATTGGAACTGGTTCACTTTTGGCTTATGATAATCTATATTTACTTGACACTGTAGCTACCTACAGTGAATCCTTAACTGTGGAATCACATGGTATTAAGCATAAAATTGACAATATTAACTCAGGAGCATTATGGCACAGGCGCCTAGGTCACATCTCTAAAAATAGAGTTTAACGACCTGTATCAAATAGGATCTTGGATTCCATTGACTTCACAAACTTTGATGTTTGTGTTGAATGCGCTAAAGGTAAACAGACCAAAACAAAGAAATTAAGTGTGTATAGAATTACAAACGTTTTAGAGTTGATACATACAGACATTTGTGGGTCATTTCCTACACCTTCTTGGAATGGTCAGCAATATTTTATATCGTTCATAGACGATTACTCTAGATATGCATACCTATTTCTTATACATGAAAAGTCACAATCTCTAGATGTGTTCAAAACATTTAAAGTTAAAGTTGAGAATCAACTCAACAAAAGAATTAAGAGTGTTAGATCTGATTATGGTGGTGAATACTATGGCAGATTTGACGGTTCAAGTGAACAACGTCCAGGGCCTTTTGCCAAGTACCTAGAGGAATGTGGAATCGTCCCACAGTACACCATGCCGGGCTCACATAGCATGAATAGTGTGACTGAAAGACGAAACATGACTCTTAAGGATATGATAAGGAGCATGATATGTCATTCTACCTTGCTAGAGTCACTCTGGAGAGAGGCTCTAAAGACTGCAGCTTACATTCTAAATACAGTGCCAACAAAGCAGCTGCCAAAATGCCTTATGAGCTTTGGACTGGGCGAAAGCCTACTCTTAAACATTTTCATATGTGGGGATGTCCAGCTGAGACAAGGCCTTATAGGTCGAATGAAAAGAAATTAGACTCCCGAACAGTTAGCAACTACTTTATTGGTTATTCTGAAAGATTCAAGGGCTATAAATTTTATGATCTCATACTAAAGACAATTTTTGAGACGGAAACTGCCACGTGCTTTGAGGATATTGAGTTTGGGGGGAAGAATAAGGTTAGGGACTTTGTCTTAGAGGAAGAATCGGTAACAATTCTAGAACCGATTCAAACAGTTGCTTTTGATAAAGAAAGTTTGGAACCTCCATAAGACATTGTTATTGAGCCCCTTACTCAAGATGATTTTGTTAAGAATATGGTAAGGAGCATGATCTGTCATTCTACCTTGCCAGAGTCACTCTGGAGAGAGGCTCTAAAGACTGCAGCTTACATTCTAAATACAGTGCCAACAAAGTAGCTGCCAAAACGCCTTATGAGCTTTGGACTGGGCGAAAGCCTAGTCTTAAACATTTTCATGTGTGGGGATGTCCAGTTGAGACAAGGCCTTATAGGTCGAATGAAAAGAAATTAGACTCCCGAACAGTTAGCAACTACTTTATTGGTTATTCTGAAAGATTCAAGGGCTATAAATTTTATGATCTCATACTAAAGACAATTTTTGAGACGGAAACTGCCACGTGCTTTGAGGATATTGAGTTTGGGGGGAAGAATAAGGTTAGGGACTTTGTCTTAGAGGAAGAATTGGTAACAATTCTAGAACTGATTCAAACAGTTGCTTTTGATAAAGAAAGTTTGGAACCTCCATAGGACATTGTTATTGAGCCCCTTACTCAAGATGATTTTGTTAAGAATATGGTAAGGAGCATGATCTGTCATTCTACCTTGCCAGAGTCACTCTGGGGAGAGGTTCTAAAGACTGCAACTTACATTCTAAATACAGTGCCAACAAAGCAGCTGCCAAAACGCCTTATGAGCTTTGGACTGGGCGAAAGCCTAGGCTAAAACATTTTCATGTGTAGGGATGTCTAGCTGAGGTAAGGCCTTATAGGCCGAATGAAAAGAAATTGGACTCCCAAATAGTGAGCAACTACTTTATTAGTTATTCTGAAGGATCCAAGGACTATAAATTTTATGATCCAACACTAAAGACAATTTTTGAGACAGAAACTGCCACGTTCTTTGAGGATATTGAGTTTGGGGGGAAGAATAAGGTTAAGAGCTTTGTCTTAGAATCAGTAACAATTTCAGAACCGATTCAAATAATTGCTTTTGATAAAGCAAGTTCGGAACCTCCACAAGACATTGTTATTAAACCCCTTACTCAAGATGATTTGGTTGTTCATGAAAAATAAACTCAAAATCCTCAAGAACGTGTTAATCATAAGCCAATACCTTTGCAGAGATCCACTAGAGAAAGAAGAAATGCTATTCCGGATAATTACATAGTATTTCTTCAGGAACATGAGGAAAATAATGATATGATAAAAGATGATCCAATCAACTTTCGTCAAGCCATGCGTGATTCCAATTCAGAAAAATAGATTAAGTAATGAATGAAGAGTATAAGTTCATGCAAGATAATAAAGTTTTGGGGTAACTGATGACAGTTACCAATACAAGAGTTATGGTCTCCATTTGTAAAACAAGTAACAACACGTAGAGTTCTTTCTCTATTTATCCTCATAAGAAGAGAAACCTAAAAAGGAAATCTAAGGTGCTCTATATTTGGAAGATCAAATACTCACTGTCAATCTCATAACCTTCATAATTCCTAATGACAAATTCAGGTTCCGCATTCTATTTTCATCATAAATTGGAGTATGGGTTCAATAAAAAATCTATTATTATACTATAATTTTATTCTATATAGATAATAACATGTGATTAGGCATAATTATTGTTTGATAGAAAGCTCAATAAATGAAATATGTTGTTATTTTTGACTCATCTTAAAATATAAGATAGGTTAAACTCAACTTAATTTTTTTTTAAATTAAAAATGAGATAAATCAATTAATTTAACTCATTTTACTTTGTGAAGAGTATGTTTCTAATACTCTTCTATTATATCTTTATAAAATATTATTTTTATTATAACTGTGCTTTAAATAAATAATGTATAATAATATTTTTATTTTTATTTTTGTATGAGTTAATTTTCAGCAAGCAAATAAGATAAATAATAAATCTGCGTAATGGAAAAGGTAAAAAAAAAAAACGTCAATCAATTTGAAAAGTGAACCAAGTTTTGTTGTTTAAACCGTGTATTATCCAAACAGATATTTAAACGGTAAGCACATATAAGTAACACTAGGAAGGTTGACTGGTGCTACTAAGAAGAGGAAGGAGGGGGAATTATCTGTTTTCAATGTTGTTTGGATTGCGAACATGGCTTTGGCGTAGATTCCAAGATCACTGATCACTCTATAAGTAGTTTTCTAAATTATTTGGTTGAAATAATTCGAAGATGATGAAAGGAAGGCTTGGATCAGGAAAGAATTGTATTGATTACAGAATGGTAGTGGCAGCGGTGTGGTTATGTGTTTGCATAGCAGCAATTGAGTGCGGGGTAAGAGTGACAGAGGCAGAGGACCCTCGGTATTTCAAACCCTTCAACGTGACCTACGATCACAGAGCTCTCATCCTCGACGGGAAGCGTCGCATCCTCATCTCCGCCGGAATCCACTATCCACGCGCCACTCCCGAGATGTGGCCTGATCTTATTGCCAAGACCAAAGAAGGTGGGGCAGATGTAATTGAATCTTATGTTTTCTGGAATGGCCATGAGCCTGCCAGAGGACAGGTACCTACCTTCCCCGTCTCTTCTTTCTTCAACTCTGTATTTATTAATATTCAATTATTAATTTCTTTTTCCCACTTCCACTTGTGCAGTATCATTTTGAAGGGAGATACGATCTTGTCAAGTTTGTGAAGCTAGTTGCATCCAGTGGACTCTATTTCTTTCTCCGTATAGGCCCTTATGCGTGTGCAGAGTGGAACTTTGGGTCTCTGCCTTTTCTCGTATTATATCATCTCAGTATTTTTCGTTTTTTAAGTTTTAATTTTCCATTTAGGTAAACCACTTCGAAAGGAGAACATGCATTCTTTTCTGGCCAAACAAGTCCCATATTCTATTTAGATTAACTTGATGATAGTTAATTACTCTCACTTCTAATATCTAATTGAAAGTCATTATTCTGATGTAAGAGATGCACATTGCCCAATGCATTTTTGATATAAATACAGTCTCAAGTCCAAATCCCATATGAAAGACTAACACTCTTCCTGTGATGTAGAACTTGGACCGAGCCTGTTCGCAAAAGTCAGCATAGTATCATTGCCCGTAGAGCCTCATGGCTCATTGATGATCCAAAAATCTGTGGCCTAAGACTAGTCTAATGCAAAAAAAAAAGGGAAAAAAAAAACTTGATTAAAAAATTGAATTAAAAAAGAAGAAAAGAGGGCTCAAATGTTCAATGAGAAAGAAACAGTGGCCTAAGACCTAAGAAAAATAAAGAGCTCATTGAAGAACACCCAGCGACCCATGACTTAAAACAAAGAACTAGCAGTAAAAATTTAGTGGCCTAAGACCTGAAGTCTAATGAAAAAAAGGAAAAAAGGGCTCAATGAAGAAGACTGAGGCTTATTACAATTGGACTAAAGAGGGGGAGTGTTAAAAATACAAGAAGTTGTCAGAGAGAGTTGGTTTAGGATTGAGTGACGTGTTTGTTTATAAAGACTTCACTATTTAGACTCATGACCCTCTTGTTTATATATCCTTTTAACTTTTAGCGCAGTTGTGACTTGTGTTTAACCTTTAGATTAGGTTCTGATAGACTGATACAATTTTAGAATTTTGAGTGAGTTCAATCCAAGAGTATGAAAGAGAGTGAACTTAAGTTTGAGTGATCTGTCTAAAAGCCTCGACTATTTATCATATAACTTTTTTGTTTATAATATATATCCTTTAACTTGTTAATATACCAATGTGAGACTTTGTTATTTAACATTTTTGGATATTACCCTATTTTATAGCATCATCATCTTGATGATATTTATTTGTTATTTGTTGAAGTCTGTATATAGTTAGAAAAATATGCATTGGGATTTCAGATTTGGTATTCCTGCTGCACCCTTAGTTTCATCTATTTATCTTGTTCTATTTGTGTTTAAGTTGTTTAGTTATTTCTGCTCTCAAGTATTTTATACTCACCCATGGTTTATTTATTTCTTTTTAGTAGTGCTCATTTTTCTTTTTTAAAAAATAGATAAATATCTGATAGCTTGTTCCTTGATTTTTGGGCTATGTTTGCAGCGGTTTCCCAGTGTGGTTGCGTGATATCCCTGGTATTGAATTCCGGACAAACAATGCACCTTTCAAGGTAGAGAATACTTTGTTAGATTTGGTTGGCATTAATTATTTTTTTTGGGTTTCTTTAACATATCTGTAACCTTTGTTTCTGCTTCTCCTTTTGTATTTGTGATTATTCTATTTATTCAGTTTATTTAGCATTCTCAGTTTTGGACTACAATTAACTTGACAAATAGTTTTTCTGGTTTGCACTTAGCACTTGTGCAGCCTTGCAGGAATTCATGTCAAATATCATTTTTATTTTATTTTGTTTTATTTTTTTGGCTACTGCACCTCAATGTTTATGCTGGTACGGGTAGGATTTCTTGTGAACTCTCCTAAAATCCCCGAATAAATGATAGTGTTTTTTTGATATCTTAATTTTATATTAACTTCTGTTATTAGATTTGGAAAAGATTGTCTTAATATGCTTTTGATCAACCTTTTTTTCTTAAAACACAGGGGGAGATGAAGAGGTTTGTCTCGAAGGTCGTGAACCTGATGAGAGAGGAAATGCTGTTTTCTTGGCAAGGTGGACCTATAATTTTGTTGCAGGTTGGAAGAAAGTGTGGAGTTTGGACTTTATTTGCATTAGTTGATTTTATGTTTCGTAATTTGAAGCATATTCAAAGTCCTGCTGGGGTATCCAAAATTGACACTGAAAATTACAGTTGTCGCTACATTATCGTTTTTCCTTATTGCACTTGTGCTTCTTTACTTAGTTAAGTTTTATTTTGGTAGTGTTAAACTACTTTTACCAGATTGTGGATATGTCACTTTCTCTGGATTTGTCTCTTATAATTTCTTCAATTTCTATTGGAGTCGCCTAAATAGGTTATTTTAAATAATGTGTGACATACTGCATGGTTGATAAAGGCAGGTAATAGTTCCCAGATATTTGATATATTAATAGAAATTGTAAGTGAGATTTTAATTGTTGATTGACTTGATTCTTGTTAAATGCTTCATTTCAGTATTGATGTATTTAGATTATAAGTTCCATTTTCAAATTACTTAGTTTTCAAATTAAGCTTTAGATAATTGTGACTATGCTTTATCTTGTTGTCTTGGCATTAGCACATGCAACTGTCAAATTTGATGCTTCCCTTTGAAGAATGCAATGTTTAACTTAGCATCTGACTGGTTTTTATCAGATTGAGAATGAATATGGGAACATTGAGAGCTCCTATGGCAAGGCAGGTAAAGAGTATATTAAATGGGCAGCTAGGATGGCTCTAAGTCTTGGTGCTGGTGTCCCATGGGTCATGTGCAGACAACAGGATGCTCCATATGATATTGTAAAATATATCCTTTTCCACAATTGAAAAGAGCTGCTATTGGTGTTTACCTATACTTACTAAAATAACATTAAGTGTTCAGGACTTTCTAATAGATTATTGAAAAATAACAAAAGGAAAACATAGTTAACATTTTTATTGTTTAAAAAAATTAATGACTCAAGTAGTTAATTAAATCAATTTTGTTTTCCACAGATTGATACATGCAATGCATACTACTGTGATGGATTTAAACCAAACTCTCGTAACAAGCCAACAATGTGGACAGAGAACTGGGATGGATGGTATGAACAACCATATCCTTCAAGGGATTACCTTTTAATGAGCAATAATGGTTGTAGAAGCTGCTATCGCGGCTTAGCAAAGCGCATAGTATATACCTATGTGAGCAATGGTATTCAACAGAGAGAGAATAGTAGCTACTATGATATGGAGGCTATTGGTGGCCTATAGCCTCCATAACATAGTAGCCGCTATTCAACAATAGCCTCCATAACATAGTAGCTGCTATTCTCTCTCTCTTGGAACCCTACCTTCAATCATATCTATTGGCTCTCTACTGAATTAGACCTCTTTGATGTTGCCCACAAGTAGTGGCCTTTGGCAGCAACTCATGGCGTGGTTCTCTCTTCTCTTTCGTCACCAGCAGCAACATATTTAATTATTTATTTGCCTCTCTGTACTCTATCTATGTGTGCATGCTTCTTATATATATGTCTATGTGACTTGGGAGGCAGACAGAGGGAATTCTAATTCTATATATTATATCTTTGATATGTCATTTGCTTCTTATTTCAGATCGTCCCATGGTTTTCTTCCTATTTTCTAAGCAGAATTGTGAACTCCCTTGTTTGTTTTCTTTGCTTTTGTGGCTGGTCCCTGATTTTCCATGGTATCATATTTAGGGGGTGCTGCTCTGTGCCACATTCTACCATTACTTTGCTTTTTATATATGTTACACTGACTTGTTCAGTAATTTATGAAATTATCATGTGGTTAGTTAGGAAAATATCATGATAGTAGGTGTTGAAGTCCCATATCAACTGTAGATATAGCTAAATAAAGGCTTATAAAAGCTAAAGGCAATTCTCACCATATGAGCTGGCTTTTGGAGTTGAGTTAAGCTTAAAGCTCAAATTCAACACTAGGAATGTAGTTACTTGTTGGCTCACCCAAAGTAAGGGACTAAATGGTATATTCATGATTATATAGTTCATGACAATATAAATACAAGTTTAGGAGTCAATATGATAATCTTTCAGGTAAGCCAATATATTTGTGTTCCATGCTTCTGTGTGTGTGAGCATGGGCATGCATATATGTGCAGTTGCATGCATCTAAGTGTGTTGAACTGTTGATAAAGAAATGGAAGTTAAAAGAAATAATCTGTTGATAGCTGATTTGGTATTTGTTGTGAAAAATATTTTTATTGCTTTCAAATGACTTTTAAAGGTATACACAGTGGGGTGGAAGATTGCCTCATAGACCTGTTGAAGACCTTGCATTTGCAGTTGCACGGTTTGTCCAACGTGGAGGGAGCTTTCAGAATTATTACATGGTATCATAATTGAAGAAATTTTTATTTAGACTAGCAGTTCCATTTTGGCTTCTTTTCTATTCTAAGCTAATGGTTATCTCATGGAGGATTATTGTCTAATGTTTGTAGTGGAGGGCTTTATTACATTTCTGTTCTTTAACCACATTTTGTTCTGTATGTTTCATGCTTCTGCTTTCCCGTTCTCTATCTCCTATTCATATTTTTTATTTTATTTTGAAATATCAAATTGAAACTCTATTGTAAGTTGTGAATGGCCATTACCAGATTACAGGCATAAAAATCTTCTGTCTTGAAACTGAAAATGCAGAATAAAATCCAATTAAAAGTTGAAGGAGTAGAAAAGAGTAAAAATTTGGATAGGTATAAACAAGTAGAGGACTCAGCGAAGGGATGCTGTGGAGAGGTAATATACAACAGCTGAGTATCCTCGTAGAATAGAACAATGGAAGTAGTTTGATATTAGCTGTTGTTTAGAATTATATTTTGAATTGCTAATGTAACCATGAAGAGATGTAGCATGTCAACAAGTGAAAGAGTCGTATCATGTCAAAAAGAGGTGCAGCATGATTTTAGCTATTTTTGGTACTAAAAATATGATTAGAGGCACTTGTATGAAGAAACCATTGTGGGTTAGAAAGTGAAAGGATTTACTGAAAAAAAATCCACCAATGGCATCAAGACTTGAGTCCATACATACTCTTCAAGCAAGGGAACAGATAAAGGTGGTTGTATGCTTGTGAAAAATGAAGGTTTCAGGTGTTGGTATTTTTAAATTTAGAAACCATTTATATGGGACTGGTGAAAAGGGAGAAAAATTATAAGGTGACAGAAGGCCTCTTGAAAAGAAGAATCCCCCATGTACATTCCTTTCAAAATCTGTTTCAAGAACCACTACCCACTTTTAAAGTGACCAAGAAAGAAAAGGAATTTAACATTGATGTAGGTCTTTATTTTGTCAATGCATTAAGTGTCTTATTTTGCTTTTGCACTCTATGGGATGCCTTATCCTTTTTTTAGTACTCCATTGATTTGTTTATGATTTATTTTCAATAAAAAATAAACTTAAAACTCAGTGTGATTGTTTCTTTTAATCACCTTATATTTATGAATTTGAGATTTAGTTATGATGAATATATTACATATTATACTCTACATCTGATATATGTTATGGTTTCTGCATCTTGACAAGCCTTTTTATGTTACAGTATTTTGGTGGAACAAATTTTGGTCGCACTGCAGGGGGACCTTTGCAAATTACAAGTTATGATTATGATGCTCCAATTGATGAGTATGGTATGTAGAAGAAAAGCACAAGACTTTGTGTTCTTTAGATGGTTGCCTGTGGGATTCATATAGGCTGTGGCTGTTGACACAGTTGATGACACTCAATCATCGATCCTGGTTTTTGTAGGTCTGCTGAGTGAGCCCAAATGGGGTCACTTGAAAGATTTACATGCTGCTTTAAAGCTTTGTGAGCCTGCCCTGGTGGCCACTGATTCGCCAACATATATAAAACTGGGCCCAAAACAGGAGGTTTGAGCCTAGCCTGAAACAATCACTTCATAAAAATTTCAAGCATTATGGTTACCTGAAATTTGTAAAAACTGAATATTTTTTTCTTAATAATGAGTACAAGGTGATTAGAGATATATATAGGGAGACTAATAAAATATTTATGGGATATAGTCTTGCTGTCATAATTATAGGTAAATAAAGAAAACTAAGTTACAAGGAAATTGTTAGAAATAATGTAATTGTAGTAATAGGACAGATCATAAGCTTTCTCAAATCTACCTTAAAAGCCAAATTGCTTCTTCCAAACTTCCAGCATCATGTACTACCTTGTTAGTGTCATCAAGAATTTGTCTACTTCTAACAAAAGCACACTGATTCTCAGAAACGGTGCCTGAAAGGCCAACTGGGAAGCAATAATTTTTTTATCTTAAAAGCACTAGAAACTGGTTTAATGTGGAAAAAATCTTTAACTTTGACCAACCTGTCCCCTTTAGGAGCAAGAGTAGAATTCATACAAGCTCGTTATATTTGGGTTCTGAGAGTTCATAAAAGAATGAATGCATCTTATTTTTACAAGAACAGTAGTTAGTAATAAAACTATTTTCTGTGATCCTAGTAATCCAATTCTATTGTTACCTTACAACCATTATTTCCAAAACGACATTAATTATTGTTATCATTCCTAACAACTATATTTAATCTCTTTCTACTGAAATAGACATTTATAATTAACTTTTAATCTGTTTTTTACACAGTGATAATGCCTGTGGAATTATGAATATTTATCTACATTGTAAATTACACATAGGTCTTAACAAGTGCATGTAGTTAATCCCACCTAGTGGGATAAGGTTTTGTCATTGTATGGAAATTATATGAGCGGTATTTCTTTTTGTCCAAAATCTTTTTGTTCATCAATTTCAGGCACATGTGTACCAAGCAAATGTTCACCCTGAAGGATTAAACTTGTCTCTGTCTGAATTTCCTAGCATATGCTCAGCATTTCTTGCCAACATCGATGAGCGGAAAGCAGCAACTGTGACCTTCCGTGGTAAAAAATACACTATACCTCCATGGTCTGTCAGTGTTTTGCCAGATTGCAGAAATACAGCTTTCAATACTGCCAAGGTTGGTTTATGCAGGGTGTTTTGGGGTTCAAAAAATTTGCAAGACATGAATTTGTGACTAACCCACTGGCACCAAGGCAGATCAAATTTAATATTTTGTCAATGAATAATTGTTTTACATGATGGATTTTTCCCAATATCCAACCTAGGATTGAAAGTTTGTATAGATCTCAAAATTTTTTAGTCCAATATCTTTTGTTTTTGTACTACTTCGAAAATTGTCTTAAAATTAGTGTATAATAGATTTTTGAAAGAAACTGAAATATCAACTGCTTGATTATATAAATATACTTACACAAGTTTTGTAAAATTTGACATGCTAGATCTACATAATAATTAATTAGTATTGTAATGGTTAGATAATTAAAATAATTTTCTGTAAGAAGAAATTCTATAAAATGATGACAAAAGTTACAAAGAGAAAGGAGGATAAGGAATCCTCTACAACAAAGTTCTTGAATTTGAACTTGGAGCATAACTTAATCCTAAAAACTAGCTCGTATAGTGAGAACTATGTTAACCTTTATAAACTCTACTTTGGTCATATCTATAATTGATTTGAAATCTCAACCCACACCACTCACACAGGATTGAACATTTATAGCACAAAAATTGTAGGATTGACTTTTTTTGTTTGCACTACAAAAGTTGTGAAACCACATACATTGTATTAGAAAATCCATGGGAGTAGGTTAATAGCACTTGGAAAATCTGTTGGTCCAAGTTGATATCTTTTATAGTTGATGGTGACCCCATATCAGTTTTACAATTGACCTTGATACCATCTTGAATTTAGGATTGAGTCTAACTAAACCCCAAAAGTTGCTTATAAGGTGAGGATTATTTAACTTTTATAAATTTTATTTTGACCTTATCTGTAGTCTGTGTGAATCCTCAACAAAAAGATTAGAAAAGAAAAAAATCAATACACCAAAATTGCCTAATCCCTCAACATATCTCAACATAAACAATACACCAAGATGATTGTTTTTAAAATTATTATTTTAAAGGAAGGTGACACTTTAACAAATTTCAACTAAACCATTGATATGGCAACATAACAACTTGCATTTTATAATTTCTATATTATAAATAGATGTTTGAAAATGTCTTTTGAAAGGTTAATGGTCCTTTTATAGAACACTTGAATGAACTATAATTCTTAATTTTTCAGCCAGAAGCTGCCTCTTGTTGAATTGCATTTCCTCAAGTCAGACAACATCGGTGACTTAAGTAAGACTGCAATTGCATTTTTTGCTATAACAGTTTCAGAGCTTCTTGTTTTCTGGCTCATATCAGACCTATCAATGATGATTTCAGACAAACTGTTATCTCCGTCACCTAACAAATCTCCATGATTGCTCTTTTCTATAATAGTTGAAGAAAATACAACACACTTAGAAGTCATGCTAGATTTATGCCCCCAAACAGTATCCAGCAGATCCTCAAGAGACCCATTTTCCACAACTTCAAAACTAATTGAAGGGAACTGCCTCATAAGCAGCGTGGATATCATCTGCTTGGTTACTGTTTCATTCTCCCACAAACTACTAAGAGCCTGAGATATTAGAACATTCAATTGATAAGAGGATATGCAGGCCTTAAAAGAGGAATTTTCACACGTGCTACCAACCAACAATTTCAGCAGTTCATGAGGCAACTGGTTAACACACTTCTCAATGAATGACGAGAAATCCCCATAACCAAGAGAATCAAAGTTTTTCTTACCAAACTGCTCAGCCACCCAAGTTTCACAGTTGCAAAACTTCCTCAAAAACATAAGTCTATCTTGCACCAATGAATTACTGCTTCTATATATTTCATTATCAAGGTCAAAATAGGTTCCAATCTTTCTGATGACATCAGAAGAAGAAATACCTGTGAAATCCAATGAAGGCTGCAACATCAGCCGATAGAAAAGATGGCAAATATAATATGGAAAACCAAGAAGAAATAAATTACACAAATAATGCTCATATCCTAGGGTTAAAAAGGAATTTCTTAAGTACTCATCAAATAAACTTTAAATCATGAACACAAAACCATGACAATAAATATAGGTATATAAATCTACCCATAGGATTGAGCTGTATTACGTTCCAATTGCAATTTATTGCCATATTTGTGGAACGGCTTGACTAGTTAAAATTCTTTAAAATGGAAACTAATGTATAAAAGAAAAAATATCACCAATATTAGAAGATAACTAGAAATTAAGTCAGCCAAAGCTTGATTTATAGGCAAATAAACTCACACTTTGTATTCTCTGCGTTATCCTTTGTTATGTTTGGTACATTTTCCAAGTTAGGTCCAACATCTATAATCTTATATTCAGAACTCTTAGTTGGTGAGTGAGTTAATTCAGTGTTGTTGATAGCTTGGAAGGTATCATAGATGCTGTTCCACATTCCAGATTTGATAGATGACACCTAAAACAATGAAAAATGAGAATTTTTCAATAGATGATAATTTCCAAAGAGATTTTCAACCATCAATTCCAACAACCTGTGAAATTCTAAAAACAAAAAAAGCTTACAGCCAAGAACACAACAATGACTAAGGCGTTTAGATGAGCTTATAGAGAGCTCACTTGACATTATGAAAATAGATTATGATTCTCATAAGCATTTTTTAGTTTTGTTAGAATGTAAATAGCTTTAGCCGTTACAGATTATTAGAATGTAAATAGTCTTAGCCGTTACAGATTTTATTCCTAATTATTAGGTAAAATTAATTGTATTTGATTCTGTAAATGAATATAAATATATACTGTGTGATCTGTGTTAGACACACAACATATTCATCAAACACAATCTTCTATAAGTTTATTTCAAGAAGCTTCATAGTGTAACTTATCAAAATAAGCTCTTTTTAGATTTTTCCAATAAGTCCTTGTTTTATCCATGTAGCCAACCCAATCTAATGAGGAATGGCCTTGTTGTTGGACACTGATTGAGCAATGCTCAATAATTGTCATATGGGTGTTGAAGGAGTGCAAGTGTCCAACACATGCTTGACACCCCCAACACCGCAAGAAACAGTGATGTCAGTGTCCATAAATACTAATTTAAGCACTCAAATGTTTATGATATCCTCTATTTCCCTCCCTTAAAGGCCCAAACTGTCATTCAACCCAAAAATAATATTGGCTCTTCGGAAAAGTAATAGATAACAAATAAGGTAATTCCCTTTCCGTTCAATATATAATGGATATATCAAGTGAGAAGGTCTTTTTTATATGAGAATGAGGGGAAAATATTGACTATTAGATCTTACCATAATTGGTCAATATTAAAACACAAAAATCATGTAACTTATTTAAATTGTCATGCAGTTTTAAGTAGCCTTTAATCATCACCATTTATGCATGATTATATGATTAAAATCTTCTCTCACTACCATATAAAAGTAGTCCTTAATCTTCACCATCTATTCATGATTATATGATTAAAATCTTCTCCTCTCACTACCAAATAAAAGTAGTCCTTTCACTAGATACAAGGGTTTGCTAATGTACTCACACTAGTTTTTTAGAAACATGTTAGCAAGTTATAACATAAATTTGGTTAATAGTCCCAAATATATAATTATGTAATATCATAATCGGTCTAGAAAACAAGTTAGAGTATTTAGCAGCCATGCATCCATGTTGGTGTGTGGCAGGTAGGGAACTTTATCCTGCATAGTTGCTACAATTCCAAAATGTGTACAGTTTTATTTTCTAGCCAAGTCAGAATTAAGGAGAAAGTAAAAATAATACAACTAAATAAACTACAGGAAAAAAGTAAGGGGTAAAAATAGCATTAGCTGGGCCTGGGTGTGAAACAAGTTAATATTGGCCCACTGACAAATAAAAAATGGGGCTAAATCAACAAACAAAAATTAGTGCTAAATTTAAAATGTTAATCACACTATAAAATTAACTAATATGCCATCAAAGAATTAATACTACACTACATGTGTAAAGGTAATACAAAATTGATAAAAAGGAGCTTACAGCAGCATTCAGTAACCCAATGAAAGGATATGATGAGAGCATCATTCTGACTTTCCTCTGTCGCCGGGGTTTTACTTCATAGAATTGAAGCATCCTCTCCAAAACCTACATATTAATAGTGATTTATGTGTTTGCACATCTAAAACAAGTACACAAGAAGAGCTTCAAGACTATTCATAACTGAAGATGTAGATGAATAAAAATTCATAGAAGAGTATCTTTCTTCCTAAAGGAAATTTATTAAACAAGAGAAAGTAGGGAGTACATGAGAAAGGATAAGCCATCCAACAAGAGAAGGAGGAAAATAAGAGAGAAGGGAAAAATGAATCGTTCAAGAAAAGCACATCAAAGACACAGAATATAAAATAAATTCTTAAAATATGCATAACTCATGCACCACAAAGGATAGAATGCAAGGACATTACTGCATTCCAAATAAGTGATGAACGCTAATAATAAGAAATTTATTCTGGCATTTCTCTCCTTCAGAAGCCACCAAATCACTCCACACATAGAAAACCAAGAATAAAAAAGCATTCATTAATCCTCCAAACACACCTAAGATACCATGATAAATTGCTTCAAACTCTCTAGACAAATCCAGTTCTCCCCAGAAATAATAAATAGTCTATCCAATTTGTTTGCATGGTCAACCATGAGCAAAACACCAAATAAAAGCTAAAAACTTAATTCCATTTCCACCCCATAACAAAATTAAGCCAACCGTAACAAAATTAAGCCAAAGAGACACCGTCAGAAATAAGTACAGCCTGCTTCAACCAAATGCACCATAGAATTGCATAAGATGTATTTTACTATTAAGAAACTTCTAAAGCTAAGAGGTCTTAGCACAAGGTTCATTAACCTAAGGAGAATTTAATGTATTTTACTATAAAAAAACATACAGCGATCAACAGAAAACCAATCAACTGCTTCACCTGCTGCATACCATAGGAAAGAACTAAAATGAAAATGCTTTTATTAAAAGCAGCAACAAAGAAACATTTGAAAAAAAAAAAAAGTCAGTGCATAACTAATTTTAACATTCATTTTTTAATCTTTACTCCTCATCCTTTTTTAGGAAAGACACACTACCCTTATCAACATTTAAAATGAAGCTTATATCCTTGGATACTTAATAGAAATACAATGGAACTTCTGAATTCCACCCACAAGCTCAAAAATGCAATGGCACATTCATTCATGTTTCAGCTTAACATGATTTTGGGAAAAATAAAAAGATTCAATCAAGCCTAACTAATTATATTTTTGCAAATCTCCATATTGCTAGTGGCGATTGATACTCAAACACACAAGACACAACAATAATTCACAACAAAATGAAAAAGAAGAGAAATACTCAAAGCAATGGAGCATTATGTAAAATCATATAATTTTATCCCAAACAGAGAAAATGAGCCTAGCTCTGGGAAGAGGTGTGGAAGACTTTATTACAATAAAAATTAAAAAGTACATTATTGTCATCTGATTTTAGTGATCTTAAACACCTACCTCATCAACCTTGTACTCCGAACATGCCTCCTTCCAGGTTGTGACAAACATCTGCAAAGACTCGTTAGTAATGGAAAGATCTTCGCACATATTGATTGATACCTTGGATGTGTTACCATTCTCCTTTGGGGCAGCAACAACTTGAAATTTGTTTTTCTTAAGCAATTTAGAAGGAGCAGATTTTGTAGAAGTTACATTTTCAGATTTTCTTTTTTTCCTAGGTGGCTCATTAAATTCTTTTTTAAGGTTCCTAAGTGAGTTTCCTTGCATATCACCCCTAACCCCGAGTCGTGCCATCTCTTCAGTTGCAGATGGGTAAGGACAGCTACTCACTCGTTCTGAACTTTTGGCAAATTGTGATGATGGATTTGACCAGCTGCCCATAACAATGTTATTATTTTCATCATCTGTAGAATTATCACTATCTTCATCTTCTGAACTTGATGATATAAATCTTATATGTTGTCCGCAAAATGACTTTTTTACTGGAGAAAAAGACTCAACACGCTGAGTAATGGCATTAAAACGTTCATCTAACTGCTTTTTTTGCGAGTAAGAAATGGGACACTTCCTGAATTTCTCATTTTTCATTTTTAATGTCTTCAAGCACTTCTCTAATGTTGATTGCTCTAAATTTCTAGCTTCTCGTATGGCAGATATGTACATTCTGCAATGGTAAAATCAGTAATTTGAACAAGAAAGCCTATTCAAGTCCAAACAGAAAACAGATAACAAACTCCCTGACAAATATAATTTGACAAAAACATGAAAAGGGCAGAAAGAAGCAATGCGACTTCTAGACAAATACGGTTCTAATTCTGCGTATGCACAGTACACAGCATTTCAACAAATCGTAGGAGGAAAAAGACAAAACATACCCCAAGTTCTGTATTCGAATCCCGAGCCACTCCTTGCATTTAACCGACCGGTTCTTGGCAACAAAATCCAAAAAGTGTTCAACCTTGATGACTTCATTAATCTTAGAAGCATCTAAAAAGTGGCTTAATAACTGAATGATCTCCTCACTGGTTATCTTAAACACTTGGGGTACATCGGAGCGAAGGGAAAAGTAATGAATAACCAAAGGGTGTCGCAACAGAGGTCCCAATCCGAGCTCTTCAAAGCTATCAATACCCTCATTCTTGCAGATAGCCACTTCCAAATCATATACGGAAGTGATCCTCCGAACCCCAACAAAACAATGGACAAAAGCATTCACCTGCACACCAAAGTCGAATTAATCAATCAACTTAATCACTAAATTAATTTTGAAACAAAATACCCAAATGAGTGATGAGTGATGAGTGATGGCATATTAGACCTTCCCTTCGGTGATCATCAGGCGGTGAAGTGATGGAACTTGCTGCATTTTGATGCCCAAAGAGTTCCATGAATCAACCTGCAGCGTTAAAAGAGCGTTCTGGGAGACCTTCCATGCGGACACGGATTCGCCGGCTGCGAGAAGGTCGTGGCAGGCGTTAGCGGCGGCACGGTCAGCTCTGTCGATTGCGAGTTTAGGGTTTGGGGAGTGATGCTGCTGCTGAGGAGGCCAATTTGGAGGTTGAAAGTTTTGGGGAGAGAAAGAGTGCGGTGGTTGAAATAAGTATATGTTAGGGTTTGGGACATTAGAGGGATGCGGCGGCGCTTGCCGAGGGCCGCCGCCAAAGCGCGGTTGAAGGCCGTACATTCGCGGGAAAATACGAAGCGAGAGTGAGAGTACACACAGCAGCTGTGAAATCGAAACACAGCTAATTGCTATGATTATTATTTATTAGTACAGTTGTTTTGTTATGGCGGTGGAGTGTAGTGGAACCTTGCTTCGCTAATGGACTATCCATTTGCCCGGCCCAAAAGGAATCAATACTTTTTATTTATTTTCTTTTTACACTTCTTTTAAGAATTTTTTAACTTCTCTCAAAAAATAATTACAATTCTGAAAATTAAATTCAAAAAATTTAAAAAATAAATAAATAAAAATTAAAAAATTATAATATATTTATAACTGAGAGAATTTATATTCTTTTTTATATGTAAAATAATTATGACTATTAATTTTAAATTGATAGATAATGTAATTAATAATTTAGTTAACATTTTTTTATTTTTAAGATATTAAAAAAATCATAATTATTAATTAAAAAATATAAAATATTCTTTATAATTTATATATATTAAGTTATATTTATATATGTAATAATTTAAAAATAAAATTATAAATTTTAATAAAAACTTATTTTATTTTTTAAAAATATAATTAAATTGTTAGTAATTAAACTACTAAACACGTGAATAAGTTGATAGAAGTTGTATGGTTTAACTTATCTTTCAATCCAACATTTATATTTAGTAGTTAGTTAATAGATAAATATATTTTAATTATTAAGATCGACATGTATAAAAGTTGTCAACAAATCTATGGCTATAAAAATATTAACCTATTAAGTAAACTTATTTTATCATTTATGGAAATAATAGTGTTCAAGAACTAACGTAAATGATTTTAAATCTCTAAGAAAATTAAAAATTTATTCTAACAAATAATGTTTTAATTGTTAACTTTTAATGAGATTGACATTGAAAATGAAAATAAATATAAATTAAAAAAGTTTAAGTATTAAATGACAATAAAAAGTAGATAAATAAAATATTTTTTTAATTTTTGAATCTAAAATGGTAAGAAAAATCATAAATTTAATTAAAATAATATAATATAATTAATATATATATATAAATACTAATATTTTTAACTCATGTTTTATACAAAAGTATTTTATTAAAAATATAAATTTAAAAAAAATTAATGAATTAAATATTTATAATGTATATAATTTATAAATGAATAAATTTAAATAAAAGATAAATAGTCACAGTAAAATTTTACAATAAATAAATATATGTGTATATAAAAAAATTATACTTTTTTATCTGAAGAAAAAATTAACAAATAATAATTAATAATTTTTTTTATATTTTACATCTTTTTAAAAACTTATTTAAACGTAAATAAATAGTAAGAATAATATTATTTTGATTTAATAAATTATAGTTGTGCTTGTAATGCACATGTTGCATAGAAAAATATTATTTAAAATTAAAATATTATTAACAAATAATAAGCTTGCAATAATAGTTAGTTATTGTAAAATTTATAAAATATTTACAATATATTTATTATTTATCATTCACTTTATGATTTAAATATCAATATGAAACTATTAACAAAAATGTTTATGTGAAAAATATATTATATATGTGTCATATATAAATAATATTATTAAAAAAAGTCAATCTCATATAACTGTGTAATAATTAAATTGAATTAGCCTATTTAAACCTTATAAAATAGTAAATAAATTTTTCTATTAAAAATATAAATCAGAGTAAATATTTTGGTTTACCTTTATTATTAAATATATTTTTATATTAATTTTACATAACTTCACTTAAATAGTATAATAATACAAAAATTTAATACATAGTTGTAGAACAAAGTTTAAGTATATATATATATATATATATATATATATATATATATATATATATATATATATATATGTGTGTGTGAATATGAAGCAGCCTATCCCATTAAAATTTGTAAGTATTTATCTATATCCATACTCGTACTTATCTGAACGATATGATAATTCAATCTCATTAGAAAAAGGATAGCGAAGACCAGGAGTCCAAAGAAGAAGCCCAAAGACCTCGAAAGTTGCAGATAGCAACTCCGAGCCGTTCAAATGACGATTGGTCAGGCATGTACGCGATGAAAGCTTCAAGCTCATGGTGTAACATTGCGAATGGGGATCCCTTCTGATCCTTCAAGAACTTACTTTTCGAAGGAGAAGCACATAAACCATAGGGAGGGTAATCACTCAATTCCCTGTTTAAGGGGGATTTCAGTGATATGATATACCTAGTCATTATATCCTCATGTAACAAGTAATATTCTACTCATTGTATGTAAATTTTATTGGTATTCCATTGAATACTTTACCTATTGTCATCTCTACCCTTTTCTCTCCTCTAAAATTTATATTTTCAAATAACCTCTTATATTCTTAAAAAGAACCTTAGTTTATTTTAGCTTCTATTAGTAGTTTAGAATTACATTTTATAAAAAAAAAATTAATTATTTTAATATTTTTTTCATTTTTTTTATAATTTTTATTTTATTTGATAAATGTAATCTTTCAAATAAAAAAATTGCCATTAAAAAAGTCATATGTTGGTATGGGATTCAATTTATACTCTAATTAATCAAATCTATTTGTTTGCTCATAAAAAATTGATATATTATCTAAAAAAAAAAAAAACTAAACTAATTGAATACAATTGATAAAATCTAAAATAAACCACAAATTTAGTTATAACCAGTTCACATGATATTTAACATTAAATCAATTTAATTTAAACTGTAAACACTCCGACTCACGATGAGCCATGATAACACAAAATAAAAGTGCCAGTGAATGATTTTTCAACTAATTTAATTATTTTTTCTCTTTATATTTTAACTTATGTGTGATTTAATTTTTTCTAATTTTAATTACTTAATTTAATCTCTCTAGTTTTAAAATTACTTAAATAATTCTCTTTTTTCAATATTTCATTCAATTATAATAAAAGTGTGACCTGTTATTAATTTATATAATTTAGTAACCAAAAACTAATAAAATACTAAATAAAATATAGTAAAAGCCTTTTGTATTCTTTTTTATAAATTAATGATATATTATATATTTTTGATGTTATTGTTAATTATTGAATAACAATTTAGAATAAAATTAAATAATTAAAAAATAAAAAACTAAATATGAATAACTATAATTAAAGAGAATAATATAAAAATATTTTAAAATATTAAAATCACTTATAAATGTGAAGAGTAAAATTGTAATAGTATCAATATTGTGAAGGTGGTAGAGGCTTTAAGGGAATAATTTATTTTTTTCGAAAGCATGTGCTTTATTTATGTTTTTCAAGATAATGCGTTTCTAACTTGTGTTTCATTTATTTGCTTCAAATACACCAGTTTATGTAAACAAACAACAACAATAACTTAGATTCAGAAAGAGGGGGAAAAAAAAGAAGGAAAAATTAAGCTAATAATTTACTCTAACCCACTATAAGCTAGCCCATATTGGCCGGCTAAGTTTAAATTTAAGTTAAATTAAAATAAAGTTAAAATTCTTCATATTTAGCCTACACTTTTTAGAGCCTTTTATGGATCAAGTCAAAAGGTATTTCACCATAGCTTTCAATGTTCATCAACAATATTTGAGGCCAAAAGAAGATTGGCATTATGTAAGACATCTTTTTATATTAGTTTTACATCATCTTTATCCCTAAAAACTTCTTACTCGACAAACAATATTTCCTGTAATTATAAATATTTATATTTAAAAAAAACTGATGCTTAGTTTTTGATCATTTTTCTTTATTATTATTACTAACATGCCCTTTAATTTTAAAATTGCTCTTATATTATTTTTATCTACATATTATACTCTTAAAATTACATTTTCCCATAACATTGAATATCTCTTAACATTTTCAGAAATTAATACTGATGTTTATTTTAACAATGTTTACTAAAACAAGGATCCAAAGGAAAAGAAATGTGCAAACTTAACATACATGTTTGTCATATTTTTCTTTATTCCCCCTCCATCTTATATAAATATTTCTTATGCACTTTTTTATTTGTTTTAAATTAATGTTCACATTAAAATATAAAAATTATATTAATTATTTTTCAATAATACTTTTACTTATTAATAATAATTTTTGCTAGCTAATTACTATAATATTACTCTAAAAGTAATTATTATCAACAAACCATTGTATTAAATTTAACAATTTTAAAAGGATTATTTTAGTAAAATTAGTTTATTTTACCACAATAATTGATAAAACTAATAATTTTCTTAAAACGTGTATATCAGCAGTAAGTGAAAGACATGACATCTAAAAGGAGACAAAAGCAGCATATTGTACTAAAGCCTACAAAATTTATTCTGCACTGCTGATAAATATAATAAGAACACAAACCACTGGCTTAAGGGGCCAAGCACTTCAAAAATGAAGTGAAACTAGATCTGCAATAGTACAATTTACACGGATTCGGTAGTTCTAGTTAGTATAAAGCATCAGATAAATTGCTTCAGAAACTCTGTAGCTACGAGCCTCCCCCGTGTGTTGACCGACATTTTGAGCTCGCTTATCTCCTTATCAATATCCTGTAATTTGAGGGCCATTAGTATACTACAAAATTGCCAACAATTCAACAAGGTTAAAATAGAAGAGAGAAAATTTTCAAGATTAACAGTATACAATATATAGTACAACAGACCAATGAAATTAGGCACTTTAAGGTCGGGAAGGTTATAGAAAAAGTAAACCAGAACATCATCTTGCTCTGATCCATATTATCAGTCCCAAGTACCAACCACAAGTACCAGTACTTGGTCAAGAAAAGCTGCAAGCAAGCCACTAATACACCTTATCACATTTGAAAATTGACACACGTGGTATATTATCTAATAAAGAACATCAAAATATTGTTCTGCTTTATTTTATTTTTTATGTTATGCTATTCTTTGCACCAATTACCCTGGGAGAATCATGTTCCACAGAACCTTGTGCCAATGTTTTCTTAATGGTAGAAAGTCCAATCTATAGCATCCAGGTAAATGACATTTCAAAGTCTCCATAGTCACTCGACAGGTCATACAATATCCACTAATTTATATAATTACTACAAGCCACAAAGTAAAATGCGTTATAGGGTCAACATAATTCTTGCCTCCATAAATTGCACAATAAAATCTATGAGTTTGTGCTTCTGCATCTCCTCACAGTGGTAATTTGTTATAAGGAAGCTAATGTCATATCCCTGCCCAAGAGAAGCAACAAAAAATATGACATTAATGGTCACTGAGAAGTTAACAAGAGAAATGAAAGTACTTGAATTAAGAAATTCTGTCTTCTACCAAGTGAATGGAAAAAATATCAAGACTCATAAACAGCATGCACAGAATAAACTGCATTGCTGTGATTCTCAGTAATATGTTGCCCCACGCACTTACATTAATGCAGCACAAAATTTTAAAAATGGCTTATAATAAAAAAAATTAAAAACTATGCAGTATATTCTGAATATAAATGAGTGCCAAAGTGTAAGGGAAAAAAAGGAATAAAATAAAATAAAATTAAAGGCTAGGATTATTTGCAAGTCCCTATTTTATCACCTGCCAAGTGAATTGTGTGAAGAGGATTTCTTTCACCTTATAATCCAAGCTCTACCTAGGAAATGAATAACAACAGTCCTCAATGTATGTTCTATGCTTATTTGTTTTTGTCTAGCTTATGTAAAAATGACAAGGCATCAACTGAAGCACAACCTCAGAAACATGCAACACACATCTAGGAAGCAACCTCAACAAATACTTTTATGGTAAAAACATTTCAAAGAAATATCATGCAAATTTATCACTCTTTCCTGCAGCTATGTACCTTCCCGACAGATGTCCAATATCCACAGTTAAATATTGCATTATTTAATAAGAAAAATTATCACCAGACACCATTGTCAAGCTGAAAAAATAAACTAGTTTAATGCAAATAGTTTTAAACCTGCACAGGCTTTCTCCTCAGTACTTGGAAAGCCTCAGCTCTCATTGACAGAAATCTTAGAAATTTTTTTGTAAGTATGTTTTCAAGTTCATCAGCCTGCTTCACCTGTACAGGATTAAAAAAATAATTACAACAAGGAAATAGAGACAAATAATAATGAACATTGGTATATTTCACATTGAATCTGATGCTTAAAGCAAAATCTCATTCAAAGATTAGTTTGATAATATGCTGATAAAAGTAAATTGTGAAAACAATTTACCAATTACCACCGTCAGACAATTGAAGTCAAATGGAAAGACATGTTAGAGCTACTTTGAACACATTCAAGAAGCTTTGGTTTAAGATGAGAATGCAAGAAAGTTCAACTAAACAGAATGAATGGATTATTTAATATTAAATAAATTACACACATTCAATAAAAAAATATTATCCTACAAACTCTTATTAGAGCACATTTGACCCTAGTATTTTCATTGAACCATGCATGAACTTCTCCCCTTTCTAGTTAAATGAACAGTCCCGTTGGTGAACATTTAACATATTTTTAACTTCCAAATTCTCATATCCGCATTTAATTAACTAAAGGAGAAAATTTGATATTTTTTTCTCATATTTTTAATTAACTAATGAACATTCTCATATTTTTAACATATTTTTTTCTCTTACTTTTGTCAAATTTTACTCTCTCTCTACCTACCAATTCTCCGTGTAGCTATTCCAAACTTCCAACGCACAAACTAGAACATGTTATAATACTCATGAGACGTAGAGACTACATCAATCTGAAGTTCTACAACTTGTTAATTAGAGAATGTCAATAGAAAACTGTAAAAAGGAAAGTTTAATCATAAATTCATAAAAAATATTCTGAGCCTGAATGAACAATTCATGTCTTAAAGAAACGCCACAAATTTAATAGCTTACAATTCATACCTTGAGACTTATCCGCAATGAATTGATGGATGTTTCTATTAAGCATTTTTCAGCCTCATTTCGGCATATCAAAACCTGTAACAACAATTGCACACATTCTTTAAGTATATATCACTTGGAAGGCAGAGTAAAAGAAGAAATGAAGGCACAACGGGGACGATAAGAGTAAACTTAATCCCAATGAAAAGAAACAGTTAGCAATTAATGGTGCAGAAGAGCACGATCCGAGAAATCTTGATGAGTGGAGCACAAAACATATTTTGATGCTCATCCTAATCAATAAGTAAAAACTTGAAATCGAAAATGGAAATTGAAATGCAGTGTATGATGATAATGGATCTTACAGGATTGAGGAGGAGTTCGGGGCTGGTCCTGCAAAGTGTTAGGAATAATGAATTAGATGGATGGTTTCGCAATATGAATACGAATCAGATTCTGAAAAGAAATAAGGAACATACTTGAGTTCGACCTCAGGTTTGTTATGCCTTTCAACTTCTTGACAGGGGAAGTTCTGAAGGCACATTGCAGCCTCCAGCGTGTTACGAATACAGGTCAAATATAATCGCAACGTGCTCGCCTGAAATTTTTCAACACAAACAATTAGAGACACTCTCTTCCATTACGATTCATCAATCAGAGACACTGTTTACCATTAGGATTCACTTGTCGATCACAATACACCTTCTTCGTTACTGATCCAAATCCAATAAGTAGAGTAATCGTAGTGTGTAAGCCACGCCCTAACCTCACCCCTTTCCATCTTTCTTTCAAAACCTCGTTTTTACATTTATTTTATTTTCTCCGTTTCCCTTCCTTCTGCGTCTTCATTTCTTTTCAGGTTAAATTTAAATCATTTTCACTTAACCAATATAATTCAAATATGTCTTCGATTTGATTTTAATTACAATTTTATAACAAATGTGTTTTTATTAAAAAGTATAGGTTAATTTTCTAATAATAAAATAAACAAAAATTTCAATTTTATTTACTTGCTTTATTATTTCATCAACATAAATTATTAGAATTATTTATAATAGTTATAATTCTTTTCATTCTAATCATTATGGGGGATAAATGGGGAGAGAGACAAGGGCTTTATCCTCTACGGTTAAAATTCATCCGGTCATTCCTACATTCATTATCTTATAGCTCAACTTTACATATATATATATATATATATATATATATATATATAAAATAAATGTAATTAAATTTTAAAAATAAAATGAAGGACAGAGATTTATCTTCTTTTCTTTGTCTCACTGCAAAGGAACCATATTCAGAGAGACACAACAGTTATTTTATTTTATCTTTCTATTAATTATTTTCAAAATAATATATTTATTATTTAATTCCAAAATTATTATTTATTGATTCATTAACAAGATAACACTCTAATATACTATTACTCTATTATTAAATAAGCTGGCATTTGATTATATTTAAAATCTTTATTTATTATTAGAATTTAGTTTAGCTGTAACATTCGTTATAACAAATTAAACTGGATCTTTCATTACCAATAAATACACAAGTCACCACCCAATGTTTTGGTTATGACGTGATTTAATTCGATAAAAATCAATAAAAATAGATCAAATCACTTATCAAAAGCTTATGACCTTACTCACATTAAACGATGGTTAATTATTAAACAACTGCATGATTGTTTTAAATCCCACACGGTGTCCTTAAAAGACTCATTGCTGGTCCAAAATGTTGTATTAATATTTTCCTATAATATCTATTAATTAATCTATTAAAAGTTTCAACACATTTTACCTACATATAAACTTAAGCCAATTAGCATGTTAAAGCATTAATCAATTTATTCAAAAAGTTCTATTACATACAAAACAAGCTCATATGTTATACTTTGTTTTGGAAATGTTAAATCATTGCTTCATTGATAACAAACTTAATTGTTTTTATCATCCACCTTTAATTCTTGTTGTACACACGCTTTAATACTTGCTCAATATCAAAGGAACAACAAAATTTTGACCCATTTCTAAAGTACAAATAATAGTGTAAAAAAATAGATTAAAATTTTAAATAAATTAACAGTTGACTCTGACCAAATTAATTTATAAGCGTATTCCCCCGAGCAAAAATTGACTAAACCAGAAAAAAAATACACTAGAATATTAAATTAAAAGATGAATAAATACAGTTACTGCTCTGAGCCTGACATTTAGAGTCATTTACAAGCATTGGAATTTGAGAGAGATACAAACGCAAAATGCTAAAAATCAGGGGCAAGAACCATTACGCTACTGTACACGAAATTTATTGGCAACATAGAGCAAATGACTGATGTTTGTAGTGGGATAATTTTGTAGCAACTTGAGAGTAGAAGTGAAATCACCCGCCAGGAGGCGCTTACGAATGAGAATTATCATTGCACAGCATATCCGGAGGAGAGTCCCCTGCACAGGACTGTGTTAGTTTTCCTATATTTCCTTTGTATAAAAAACTTTTGAAGTGCTTTAAGGCAAAAATAAACAGATTACCCCAACTCATTGATCTGATATATCATCATCGGTTACATATAGAGTTTGAGAAGCAACAAGGAATTTAAAGTAGCAAGTAACAATCACAGAACGCAAGCGACTTGTAAAACACTTGAGCACTGTCGAGTTCAAAGCCTAATTGGAGGAACTTTGGTATGTTCTAAACCATCTGCAAGGGTGAATCTCCATCTTTTCTTTATGATTAGGATCCTCTCAAGTGGAAAGTGCATTTTACGTAAATTGCAAAGTGGATCACTATTATTATGAAAAAGCCAACTTAGGATTTTAATAGTACAAGGCTACAAGCAGTCTGCTAGCAAAATAAAGTTGTTAAAATTTTTAAAACTACCTTGATTTTCTTATTAATGGTTGCTCACTTGCACTTCAATTGTCTAGAGCCAAATCCTTTCACTTATTTTAGCAAAGTAATTTCACATTTTCTTTAAAAAACGTAACTTCAAATTTCCAAATCCAATATCACCTCATATAACAACGTCATCAAATAAGTGGTACCGAGTCATGAGGTTAAATGATAGTCCATTATAGGACAAGGTAAATAGGAACAATATGGTACCTGTCGACCCTCTGGATCACTTAAAATAGTATCCCAAATGTGAATGCTGTCTGCCAAATTGAACTCATGAGTCAACAGGAGAGTAATCCACCTAAATGCATAGAATTGGGGATTGACCTGAAATTCAGAACCAGAAAAAAATGAGCCATTTCTGATAAACCATTCCATAGCCAAAAACAAATGCATGGTTGAATCATCTGACAAGTATGCACTCAAAAGAGTATAAACATTAATCAAAGATCTTGTTACTTAACTGGTAGAGCAACAAAAACAGTATACAAAAACAACCAAGCTGATTCCACTAGGTGAGAGGAACATAAAACAGCATAAACAGAAAATTTAACGGGCAAAATAACAATTCTAACAAGGTCATATCACTACAACAAATCACAAAAGAGCCACAGTTACTTGTCGATAAATTATTTAGTTTATTTAACAACTTTAATATAACAGAGCAGTATACAGTGTCCTAAACAATTATGTAACAGTAGACATTGCAAATTTGCAATTGTGCAAATGAATAATTGATAGCTAAACTACAATATTATCAACATTTAAAATTAGACTGTCTAACAACAATGCCTAGCCTACCACAATATTTCCAAATTTAAACTACAAGGAAATTTGTGAGAAGATAGTATACACATTAAAAACTGTCTTACTTTAGAAGTGACTTCAAGATGATGCCACAGCTCTTCATCCTTTTCTCTTAAAAGCTGAGACAATTTTGTAATAGTTGAACGGATTCCCACTACACTATTGTCCAGTTGTTGAACAAAGTTATCTCGGAACCCACTAAATAGCTCAACAAAACAAAAGAATGAGTCCGCTTCAGCAAAGGCCTGTGTATTGTGATAAGGAACTGTTAACCACAGTTAACCAATGACATTATTATAGAGCAAGTGTGTGATATGAATCTACATCACTCCATCACTGCAGTCTAAGAAATTTTGGCAACAAAATCAACATTCCCATGGTCATATTAATTATTTCACATATTTCTTATATTATATACAGGGAAATGCCATATTGCATTTGCTAACATTTCTAGTTTTAATTCTCCTAAGTAAGAAATGATTGCTTTTCACTGGTCATGCCTGAACTGTGACCTTCTATTAAAGCATGCACTTGGAAATATCAGCCAGTTGAATGACGAAACATAAACCTTTTTTAATGTATAAGTAGAAAAGGTAAAGTGTAGCAGGGTTGCAACAGGACAGGACATCTGATGAGAAGAATAAGAAAGGAACAGCGATCAGGAAGCACTTCAGAGAACAGAATTTGCAAATCAAAATTAAAAAGAGAACAGTTCTTAGGGGAAATATGAAATATGAAATTGAAATAATTAGTCTTTAAAAAAAAATATAATTAAATAAATGTATTACAGCGCCTACATAAGTTAGCAGAACATTGATTACAAACAAGGACAAAACAAGGAATCAGGGGTTTGATAATGCAATTCCATGATAGATTATATAATAGAAAATTAAAATATTAAAAGAATGTATCATATACGCACCGCATTTTCCTCATCAGGGTCATTTTTGAACACATAGAATAAAGGAGCCAATATATCATTCATCCCCTGAACATATTTCACACCTGGATTTAACTTTGCAAAAATAATCAATATGTTCTTTAAAGCTTCCTGAAAATGGCCGCCAAAAATAGTAACAATAAATCAAAAGGTTTGTGCCAGAAAATACTTGAATAGAGTTTGTATGAATCGAGACAAATAAAGGAAATACCTGGTTAAGATTTGCAGACTCACAATCGCCAGAGAAAAAGTGCAAATCAGGATGAGTGCGCTTTACATCTCGGTCAATCTGATCTATGATCTCTGTGTCCTACAAATTGCAAAGAGGAACATTTACTTCACAAAAGCCTTTGCATAAGAAAGTATTATAATACATTAGCATGAGATTTATATAACTGTGATATTGTGATGAACATTAGAGTTCATTCAAGATTAAATTATTGACAGCAGAAAGGTCTTTAGTTGTAGGCATAATAAGCTCATGAACATGTGCTGTTATTGGAACAAATACATCATGAGGTACTCACATACGATTTAAAAATTTAGTGAAGTGTATAATAGGCCATTGCAAATAAACAATTGTGTATTATCAATCCACCTTTTTTTGGCAATAGAAACTTCAAATAGAATGATTCTCAGTTGTCACCCACTAAAGTAAAATGATAAGCATAATAAAGTGATGACTTGTGAGATGAGATTGATGGAAACATAGTTCATGGAGAATCAGATAATTCACAAATGAGAGCATATGCAATGTAATTTTGCATAGTTTTAAGCTGAAATAATGATTTCCCCTTTAAATGGTATGTAGCAAAGCACTTTGCACTGTACCTGGAAGAACTGATTCCATACACTAGTCTTCCCAAGACTCAAAGGATGCTCCCCATGAGTGATTTCGGATCTAGAGAGCAATGCCCTTTCACATTCGGAATCACCAGCATCACAACTTGCGGAGCTGTACATCCTCCTTGTGATTTCTGACTAGCTAGCCACAGAAACATTCAGAGAGCCAAATAGATAAAGCAAATAGAAAATGTATTAAAACTCTCTAATTCACCATATCAATGTAACAGAAAGAACCACGTAAAATAGAATTAAATTAAAGAGTTATTTCTCTTCTACTAGCCACAGTTTGATGTAAGAATCAATATGATGACGTGAAATTAAGTGTCATTCGGTTCTACGTTTTCAGCTATTGATCTTACCACAGCTAAGGCGCCCAAGCAAAATAAAAAACAATGAGATGATAACAGAAAGGCAAAAGACTGAAAGAGCTCCCTAAGCAACTAACTTACAGGATTCATAAGAAACTCTTCTTTAAATTGTTTGTACTCAGACCTCTTCTTTGCTAATTCAGATGACCAAAGCCCTCGATCTGGCGGAAGATATTCCAGCAAAAGCTGCAAATATCAATCAATAAGCATCTAAAATGCAATGCTATCAATCAACAGAAAAAGAAAATACTATAATTTATAAATTTTAAAAAAATGGAACGAAAAAGAATGCGCACCTTCCACACCGTAGCACGGATTCCAGCAGCATCGGGTATACCTTGACATGCGAGGCTCCTCAACTCATTCATATCTATCACCTTCCTCGACAACTGAACCAAACAATCACAAAATGAAGAGTCTTAAAAGCAGTAATACATTGTCGTTTTACAAAGCGAAGGAGGTGGAAACCTCAGCCAGCAACTGAGCCTGGTGAGAGACATCGTTGGCAGAAGGAAAGTCGTCGCTGTGATCTTCGGTTGGCGAATCTTCGATTCTCTGAGTGGGTGGAGGATCTTCGATGATGGGAGGGGACGGGGGACGTGGCGGGGGCTCCGACGGGGGACGAGGCGGTGGCTCCGACGGGGTCACGACGGCGGCGGCGGCGGAGGGTGGAGGAGACGAAGGCGATGACCAGAGAGAGCTGTTGAGCCAATCGGGGACCTTCTTCATCACCATTTTCGATCGCTGCTAAGTTGGGTTAGGGTTTGTTCAATTGATTTCTCAATCGGAAGAGATAATGGAGGCAACGCATTGCATTTCACCGTGGAATGGAATGAAAACAGTGAATCAGTAATACAAAGAAAGAACTATTCAATTGTATTGTAACTGTATAATAATAATGCACAACAGTTGGGCTCCACTTGTACCTTCTTTCTTGTTTCTATGGACTTCGTAATAACAATAAATGCGATTATTGCACCTTTTTTTATTACGTCAAATTCTTTTTATAAAATATTCATTTTTATTTGCTAAAATTTTAAATATTATTGTATAACTTTTAGTTGTTTTATATCATCAATCATAACAATGATTAATTATACACATAATCCTTTATTAAAATGATATATTTTGTTTGACTTTTTTTGGTAATTTTGTATGACTTGTTTTAACACACACTCAATTCCTAAATTTAACTATTTCATAAAAAAATTAGTATTGTATTAAGTTGTTTTTTTAGGGGCAGAAGTTGTAACAAAAAGTTTTTATAAATTCTTTATAAAAAAATTATAAAAAATTAAGAATTAACTCGATTTATTTTTAAAAAAAGTTGATTTTATCTTAAATAAAGACATATACACTCACCTCTATTAATTTGCCATAATTAAGTTCAATATTTCAGTTTATTATATATAATTCAAAATTCATTTAAAAGAGCTTATTAACAATTTATGATTTATTTTTAATTTATTTTAATAAGTTGTCAAGTATAATTCATGAAAAATATTTTAAATTGATTTAAATAAATTTTATTATTAAATTTGCGATATAATTATTATTTAAAAAGAGTTTCTTAAATAAACATTAAAATAAGTTGTATTTATAAATGTGTATTACTAAATTTTTTATTCGATCTTTATCGAGCTAATGTCAATATGTCATTTCACATATTTTTTCTAAATTTGAAGTTAGTCCCGTAACTAAATGGTTCGATAATAAATTTTATATTTTTATTTAAGCAAAAATATAAAATTTTACTTCATTTAATCGTTCAGTTCCTGCAAAAATATGACTGAATCTCAATTTATTTTTCTATTACAACACTTGGTCTAAGTTATACGACAGTGTCAAAATACAAGTAAAAAATAAAATTTTAAAAAATAACATTATTATTATTATTATTATTAACAAAATAGTAATAAAACTACATATCTAAATAAAAAGATATTCATGTTTAATAATTGAAATTCCATTTTATTATATAAAAAAATTATAGCAATAAGAGCTTTGAAATACAAGCAAAATCATGAAACAAGTTATAAAAAAAAAAATTATGTCTATTTATTTCATCACGACATGACTAAATTTAAAATTTAAATTGAGCTAAATTAAATTTAAGTAATGACATTCAAAAGACAACAATTTAAAAATATAAATCGTGATATGCATGTCCTAAAAGAGTCACAACTTGTCGAAACAAATAAATAAAATAGTCTCCTTAATACTAAATTTTTTTCAGTACATTGGTTAGTATTCAAGTTTAACACAAGTTTGATTTAGAAAATGTTGAAATGCCTACTTTTTTGTGATCATGTACCGTCACATAACAATTAAGCAAAGAAACTCCCAAAGTTAAGTGCTGCAACACCACCTCCAATTTGGTGTCTCGCCGCAAGGATCTCAGCACCATCTTCCATGTTAAGCTGAATTCATTAATATATATCAAAAACATAAATTACAAGTTAGCTTAAACATTACCTCAATCTATACAAGAGTAGAGATTAAAGTTGCATAGTAACAAAGGCAAATAAAGCACTATGCATCCATTTAGGAATCACTGTTGTGCATCGATCATATCTAATGCACACCAAATCAGAGAAGTTTAAATTTTGGTATTAAGAGAGACAAAGGAGAGAGTAGAGACTTTGAATGATGGACTTATAATGTGATGATATTGATTGCAAAAATCAAAGTATAATCTTAAGTAAAATCATGAGAAATTAGGTGATATGAAAACTGAGAAAATAAAAATTATAATCTCATGAGAATTGAATAAAATTTTCTAGAAATGCAATAAAAAAATATATTACCTCTAGATATTCCTCTTCTAACAAAAATCAAACATGGCACAAGACAATTGAAAAGTGGGAATGAAATATTTAGATAATATTATGAAAGAAACTAACCGTATTTGGAGTTTGACGTCCATTAAGGTAAGAACCTTCAAAGAGGAAATGCATGGTCTCGTATTCGAAGTTTCTTCGTTCACAGAATTCTCTGAAAACCTTAATTAACTCAGTGTCTCTGTTCACCCTGAAGAACAATTGACGCCCATCCTGTGTTTCAAAGAACAAGGTGAGAATTCAAACGTTGTATTCAGTTCTTCCAAACAAATATACATATGGACACCCTTCTTCTGTATTTGGCATTTGCAACACAGATCTCAATTAGAACATTAAATCTGATACAAAATACTATCAAATCCAATATCCTAGGACATGCTTTCAGTTTGACTTCATTTTGTCATCAATTTAACGCTTATTTGTTTTACATTAAGAATTAGTTCTCCATACCATGCACACATGTCAACGTAAAACCTGTGGTTAATGTCTATATGTTTTGAGCAAAAATGCATTTGTTTGACTTTCTTTTTTATTCATACGCGTAGACATTAAACACTAGACAATAATAACCCAATTAATGCTAGACTAGCACAGTCATTTTCTCTGCATTCTTATAATGTTGAGATATAAAATTTAAGGCAACAAGTAACAACGATAATTCTTGCTTATTCAAATTGCAGTGTGTGCTTTTTCTTAAGAAGAATTTTGCATCATGCATTTTTTGTCACACCCAAAAACACTTATGATGAGATTTTGCTAGAGAGGAATCAACTCCCTTTGTCTTAGCATGTGATAGCTTTTACTTTTCACTGTTCATAATGCTAACAAGTCCACCAAATAAATGTAGTTGCTGAATTTAATTTGTGACAAGCCCTCTTTTGTTTCATTTTCTTATTTCGTTTTTCTTTTTCGGTAAATTCACTTTTACATTTTGTTGAATAATAAAAAAAGAAATCATAAAAAAGTTTAAAAAACTAGAGATTACATAGTTTATTTTTTAAAAAGGAGAATATCATTTTTTTTCTTTCTTGCTTCATTAAGTGAAAAAAGAATAATATATATAAAAGAAAAATGTATCCTTTTATTTAACAAAAGAAAAACATTATATTTTAAAGACTGAAGCTAATTTAAAATTTTAATATTATTTTTTAATGTTGAACAAAACATAGTAAACTTTTCAACGTTAAAACTCAACGAATAAATATCTAAAAAAAAAAAAAAACAATGTCGGGTATTGTGTCTTAACATGTGAAACTATTCACAGATACCATACACTACTGGGTCAAAAAGTTTCAAAAGAGAGTGACATATAACCACGATAAATAAGGTTAATAATTAATAAGGAAAGTTCCACTTTAGTTTTTCTATTTTAAAATGAATCGTTACACTTGAAGGAATTAGATAATACAAGTAATATCAGGAATGATTAGAAAAGTCCTTCATAAAATACAAAAAAATGCTTAGTATTTAGATTACCTCTGTTGGAATAATATTTATGTAATGTAAACATTTGATGCACAAATAATGTATATTAATTATTTATGCCAATATACTTATTTATTAGCATGGATGCAGACTTATAATGTTTAAACTACTAGTTTAATTTTTATTAGATAAAAATTATATTAATAAAGATTAATACAATATCAAATCATTATTATCTTCTGATATATATATATATATATATATATATATATGTGTGTGTGTGTGTAATATTATAATTTTATTAGATATGAGTTTCACTTTTTTATTTTACTTTTATACTTTGTTGAATAGAAAAAAATCATAACAAAAGAAAGATTACATTGCTTATTTTTTAATTTTTTTTCTTTCTTTCTTGAGTGTGTGAAAAAGTAAAAAACATATATTTCTATTTAAAAAATTATATTCTAAAAGTTAAAACTAATTTAAAATGTTGATATTATTTTTTAATGTTAAATAGAACTAATAAACTTGTGAATGTGAATTTTTTTTAGAAAGATCATGCACAGGAACACAACAAATGAATATCTAAATAGAAATTCAATGTCTGTATTCACAGATACAGATACATGACATACAAAATATTTGATAAGTTTAAACTTTATGTCGAGAGAAGTTACATTACATTTCTGCTTGATATAAATGCTGGAAAATCAAATATAAATAATGAGCAATGACAAAAAAAAAAAGGAGAGAATATAGGTATCATCCAGGAAATAAAGACACTAGTTGATGGCCATTCTGCAACTTCATATCCACAGTTAAGCAGTTTTATTCATAAAGTCATCAAAGAAATGATGAAACAGAAAAAGAGGCACAAAAACAAAACCAAAACAGAAAAAGAAAAGGATAATGATGAAACAGAACCGTGCATACACCTGAGCTCTGATTGATAAGGTGATATGGATAACCTCAGTAGGCACTTCGTCTGGGGACTTTCTCTTGCTACTAGATCGACCATAGGTAGCCATACTCTTCTGCACACACACGAGCAGAGCTATAGCTAATTAGCTGTTAACCAACAAACCAGCAAAAACAAAGTTAAAAAATGCATGAAACTTTTGAGAGGGGTAGAAAAGAACCTTTTTTTTTTTTTTTTTTGCTCTTTCTTTGCAAATCTCCAAACGGAGACCACACAATGTTGAAGAGGGGTAGAAGCAATTTGTTTTTTGTGGGACTGAAAAATGGGGATGATAGAAAAAAAGACCGTATTTGATTGAGTTTCCTTAAAAGTGTAAATGACAAGAAGAGTGTAAATGAGTTGTTGGGTTCAGCTTGGAACATTGTACTGTGTAGCAATGGGCAATGGGAAAATAATGGTATTGGTCACGTCAAAAGTATGCTCTGTATATATATATATATATATATATATATATATATATATATGCGTGCAGGATTCAACAATCTCATCTGCTGTTTTTACTTTTCCTAATGTGATTACTGACAAATATTGTTGGGTTCAGGTTCCGCTTTCAATGGGCAATGGGAAACAGTGCTATTGGTCACGTCAAAAGTATGATATATAATATATATATATATATATATATATATATATATATATAATGACAAGAAAATTGCATGCAAACTAAATAGAATGTTCCATTATGCTCGTATAAAACAGTGAAAATATAGAAATCCATGTTTTCTTGTTCCCATTTTATTTTTATTTAATTTCGACTGTTTCAAATGAATGATTACACTTTATTTTATTGTATGAAAAAAAAATGATAAAATTAATAAACTGATTTTTTTAATTTTATTTTTGTTTTTATCTTCTAATTTTTCATTATTATTTAATTTTCCAATTAATTATAATTAATAGAATTACAAAATGCAGTAGACTTGCTGAAGATTGTAAAGTTATAAAATTAAATTTTAAAAATAGAATATCAGAGAAAATATAACAAGAATATCAATCCATATACTTGTCATTTTTAATATCAATCCATATACCAGAACTCTATTTTAGTTTCTCGATACAAAAAGTTTACATTTTTAATTTTTACGCATTGCATTTCATTATTTTTATTTGATAAAATACACTGATATTGTTATAATTATAATAAGTAGTAGAGACCAACTTATAATCTTTTTCTTATAAGAACCAAAATATCAATATTTTTATTTATAAGAACTAAAATAAAAGCAAGTAAAATAAAAGATTAAAATTATCAATATTATTAACCCTAACTCTTACAATTGAGTTTAAGCATCTAAATATATTAAATTTTTGTTAAAAAAATATGTTTCATTAAAAATATAAAAACATAAAAGAAAATATATTATTTTATGCTCAAGCTAACCTTTATGAAATTAAGATGAATAATTAATTTGGTTCTAACATTACCAAATCAGTCATCTTAGTTCTTAATTTGGACAATTATCAATTTTATCCCTAATTCAACAATCATTACCCAAATTTGGACACTAAAATTAGGACTGAATTGAATTAAATATACACCATAAAATTATAGACCAAAATAATTATAATTGTCATAATTAAAGATCAAATTAATTGACATTAACAATACACGGGGCTCAATTTTAATGATTAAAATCTCATTTGGATGATTTTGAAGGCGAGAAGTGCCTTTTCTTCTAACCCTCTACACTCAGAAGAGATCAGATTTCAATTTTATCATTTACAAAATGCATACATCGTTAGATCGCCAGGTCTTGCGACCTTGAGATCTACAAACGAAGGCCCAGCTTACAGGAAATCAAATTTTATTAAAGTGCAGGAGATTCCAGGTACCGAGAACTTTAAAAAAAAAAATTCCAAACAAGATAATTAAATCGCGTACTAAAATAAGCCAAATATGGAAAAATGTTGCATCTCCTTTACTTACTCGAGGAGGGATTTCATCGTTGATTTCTCCCCCCAAATCTATCTTTTTAAAATAAAATGTGAAGATCCTCCCCACGGTGTACAAATTAAAAAAATACTCCAGCTAAAATCCCTGAATTTCTCAAAATGTGTCTTATACATGGCATCACTGCAGGAATGTATCTGACATTTATGTTCTTCACAAGGAACTATATTTTCGATGGTAGTGTATACTTTTGAAAAGAATATCAAATCCTTTGTAGAAAGTTTGACTCCATTCTGATAACAATGCTACACATCCGAAGGTGCACCAAAAAAATTGCACCCGTATAAGAATTGAAACAAAAAAAATAAATCAATTTACAAGTTACAGTAGAGATTAAAAAAAAATTAAAAAAAAAACTAGATCATGTTGTCTATAAAAGTTGAAGACTGTATAGTCCTTAAAAGCTCCCTCAAATTAGCTAGTACTTGACGTGGTCCCAAACTCTTCGCACCAATGAAATTCAAAAGCTGCTCTAAATCCTACAATCAAAAAGCACGGGAGAAAGGATCAGTAAATCAAGGTTAAGTAGGACGGATGTGTGTGTACACAGTAGTAAAAATGGCAAATCTGGTTCAGACAATCACACTTCAAGGGAAAATTGAGACAGAAAAAAGGCCCTAACGAAATATGGGAGACTGCAAATATACTCTGCATATTTGAGATAAGATACAGTACAGAAGCAAAAGTCTAAGCCAACCTACCTGACAACAATAACGCAAAACCAAAACCAACAGCCTGCTAGAATAAATATCAACATTGCTACTCGATAGTTTTGGGAACAGGGCAACCTACAGTTATTTTTAAATTGCAGGGTCCGGCAGTCTACAATGTTTTAAGGTGCATTTTGTTTAATTATGCAGTCATTCAGTGTATATTTCTTAATGAACCAACCAAAATGTTGGAAGTAGGAGCAAAGTCCCAAAAAGCATGCAATCTTGGCCAGATAGCTATTTCAGCATAATAGATGGGAAATAAGCTGCTACCCTTGGAAAACACAGATCATACAATCTTGTGAAATATAGTAAAGTTATCAATGAAATACAAAAAGTCCACAACCCAAACAAACAAATTAAAAAAAATGATAAAGGGGGAGATAGGGTCAGTGAAAGGATGCACTTAATTGGATCCTCAGGAATTCTGAAGGAAACAATGAACAAGATGGAGACTTTGTTTTGAACTAGTTCAAAGAAAGCACTTCAATTCAAATATTGAGAGTTACTACAAAGCAACTATAAATAGAAATTTATACCTTATTTAGTAAGAATACAGCATAAGCTGCCCTTGTTGTGTCTTGACCTTCTAGAAAAAGAGGGAATTCTACATGTTTGGCATTTGTGTGAGATATTGCATTTGATGAAGCTTCAGAAGATGTTAGTTCTGTTGAAGGTGCATTGTCAATAATATATGAATGAGAGGCACCCAACCGTAAAGGATATCGCAGAGGAATTTGCAAGTATGAGGCTATAAGTGAAACAGCCTGCAAGAAAATCAGTCTAGTAAAGTATATTTTGATAATTATTACATCAACAGTCATCCACATGTGCAAGCACAAAAATGCTGCAGCTGGAAACGAAGAAGTTTGATATATGATAAGAAAAAGAAATGACAATCAATTAAGTTTTCAATGTACATGACATATCAAAATATGCATATGGTAATTTAGAAACTATAAGCCACATGATTTTAGAAATGGATCACAAAAAGCACAAGATAAATAACACAATCAATTCTAAGGCAAAAAAGGGGGTCAGGTAGGTGCTAAAACTTACATGTGCAACATATCCTAGGGCTGTAGCAGACCTCTGAATTTCCTTTTTATCAGTGAACAAGCTCATCTTCCGAAAAGCCAAGGTCAAATGCAGCCCATGAATTGTTAAGGATCCTTGACTAACTGGTTTAAGTCCAGCAGAAGTCCCTGGGTAATGAAATAAAGGCAACTTTTAACAATAAAGTTTAGAGAAAGTATCAACTAGAAATGAAGTAAATATCACGTGATAATTTCAAATAGCATAACAGAAACTATACTTAACAATCAGTGAATAGCTATGATCTTCAATTGCATCAATGCCTCATTGTAAAACATCCCATGAAAGTCTCTTACAGTATGAAGAAAATTAATACAAAATAAAAAAAATTTCAATTAATTGGATGAATGTTCACAAAGTTTGTGATTTAATCAGTGATTTTTCAATATAAAAAGTTACAAATTAAATATGAAATTTTAAAGAGAATAAAAAATTGAAAATGCAAGATAGAGCTAAAAGAAAAGGGTATGAAAGACAATACTATATTTTCCTTCGCCTTGTTCAGTAGTTTGTTTGAAGAGAAAAGTAGAAAGAAAAGAGTATTGTTGCAAAAATATGTATATATCCTTCTCAACAGCATATTTATTTATCTCAAAACAATAATATTCCGTAAATTTTTTTTTTCTGGCTCTTTTCCTTTTGGTTTCACCACCTCTCTCTTATGCCTTGTATCACCTCTTTCTTCCTTCCCTAATATCTAAAACACCATAATTTTAACAATGCACACAACTGCTGAAGATTTCAACATGCCCATCCACCTTTTTCCAATGTTTTACTTCTGGTCAAGCACAGCACTGCATGTACTGTTAAAACCTGGCTTGGGGGAAAAAAGCAATTGCTACAGCTGGTGGCTCAAGCAAGGGAGCATTGGGTGGAGTGGCACTGTGCATGCTGATGTCTGTGGAGCAGGTGCATTACCCACATAGAAAAAGAACTATTATTAAGCTAACCATTACCTGCATGGCTACCTAAAGGATATGCTTCAAGCTCTTGCTCTTGTGCTGGTCCAACCAAGATCTTTACAGGATAAAGCATTGAAATTTGAGATGTCATATATTGTTGCCTCTTCCTTAGCATCTTCTGCAATTTTCCCAGACGAACATAGCCATTTTCTTCAGAGAGTAATCTACTTGATTCCTGTAATAAAAGCATATCAGGCATCAGCTCTCTAGTCACAATGACTGCAGTAAAATATGAAACTACTTTTCCCGAAAAACAAGAAATAATAATAACTTATTCAGATTCTGCTAAATTAATTAGTTGATGCTATATCTTATTCTTACAGGACTGACATAGAAAAGAAAGCTTTTAAAAAATGAAGACATTTGAAAGAAAACAGTGAGGTAATTTCTCAAGGACAAGAACAAGACAAACTAAGAAAGATATACTCCTATTCAACTGAATATAAACTCAGTCAAAAGCAAAAAAGAACAATACTCCGAATGTCAATTAGTCACACATATACTTCAACATCAATAAAATAAATAACCTTTTTAATCAAGACAACACATTCTCCCTATAACTCAAAGCCCAAGAAACAAATAATCATCAGAACATGGGATGGGGTTAGGCTTACAATTTTTTTTTAAAGAGTCTCCAAACATCACCCTAAAAAGGTAACATAATATCATCTTGCCATTACAAATAAAAAACAGGTGTACAAAAGCAGCTTTGCCTTTTACAAATTGTAACATACAAAACACCCAGACCAAAATTAAAATTAGTGAACAATATGTTTCTATCTGAGAGTTGAGACTGAGCATGGGATTACGGCTTTACACCTTATAATAATTATGATAAACAAATTAATGGTGACCAAGATAGAATACAACCAAAGAACATAATTAATAACTTAACATCCAAGCTATCCATTTATGCAACAAGTCAACAACTAATTAGTTTTCATATGATAGTATATGGTTTAATACTCAGGGAAAGGAAGAATGAGGGTCAGGTGAAAGAATATTTGCCCAAAGTCACACAAGGACTGAAATCATTGCTCCTTCCACAACCTCAATCTTATTTGAAGGACCATCTTTGGCATCCCATCCTCCAATTTTTCAAGGACCCTCTTCGATGTTATTTATATCACTCTAATATTTAATTAGGAAATGATGGAAGTTGGAAGAAATCAATCATCATATATCAGATGAAAATATAAAGCAGAGAAATTTAAATATGCTATAAAACAAAAGTGAGAAAAAAATCAAAATACATTAAGTTAATGGATCCCTTATTAGCATTACCACTTATTTTCAAGAAGTCTCTTCAAAATTGATATTATAAGGAAAAAGGAAAAATAAAATCTGATAGAGATAAATCCCCTAGAAAAAATAACAAATTTACCTGGAGATTTCTGCTGGCTACAGAAAGAGCACCCCCAGCCACCAAAAGTGATTGCACTGCACCACTAAGCTGCTCTTCCTGCTTGCTAGCATCCTCCTTTGCCAGCCTAGAATGTATAGACATATTCTCCATCATCATTTTCTTTGATTCCAATTTCAGACGCATCTCCTCAAGTTCATTTAGGCGACCCAATGATTCAGCATTGACCTGTTAAAAAAATTATTGCCTGTTAATACGAGGTATCATTAATTAGGGACAAGTATAAGTATAAAAACAAAAAAAAGAACAATCCTACACCTATATATCTGAAACTTTGACATTGCTGTTGTCAACTGAAACCAACAATTAGTGCAAAAAAGCATCACAAGGAGTAAATAAAAACTAAACAACTCAACATAACTGACAAGACTAAACTGGTGTGCTAAAAAAATCTTTGCTGGCTATTCAGAGTTGGAATTTGGACATCGAGCACATTTCCCCTTTTGTTCAGATACCATGTTGGGCACTTTTATCAGTTAAGATCCAAGATAGATACACAATAGAAAAGAGGACACCCTAATGATTGTAAACCAGCTCAAACCCTCTGTAAAAAAATTTTAAAAAAATGATCAGTGTAAAATCAGAGAAAATTACTACCGTTAAATCCTTCCCTGACAGGTAAATAGGCTTCATATTATAATCAAAGTCATATGGATCAAAGCACTTTGTAAGGCTTGGTTCAACACCAAGCCCAAAAGCGAAAGATCACCACAACTTAAATACCACAATACAAAAAAAAAAAGAAAAGAACAAAACAAAAACAAAAAAGAGGAAGCAAAGCTTTATCCTATAATTTTTTGGAAGCAAATATAGAAACTGATTTGAATCCCCAGTCGAGTAATATATTAAATTTAAAGTTCAGTCATGCTCACAGTAAACTCATAAAAGGATAAATGCAAAATCCGAAATTCAAGAAACCTAGGGTAAGAAAAACCTAAAACCCTACCTGGATGAGGGCCTCGAGCTTTTGCTGAAGGGTTCGCTTATTCTCCTTGGCTTGAATGAGTGCGGAAGAAAGACTGGCGAACCTGGCAAGATCGTGCTGGAAATCCTCCCAGTTAATGACCTTCACATCTTCTGGATCAGTTGTCGTCGTCCGTAATGAGAGATTTTGGCTTTGTTCCATGAGGGATCGAACTCATCATCGTCCTTCACTGGTTGATCACGCTCTCAAGCTCATCCACGCCTCTTCTTCTTCTTCTGTTCCTAATTTTCTCCGGAAAGAAGAAAAGACTCGTCTTCCCTTCGTATGTTGCAAGACTTTGGTTGTTCTGTTGGAATAAACCGCATAACACTCGACACGTGGAACACGTGCGCTATACTCTCTGCACTGAATATGAAACAGTAGTCTTTGATATTTGTAGAAAAAAAAATTATTTTTTTAGAAATTTTTTCATTTTTAACTTTTTCTTTGAATTAATGTCTTTGGCTACTTTTTAAAAAAAATAATCGTATATATAAAATATATTTCCTATTTTTTATGTTAAGAGTATTTTTCAAAAATTAGTTTAAATAAAAATAATTAAAAATCAGTATAGCATGGGGCAAGATGAGCTGGGTTTCCAAAGAGTGGGAGAGGTTTCAAAATGATTTTTTAAAATTGATGGTTGCACACTAAAATCAAAGGGACAAGTTTTACACTTACGATTATAAAATATTTTTTCAATCCAAATGAAACTAATTAATATTAACAAGGAGTTTAAAATATAAAATAGAATTAAAAAACTATTAATATATCTAGCTTAATTTACAACGTGTCTTTAGCTTAATATTTTCATATACTGATATTTATATTGTCCCACACTACATGCATGAAGTAAAAAATATATTATATTTTATTTAAAAAAATTATTTTTAAAACAAAAAATAAACATGCTCTAATTATTTAAGCGGTAAATACGTAAAAAAAGAACTTGAGAAAAAAAAAAGTGTAATTATAATAAAGTGAGAGAAGGAATATAAAAGAAATGGGATGGGTAGAGAGGAATTGCATCGAAGTAAAAATGGCTGGCGTGTCTCTCAAGTGCGGCGACTGTGGGGCTCTGTTGAGGTCCGTAGAAGAAGCGCAGGAACACGCCGAACTCACTTCCCATTCGAACTTCTCCGAATCGACCGAACCTGTTCTCAATCTCGTTTGCTCCATTTGCTCTAAACCCTGCCGATCCAAAACCGAGTCTGATTTGCACACAAAGAGGACCGGCCATGCCGATTTTGTTGACAAGACTTCCGAGGCTGCTAAACCGATAAGTTTGGAGGCACCAAAGGTAGATGCAACTCAAACGTCACAAAACCCCATCGCTGAGCAAAATGAAGGTAATAATTAACTGATTTAGATAATCGAAGATCCTATCATCTTTTTATGCAAAAACTTTATAATTATCAATGCTTTCAGAAAATTAACTGTCACATCCGATCCCGCCTTTGTTTTACAAGCTCCATGGTTCTGGAATTTCAATTTGTGTGTTTCCCCTATTCTACAGAAATGGTTGTTCCCGAAGTGGACAAAAAGCTATTCGAGGAGCTTGAATCCATGGGTTTTTCAGCCGCTCGAGCAACGCGGGCACTTCATTACTCTGGTTAATTTACTTGCACTCCTATTCTTTTCACTGTACTTGTACTGTATGGTATTCACCACTGCATCGTGAGACATTTATGATTTTAGTTGTTTCTTCATGTATCTGTAAGTAATTCTCAATTCATTCTGCAGGTGCTTTTGTTCTTGGACCTTCATGAAATATCTTAGTCAAATTTTCAAAAAATTCAGATTAAAATTTGTATTCATTAATTAACTTCATGTCCATAGCATCTATATTTTTGAAGGGAACTTTATGATAATATTGTTGAAATTATGGAGTGGGTTAACAGAGAAGTGAGAACGATGTAGCCACGGGAGGCACTTATGTCATTCACAGTTTACAATACTTATGTTTGATAACAAAATAGATTTAAGAACTTATTAGATTAGATATGAATCATGCTTTTCTTATTTATGTATGACAGTCTCTGGATCTTGGATACATCTAATAAGCAGTCAATTTCTTGGGTATTTTTTCAATACATTATTAATGTTATTTATATCTGGACATTGTTAATTATCATGGCTCTAGATACTAAACGTAGGCGCCTTTCTACAGGTAATGCTGGCCTTGAGGCTGCTGTAAGTTGGATAGTAGAGCATGAGAATGACCCTGATGTAGATCAGATGCCCTTGGTACAATATTTTTATTTTTAACATGGCTTATTGTCATTGTGTGCCTAATGCTTCATAAGTAATGGATCTTGATTTTGCAATCTTAAACAAAGATAAGACTAGTTCATTCATGTTATGAATAAATGTCAAAAGGTATAATTAAGCTCTGCAATCTCTAGTTTCTAATGTGATGATTGATGATTAACTCAGGTACCCGCCAATTCTATAACTGAGGCTCCTAAACCTTCTCTTACCCCAGAAGAACTAAAGGTCAAACAGCAGGAACTAAGGTATGAAACTGAATGTCAAGATTTACAGGGAAAAGTTATGAAGCTGTTTTAGAGTTTCAATATTGTTATGGGAAAGTACTAGAGAATAATTTTAGATAATTTGCTGGAAGTTATGATGACTTGTGCAATGTAATCCCTAATCTACTTTCACCTGATCTCTACATGACACAATTTAGGAATTCTGGTAATTTCTTAAGTAGCATAGGCTGACTAAGTGAACACTTGATGTCAATGCAATCCCTAATCTACTTCCTCCCTGATTTCTAGGTAGTCTTGGTGTTGGTAATCTTTAGAAATTAATTCAATGTCCTCAATCATTGCACATAAGTTATATATATGCCATTAACATACAACAGTATTAATGTTGGCTGACTTCATGTAAATGTTTTGTGTTGGTAATCTTTAGATTTTTATTCTGTAGTTTAATATGTTTATATATCTTTTTGTCTGGAACTGTAGTTTACATGTTATTTTTTAAGTCAATTTATTATTACTGGTATATCTGTAGTCTGTGTAATCATTTAAGTTTTTAAACTATTATCTTAAGGGAGAGAGCTCGTAAGAAGAAAGAAGAGGAAGAGAAAAGAATGGAGAGAGAAAGAGAAAAGGTATTTTGCCGATTCATCCATTTGTTTCTCACTTATCTCTTGTTGACTTTGATTACTGATAATATGTGGGTATTTAGATCTTAACTTTTTGGGATATGTGAGGATATGCATGTTTGTACCCACTGTTAAATATAAAACCAACCATAAGCCTATAAGTAAGATTTTTAGCTTTTGACATTGGGAGAGTTGGTCCTTAACATGTTATAAGAGACTCTTTCACTTGCTAGTCTTGCCTTTCTTGGTCAATGATTGAATTTAAGCCCAAGGTAGAGTGAGCTTGTTGACAGTGACAATGCAAGCCCAAATGAATCTTGTGTGAGGGACATGTTAGTGATATAAAATCATTTAAGTCTCCATGTAAGAGCTAAAGATATTGGGAGAGTTGGTCCTTGACACAATGTAATATTGCTTAAAAATAGACAAAATTTTGTCAAAAAGTTCTTCAATTATATCAAAGTCTATATAGTACATGAACTATTTTTCCTGTCATGTTAAGTTTGGGTTGATAAAAATAATGGATTACCTCATCTGTATATTAGTATATTCTTGAATGAAAGTTTACGCAATTATTTGACAAAAATATTGTTTTCTAGATATTTTATTGTTTTCTTGCTTTGTATTAAATTTATGCAGTTTGAGGGTTTTGGTAATAGTTGTATCACTTATATGACCCATTTGCTTCAGACTTTGAAAAGGGTCAAATGTATGCTTGTACAGAAAATGAGACACTTCTGGAAGAAGCCCCTTTATTGTAATCCAAACAGGCTAATAGTCTTATTGTAGACGTATAAGCCTATAAGGTTTGTGCATTTTTAAGTTGTAACATAACTATTCAAAGCAGTTTTAGTAAATCTATTTCACATTCCCCGCAATATATATATTAATCTATTCCTATTAGCTTTCCTATCCATTGACAGACCAGGAGGGAAAATGGTTCAAAGTCCGACTTTAACTCATTATTCCCAAATGTTAATAGCTCCCCCCCCCCCCCCCCCATTTGTGACATTTTGACACTCAAGTTATTGCAGTTAAAGACAAAGCATTAGAGTTGTATTCTTAGAAGACCAAGTATTTGTTTGTCTCTTCTAGGTGGAGGCTTTAAGTATCTCTAAAGATTATTGTGAAATTAAATTATCGGAATTAATTGAAGTCAACATAAGAATTAGGAGAGAAAATATCATGAATTTCAAGCTGCCATGCATCTGTGCTGTGCATCATATTCCAAAGTAGCGGGTATCTCTTTAGTTAACTTAAAAAATAATGGATTATGTTATGTTTTATAACTGTTCTGCTGTTGGACTGATTTATAACATCGTAATATGGCTTTTCTAGATACATTTGTCCATATTTGTTGTATAGTTTAGAATCTTTAGATCTTCATTTCTTGTCTGATATATATGTTTTTATGCAGGAGAGAATTCGTATTGGCAAGGAGTTGTTGGAAGCAAAGAGAATTGAAGAAGAGAATGAGAGAAAACGGTTTAGTTCACTCATATTACACATCTTCTGTTTTGTTTTGAATGCACACAGCTACAAGAAAAATCTGTTTTCTTTTCCAGCTTGTTGGCTTTGAGAAAAGCAGAGAAAGAGGAAGAGAAAAGGGCTAGAGAGAAAATCAAGCAAAAGTTGGAAGAAGACAAGGTTTCAACATTTCTTAACCATTTTCTTTCTCTTGTTTTTTCAACAAGCCTGTTCGTACCTGACTGTCAAGTCAGGTTATATGAACTGCCTTTAATTATATATGCATGCCAGATATGCAAGTCCAATACTTAAATCTTTGTCCCTGACCTCTATCAGATTGTTTTAACTTCTACCTTATACATTAAATCCTATTTGTCATTTTGTGGTTATTGGATAGTGATAACTTCCCTCATCATTTACTTTGATAAAATTATTGTACAAGTTATTCTCCCTGCCTTAGGTAAAAGATAAACAAAATATAGAAGTTGGGAGACAATGTTGTTTCTATTTTGGAACTGCACTCCATTTGGCATTATGTTATCTGAAGTATGGGTTAGATTAAAATGGCTGGGTTTTCAATATTGCAATCCGAGCATCTCATTTTTGTCCACTAGAAGTTCATTTCAGAGGGATATGGTACTTCTAGCTCTTTACTTTCCCTGAAGGTGGGTAATGGCTCACATGTCAACTTTAGAATGGACCACAGTGGGGATTTTTCATTATAGAGATGTTTTTCCATGTGTTTGTCAATTTTCTTCTTTTCCCAATTACCATTTGCAATTTCTAGTTTTTAAAATTCCATTTTCTTTCATGGCACAGCAAAATTAATATCTGTTATTGGGGGATTTGAATGAATTCACTTTGTTTCTCAATTATGACAGGCAGAAAGAAGGCGGAGACTTGGATTACCTCCAGAGGAACCTTCAGCCGCCAAACCTTCACCTGTTGTGGAGGAGAAAAAGGTACGGGCTTGTACAAAAATTATCATGGTTTTTATTTTGTTTCTGGCATCTATTTATTTGAAATTTCTTCACGTAGGGTTTTCTGCCTGTTAGGCCTGCCACAAAAGCTGAGCAAATGAGAGAGTGCTTGCGTTCTCTCAAACAGAACCACAAGGTACATACATTCATATGGTTCTCAGAGAATTCTGCGGTAACTCTAGTTGACAGTATTAGTACCTGTTTGACAGTTGTTAAACTAATATCAGTTGAAAATCCAATGGTCAATAGCATAGGAGATACCACCATCACTTAATGCTACATAATACATTTTTTTTGTGCAAAAAACAAAGAACTTTACCCTCTGAATCTTTCCGTTTAGGTTCTTATTGCAGTTGTATAAACTTTTTTGTGCTCACGGAGGAAAACTGACCTCCCTAGGCTTTTGAGTGAATGGTGGTTTATTATAATGCTTAAATGTTTCCCTTGATTTGATTGCTATTATTTTCGTTTTACTTTCTAGTGCTTGTATTTTGTATGGACATGCAACGTTTAAAACACAGGCCATTTTTTTAATATACAGTGATTATGTTATCAACTGCATCTTATATTCTGCAAAAGAAATTGCTTACAGCATACCAATGCTTCTCTGTTGTTAATTAAACAGTAACTTCTGGTAAAATATTATTAAACCTTAGCCTAATTACATGTTCTCTTATTTTTGGAGCAGGAGGATGATGCCAAAGTAAAGAGAGCATTCCAAACACTTCTAACTTATGTTGGGAATGTTGCCAGAAATCCTGACGAGGAAAAATTCAGGAAGATTCGACTTAGTAATCAATCTTTTCAGGTAAGAAACTACCTAAATATGTATGTTTGATATGTTGAGTGAAATTCAGCACATGCCACTAATAATGCCCCCCTCCCAAAAAAAGAAATTCAATCAGACCATAGTTCCTAAAGAAAATTCAAGATGGGCACTGTAGTAGAGGTCAGCACCTTTCAGTCTTACTGTTTGGCTTATGTAGAGTTCTGCCTGCACCTATAATTTAAAATAACACCAGGCTTCATTTCAGGAGTTTTAGGTTGGCATTAGTCTGATGTTGGTCATTTATAATATTCAGTTGTATATAATCTCTCTTGTCTAAAACTAGTTGTGCTAGACGTTTCTGAAAGCTCATCAACATTGACCTACAGCTAGATCATTTAAATGAGGTATGTTTATGGTAAAGCCGTGTCTTTGTTCATTATTTCATTATTTTCAACAGGAAAGAGTTGGTTCTTTGAAAGGGGGCATTGAATTTCTGGAAATTTGCGGGTTTGAGAAGATCGATGGTGGTGAGTTTTTGTTTTGTCCTAGGGATAAAGTTGAGATGGCTGTCCTGAATTCTGCTGGATCTGAACTAGACTCTGCAATAAAGAATCCCTTTTTTGGAGTTCTTTAGTTGAGGCAACTATCATAATCAGATGCTTGACAATTATAGTTTGATGTATCGAAGTTAAGTGCTATCGGCTGTTCATTACATAATGTGTTATTTGCCTTGGCTGGAAGGTATCTACGGAGATATTTATTCTTGGTTGTCATATAAGTTTTTGATGTTTATACAAAGTTGTTTCGCGACTTAAGTATCTTGTATCTAATGCTGCATGCAACCACTCGGCTAAGTTATTATGGTCAGGATTGCATAAGCTTTAAGCAAAATCTAAAATGTCGAATTAAAGTAACTAGATTATAACCCGGGCCTTGTATAGGTATAGAATCTAATATTTTTTGGACTAGAACTTGAAACTTGAGAAAATGATTAATGTGTCATTGATACATCTTATAAGAGAATGATACTTTAGAATTTGTTGTGGTTGCTTAAAAACTCATTGCCAAGGAGACGAGTTTCATTCTTATATTATAAAATGACTTTGGATTATATTATATGATAAAAAAAAATACAAATATAAGATCGCTTTAAATGTATGTTGCAAATATGTACCTTTGAATAAAAATATAAGGGTTCTAGATAAAAAAAATTATTTAGAAAGTCATAGCCTAATTATTTTAATTGTTAAAATGGTAGAAACAAAAAACAACGTATTGTCTTCCTAAAGTTTTGAACACTCGCCGTGTACCATCTTGACTTTTCATCATCTTCCTCCTTTAAGTTCTCACCAAGATTTGCCAGTAATAATTTATTTGATGTTTCTATTAGCAATAATTACATTTCCATATAATCTTTTCTATAAAATTAACACTTTGTGACTTAAATCTTAGATAACACAATTCATGTACTGGGCACAAGTATGATTGCGGTGCACATTGAGGTTTGAGCGCTGTAAGTCAGCAGTATTCGAAGGCAAGAGTGGTTTTGGTTATTGACTACGCATAAAGAAATTATATTCTGGTGAATGATTGGTGAACAGTCTGTGTACTTTCTTGGTAGAAAATGATTGGCGAATAGGATGAATAATGAATAAAAAATATCCATTTTTTTGTTAGGCACTGTAGAAATTTTGCCTCGTAACACCGAGTTGGGGTTCCTAATGTAATTTCATGGTCTGTAAGTGCATGACTACCTAGCAAAGCATTTAGTATGCCGGAGGAATCGAAGATACGAAAAAGGAAATGAATAAAACATTGTATTCTTTATTTATAAGGTATAAGCTAATGATATTGCACTATTTATGAAACATAATGTTTGCCAAGGGAACAATTAAATTGAGCTATTGAATTAAATTTGAGCACTATAAATGAAGAATCTCATCAGTAAGTTGCTACAACCTAGCTCTGCTCTTCCCTGAGTAAACCATGTCGCCATGCTTAACTTGTTCATAACCTTATACATTAAAATAGTGGGGGTATAAGAGGTGGTTGCATGAAGCAAGGTTATAAACAACAAGAGGCTCCCTTCCTCCCTTTAACTTCTGACAAAACTGTAAGCCTCCCCAAGATCATAATACACAGGCTAAGTGCTAAGAGATGATGCACAGAATGAGAAGGGAGGAAAAGAAAACTGAAAACCATGTGGGTATTGCCTCAGAAGGTGCTCTAGAACTGTCAGGGAATGGCGTGTTCATTCCGGGGGTTAGTCCACCAGTATTGCCTCCACCATATATTGGTGTTGTGGTAGATGATGGCACGTTTGGGTTGTTCATTGGCGGTGTTGTGTTTGGTGTATTTGATCCTCCAGCAGAACTATATTACAAGAAATCAAACAGTTAACAGTTGGACTCCATTAAGTGCAGCATAACACACTGAAGTGACCAATGAAAAATATTCTTATGCTTAGCACAAAAATCAGTTAACCTCCCCCCTCCTCATTGTTGTTTCATTAATAAGGAACCATGCAAAAATGTTTTAGTTAAACCATAAATGAATTAACCAACGTAATTTCACACCTCTAGCTTGGACAAATCATATATTTAAGTTCTAGAATCATTGGGAAAAAAGTGAAATCAACAACAATGGCTTATAAACGTACATATATACAGGTTACCGTCTTGCCACATGATTTGTTTCCTCCTAATGTATGGATTCTGAAATATATGCGTGATATTCACTGTACAACTTACGAATTTTTTAATAAAATTATCCTTTCTCATTCTTCTTCAACTGTATCTCTTAACTTGTCGCTCGTAATCGTTCAACCTACCATGTGAAGGAAAAGTTGTAACACATTGAACGTTTATATTGTAATAACAATTAACCATGTGGGTGTGATCTCTAAACAAACAATAAAGACTCATCATGACACGTGCGAGGGCAAAATAAGCCTAGAACTCGACCATTATGGCCCCACATTGCCCTCGGTCTCCATTAGCAATTTCTTATATGGCCTGAGGCATAAGAAATCAAAAGGGGTAAAACACATTACAAGCAATGATTCGCTCCCAACCGGCATCTCTATGTACAACAGGCATGGCTGCCTTAATGTTCTGTCTGGGTGCAGAACCTTTTCAGTACATTAATTAATTAGACTTAAAAAAATATCAAATAAACATTTAAAGTGATTATTCATCTCAACCAGTAACTGCCGTTATCACTTAGTACCAAACTGTAATTATCCATCTAAAAAATTCCTTTCATGTAATGTAAGTAACCGTAACACTAACCAAACAATATCTTCAATGGGATAAAAAATACAAAAAGTTAAGTCACATCAAATCCTCCTCCTGTATAATACCTTTTTTCTTTGGCAATGGATTAAGTGACTGTGTGTTAAAATTTTGATAAAATTGATTTATGTGATTGAAATGTGTCTAGATTTTTAATAAAACAATCCCAGTTACAGTGTATAAAATTGATTGAGTGCTAGCCAAACATGTACTAGTGAGTGAGACCCTTAACATAAAAAAGGGTTGAAGTGATGGATGAGAATGCTTGATCCATGGATGGAAAATGGCATCTAATACCAATAGCGCTCATGTGCAAATGTATGGATGGGTCAATTTCAGAATTGAGAGAGAACATCTGAAACAAGCTGGGTGTGGCATTTTGCACAGATTATTTACTAACGACGAAAACAACAGCTGACATAAACGTAAGCATCAATTACTGCTGCACCGTTGCATCAGATACTCCCATAGTTTGATGTATCACTGCTCACTCACTTTACCACTGGAAAGCAAATACTATCACACATTATAATTAATGTCATGGGCGTGAAGATCAACAACGTACGATCAGGCTGAACCTGAACCGTCAGATGGAGTGGACCACGGAAACTCATCCAACGGTCAATTGACAAAGTATAGAAAAAGTAGCCAACACACTACAGAGTGTCAGTAAGACACTACAATCAAATTGTGACACCCGAGATTTTGAAAAAATTTGAAGAATGAACAAGCAAACACAGAATCATAAAGAGGCCCCCCTGGGTTTTAATAGCAGAAGCTAATTCAAATCAATTTTAATTTCCTTTTTTTTCATACCAAAAATGGTAATTAAAAAACTAGTAACTGCAGCATAAAAATACAAAATTTTGAGCCGGAAATATGGAAAATGACGTTAATCCCACCCATGCAGAGTGACACGTGTCATAAACCCACAAAATCTTTGGCAAGGAGTTCCTCTCCCATTCAATTCAATTTGCATATTCTCTCTCTCTCTCTCTCTCTCTCCAGCACAGATGGACATCTCAATCGTATTAGGCACGCCATCTCATCAGACCACAACCAGACAGGCGAAAAGGGACCAAAGGAAAACAAAAATAGAGTTGAGAATGAGAATCCCATTTCTTCACGAACAAGGAATAGAGATCTTTCACTTTCACTCTGTATACTATACACCTCCATAAAATAAAACACCTTATACTGTTTCACTGTATAGCAAAAACAACTACTAGTATTAGTAGTAGTAAGCAGTAGCACGAGGAACTGGGCATACCTTGCACTGGACGGGTACACACAAGATCCGTAGCCTACCCAGAAAAAAAACAAATAAAATGAGATGAACGTGATCCACTGTATTATATAAGCAAATAAAAACAAAAGAAATTGAGCAAAATAATATACTGGGATCGCTTTGGGCAATGGTGGCAGTGCCAGCGAAATCACAGGACCCAGGGGCTCTGGCCTTGAGTTGAAAGAAGCTGTTGAAGGCGTAGGAAGCATGAGCTTGAATTGTGTTTGGGAGAAAGCAGAGTCCTTCTGGCTGAAGAGGAAGACAATCAGCGCCAGAGCCACATGCATAGTCCAACGCCGTTTGCAGTGCCTCATTGCTTGCATCACTCCTCGCCACACACCAACTGGCTCCTCCTTGACCTTGAGCCACTGCATTCTTTGTAACTATCACAATGCTTAATAACATCAAACAAACTGAAACTGAAACCGCTGCTGCCATTGAACAAAGTTATATTAAGGATTAAGGTGAGTGTGATGGATGGATGGTTTTGCTTTGCTTAGTTGGTAAAGGAAGAAAGAGAGAAGGGAAGCGTTGAGAGAAAAAGAGAAAAATATATATTATAGTGAGTGAGGGAGTGAGTGAGGTGCGGAGATGGAAATTGGAATAGAAGCCAGCCGCTTTAGCTTTCTTTCTTTTTCTTTTTTCTTTTTTATTGTTTTTTTATCAGAATATATAAATAAGGAAGTTACGTCTCAGGTTTCTATGTTCTAACGTTAATGTCTGTGTGTCTCTGCACCCACCATGAAAATCCAACTTCACTAATAACTCGTAAAATACACGCCCCACGCCTCCTTTTGCTTGTTGGGTAAAATAAGCAGCAGGCAGCAGCACTAAGCTTTTCCGTTCGGGGTTACTATTTAAGTCAGTATTTTGGGAGCAAGTTTAAGTCACTTACAATTTTATTAATTATATTTAAATTTCATGTATTACCTTAAAAATTAAGAGTTTCAATTTTTTTAATTGTTTTTGCATTTTTCTTTAAGTTCATCTATTTTTGTTTAAGTAAAAATTTAAATAAAAATACAAATTTTTGTCTAAATACACGATACAGTTCTCCCTAAAACTGTACTAGATCCGAGTCCGTTACAAACATAATTTATTAAAATAAAAAATTGCGTAAATATATAAATTAATCGCTAAATTTCTCGCATTATAATTCATCTACTGGTTAGGCATTTCATATTAAAAATTAAAAAACACGTTGAAAAAAATATTTTTTCTAAGAATAATAAATAAAATATCATAAATAATATAAAAATTATAGAATTATTTAGAATTAAAATCTTAGTTGATAAGAATCAGCTTTCAAAAGTTTGTTAACAATGTATCACTTATATTAGTTGTTTCAATTGATGTGGTAAGTATTAGTTTTTATTTGATTTAAATTATTATGTATGTATTATTAACACTCTTTCTTATTTTATAAACTACAAACTCAATTTTTTTACAGTTAAAATTGATTAACAAAAAGTGAATTTATTATCAACAAAAATCTTATGTTTCCTTTTATTTCAAGTTAGAATTAAATAAAAAATTTTTTTATCATAAAACATGATTTTTAATAATTAATCTTAAAAAATTTCACATCATTAATCAAGCACTTCAATCACTATTAAAAAAATTAATTAATTTTATTTTTAATTAAACAATATTTTTTAAAATAACTTTAAATTATCTTTTAATTAATTAACTAACACTTAGCAAATTTTAGTAAATATTAAGAATCAAAAGAACATCATAAATTAATTTTATATTTAAATAGTTTATTATTATAATTATTTCATTCCTTTATTGATGTCAATCGACATTAAATTTTTTTAAAAATTTATTATTATTAGTTATGTGATTAGTTTAATCACTTGATTTAAAGCATATGAAGCAAATAGCAATAAATAAATGATTCTCTTTCTTTTAATCAACAATTTTAACATAGACTTTACAGTTAATAACATGCATTTTCTTCCTTTCCTATCACAATATATATATTGGAAAAATACCAATTTTCAAATTCTTACAATGATTTTTCAAGAATGTTCAATCTTGAACTACATTGATACTAAATTCTATTAAGGTGTATATTCTGGATTATGCCACGCAATTACAACATTAACCTAAGCTGTATGGATTCTGGAGGACGCCATACAATTACAACATGAACCTAAGCATGATTTTAAATCCTTTAGGAATTTAAATTTAACTTTAAATCGATTTTTCTAAAGTTAAAACATTAACCACAGGAGGCTTAAAGTTATACAATGTGAGCATAAATTCTCGTTTCAATATTTTGAATTCTTTATGAATTCAAATTTGACCCTAAATATACTTTGACTCACTTTTTCAAATTCTTTATTATGGATTCTCTATTGAGATGGTGTCTCTGAATCTGAACATCAGTTATCCTAAATTGAATTTGATTGTCAAACAAATTCTTGATTCTCTAATTTTGAATTACCATGGGGTGTTTGGCTCCAAATGCATATTTTTTATTCATGAAGTAAAATTGGGATGGTAGACATTCAAATTCAAATAGCAGGGACCGTTTAACTTAATGGGACTCAATCACTGTCGCAAACTAAGAAACTTCCACAAAACATTCGTTACAAACACGGTTTTCGGATAGTGTGCGTTTACTCAAAGAAGGCACCACTCTTAAAAGACCAATTAGAAAGAAATTCAATGATGAAAGTGAGAGAAAGAGGGCTCAGAAATATCAGAAGAAACAATTGAAACTCAAACCTCTGTGTGTCGTGATGACTGAGACCGGTCTTTCTCTCTTAAGCATTGCCTCTTGTGGATCCTATTACAAATGCGCGAAGTCTTTCTTATATAATATGAATATATGGACCTTGCTACAGGCCTGAGTATACCAGGCCCATTTACAATTCACATTTGTAATTATGTTTTAAAAAATATATATATATACATATATATATATATATATATATATATAAAGTTAAAAGATAACTTTCACCACTATTTAAAAAATTTATATTATAAAAATGGTGTTATTAATGAAGTAAATCAAAATAGTTTATCGTCTTTAAAAATTTTAAAAAGTATTCATAATAAAATTGTTAGCTTTTTTATTATATCTTTTCTTTTATTATAATTAAAAAAACTAAATCAAATTTTACTTTTAGAATTTTGATATACATTGTGTGCATTTTACTTATAAGGTTTTGTTTCTGTATATGCTCATGATTTGAACTAAACACTCGCATATATCTTTATTTGAATATATGGTGCCTTTAAGATCAGTATTTAAAATTTATGATAAGTTATTTTACCTCACAAGAACATTAAAGATACAACAAATATAATTAAAAAAATATGTAAAATAAAATATTTATAATGGGGCTGAGAGAATGGCGAGGTCTCTTTTGCAAATTGTAATTTTTCATTTTTTTAGTAAATAAAAATCGATAAAAACAAAAAAAAAGTCACCAAACACGTTTTCAAAACAAATACAGTGAAACGTGCGATTAGGCAAGTAAAAGAATACATATAAGAAAATTTTAAAAATTTAAATGAATAAAACAAGAATAATAACAATTTTAAATTTATAGTTAAGTGTACAAATTTTCCCCTTATTATGTTCAATGGTTTTTTTTAATTGTATTATTGATACATTTTTAATGATAATATTGTGTTGACAGGATTTTTTTTTTTTAAATAGTTATCTTAGTTACAATATTTTGATGATTCAAAAATTTTAAAAACAATGATCTCTATTATTTTTGGATCTAGATTCTCTTTAATTTTGGCAAAAATTTAACATTCAGTTATATTTTTGCTTAAGTGAGTTAGATTTGCTCAAACGAAAATGCAGAAAATAACAAAAAAAATTTACACAAAATTAATTTAAGTAAATTTTTTTAACTTAAGCGAATATGAGTGAATTAGTTTGGCTTAAGCAAATTTTGTACATTTGAAAAGATGTAGACTAAGTATAAGAAAAAAAGAGGATTAAGAATTGATAGAGATAAGGAGAGCGAATGATACAAAAATGATAGCAGATGGAGAGGAGGGTAGATAGTTGAGTATGGAGGAGAGATGGAGAGATAGATATGCATTAGGATGAGAGTGGGAATAAGAAGAAATGAGTTGGGCACATGGTGGAGAAAAATTGGGTATGAGAAAAGAAAAAGAATTGAATATGGAAACTAAAGAAGATTGAACATAAAAGTTGAAAAGTAAGTGTTAGGCATGAAGGGAAGGAGAAAGGAAGATTGAGAAATGAGACGCAAAATTCGCTTAAACTACTTTTACTAAAAAAATTATCATTTTATGCATTTTTGCTTAAGCAAAATCAATTCGTTTAAACAAAAATAAAACTGGATGTCTAATTCTTGCAAAAACTAGAGAGAATCTGAATCCGTTAATTTTATAATTAAATCAACTAATGCATTGTTAAACTTACTATTATTTTAAGATACATAACTACAATAGTTCTCCCTCCAAAATAGGTTTTTTTTTTTTTTTGCAATATATTTTAAAAAATACATGAATATATATTTTCAAAAGTATTAAATTAACACAACTAATTTAGAATGAATAAAAAAGAGTGAAACTAAGTTTCCATGTTGTATACAACTATTTTTTAAAAATTAATTTCAATTTTAGAAAACTTTTTGACCACCAAAATTGAGTTATAACTAGTCTCTAATTGAAGTCGAAAAGATATTATGTAAAAATTTAGAGATTGATGCTCAATATAATATATAAATAATGAAAGAAAAGATCAATGCCGAAGCATTTGAACAATGTCAATTTAAATCTCAATATTTTCATTAATGTAAGAAAATAATAATAATCAATATCAATGTCACCTACCAATTTACCTCAATGCCTTGGTAAATCACAAGTGTATATCTTCATTGGAGTGTTTCCAATAAACGGGCACATGATGACCAACAACAATAAAATCCATAAAATTGGTAGCTATAATACAATCATTAGGGGTGGGAATGGGTTTGTGCTTGTAATTTACAAGCCCAACCATTTACCTTATATTTGGAGGCCTCACTAGACCTGTAGCATGGCCTAATAGCAGGTATAAAGACCATTAACATAACATTCATTTAATTAATAACGATTACAATGAAAACAATTATTATAATTAACAATGATTACAAAACTGGCCTTGTTCATCCTTTTTTTAAATAAGATGGGCCCAAACAGGCCTTAAATGGGCTAGCACAAGTTTTTGATTTTCACCCTTATAAGAGTATTCAAAATGTAATCACGTATAGGAGTCGATACTATAAAAACTGTTATATTTAAAATGTTTAATAAAAAAATAATATGTAGTAAAGAATTATCTTAAAATAAATATTTTATTTAAGAAAAGTATATTTTTACGTTAACATAAGTTTAAAAAAATTTATATTTAATCTGAGTATTTTATTTAACATACATTTAACAATTAATAAAATAATAAATTATAATTCATTAAATGTAAATTAAATATAAAATTTTTTAAATTTATATTAGTGTGAATAATTTTTATTTTTTTATTTATTAAATGAAATTGAAATGGATAAGTATAATATATCTTGAAAGATTCAAAATTTCAAAATTTCGTGAAAAGATAATAACCTAGTATATTATTATTATTATTAAAATCATAATTACGGTCCTCGTATTCAACATCATTCATAATTTTATCAGTGAAGAGTTCAAAAAGACTTTTATTGACTTGACCGAAAAACAACGCTTGAAAGAATAATTTGCCATTAATTTGGTCTCCACTTATCTAATGCATACTTTTGTTTGCGGACAAGCCTTTTTTCATTTTTCGATTTTTGCTAACTTTAATTTTTAAAACTGAATTTAATCATTTAAATATAGTATTTTTATTAAAAAAATATTATTATATTAAAGTTTTAAAAATATAATAAATTTTACTATTATTAATTACTTAAACATAATTTTTTAATTAATAGTCGAGGATAATATTTAAAGCTAAGAATAACATTTGTCTTATTTTTATTCCTAAAAATACGATTAATGCTCTTGTCACGAAATTATTGAGCTCATTATTTTTTTTTATTATCGTTTTTTGCTTAATTATCATATTTTGAGTCTATTGGCGCTTTCTTGTTTATTCTCTTCTTTTAGTGTTTTTTTTTTCTCGTGTCACTGTACATGTTGTGAGCTTTTATTAGTGGGTCAATTTCACGCGTCAACTATAGTTATCTTGAAATACAAATTTTTTCAATAATATGTAAACGTATCTTTTTGTTATTAAACCTTTTTAATTTAATTAGTTAACAACTTTCAGCTATAAAAGCAACTTTTCAATTAATTTTATAAAATTAGGCCTAACTCGTATCCAATAAGGCTGCTCTCCAGAAAGCAATAAATAAAGCAACTCTGAAAGAAAATTGTAATGTTAAAATTGAAATATAAACTTATTAAATTGAAATAAAGATAAGAAATAAGATTGAAAGTGCAAGGTAAGTTATGAGGTTTATTTAAGAGACTTTTAAAAGTTACTGACTTGAATTAAAAATTAATTGAATTGCTTAAAATAATAAAAATAATGTTAAAAAAGGGTGTGTGTATATATATATATATAAGAAATGTAAACTTATAAGAGTAGTTTTGTTGGAGATGACCTAAGTTTTTATTTTTTTATTTATTTATTTGAGTGGGAGAAAATGTAACCCTACAAAAGACAAGATATACAACCTTTAAATTGGATTTTATGGTACAAATCTAAAAGATGGACAAAGAAAAACCGATAAAGGAAAAAGGGTCAAGTATGGGTAGCTTTTCTTTTACTTATTATTACTATTTTTTATTTCACAAAAGCAAAGAATTGAAAAAAAAAAACAATAAATGTTTTATATGAATGAAATTAAAGGGCCATAAATTAACGGTTATAAAATGATGTGCACATAAATGTAGATACATAAAGATAAGCAAGCTAAGAATAGAAGTGGGGAAGGAGGGTTACTATTGGATCAAAACATCAGAAGAAAAGTGTCTCCCTTGTTTGGGTAACTGGAAATGGGTTTGAATGAAGCGGTGTGGTGCAGCATGGTGCTCCTTTTGGTTGGTTTTGGAAGGTGTGATTTAAACCAAGACAAAGCAGAATGCAGCGACAAACTGCTTGGTTTAGCAAGTTGTCTTTCGTACGTTGGAGGGGAATCAAAAGCCCCAACCTTAGACTGTTGCAGCGGTCTTAAAGGGGTTATCGACAAGAGCAAGAGATGCCTTTGTATCCTTATCAAAGATCGTGATGATCCCAACCTTGGCCTCAACATCAACGTTACCCTTGCTCTTAACTTACCCACTGCTTGTCACACCCCCACCAATATCACTCAGTGTGTTGGTAACTCTCTCTCTCTCTCTCTCTCTCTAACCCATCCTCTTGTTCATCTTTTTTATGTCTCCTCTGTTGTTTCAGATCTTCTGCACTTGCCACCCAACTCTCCAGAAGCTAAAGAATTTGAGGGGTATGAAAAAGCCTTGAAAACCAATAGTTCCGCCCCAGCTTCAAGCGGTAATTATTAATTAAACATTATTCATTCATTTTTATCAAGACACAGTTTAGGTGGAATTAATTAATTAAATTGTTTATGATATTGAACATTGTGGGGTTGAAACTGAAAACTGAGTGCAGCTAGTAACGCAACGCATGGGGCTGGAAAGGGAACAACAGAAAGCGATGGAGGGTGGGGAAAGAAGTGGCTAATAACAGAGGCTTGTGGGATTTTACCATTTGTTTTGGTGTGGCATTTGGTGTGAGGAGATGAATGATGAGGTAGCATATTATGGTGGTTGTGTCTATTTATTTCTGGGTTTCATATATATAAATGTTGATTGGGAATGCAATTCCTAATAAGTTGCTAGGTGAATGGTGATGTTACTGTGTTGTCTTTTTCCTTCGCTTATTAGTGTGCCCATCCTCTGAGTTCTGGGTGTGATTAATTTTCCAACTAATGGAACCATTGAAGGGACCCATACCCATTACTTGAGCTCACCAGTGTGTATGCTTTAAATATATAATTGTGGTGGCAAATGGGGAGGGTAAGGGCTATGGCCTATGGCTATGGCCCCCTTTCCATTTCCTACACGCCATTCCTTCTATGGACGTGACATAAATCTTTCAATTGCTAAATATTTTTTACTCAGATGCAGCAGAGGATAGGGATTCAATGCATGGCACAGATCCAATTTCAATCAATTTCGTTCTTTATAAATATTTATAACTTAAAATTAATTTACACTTTTTTATTTTTAAGAAGTTACTCCTGTTTAACTTTTTTTAAATATTAAGAGATAAGTTATTTTTAATTTATATAAAAAATTATTTATTTTTTATATTAATTCTTTCTTTTATAAGTTCACTCAAATTGTGATTGAAACAAATATCAAATAAACGTGATAGTTGAAAAAAAAATTCTAAAGAATAATTTAAAAAATTAAATTATCTAACATTAAAATTAAAAATTACTAATTATACTTTGCCTCCACTCCAATCGATTGGGTTTTATAACTTAAATATTATTAAACCAATTATATTATTTGAACATAAAAAAAATAAATATTATATGGAGTACTATGTATGGTTATATTTGTTTTTTCCGTTTTTATGGTTTATTAAATACTTTACCTTATTAGATAATCATAAAAAAATTACCAATAAACATCAATTTACAGTAACATAATGAAACATGTTGTATTTTATACCATAATTAGATTCAACTGAGTCAATACATATATAAAACTCATCCTTTTTATATATAAAAAAATAACTATTACTATTTTTATTTAAATTATAAAAAACATTTTTATATGTATTCATTGTTAAATTTAATTTTTATTTAAAATTTGTATAAGTAGAACACCGACTCATTAACTGTATGAGTGAATACAACAGGTCGTGTAGTATAATATGCATTTATTTGCTAGCAACAAAAATTTTACTATAAATAGGTTTTATATATATATATATATATATATATATATATATATATATATATATATATATTCTTCTAATAGTACTTAAAACTTATTTAGCTTATATTTTTCTAAAAATCAACCGAGATTTTTAATGTGTCCAAAAGTACATGTTAAGAAGTTAAAAATGATAAAGAATTATAAAAAGTATTTGGTGCATACTTTTTATTATAATTAAAAACATTTAGTGAGGTATATTTAATATTTTTTTACACGCATTAAAAAAAATATTAATAACTCACTTTTTTAATATATTTTTTATTATTATTTAAAATTTATAAAATAAACTACATATCATGTAAGTTTAATTATTTATCATTCTTAATTTAATATTTTTCTGTCATACTTTTATAGTTTTAATAAATTTTAATCGATAGTTAAAAATGTATCAAAGAAAGTACATATCTAACATTTTTCTTTAAAAAATTAAAACTATACAAATATTTTTTCTATAATTGTAACATTACTCTTATTAATTTTTCCTGCATCATTTCATCTAATTAAGGTATAAAAAGTTATAGTTTATTATTGAAAAAAAAAACTGTATTTTGGTCTTTAACATTATTATTATTGTTGTTTATTAATTTAAATTAGAATTTTATTTTAATAAAAATTTTATATTTGATAATATAATAAATTATTAAGACATAAAAATCTAATTTTAATTGATAAAAGTACCAACAATTCTTAAAATTTAGAACTCTAAAACTAGTACCATCCATACTTCACTTGTTAATTTTTTTTCAGTAATATAATACTCTCTCCGGCCCTTTTTATAAGAAACAAAATAAAATATTTTATTAATTTTTATTAATTAACAATTAATAGATTTAAGATGCATTAATATAATTAAATATATAAATCATTAGTTATACCATTTAATGTTATGAGTATTTTTAGAATAAAATTTATATTTATTAAAAAATATAACATATTTAATTATTTTTTTTAATCTTGATGATTTAGTCGTTTCTTTCCTATAAAAAGAAACAGAGGAAATAATAACAAATCATCGTAGTCAAAATCAATTTTTCATACCGTAACTATCATGAGTCATTAATTGAAATTGTAATCGGTACATAAGTTTGATTAACATAATCTGACAAGGCAGGTTCTACATTAATATAATAAATACTAATCCTATGCTTGAACCTTTATAATTTTTTTGTGTTTTGTTCAATATTTTCAACTTTAACTTTCCTTTAAAAATAGAGATTTGGAAAGGTGAAAATTTTTTAAACTAATCAGACAAAATTATGTTTTATTTAACATGTATATTTAATTATTTTAAATATATAACCATAAATTTATTTATTTTACTTCTTTGTTTGTGAATCAAATGAAACATCTTTCTTCATTTGAATCAAACTAAGTATTAAAAAGTAAAGACGGTAGTCATTATAGTAAAGACGTTGCATAACTATTTGACTATTCAAAGATTATAGTCATCTTCACTTAAGCACATAAGAGCTATTGATAGAAAGCGACTTCTAAAATTTCAGAATGTATACATTGAGGTACTTTTATGTAACGTCCAAAAGGGTTAAATTTTGTTGTCTAACATATCTAGAATTACCATTCTCATAAAAAGAGTTAGTTTACAAAACAAACACATATCATAACGCAACAATCAAATATAGCATGAATATTTTAAAATAACTTTGCAGGAAAAAAAAAGAAAAAAATGATGACCCAATGCAAACAAGGAAAGAAGAAATTAATACAATGTTTATACTATTTCATTCCAAGGAAGAAAAATTAAAACATAGCAAACTGTGGGTCCTTTAGGACTCCCTGGTACAGTCATTCATTCCTTATAAAATTTTGATAAAGCAAGGAAACATCATTGACAATTGAAAACTCTAATGAGAAAGAAACCCATCGTTGATGATAGAAAACCCATGGAAACCACCAACAATGACATATTTATTTTGACATAAACTATTTTTTATTTTTATTATAAAAATGTCACTTTCTTTTTATTTTTAAAAAGCTGCATAGAAAATAATAAGAATAATAAAATAATTATTGTTAATTTTTTCTAAACAAATTTTAAAAAATTAAAATAAAAGTGACATTTTTATAATTAAAAATAAAAATGGAAAATATTTTTTAAAAATCCAACAGACCTAAGATTCTAAGTTTTCTGTTGCTGAGTGGTGCCATCCTCAGACATGGGATCCTTTGAAGTTTGATGTGATTTTCTGGCAGTGCCATTGTAGTGTCTGGCCCATATGATTTCCCTGTGAGGGTGATTACACCGACAGGTATAACAGCGGTTGAAAAAAGGATCAGAAATTTGTTTATTCCAACGTTTGGAGACACTTTTGAATCTGAACAAAGATTTAATGGGAAGCTGCACAAGAATTTCCACTAGAACAGGTTCTGGCAATTCACTACTGTCCTCAGGTCGGTCTTTGTTATCACCTTGATTTGCCATATTAGAAACCTTGCTTCTTGTATTGAATGCCTTCTTCACCTTCACTATCCTGCATTATCCAAGCTCTCAGTCCATATATTTATTATTGAGGAAGCATGACAATTTTATATAATAAAATAAGTGGAACTCATTTAGGGTGATTAAAGGACACACATAAGGAAAATGTATTCATTTTTAAAATCAAGTGGGTTAATTTAAATTCTCAAAAAAATTTCATTTAAATGTATGTGTAAATATAAGTTTAATTTTGTAAATGCACTTCAAAGTTTTGAATACTATATTGTACTTTAGCGTTGAAAAAAACAGTATATTAAAGACTCAGACATAACATTAAATACATAGATTAGTTGTACAACTTTATTTATTTTCTAATTTTAGAGTCTTTCTCACTTTAAAAAATATTTTTTAATAAATTTAACGTACATGTTTAATTATGAACATTACTATGCGACATAAAAAAAATTTTCTTTTAAGAAAATGAAGAGTTAGTATATTTAAGTTAAGTTCTCTTTCTTAGTACATAAAAAAAGTAAATGATGACAAAGTCAAAATAAATCGCTATAGCATTTCGCAGAGTAATAATTAATGAATACAAAATATACATTTTTTTATAAAAAAAAAATTATGAATGTACTTTTTTTATTTTCAATCCATTAAATCCTAATGTGAGTCTCAACAAGTTTTTTTATTTTTTAATTCACTCTCTTAAAAAAAAAATAACAATCAAACTCCTACTATGTATGATGGATGTTGACCTTTACATTAAAGTAACATTGGTTACTTTTTGTCACTGAATTTCCATTATTCTAAACCTAACTAACACTACTGAGTTTTTGTTAATGTTAATGTTGGCTACATGAAATTCAGATTTTTATAAGAAAATTCCTTAAATTTCCATAGATTTATCTAACGTGTAAATGATGAGTTTACCCACGAACTAAATGCACGGTTGAGGGATCCTATAATGTGAGAAAATGATATTTTTAACTTGAATAAAATTAAAAGCGAAGTCTGATAGTGTGAAAACGTTATGTTCCTTGTTATTAGATTTATCCATCCTTCGTGACTGGCTCAACAGTCTATGTGAAATGAAGTGATACACACAATGCATATACGTGACAACATATTCATCATGACGCATTTATACTTGAAAAAGAATTCATCACACGCATCACAATATTTTGTTACAAACAGGATTCGGGGTAGAGAAAAACTCCCATCTTGGAGCTTTTCTAGCTACTCGGGCCGAATAAACATTAAGACACCTGTCAGTTTTGATCATTTTCTTGAAATTCTTGAAAAATCGCATTATGTTTTTTCAAGCTAAACATATATGGGCTTCTCTTTTCGCAAATAACTCACAACAAATTGGGGGCGAAAACAAAGAACTTAAGAACTCACCAAAACCAAAGGCATGACAAAAAAGAAAGAACTCATCAATAGCAATCCATAATAACAAAATCCCATTTGCAGAACTTTTTAAATTTACATTGTATATTTTCTTTCGTTGAAAAGACATGAATAAATTGCCAACAACTGCAAATGACCGCAAACTCAGTCAAAAGTATAAACCTTATATAAGTTTTTGATCTTCTAAAAATTCTTGATTTTCGGTTAAATTCAATTCGCAACATATAACCAAGATGCACGAACAAGGAAACGGTGCTGAAATGCACTATACAGACACTGTATACATACAAGGTCAAAAAAGGAAAAATGTAGAGTTCCACATATAGACAAGGAAAGGCACAAGATATCAGATCTCAATGCTCTGACTTAACCCTCACATCTCCATTTGGCAGTACGTTTTGTGCCTGTGCCTGACGTTTCAACTCCTGCATAGATGCAACAAGGCCCGGATTTAAGTTAACCAATAAACCATAAAAAGAGAAACAATCAAGCAAACATTATGATTTTTTAGATTCACTTCAGGATTTAGTTTAGTCTTTGGGTTTCTTCTTTTTCCCAGTTAAGCCCTTTTAAAACATTTTAGCAATAAAGTAGTCCCTTGCCAAGTTGCCATTTACATTACGGTATTCAATTAACCATGTGATATAGAATGGAAAAAACACACCAGAAACCAAACCCAAGGTATTAAATTAGAGAAATTTGAAGTAGAGATGCTGACCACCCAGAATGAACTTGTAGGGCATGCAGAATAAGGGCCACAGGATGCCAGTGCCAGACCAGTACGTGAATAGTTAGGATTCACCATGGAAATAATCAAATTACCATGTGGAAGGGAGGATTGAGGAAGGCATGATCTTTTATAGAAAACGATCAGTAGAGAGATGGAAGGCAAGAAGAAATTGTGTGGGAAAGTGAGGAAGCTTTGCAAACCCTCGCATGTTCTGTAATTTCTTTCCATTTTCAGTTTCTCTAGAGTGATATCTGTATTTTTCTTCTACCTTGATATCTGAGAAGTCAGGGTGATGAAGGAACATATGTAGGAAATTAATAAACAGGTATTTGTATAGGAAACAGTGAAACAGAATCTTTTTAAAAGCATATTATATTTCACTATTTCTTATACAAATCTTGGAAAACAAGAAACATGATAAAAACAAGATGTCAATTTTGTAATTAAAAGTGAAAACAGAATATGAAAACAAAATGTTTTGTAAAACCAAACAGCCCCCCTAAGTTTTCTCTTTCGAAGCAACATTGCAAGAAAAGTAAAACAGCTTGTTTTCTGAGTGTGGATCAACTCACACCTCAGCTGCCCCTTCTTCACCAACAAGGTCAACCATTCTTTACATCTTAATGAAAGAATAACTTCTATACAGTTCAAAATCAAATAATTCCTACTTTCTTCAACACAGAAAATGACGCGGATGTCCTGGTTCAATCATATTTGCAGAAGATTGAACGCTTAATATAAACATCCTATTCCTAGGCACAGAAAAAAAAAAAGCAATAACGAGACATGATTATTGCAAGACATGGGTTCTGTCTGGGGTTTTTATTCTATTTTTTGTTATTTATTTATTTTTTTGAATGTCAATGTTTTTAAAATAAAGATAAATAAACAGTTTAGAATTAATATCACCAAATGGTACTGATATTTTAACAGTGAGTGAGTTAACATTTTAAGTTAACAGAAGGCACTATTGAAACAATTGTACAGAGTTTAAGGGGAAAGTCAGAATAAAAGTTGAAAAGTTTAGGCCAGTTACAAGCACTTTTCCCTAAAAATAACCCTTTAACTTGAGAGCACACATACATATGCATATGTATGTATGTATGTATAAAATAAGACAAAAAAAAATGAAATTGTAATCTAAACATAACATTTATCTTTGGATTCAGAAGGATTACGAGGCTTATGATGAGGCAAGTAACATTTTAACCCTCTGAATATGAGGACTATGACAGGCCACATTAAACAGTCGCAAAAACTGGGTCTGCAGCAGATGTCATTAAATCAGAAGTTCTTATATTTTCAGAACTATATTGGAAAGTAAATAGGGAGAAGGTTTTGCCTCAAAAGAAATTAATAGTAAATTGAAAGGATGTGAGGATGCTAGTGCCAATAAAATGAGATTGAATCAAGCAGGGAAGAATGGAGTATGAATAAAGTAAGAAGAAGAGCACACCCATGGAAGAGGCCATATAAGAGCTCCACCACAAATTCTACTCGAAATTGTTCATCTGAGGGCATGACAGGGAAGAACGGGGCTCCCCAATCAACAATAAAATATATAGTCGTCGTGAGAAATATAGAAGTGAAAGGAAAAGAATTTGCACTTCATTTGTGATGAAAAAAATATAAAGTCGAGGAAAAAGAAGCAGAAGAGGAAAGCAAAAGTGATTGGGGATGAATTGGAGGAAAAAGAACTGGAAATTGTGATGCATGATGTCACATTACAGGACGGAGCACCCCCTCTCTCTCTCCCCTTTCAGTAAGGGTAGCAAACGTATTTATCTTTACAAGGTATAAGTGATAAATTTGGACAAACCAATGACAATAGGAAGGTCTTTAAAGTTGAGTTCAACATTGAAAGAAAATACTAAATGAGCTATACTTACAGCAGCAGCAGTAGCACGACTCTCTCTAAAAGTTTCAACCTCGTCAGGGAAGTTCTGCTCCAATTCCTCCAAAAGATGCTTGCGCAAACTCTGCACAAACAGAAACGCTGAGTTGGACTAAAGCAGCTCATTAAATACATTTGACATAGGAAGAAAGGAATGAAAAAAAAAAAAACATATCTAACAAAAATCAAGAATAAGAATAAAACCTTTAAAGCATCAGTTTTCCCTTTGGTGATCTGATTCTTTGCAATACAATTATTTATAACATCTCTGGTAAATTCATCTGGATTTTTCCCATCATCAATTAAACTAAACACAGAAGCAAAAGAACAATTAAGATCAAATGAAAAAAAAATACGTAAAATAACTGTAGGAGCACCAATGCAAGCGACTCACTTGACAACCTCCATAGGAACCTGAATGTTACACTTCTCTGCCAATTTAACCATGTTGTCAAGCTCCACAACAAGACCATTGCTGGACAATTTAAGTAAAATAAGACCAATTTTGAGCAGGAAACAAAAGGAAATGAAAGAAGAGACGCATTAGAGTAAAAGGATCAGAGAAAGTTACATGCGTTGGAGAAGAGGCATTTGAAAGGCAGCATTGAAGGTAGAAACTGTAAGGTAAAGCTGATGGATAAGGCCCAGGGTTTTCTGAATGGAATTGCTGACCTGGTTCAGCTTCTGCATAGAATCATCAGCTCCTGTTGCAGAAGCTGCTGTGTCATTAGTTTGAGAGATCAGCGTCCCATTTCCACCATTTCCCCCCGCAACCGTACTTTGTGATGAATCCATTTGTATTTTTCTATAAGCCAAAATTTATTGAAAATTTTCAATCCAAAATGCAAACAAATAACAATAGCAAATGCTTGGTAGCCTGGAGACTGCATATCATTTTTCTTAAAATAATGTAATATGGAGCTACATGGGCCCGTAATCAACTCGGTCAAACCAGTATATACCAAACCTGTAAATTTCGTATCTAGAAAATTTTCAATAAAATTATTGCACAAGCTAAAGGTCATACTCCAAATTAAAAACTAGTATCATCACACAAGTACCTAATTAAACAAAATACCAATGAAGGTTCTATTACAAGTTCAAAACGAGCAATGTTTTGTATATATTTATCAAATGTAATTATAATCGATCATATTTGAATAGAAATCAGAAAATATAAAAGTTAAGAATGTGAGATAGCAGTACCTTTCTCCGACGTATCTGAACGGCAACGAGCTGTGATGGATTCAAAGGCAGAGAGCAGAGGAGGAGGAAGGAGGTCGTAGAGAGGAATAGCCGTAAGACTGCCAAGGGTCCAACGACGTCGCAGTCTCAGGACGATCCAAAATTCGACTATCAATTAGGGATTTCAGATTTCCGGTTTCACAAATCTCCTCTTTATTCCAATTTGTGAGTTTCCACGGCAAGTAGTGTTAACTTCAAATATTTTTTTTAAGATAAATATTTAAATTAAAAATATATTATACGATTCTTTTTAAATTTAATAAATTAAAAATTAAAAAAATCAAAATTTATCAATCCGACTTGATTTTGTCCGATCCAATCTTTGTTTTTATTTCTCTTTTTTTTGGGGCCGATCCAATTTAAGATCTCTTTATTTGTGGACAAAAACAATAGTTGTTCATTATTTTATTATTAAAAAATAGTTTTTATTTTTTTAATAAAAAATGTACATATAATATAATTATATAGGTTAAATTAATTTTTATACACTAATAGTTTGAATGGTAAGCAAATAAATTTAACTTAAGCAAAGTTTCGAATTTAACTTTTTGTATACAAATTTTTTTTAATGATAATCTTACTTCCAGTATTTAGATACGCAATTCAAGTTGGATTTCAGAATAAACGGATGAAAACAAAAAAAATTATAAATATCAATGATATTCAATAAATTAAAATTAATTTTATAAAATTCATTTGACATTCGTTACTTTAAATAAATGTTATTGGGCTTTTAGCCCGCTGAATAAGAAAAAAAAGTTGACATTAAATCAATCACGCACTTAATATCCCATGATCGAAAGAATTCGGAAGATTCTGTCACGTCAGAACCACTTTTTTTTTTCATTTTTCTTTTTAAATACGTAAACTATACTTCTTTCCTTTTTTTCTTACATCTTTTTTCCTAAAATTTCATGAATTAGATGTGTTTAGTTTTTTGTTATAATTAATATATGATTTGTTAGTATAATATTTTTTCAGTCAAGTTTAATTTCCTATTTTATAAGCTTTTCTCTATTTATAGTTTTGAAGTTCCAACTTTCTACATTTTTACTCAAATAATTAAAGATTTATGTCAAATTTGAGAAATAAAATTATGAAAATTTCAAATTAGCCCTGGTAAATCTCATCATGGTTATATTTATATAAAATTTGAGTTTTCAGTAGGTAAATAATCAAATTGAAGTGTAAAAATGAGTGCCTTCTCAACGAGGTTTCCTTCTATACTCCTTTGCTGCTATTTCCTTCCTTCAAGACAGGGAGATCCAATAAATCAAAATCATAATCAATAAAAACTCAAATGTTTCTATGCCTAAGCATCTTGCGTCATCATTGTTTTTTTCTTACTCAAAGTAGTCACTGTAAAATTATAATAGTTAAGCTTATTTAATCATAATGAGTGAGAATCCAAGTATCTTAAAAGTGAGTATTGTCAATTTTTTTAATATATTTTTATAAACATTGAATTTTTTTCAATTTAATTATTATTTTAAAAATTTTCATTCAACAAATGAAGTCTATAAAATTTTAACAATTTAAGAACTAATTAACATTTTATTAATTAATTTAATTTCAATAGATATTATACTTTTAAAAATATAGATAAGTATAGACTATAAAATGTCATATCTAAGAAATATTAAATTCATTTAAACTTTTATATCCATAAACATTACAATAAAATTGTATAATCTAATGATTAGATGTATTATATTATTCCATAAAAAATTGTAAAGTGAAATAAATGTTCAAAATTCTCTTAAAGTGACAATATAATATATAATTAATAAAGTATGATAAATGTTCAAACTCATGCATTTAATAATTTTATATGAATGATAAATTTTATAAATTTAACTGTCAATTTTTAAAAATTAATTTAATATGTAATTTAATAGGCTGCACACTAGAGCATATTCATAAAAGTAAAAAAAAAAAAAAACACGTTGAGAAAAGTAAATAGTTTGTACATAATTGATATTATTGAATGTAAATAATTTTATTAGGTTGACCATCAAAATGGTTAAACTTTTTCTCAGTTCATTCATGCAGACAAACAGATTACAATTATAGTATAATACTCACTAACAATGCAAGATAAAAGTTTAACTAAACGTTTATTAAATAAACTCTTATTACATATCGAGTCTGTACTAAATTAGAACACGAGATTTATTGACATAAATTTAAACAAAAAACTTATTTATTATATATATATAATATAATATTATTCGTAAGTTCTTTCAATCGTACCCAAAATATTAAACTTAAGGAAGCATTAAAGAGCTTACAGGGCATATTCAATCCCCTGCAGTTCAAAAAAGTAATCGTCCTAATGCAAAAAAAGAAGATAGTCTATGGAATATCAATAAATTTACAACTTATACTTATAAAATGACATTTTAACTCCTTAAACTATCAAATGACAATCATTTTAGACTCAGGACTTATAAAACAACAGTTACTTTTATCCTTAAATTACAACTATGACTAAAATCATTTATATTTAATAATTTCATGGACTAAAATAATATTTTTTGTAATTTTAAAGACTAACGTACCTTTTTATAATTTAGGCACTAATTCAGTTAATTACTCTGATAAAAAAAATTGCGGGTAGTTGGGAGACAAGGTGAGGCCATGGCAGCACGGAAACCTGTTGTTTTAGCAAGATCATTATATAGAAAGTTAAATTTTTGCCAGAAGCAGAAAGTTCTGCGACACACATGAAGTAGAAGTCTCGGTACTTAAATATGTACATAATATGTTCATACAGATCCCATGAGGATATAATATAACGCAACCAGACTCGGTTTTGTGAGTCTAGCTAGACTCTTGATAGATAGGGTAGGCAATAGAGGAACACTGACAACTTAAAATGTCATTCCATTATGCCATACAACAGCTAGTAGTATAAAACGGCATTACTCCGTGAGTAGCATAGGAATTTCATCCACTGGATCAGGAAGCTGCAAGTTGCAATACATTTATACAAGTTAGTTTCTCTCTCGCAGCACAAGAACTGCATAATCAAAAAATACTAAGGCTAAATGAATGAGGATATGCAGAGAGGGGGGGGGGGGATGAAAAATGCTGCAGATGATAGTGAGTTTTATGATCTTATAGTCAAAGTAAATAGTAAGTGTATGCCTCTAATTTGTGGAGAAGTTGAAGGTTTGAGAAACAATGCACGCGTACAAGGGCAACAGATGATTGGAAAGCCACCACTCACTCGCTCAGACCACATTGCAGACACAAAAACTCATGAGGGAGGTTGAGGAGTCCTAATATTTAGTCAATTAGTACATATGAACACTCATATTTGGCCCATGCTAGAGTGAATTTTGTAAGGTTATAAGCTATGACTCCACTTCAGCATGGTAGTGGGGCATCCAATCCAAGTGAAGCCTTATGGCTTAACCCAACAATATACTTCAATTATGTACTAATTACTTCCCCTGCATCGTTCGAGTCCTTTGCCCATATCGTGTGTTGATAAATACGTAGTCAACAAGTTAATTTGAATAATTATAAACAAACACTTACATTACAGGAGAAGAAAATAAAATAAATCAAGAAAATGAATCAAATCAAATCTCTCGTACAAGTAAAAGTCAATCCTCACCTTTTTCATCACTTCACCATAAACTAGTATAAACTTAGGCCTAAGTCATAAAATACACACCCATCTGTGAACCCTAACGCTATAAGTAACACAAATCACACATTTCCAGAGCATCAAATAAAAACAGATAGACGAGTTTAAACACGAAATTGAAGAAGAAGAGAGAGGAAACCTGAATTGAAGGAAGACGGCAACGAGAAGAGGAGAGAGAGTTGCGGCATGAACGAACGGTTTTGAACTGATCAAGATCGAGTTTCTTGTTGATGATGCCAACTTGGAAGTAGATGTTATCGGAGGGAGGCAAATCGACCCTGATCTCATCAACGTTGAACCAAAGCAAGAGACGCTGAACCTGTATTCCCTTAAGGTTGGTGATGGAGCCGTAGTTGAGCTTCCCCGTTATCTTCGTCTCGTAGTAGACCAAGTAATCGAACTGAACGTAGCACGGCTTCTCCAAAACGACGACGAATCGGCCGTCCTCCTCCAGCATGTAGTCGGTGACCGTGTTCGGTAACAGACCACTGGGGAGGCCGTACTTTGGGAGTATCTCGTACACGCTCTCTTTCGCCCTGCAACTCCAAACACTAAACACGCTCAAACTCAAGATCACCGTGACAAACACGCGCCACTTTTTCGTGGTGGTTGTTCCCATCGTTGCTTCCTTCCTCTCAATTTTCCAGAAAGGGATCAGAGTTTCAATTTTAAACACCAACCCTCCCCGATAACTTCTAACTCTTTCTTCTTTCCTAAAATTATTCACTTTTTCTCTCTCTCTTTTTATTTTAATTGTTTAATAATTAAAAATTGTTTTTCTTTCCTTCTTTATTATCGTTATCGTCACTGTCCACATCCACTACCAAACACAAATGGGTACTGCCGTATGGATCCACGAAGCCAAACACCCCCACCCTAATTATGCTTTTAAGGTCTACCCTTGAAATCATCTTTAGAATATTAATAATGGAAAACAAAACAATTTGTTCCCTTCTGTCATTTTTTATATGCCAAACATTGTGCTGTAGATTTAGAAAAATCAAAATAAATTACTTTCAACAGTTCAGAATTTAAAAGAAAAAATCTAATTAAATTATATAAATAATTTAGATTTTTTGAAAATTTTATTGAAATATTAATAAAGAATAAAACTTCGTAACTTTCAAAAAAATGTCTGATAGAATTTTGTCGCACTTTAAAAAACCGTATCTTATTATGAAAGAACAAATTATATGAAAATAATAAGGTCAGAAATCTTAAAACGACCCAACCTTTTTTATTTATTTCAACTTAATAATTTATTGCTCGGTCTCAATTTTTTATCTTATCACTGCTGATGAAAAATAAATAAAATATGGATTAGCACATGATAGTCGGTAGAATATAAAAATCCGTAAGATATTATTATTTATGTGTACGGAAGACGGTTTGCAAAGATTATAGATAAAGAAGATTTCTCTTGAATGTGTCTCATATTTTTTGGAGAATTGTTATTAAACCTATTTTCTTAGGTTTACTAATTAATTATGGTATTTAAATTAATAATATAATTTATTGTTTCTGTAATAGTTTTAAGAATTTTTAACTTATTTATTTTTAATATGTTCATTGTTTTATTTTAAATATAATATTTTATTGTATATTGATTTAAATTTTTATTGATTTTGTCTTTAAATTTATTGACTTACTTATTTTTTTAGGTTGAGTTAGTGTTGATTGTAGTAAAAAAAAAATATTTATTAATTATTTTGATAGGTATAATATAGTCTTTGTGATTACATATAAATTGAATTGTATTTTTTAATGGTATTTTAAATCAAAAAAAATCTAAAATTATATTATTCTAAACTTCTGTAAATAATTATCACTTATTAATAAAGAAAAAACTATTTTATGAACTAATTGATATTTAAACTGACGAAATTACTTTGTTATAACTATATATAAGTATATATTTATTTTATTTTATTTATTAAATATTAATTTTTTTCTCTGTATATATAAATTTTGAATTCTTTTTAAATTCTCTAATAATATATGTTTTACTTATAAAAAAATTATAAATTTAATTAAAATATATTATCATTTAATCATAGATTATTATATCAACCAATTTTTTAAATTTTATAATAATAACATTAAAAAGTATTTTTATCAAATGATTTACTCAGTTAAAAATATAAAAATTAAGTAACATTATATCAAAATTAAACTTATAAACTACTTTATAGAAAACTTTTCATAAACTCGTGGGGCGCGGGGCATTATCAGCAATAATAAATTCATCTCTAAAATAAAAAGTATATTACATTTGTGATATATTGGACGGATAGATCTTGTATATAACATCTATCACTACAGGCGATCAGTTACTCTTTATATATAATAAAATAAATAAGATAATATAATAATTAAAATTTTAAGTTTTTTTCTTTCTTTATAAACTACAAATATCCTGGAGTTCTATTTTAAGTTGAGTTGTACACTAAAGAGAAATAAAATTAAGAATCCAATTACATTGAAAGTTAAATCTATTTTATTTCAAAAATAGTCTAAAACCCATTTGTTAAAAAATATTTTGTTCGTTAAATTTTTAATAAAAATCATTTTATTTGATAAAGTATTAAAAATAAATAATTATTTATATTTTTTAAACTCTACTTTAACTAATATTTTGTTGAAAGGTTACTTTTTTAATTACCGATTAAAAATTAGTTGTTTATAATATTTTATTAATTTATTATTTTTAAAATCTTAATACTTTTATCTCGTTTATAAAAAAAAAATTTAAACTGCTTTTATTATTAACGCCCTCTAAAATATAAAAAAAATAATTTAATGTTATTTTTTTATAACATAAAATTATAAAAAATTAGTATAAATTAATTCAGTTTGTTTTTTATTTTAATCCTTTAACTTACAAAAGTATTTATAATAAAAATATTATTATTAATTTTGTTAAAAAAATTATATATATATATATATATATATTCTATAAATTCAGATAAAAACATGGTACATTTTAGCAAAACTTTCAATTGCTTATTTTTCTTTATTTTGTCTTCATCAGCATATCACGATACATCTTTATCCATTCTCTCTTCCTCCTTAATTTCTTCGTTCCTTTCATCTGTTCTGAATGGTAGATTTTATGGACCCATAGGATCGTACCTCATTAAAACACAATTGTAAGGGTTGCCAAATCTTTTCACATGGTGAGTCGACCATTTTCACAAATCTCAATCCTTCAACCAATCTTGGAGACAAAAAAAAAGAAGAAAAAAAGTCATCAATTTAAATTTTGACAGATGCAAGTTGAAAAAGACACAGGAAGAATATAGAAATATTACAGAACAACCATTGTAGCAAACCCTAGAGTTGACTAACTACAGTAGCTAAATTGAAAATTGATATGAAAACATAGCGAGACAGAGAGAGCAAAATCTTGCTTTAATCAAATAATTCATGCTGCTCTTGATAATTGATATATATTCATTTTTTTCCTCAGCTAAATAATGATCAAGTAATAACATAACAATATTAATAAATTAATAATTTTTATAATTTTTTTTATGTGTGACACGTTACTGGAATCCTACACACCCTTCACGTTGGGAGCGGAATAAGATAAAAGGAAAAAAAATAAAAAGCAGGAAAAGAAATGAAAATAAAATGGAAAGATAAGAGAGGAACGTTCTAATTTTGCCATTATTTTTATATGCAAACTCGTGGAATGCGTGGCCCCGCCAAAAATTACCAACGACGAAACCGAGAAATCAACTGCGACTTTTCTTCAAAAGTTGGTCTCCAATAAAGTCAGGTAGGTGGAAAAGCAGTTAGGTGGATATGTACCGTTTGGAGTCTAAAAAAAATTCTGTAAATAAAATACAATTTAGAAAATAAATAACGAATTAATGTCTGACATGTTTAAATATTTAGTAATAATTTTTACTTTTTGCCAAAACTAACACTAGATTAGAAAAGTGCTTTGTAATAATTATTTAAAATGAATTTCATTTTTTTTATAAAATTATTTGGATAACTTGAGTCTATTTATTTTTTATTCAATTAATTTTGTTTTGTAGAAAAGATAAAGGAAAGCACACAACCAAAGAGAGCATGGAAGGCTCAGGCGGTGCTCTACACTTCACCGGCATATCCCCACGCGCCCTTATCTTGTTTTTGTGTTTGTTATGCTCAACGATTCGAATCGTATCCACAGGAACAAGAAAGGACATCCACGAGCTACTCCCTGAATACGGTTTCCCAAAGGGTATAATTCCGAACAACGTAGAATCGTACACCCTCTCTTCCGATGGTTCATTCACGATCCAACTCAAAACCCCTTGCTACGTCCATTTCCACCTCCAATTGGAACAAGAGGTTCAGGTGGTCTACTACCACACCCAAATCACCGGCGTACTCAGTTACGGCTCCCTTCGCCACGTGTCAGGTATTCAGGCCCAAAAGCTCTTCCTATGGCTCTCCGTAACGGGAATTGAGGCCCACCGTGACGTGCTCGAGTTCTTCGTTGGAGCTTTGTCCCAGAAACTACCTGCCACTCAGTTCCAGGATGTTCCTGCGTGCTCCCGCACTCGATCCCACCCAATAACCCTTCTCTATCCTTTCTGAACCTTCACTCCCACTTTTGTTCAATTTTATTATTTCAAAATTTAACTTTCTGTTCTGTTCATTTATTTTCCCTTTCTGTACATGATAGAATCATAATATTGCAAATGTCATCAAATTAGTTACATTAAATAAGCATTTTAATTTTTAAAGCAAGTGAAGTGTTGATTTTATTCTTAAGAGTAGTTTGGGCAAAAAATTCAATTGATGAAAATATAATCAAATAAATTTTTTAAGTTTTAAATAAAATTCTAGTCTTCGTGTTTATCGGTGACGTGTTTTTTTTAATTCATTTTTTACATAAAAAATTGTTATAATTTAATCTTTATATAAATAAATATTTTTTAATTAATTATTACCTTTCAAATATATATTAATGACATTAATTTAAAATAATTAAAATGTAGAAAAAAATATTTGTGTAAGAACTAAAATATAAATATTTAATTATAAAAAATAATTTATAAATACATATCAATTATAAAAATGAAATATGTATCATAAAAAATTTTTGTTAGGGTTAAAAATAAAAATAAATAATAATATAATTTTATTAAAAAATATATTTATTATATTTTTATAAATTTAATATAATAACTTTGTACTTTCAGTCTTTAACAAAATAAAAAAAAAAATTATAGATTTCTTAAGAAAAAATAAACTAGATACTTGATAAAATTACAAAATTTTAAAAGATTAAACTTATATTTATAAATAAACTTATATTTTTTATAGCTCTACATCTTAAAATTAGTAATTTTTTGTTTATAATTTTTTTTAAAAAATATTATATAGAAGGTGATATACAATAAAGTTATAAAAAAATTAAACGTTAATATTTGATTTATCATTTAAAAGTAAAATAAAAAAGTATTAATTATAACTTTTAATAAAACTTTATTAAAATGAAATCTATTTATATTCATTTTTATGACTTTAACATATAAATGAATTATTTTTCAATTTAAAAACTTCTTACATTAATATTTAAATTCAACTTAAAAAATTAAAGTTAACACAATTTTATATAACAAAGTAAAGTTTTTTATTAATTAATAATTAAGCATGTGTTGAATATAAGATTAATAAAACTTAAATAAAAAATTTTAAATTAATTTTTTATGTTTATCTATTATTAAATATTCAAATAAAATAAAAATATGAAAAATAATATTTTTAATATATATCATATTTTTATAAAATATTTAAAAAATTACTGGAATATGAAACTAGATATAAATTTGTTTTAAAATATAACTTTTAAAATTTTAAAAATATGATACTTACAAATTAGTCTTGTAATTAACATTTAAATTTTATTATTTATATAAATAGATTTCTGTACGTTTTAATTTTTTATTTAATATCTTTAATTTGATTTAAATGATTTTTATGAAAAAATACACGGTTATTATATTAAAGCTATAAAAATATAATAAATATTTTATTTTTAATAAAATTTTATTATTATTAGCTACTTATTTTTATTTTTAAGAGTTAAAATTAATAAAATCTATAAAAAATACTTGATTTTTTAATGTAAAAATTATATAAAAAAATATTAAATATAAATTAAATTTATAATATAATAATGTTTTAAATATTTGAATCATCAAATTAAATATTGAAATATTTAAATAGTTAGTATGCTAGTTTTTAAAAATTTGTATAGTAAAATTATTTTCTTATCATCACTCTTTAATTATACATAAGAATTAATTTAAATTTTTTTTTATCTAAAGACGAATTTATTATCAAATTAAATTACTATTATTTATTTATTTCTGTTTTAATTTTTTAAATTAATACGATAACATTTTAAATATTTGAAGCATTGATTTAAATTCATTAATTTAATGATAAAATATTTAAAAAATTAATATGGTGACAATTAATGTAGGGTCACATCATACCAATCACCTGCAAAAATATGCATATAATAAAAACTTCATCATTCATACTTATATTAAACTGGCAAAGAAAATGAATATCACTTACCTCAAGTTGCTGAAGAATCATTCATAATCCAAGACAAAACATATCCGAAAATTGCGCTAAGACCCTAAATCAAAGTCAAAATGGTGAGGGACGAAAATAGAGACAAAGACCAGAGTATATTAAAAACTTAATCCAACTTTAATTAGGATGAAATGACATCACCTTTCATGTAAACAGTTCATGTGATAGTTAACAACATACACAAGCATTTAGAATGCCACTTTGATAATCTTATTTAACACAAATTATCGCTTTTTTAGTCACTAATTTGTATATATTTACTTGGAGGATATTGTTTTCAGAGAGACTTGATTGGCCTTTTTTTTTAATGTGTTTGCTTAAATTTCAAAAAAATCGATTATAATTAGATATCCTTTTCTTACTCAATATTGCACACTCCGAGTAACAGGTTTAATTTTTCTTAATAAATTTTGTATCAATAAAATAATTTCTCAACTACATTTTACAGATATAATAAATTTAAAGATTTCGTTAACATTAATCTTTGAAGTTGAGTTTAAATATTTATAAATAAAAAAAATTATGAAAAAAATATAGTTATTATATTAAAACTATAAAAATATAATAAATAATTTTTTTAATAAATAAATTTTTAAACCAGATTTTGGACTACTTGAAATTATTCAAATATGCGTCTAAAACTATAAAGAAGACGAAAAACTTCCTCTAAATTCTTGACCATACGTATGAATCCATGGTGGCTCTAATTTTATTTTATTTTTTTAATAGTCAATTTACATTTACTATTGGCAGTTGGATAACTGAGCTACTTTTCCGGTTTCATAATTATAGTTGAAGTTTCTTTACGCCAATACCATACGACTACGTTTGATGATGACCATGATGGACGATTTCACACGCAAACTTCCTATTTTTTCTTTTAATTTAAATATATTAATAATATATATTATCATTTATTATAAATTGTCATACAGGTTGACGTTGTTAGATTTTATAATAATTACTTTGAAAATCATACATAATTACTATTATTAAAAATTTTAAACCAACAATAATTAAAATTAATTTCTTTTTTAATTGTTAGGCACATAAATAAACGAGAGCTTTACCCTTCAAAGTGGTTGTTCCATAGCACCCCTCATACTATTTCTTTTTCTTTCACTCCTTATGTATATTCTCTCTCTCTAACTATGCAAAATACTAAATATTTTATTTTTATTATAATTGAAAAAATGTAAAATTGTTATAAGAAAGCCTTATTGGGTGGTGTGGCTCTATCATGTGTGATAGATATAATTTGAAAAATATGTATAAAATATAAATAAAAAGGAAATAGAGAGAGGAAACAAAAAGGGTCCATGAATGAACCCTTTTTCTACGTTGCTTCACCGTTAGAACTCGAAAGTTTCTAGCTTACAAGTTAATGAAAGGAAGGTTTGGGGTGTGGTGGCTCCATGTTATGTAGCCCCAAAGTATATGAAGTTTGCAACTAACTATGCATTATCTAATAATAGTTTGCATCATATATCTTTACCAGTGGTCAATTATGGCTACCGATTCAAACACGTAAAGAATCTTTACATAGTTGCCATCAAAATATTTTATTTGAAGTCGCGTTTACCTCAATAAGCAATAGCACAAAAATACAATGCCTTTGGCAAGTTGGGTAATATTAAATAGGTGCCACTTACAAACCCAAGTTTTCTTTGCACCTGAAGACAAAGAATAAAGCATTTGCTTGAAGTCTATTAAGTTTCTATGAAGCTTAGCCATGCTAAACACATGCTGAGATTGTAAATATAAATAGCGATCTTTAAGGAATGAAGGAACCATTCTACAGCAAAATGGATAATGGAAATGGTTTCTGTGGCAGTGGCACCAACAATGAGAGTTCAAATAGGAACAAGTTATTAGTGAGCAGAAGAATAGTTTTGGAGAATGAGAGAGAAGACCTCAACAAAAGGGCTGATGCATTCATCAACAATTTCCGCAAACAGTTGAAGATTGAGAGGGAAATTTCATTCAAACGTTTGCAGGATACGATAAACCCAAGAGCAAGAATGGTTTGAGCAGAATGGAATTACCTCGGTGTCTAAATACTAGTGTCATTAGAAGTGTGATTATTTCTTGAATTTGAGAAAAATGCAAAAATGGTAGATATAATTTTGAGATTTATAGAAAATTCTTCAGTAATTCAAAGAAGTTCACAGCTTCTCTAAATACTTTGTTTTGTATTCTTTAACGCCACCAAACATTCAAGAATAACAAGAAAGATTGTTTTGTTTTCCCTTTTATTAGTCGTGCATCAAGGATTTTTTACTTTACTTTTTTAGTAAGTATCCTTTGTAATAGATAATTCATACCGTGATTCACACTACTTTATGAGAAATTAATTCCTTTAGCTAAATCTAACTCCTGTTGTTGGTATGAAGAATTGTTATTTAACACGAGCTTTCGAAAATCTTATCCAAGCATAGTTACAGTCTTCAAAAACAAGCTGACAGATTTTGAAACCATGCATTGGAATTTGTAACATCTTTTGGCACAACATGGGATATAATACGCTATTCTCCCAGCTTACTGAAATAAATAAAGTTGACAAGAGATACAAATGTTTTATGTTGATTTCTAATAAATCATATACAGCCGAAATGCATGCCTTACAAACCTAACATATTGTATCGAAAGGAAAAGGCACAGCCTTAAAGTGAAACATTTACAATAATATCTGCTCCCTACTGATAATTGTAAAGGAATGACCTCATTCTATTGCCAAAATCAACAATTAACCTCATCTTTACAATAAAACCACAATCTCTTTCCCACACAGGAAAGTAGATAAACATGTTCCAATTTGATTTTCCCAAAAAACCATCAATTTCCCTAACTGTATGGCCAAGATTATCAAGTCAGAGGAATTTCTGATCTTAAGCTTGAAGAACCTGGCAGTGAACAATGTGACTCTTCAATCCACCGCGCCCTGCTATAGTTGACCATAGATTTCTAACTAAAGACCTGACATGACCTTTTCCAGCAATGTTCTCCCAAAGGTGAGGATTGCTTTCCACGCGTCTGTTTGGACTTGAAACATCAACTAGACTGATGCTCATGTTGTTGCGGATAATGCATAGCTTTCCATTAAGGGGAACCAGAGCAGCAGCATCAAGAGCACGAGAACTACCTAAGTGAAGCTTGCTATCAATAAACTTCTTCCATGAATCAGTAGCTCTATCATATACTTTGAGCTTGCACCCATCCTGGCAATCAAGTGCATAGAGTTGTCCATTCAGCGAGATACTAGGGTTACGCCAACCATTGACCATTCCATTACTTACTGGGGTCCAGGTATCAGTTTCCTGCGAATAGGCTTCACATATGACATTGCGATTTGACCCAAGTCCCTTCAAAAACCATGTTCCATTATGAACAACACCAATAAAGGGCACCATGGCTGTGGTCATCTCCGAGATAAAGTTCCACCTGTTCCGGTTGGGGTCATAAACTTCAGCAGATCGAAGAGTTCTTTGAATTCCTTCACATTCCCCACCAGCAACATAGAGACAATTATTTATTACACAAGAACCAAATAGATGACGTTTCCGTAGCATATCTGGTGCTCTGTGCCATTTGTTTGTACGGGCACTGTAGAAGATAACACGTCTCATAGATCCCTTCAGTGGATCCCTTCCTCCAAATAAGTACAGGTGGCAACCACTAAGAACTGCACAGCCAAATCCTAATGCCTCAGAATATTCCCCAGGAACAGGTGGAAGGGACTGCCATAGTTGGTAGATGGGATCAAAAGCATGCAATGAAATTCTTCCATCACGATCTCTTTTGATGACATAAACCCATTCTTCTGCCATTCCAAGACTTTTCCTGAGTGAATAAAAGAAATTTCCAGACAGAAGACGATACCATCTCTTGCAAACCAATCGCAGTTTACTGTGCTCAACCCGAGGCACACGAATCAAACAAGCAATGGCAAGATCATCAGGAAGACCAGGTAGGAGAGGAGGCTGAACTCTTGTCTTCTCTCTACGCGAGTTTTTGCTCCTATGTGCATTGGGGTTTATGTCAGGTTGGATGCATAACTTTGATCCTGGAACAAATTTCCTTGCCCCAGCAACTGTTTTCAGGCCTGAATCTACTTTACAGTAGCAAGAAACAGAGTCAACCTGTGATAGTTTCCAAGTTAGTATGTTAAAATTATCAAAGTGCCAAAAATATTTCACTAAAAATATGTGTATGCAACAGTAAGGTTTACGAATTATCTCCTTCCCAATTTCAGGCCCAAAGAATTGAACAGTTTCAATATCGATTTTTATCCACAAAGGAAAAAAAAAACACTCAAGTTCCAGACTGATAACTTCACAATATATTGAATTGTCAAACAATTAATTATTATGTATTTTATCAAGCAGACTGAAAATTTCATTTTCTTTAGAAAGGTCATATTAAGTCTTAACATTATAATATATGAATGTAGCCAAGGAATTTTCAACACTACATGTGGGGCAGTGAGATCAATCAACAATAAAAAGCCAGCAAGGCATGCCATCATAAGTATCACGAGACTATCAGATCAAGCAAGGTAATGTTAGCTTTCATTTGTAATTGACATATAAATATAATTAAATAAAAAGAAAGGAGCGGCTGATACATACATGTACAAGAATTTTCCTTCACAAACTCAGATTTGTGAAGAAGCCAACAGCTTGAGTTCATAGCATGTTAGACAAATTTTAACACAAGTCTAGGGACAAAGGAAACTAACACTAAAATTACAAACAGATAGAACCCAAGCACCATTTACATGAATACACTAGTGAAGAATGATACAAATCCCATATGAACGTTGCAATGAATGTTTAGGCCGAGGGGAAGTCTTGTATATGAGGCAAGAGAATATAAAAAAAAAAGACCGGTGCAAAGGAGGAAAATTACACAGCTTACTAAACATATAATGTGCATCAGTAAGGAAGAAGCTCAAAACAAGACTACTACCGAGATTCAGAAAGATTGGAAGGTGATGTGGATGTGGTCAACAATGGCATTTCCTAAAATGCTATAACCACAGCACCAAATTGACACAGCTGCATAACCCTTAAATAGGGTTTGGAAGAAATCACTTTGGTGAAAACAAGACAAAAATGTGGCGTACTCCATTCCAACAAATCTCAACATAAATGAAAACAATCACAAACTGATAAATGATACTGATGATTGCTTGTGTGTAAGTGACATGTTCTTCTGCCTCACTGGTGTTTTCATGAATCCAATTCAAAAAGTATAAATATTGGGTCTTCTAAATTGATTCGAAGTAAATAAAGATGACAGTGCTCTTAATGTTACATTCAGCCCAACCCTCTCAAGCCACATGCTCTGCTCTGTTCCCTAATCACAGCAATTTAGAAGGAATAAAAAATGAAATCAATGGAAAGCACCTGTTTGGACCTACAAGAAAAACATTTTTCAGTAATACATCTAACACACATCATTTCTAATAAATATCATATAAGTTACACTTCCAGAATGAGGAAAGGAAGTCAGAACTCAGAAGCAGTAACTTTCAAGAATCATAGAAGGATGTGATTGATACTGAATTTTTTAACAGAGACAAAAGAAAAGGAAGTATTGGGTATCAAGTATGTGCCACAAATCCACGATGTTGGTGAACATTATCACAAAAGAGCTGTCCACTTTCTCAGCATATCCATAGAGGAATCACTTTTAAATGCTCTAACACCTCTAAATCACCTCAATATTCATAGCTGAAAAGGCAAACAAAGAAAACCCTCCTTATTACCAATTTATCACAACAAAAAGACTTCAAAACATTCTCTGTCCAGGGTGTGGAATATGGAGGTTAGCATTGCAGAATGTAAACCACTAGCTAAGTACAACTTGCAATTATCCCTGCTGATGAACTATTGATATACCCTGGTAAAGAAGATTGGAATGGGGCCACCTTCCCTCCCCTCCCCTCCCCTCCCCTCCCCTCCCCTCCTAAACTATTAGGCTTTGTTTGAGAGTTTGATTTATAGGGAAAGGGAAGGGTAGGTTAGGGTTTTTCAAAATAAAATTACCCTTGTTTGGGAGTTAATAAAGATGGAGGGTGAGGAGTTGGGGGAATTTTAGAAGTCCTTCAAAACCTAATTTGGAAGATTTTTTGAAGAAAAATTAACATCCAAACAGGTAGGGGTTTATCCCCTTTCCCCCCCTCCCTTCCCTTACCCTTCAAAACTTTCCCTTCCCTCTCCCTCCAAACTCCAAAACAAAGTCTTATGTGCTATAAAAAGGGTAGCATTCTCAGTCAAAAGTGTGGAGGTTGACATCCCGTAAATGTTAGCTACGTACAACTTACTCTACTAAATCATGTTTAGGTAGGATTAGAATTTAAGAAGGCAACAACACATAATGCATGTTGCGGTAGCAAGAGACTTATAAGATCAAATTTTGATTAAGGCAGAAATAAAAGCCCTAAATTTTTATTTTTTTTTAGAAAAGCTTCTTCTTATTGAAGAAGTCTACGGTTTATAGAGTAACAAATTCACAGAAGTTACAACTTCCAATCAACTTAACTCTTTGCTTCTATTAAGAATTAAACCTTTATCCTACACACACACACACACAAGCGGAAGAAGTTATCTTAGAATATGTGGTGATAGAAAATGGAGTCAATTGAAATAACCAGTGGAGCTTGAACTCTAGAGATCCTTTGGGTATTCGCAGAGCTTTCAACTAATTGGTTCATCTCCGAAGCTGAGTCTGGTAGATGAAATGGATTTTCAACGCAAATTAAGCATCTTGGCACAGATCAACACAACCCCTATTGAACCTACCCTCAATTCTTTGAAGCCGATCCAGAAAGCAGAAGTGAAAAGCTTGTATTTTGACGACAGAAACTGCAAGAGAATGGCAAACAAAGAAATGGGTCATTCGCGAGTGACGAGTTTAGAAGAACTAGGAGTCGTGAGGGGAACCTTTGTTGGGAACCCACAAGCCTTCGCTTCACCAAAATTTTGTGTTTTCTTTCTTGGGGATTTGAGAAAATTAATGTCTTTTTTATTTTAATGTTAAACTGAGTTCGATGAATTTATGAAATTTAATATATAAATTGTGTAACTGTCCTAAGAGGACACATCGCTTGTGACGATGGTCCTCTTTAATAAATGTGTTGCAGTTCATGGGTCAAACCAACCCAACTTTGAAGGCAAATGGGAGAGAGAGAAAGAGAAGTCAAGGGTTTTCTTTTTTTCGTTTTATTTATCGCAGAAATATCATCCTTTTGTGGGATTGTGAACACTGCCCATCACATGGCTCCTTCATACAGCTTTTTTGTCTTTTTCTTTAACCCGTTTGGGCTTTTTCAGATTTTCTTTTCTTTAACTCATGGTGAGAGTTTGATGTTCGCTCATTGAGGGGGAAAATTGAATTTAAAATATCACTTCAAAAAGCTAAATTTAAATAATAAATATCATGATTGCATCTATCCTTCCCCCAAAGTCATTTTTATTATTCCCATCAATTTTTTTTTAAATTAAAACAATGTTATTTAGAATATTTTATCTAAAAACTACTTGGATTGAAGGATACACACACATGTATGATTTTAAAAAAATTAACATTTTATTTTTAATTTTGAAAATGTCATTTTAATTTTATTTAATTTTCTATTTTTAAAGATTTATATAGAAAAGGGTAAAAAAATTCTACTTTCACTATTTTCTGTACAATTTTTTTAAATGGAAGATAAAATAAAAATAAGTTAATGTTTTATAATTTAAAGAAGTTTCTAAACTAAAACAAACGTCTCTTTTATTCACATGGCTCAAGTTCAATCAGGAAGAATGGCCCAACCATAGTCGTCTTATACTGAATACAACCTTTCTATTTAAGAAGTGTTACTAACTATTATAGGTCCCCTATGGTAAATCATGTCTACACGACTATAAATGAGGGCCCCGTTCTACACGTAATTTTTCTCCATGTTAGTATTTTTCCATTCTAATCGTAACTATTGACTTGATCATCAATTTGGAATTATAGATACATGGTCGGTCCACTTCTTTAACAACCTCAAGCTATCTTGAATAGACAAAACAAAACTAATCCGACTTTTTCATAAATGCAATCTTTGAAATATGAATATTAGTTGCCCGAACAACAATAATCATCAATTCAGAATGCCAAACTGGAGGAAAAACCACCAATATTTATTAGTACTGACAAGACAGGCATACCCTTGTTTAAATTCATCATAACAATAATTTGAAAAGGGGAGTATATAAGGATAACCTCGCCCTTGGTGTACTTAATTTCTCCCTAAATAATATATATGATTCAAACATAATCAACGTTTCATACTAACAGCCAGGCACACGACATGTTGAATAGAAAACACCGATCAGGGAAATTTTCATCCACTTCAGCCACTATAATATTACAAAACCTTAGCCCAACAGAATGGGGAATAATAAATTCCATCATATATTGGGTTGAAACTAGAATGAGCACGAATGAGAGATAACCGTGTTGCTATAAAGAAACGCTGGATTTCTCCCCTAGCATAATCTACAACCCACCAAAATTACCACCCAAAGTAAAGGGGACAAAAAGTTGCCGACAAGAAACTCCTAATATGTTAGTAATCACCAATACCTACCAACATTACACAATCTTTATTGATGTGGCAACTAGACCACATATACACCCCCCCCATTCCCCATAATGATTAGCATTGTAAACAGTACAAAATGATGATCGCTTGGAACACTAATAAGTAAATTGAAGGCCATAAAAACAAAAAGGGGAGAAAAATCATCTTGTAGGTGTGTATCCGCACCTATACCTAAATGGTATTTAATGCTATAATCAAAAGACGACAGTCAGTCCCATGCACTGGTGACACCAGGACCATAACCTCCAGCATACCCACCAGAGCCCCCATATCCACCACCGCTGTTTCCTGCACTGTAGTAATCTGAAGCACCTCCTCTACCAAAAGAGCCTTCCCTTCGAAAGTCACGGCTGCCAAACCGACCACTTCCTGATCGACGGTTCCTTCCTCCACCAAAAGAAGATCGGGCAGCATACCGTGAGAGCCAAGCAGGTACTTCTTGATTTGCTTCTAGCATCAGATCTGCTAAAGCCCTAGCTAGCGATGAATTGTTATCATTAAAGAATGCAGTAGCAAGACCTTTCTTTCCTGCTCGCCCCGTTCTTCCAATACGGTGTACATAATCGTCAATATCATTTGGCAGGTCAAAGTTGACCACATGTGCAACATGGGGAATATCAAGACCACGGGCCGCAACATCAGTGGCAACCAATATGGGGGTGTTTCCACTTTTAAATGACCTTAAAGCCATTTCTCTTTCCTGCAGGCATTTCAAAATTGATATGAGCATCACAGAAGGACTGCAAAAGATGTGTACAAAATAAAAGAAAAGGAATTAATTATGAATCATGGTAAAAAAATAGTATCATTTGGAACCTAAAAACATTGGTTGCAACTTGCAACAGAGAAAACAATTCAGACATAGGAATAGCTAGCCACTTGGTGTCTTTTCTTAAAATGTCATCCGGCTTCTGGAATCTTGTACGATTCCAAGAAATGCAATATTCCCACAGAACATCAGAATTCAATAAAAATTGTGGGAGACCTATGACAAAATAGTGCCTGATGTCAACGCAAATAGAAACAATGATGAAACCTATCTTTTTTCTGTTTCAAGTCATCCCTAAATAAAACCAAAAAATTTGCTCTAAAACCTCATCAACATCCATCATCGGCTATGGAGGTTTATTGTCCTCTATTCACATGAAAGTAACTTCACACATCTCCAATCTTCTTTCCTTTGTTCTACTTTCTCTCAGTTTCTCCTTTCCAGTTTCAATTCCTGTTCTGATTGGATAATTTGGGTATAATTTGCATAAGACTCAGCTGTCCCTTCTTTGTGCAATACCGCTTTCCATACCTCTGTTCTGGGGCCTTAGTAATAGAATTCAGCTTTCAGTACTGGGTTTTACTGCATGGTTCTCTGTTAAAATAGGAGGTGCCCAGGTTGGAGAGTCTTCCTAGATGGTTTTTAGAATCTACATATAGTTTTCTTCTCAACTACTATGCGAAGAGGTGTAGACATGAACATTTTCTTGACATGATTAAATGTGAATTAGTTAGTCAGATATATTAGCATTTTTCTTAGTGAGAGAAGACAACTTGATTTGTGCTGAAATTTTTAAACCCAAGGCAATGTTTTGAGAGATAGGAGCTCAGAGTGAATGAAATTTGAAAAATAAGTTTGCAATATTGCACAACCAATATAACCATGTGACAACCTCTTGGTACTAGTGAGCTATTCACTATTAGCATTTGTGCAATAGACTAACCTGCTGTGACCTGTCCCCATGAATAGTTGTAGCAGGAAAACCATTAAGACACAACCAGTGTTCCAGTGAATCAGCTCCCTTCTTTGTCTCCACAAATACTAAAGTCAATGCTTGCTGCAAAACACAAAATCATGTATGAAATAGTTCTATAAATGATAATTTAGCAAATGAGTTTACTCCTGGAGAAAGGAAAAAAACAACTATACAATGCAAGAACAAAATAGATTATCCACACTAAATCTCCATAGAAAGATGAATGTACACCTGACAGTTCAAAAAAATCAAAACAACCTAACCAAAGCATTGACCTAAAATGTGTCAATACAAGCACTTGTGCATGTTGCTCAAAATCAGTTCAGAACCTATTCTTACTCTGTTCTGAAGATATTTCTTGACAAACTTCTTTCTTCGGCAATTTTTGAGTGTCAGGATGGACAAGATTTTTTTCATCATTAGCTTGTGGTTTTGATTGAAGCAAAGAAGCTAAATTTTCAGACAATATGCCATCCACGCAACACTTTGGTGTATATGGTCAGAGCATAATTCTTGCATCTATAAGGAGAGTACTCTGGATGAGGAGTTTCTTTGGGATATTTGGCTTCTACTTGGTATTTAGCCTATGATAATGTTAGAGAGGTTTCCCGGGCAGATATGTTAAAACACTGGATAGCTTTATTTTGATCTATTTTCTTTAGTTTTCACTTTTGTTCTTTAAACAAAGATCTCATACCCTCCCATTGGTTTAATAGGTATAATGACCACTTTAGTTGTTTTGGGCTATATTCCACATAACCCAATAGAAGTATTCATTAGCACAACACCAACACATGACATTAATTTAGCTTATAGAATCACATGCATCAAGTTTTATGTTGTGAAGTACCTTTCCTTGTACACCGTTTGCCCTCTGTGCATGAAGAAGGTCCATGAGGTGACTTCTCTTGTCAGACTCTTGAACATACTCAACTCTTTGGATAATTAGATCAGTACTTGAGCCCACTCTTCCAACAGCCAGGAAAATATAATTTGAAAGGAAATCAGAGGCCAATCTCTGCATATCAAGCCAAAATGACAATAAAACAGAGGTCTTGAAAGTTATAAATACCCAATAAATTAGTATTCATATATTATTTATGCCTCTCAAGCTACTTATCATCTAAAATCAAATTAAAAACAACCAAATTGAATTATCCCAAAATGACAAGCATGCCTAACTGCCCCATTGAAGTACGAAAGACAGGAAATAAAGAAACACAAGCTTAGTAAAAACCACATGCTAGATAAGACATGCTTAACTTGAAGGAAATTTTAAAGACAAAGTCAGACCTGTATCTCTTTTGGAAATGTTGCACTGAACAACATAGTCTGTCTGACACCAGCAGGAGGCATGTCCATTTGTTCTACAATCTTCCTTATTTGCGGCTCAAAACCCATATCCAGCATCCGATCTGCCTCATCTAAGGCCAGATATCTGATCATCTGCAGTGAAACTCTAGCTCTCTCCAGCAAATCTACCAGTCTTCCAGGAGTTGCAACAAGAATATCCACCCCTCTTTCAAGATCCCGCAGCTAGAGAAAATATAACTTGTTAGGACATATACCAAAATCTAAATGTTCTTACTACCAAAGGTCAAATTTGATAGGTCACTCTAGATTGCATATTTGATCCATTCCGCAAAATTTGCAGTACGACAGAATCCACTCAGCTACAGTGAAAAATTTCACACTCATTATACAGCGTGCTGTGCCTCCATCAAAATGACTAAATATATACCCACAAAACTCTTAAGCAGCTAACACCCAAACACACAAATAAGCAAAACTTCCTAAGCATGGAATTGCAACATAATTGAATGATTGAAATGAGGAATATCCAAACAGTATTGTAGCTCCAAACGAAGATTAACAAAATTTCACAGCTAGAACAACCTAAACTAAAATACAAATTAGCCAAAAAAACACTAAAGGTGACAGGCTTGTACGTAGCTAGATATGTTATGAAATAGTAAAGGGAGTGTATATGAGAATACATTGGCTTATAATTCTTCCAAATGTTGCCAAAGACATCCTTGATACAAAACATATCAGAGTCTATCAATTTGAAAGTAAACAGTGACAAAAAGATAACTGCATACACAAACACACATTCCATTACCATATCAGCAGAAAGATCAACTATTTTCAGTGGATATATATATATATATATACAAGTACAAATAGAAATGTCAAATCATCTTTCAAACCCTTAATACATCCAATCAAGAAAGATTTGGAGCTATATCAGTATACAAAATATAAGGTCCAATATAAATCCATCATTACAGAATCAAAAAAATTCAGGCAATCAAGAGATTCAGGACTTAAAGCAAGAAAACACTAAGCAACTGGCCAACTAGTCATTTAAAAGTTGAAAGGCCAGATAAAAAAACAATACATGTTCCAGAAAAAATAATCAATAAACACCTTCGATCCAGATCCAAACCTTATAAAACTTGGTTCTCAAATGTGAACTAAGTTTGCTAGGTAAATAGAGTGAAGTGTCTGCCCAATACCCACCAGAGATAGAAAGACCAATAACATACTGACAGAATTGTCCCATGGACTCAAGTAGTTGTGAGAAAAACAAATAAAAATTCATACACAAATGATTGAGAAATAAAATAAAAAGGGACAAAAACCTGCTGGTTTATCGGTGCTCCACCGTAAGCAACAACCACCCTAACCCCAGTTTGGTATGAAAACTTCCTAGCCTCTTCATGTATCTGAAAAAAAAATTAAAACATTGTGATTATATTTCCACTGCAAAAATGTGTCCAATTAAAAGCATACCATAATTCATGGTTAATGTAACTCACTCACTTGCATTGACAGCTCCCTAGTCGGTGAGAGAACAAGTGCAACTGGATACGCTGTACGCACCCCACGAGGCGGCCTCTGCACAGGTTGGCCCCTCATAATTCCACTGATAATTGGAAAACAGAAAGCAGCTGTCTTTCCAGAACCAGTCTGCGCACAAGCCATCAAATCCCGTCCAGCTAGGGAAATTGGTATGGCATGCCGCTGAACGGGTGTTGGCTTCACATATTTGCACCTTCTTATATTCTGATTAAGTCCCTCACCCAAGTCAATCTCTGCAAATGTATTCACAGGTTGGGGCACATTATCACCACTGGTTTCCACTGGAATATCTTCATACGCATCAAAATTTATTCCTGTATTCTCCTGGTCACTAAATGCCTGCTCAGCATTATCATCATCTCCAAATGGATTGACTTCCCGCTCCCTGCCACGATCCCATCCAACACTTCTGTTTCCCCATCCTCCACCACGCCCACCGCCACCATACCCAGAACGATAATCATTTCTGGGTGCAGGCCAACGTGATCCAGCACCAGAACTAGAGCCAGAACCAGAAGAAGGCCCACTATATGTTGGAGCAGGGGATTCTGCTGATGGTGGACGGTTCCTCAGATGGGGAGGAACATAAACAGGTCGTGTAGGAGCTAAAGTGCTACCAGTTCCCACATTGTTTGCAGAAGAACCAGGACCTGCATTTTCAGCTGCAGAATTTGCAGCCAAATCTGCCCATGAAGTTCGCATAGTCAATCACAAATTCTTGTTGTCAACAGCAGTCCACAAAATTCCAAGGGAAAAACCCCTCCTTTCCAGAATCGTAACAACACCTTTACAAGAAGGCCGCAATTAAAAAGAAGCAAAAACGAAAAAACACTTTGTCGAAACAGATAAATACTCTTCAAAACAAACAAAATTGCTTCGAACCAGCCCTGCAACGCAACAAAATTCCAATCAGCAACCATTCCAAACATCCTTAAATCAGATATCGTATAAAGGGAAGCCAATAAATAGAGCACATCAAATACAAACAACAAAGATGAGGACAATGCAAAACACAAACTACACAAACGAGAAGAGTCAATAGATACATAAAACGAAGTCCATTCCCCTCTAAATCTTACATAGACGAAAGCACAAGCAAACCTGCTCTAGAATAGAGAACCAAACACAATGCCTTCGGAAGACGAGCACGAAAAACCGCAAAACAAACAAAAAGAGCCAAAAAAAAAAAAAAAGGAAACACCATAACCAAACCAACGAAGAAACAAAAACATAAAAAGGATGCATGCGGATGCACCTGAATCGTGTTGGGAAGGTAAAACCCTAAAACGGTGAGAGAAGCGAGGAATGAAGAAGATCGAGAAACCCTAATTTGGTTTGGTTGCAGAAGAAAGAGAGAGAAAGAAAGAGAAGAGAAGGCGCCTTCAAAGGTTGGAAACAACAAAAATATCTTTTCCTTCTTTTGTAATGTTTTTCTCTCTCCTTTGAGAACGTTGAAATTGAAAACGAAAAACCAACAACAATATTAAAATCAATCTAATTTAATTTAAGTGTAAAAAAAAAGGTAAAAAAGAAATTCGTAATAATATTTTATAAATAAATATTTTTGTATCATGTATATATTTCTAGATTTAAAAATATAAAATTTTGAAAAATAGAAATATAATCACTATAGATCATGAAACTATCTATTTTAAAAAATATATATAACATTAAACATCTCGATTATAAATAATAATGACGAATATAATTCTTTTATTGTACAAAAAGGAAAACTATTTTATTTTATTAAATAAAGTGAAAAATATTTTAAATTAAATAAACTGGTAAGTCATCGGTACACTTCGGCAATATTTTTAAAATTAAATAAAATCTGTCAATAAAAACTAATCAAGAAAATACTATATTTTTATTAATGATATTGGATATTTTATTATATTAAATAATAATAAATTAATGTAACAACACTCGTAATTAAATAAATTATTAAAAAATTAAACACGTCATTTATTAAGATATTATATTAATTTTATAATTTTAAAATCAAATTTAAATCAATATTAATTAAGAGTATAAGGCTATGTTTGGAAGTTAAGTTTAGGAAGAGAGGGATTAAGAGGGAATTAATCTTGTTTGTGAGTTGTTTAATTAGGAAATAAAGGTTTTGAGGATTTTTTTAAACCTTTCAAAACACTCTAAAAGCTTGTTCTTTGAATTTTCTATTTTTGGGTTTTCTTTCTTCCATTCTTTCATATTATTTTACAAATATGAATTTTTTAACTTTTTTTTAAATATTAGTTTTTCAAGTGATAATTTTTTTAGAAAAATTTATTAATTTTAAAATTATTTAAATAATTAAACTCCATATCACTCCCTCTTCTCAATATTAAACATCCAAATAAGGGAGGGGTTTAACATCCTTCTCTCTCCCTTTCCTTCCCTTTCCCTCATTCTCCCTTCAAACCCTTTCCTTTTCTCTCCTTCCAAACTCTCAAACAAAGTCTAAGAATCTTAAAATGTATTTATTTTGAATATCTTTAATTTGATATAGAGTATTAGTGTTTAAATTTAAATCAAATAAAAATTTAAAAAGGCATTTTAAATAAACAAAAAACAAATATTTAACTTAAAAGAAAACATAATATTTAATAGAAATAAGAATAATTGTTAAACTTATCCATAAAAATAATAATTTTGCATTATAATATAATGATATGTAGTTGTGAAAAATGTTTAAATTAAATAAATTTCTCTACGTATTTAATCTGATGCATATAAACTTTGATTTAAATAGGTAAAACTAAATAATAGCATTTTAAAAATAGAATGAAATATGAGATTGATAACCAAAAAAAAAAAATTGTGACAATAGTAAGACTGTCTTTGGAATGAAATATTATTTTTTTATTATATGAAAATACGTTGTTAGTGAATTTTGTATACACCCAATAGATATTATTAAAATAAAATAATATAAAAAATATATACTGTGTCTTTATTTTAATATTCAATAAGTTTTTTAAACTGAAAATTGTTTTGTTATTAGTAATGAATATGGTATTGTGTGAAGTTGATAATATTTTAAATGTTAAAATAAATTATAAAATTGAGATTATAGAGATTTAATGAAAGAAGATTCATACAAAATATTAAAAAATATTATCCTTTTAATAGCAAAACAAACATTATCCTTGAAAATTATCTATGAAGACTTTACTCTTTAGTAAAGAGACCTAAATATGATATATAAATATAGATTATCCAATATTTGTTATAGAAATAAATTTTATACGTGTTACTGTTTGTATAATTAAAAAACTTCTAAGTAAGTAAACAAATTGTGAAAACTAATTATTAAAAGTTATTAGCTTCTTTTTTTTCACTTTTATTGTATAGAACACGCAATTTTATTGGAAAATAATTTAGTTTATACAATTAAAGTGAAATAAAATACTTTTTTATTAAATATATCCAAACATAAAATTTATATCATGTAAGGAATAAAAAGATAATTAATTTTTAAAATTATATTTTTAAGATAAAATTAATTATACATTAACTCAAATAGATTGTTTTATGGGAAAATATATACGCATTCTATATATTTTTTGAGATAAAAATGGGTATACATTATGTAATAATAATTTTAAAAAAATATTAAAAAACATTAAAATGTACAGCTAATATAGAGTATTATGTCATCAAATAATCATAAACTACTAAAGAAAATACTGAAACTCGCCAAATATAAATAATGAAAATATTTTATTATTAAAAATATTGTATTTTGTGATTATTTCATTACAATATATTTTATTTTAAATATTATACAAATGATTATCAGAGTGTAAATTTTAAAATAGATAATATGTATTGAAAATAGTCGTAAAAAAATAGATGTATTGAATAAGAGAAAAGATAAATGTGGAAATTAAACATGATTACTGTATTTAGAGAAGTCAAGCAAATAGATAAATTGGCGGAGAGTTATTGGTCACGCCAATTCTACTTTAAGGTCTAACACAAACACAAATGTGTCAAACAGTAAACACACATTCTCATCGTTATGGGCAACCAAAAGCAACGGTTCCAACCCACACATTAAAACATCTATTGGACAATATCTACACCAAGTAACTATTCATTGCAATACGGCAATACCATTATGTAATTACACGTTTGAGTCATTTTATAGATCAATCTGAGATTTTCACCCTCGTCAATTGTCCTACTTTAACCCATTAAAATACAAATCATTGACAAATTAAGTATGTTGATCCATTTGGCCCCTTTTTTCGAAAAAATATGAGTTTAGTTGGTGTGATAATTAAACAATGGCATCATGCTTGAAGAAATATTAATTATAAAAAAAACACCTTTTTAACTTGTTAACGAAATTATTATTGCTTTTAATCAACACAGGTTAGCCAATCCTTATCAATGTAGTTATATATAAAACAAAACATATCTCCTTTCCTTACACATGACACTATTCATTAATATAATATATGAATTTTATTGGTTAAGCAATAAATAAAGATAAAAGGTAAAAACAATAGCTAATGCTGTATTCATTCATTAAGTGCTCAAAATAACTGAACAAATGTGTTTTTTTTTCCTTAATACACACGTTAAAATATTATTTCAAATAATTTCAATAATATAATGAATGCTCCTTTTCAATTCTTATATATTCATTTACTGTTTTGTTATTATGGTAACATTTGGTGCATTGACAAAATAAATCATGATTGAGTATAACAAAACAAAACATTAACGATAGAACAAAACGACATTTTGTGTTTGATACTTGTTAGTAAATTAAATAGTACTTTAATTTGCATATACATACTAATATTGTTTAATGTATGATATTTAAAAAAATAAATAAAACACATCACTTGTTTTATATTGTATTACGATAACCAACGCTAAAAAATAATATAATAAGATATTTGATAAATATATAATTTTATAATAAAAGATATCATACTAATATATATTTTTTACTGTATATGATATAATATATTTCTTTCATGGGTAATTCAAATGAGGAAAAAGTGTGTAAAAAATCACTTCAGTCTAGTACTTAAAATTTTTTCAACCTCTATTATTATTGTTTTTTATGTATGCATTACTGAATCTAATAGAAATTTACACATTATTTTTTATATAAAATTTAATGTAACTCAATCCATTTATGTTATCAAATATTATATTTTATTAAAAGTTTATTAATTATTAATTATTAATTTTGTATATTCTATACGGTATGAGTTAAAAAAAAAAGCCGTCTTATTATATCGGTAAAATAATTTATCATTTTTAAAATTGAAATCTCAACTCACCGAGTCCCAGCATGGTTTAGCATTAGCATATTGCAATTATTTCTAAGTTCATTTTTGCCCCCGAAAAAGGAGTGGTTATCGAACAAAACGAGCCCAGCGAAGCCTCCAACGCTTTCGTTTCTTCACCACCACCACCCTTCACCCTTCACCCTTCACCCTTCTCTCTCTCTCTCTCTCTCTCTAAAAACCAGAAACAACAAACACAAACCAAAAAGGCAAAAGGGGTTTTCCCAGTGAGATCTAGGGTTTCCATCGATTCGGAAACAGGATTATCATTCAACAACATCAACGAGCGAGGATACAAGGTGGAAGAGTTGAGCATGGATTCTGTCCCTTCCAATTCGCATGGAAACCTCGATGAGCAGATTTCTCAGCTCATGCAGTGCAAACCCTTGTCCGAGCAAGAGGTATCTCATTTCCCAAACTGTTCCATTTTGCAGCGTTTTTTTTTTTTTGGTTTCTCCTGAAATGCAACGTGCGGATCGGGAAAATCTCTTCCTATTTTTCATCGGTTTTTATACATTTACTGGAACACCTTCTCGCGCATCGATCTGTTGCTTGTTGAAGCGAAAATTGAATCGATTCTTCTTTCGTGAAATCTGACTTTGTTTGGAATTGGAATGGTGACTAGAATGCGCGTTTTGTTTGAATATCCCGTCAGATTTGTGGAAGTCGTTGTAGTGATTCCAGATTTTGAATTTATGTTGGATTTATTTTAGTATATCACATCGTTTTGAATTTTCAGCATATCATTTTCAGACCTAAATCAATTAGTTGCAATTAATGTTGTCATTTCTGCATTTAAGGCGTGGATTTGTTAGATTGTTAACATTGACTGAGGATTATTTGAAAAGGAGGAAAATATTTCTTTCTATATGCTTTGTATATTATGCGTTGCTAAGGGATTTTATGATAGAGTTATATGACTTGCACCAGAAGCAGGTTAACTGGGTTGGTAGCTGTTACTTTAGTTCTTACCAGCTTTCTTGGGGAAGGTTATGAGTCCTATGGAATGCATACTTCCTGTTAAATCAACAAGTTAAGACCTATTATCTGTGTCCTGAGCTCCTAGAGTCCTAAGAAGTAGAAAGTTCATGTTTTGTTGGCGCCACTTTCATCACAAAAGGTTAGGTGAGTTCGATTCGTTAAAAGTACATTGTCGATTCTTGGAGTGTTATGAGTTATAACTCTATGCTTAAGGAGAAGGTAGTTTTCGTTTTTGGCCTTGGATGTTTGGCGTTAGGTTTTGAAGATGTTTAAGCTTTAAAGCTTTCCTAAAATGTAACCTTAATTAGGGCAATAGTTACAAGCTCCTGACATTTAGTACGATGCATGATGTTTGCTGTTTGTCTTATTTTGAAGCTTTAAAAAATGCTGGTAATTAGTGACAAATTTATTGCTCCTTTGAATTTAAAGGCATTGAGTGAAACCAAAGAGAAATAAGAAAAACAGCTGGTTCATTGATTGCCCTTGTTAATAATTAATAAATAGAAACTCCTTGCTACTTGTCCTTTTTGCTTATCTCGTAAAACATCTCTCACAGTAAGTTAAATATTTTCCAATTTCATATGGCTATGTCATTACATCTTGTGTCATTGTATTTAATGGGTGGGGCTCAGCGAATTAGGGGAAATTGCTATCCAGGTGTTTTTGGGTTCAGATCAATTGTCTTTTTTCTGCAGATTAATTAACAGCAGCAACTTATGCTGCTATAGCGGTGAGGTGGGGTGTCTTTTGTGTTGCTTGTCTTAGCTTCTTGCAGATCATGATTGAGATTGCAACCTTTCTCAGACAAAATCACATCATTGTAGCCATATTCTCTGTTTTGTTGTGTATGTCTTTGTTTTGTCTACCCTTTTTATCATTGTCCACTCATATTTTGAGGGATTTTTTTGTTTTGTGATTTTGCTCACTTTTTGTTAAATCAGAGAGATTGTAAGATTGGAAACTTGGAATCTTCTCCATCCATTAAAAATGCCTAGCTTTTGACGTGTCTTCCAACTGACTCTCTGCAGACCTAACCATAGTTGTCAATAGCATGCAATAGCACTGCTACTGCAGTGTTGTTGATAAGCAGTCACCTGCAATGTGGCTGTTGTGGCCTCTATAAATCTTTAATGGCGAAAAATCGTGTTTGTGTGGGGTAGCAGTGCAGCAGGGAACAGCATTGAAAATCCAAATTTCCCCCTTATAAACAGTGTCTTTTAGGACTGTTTTGGGGGATCTCTCTTAATTGCTTGCCCCCTTTCATTAAGTCAAAGAATTCGATCAGAATACCTATGTTTTTGGCGATCTAATCACGCATTTTCTCTTTTGACGAACACCGTTTTTCTCTCTCCGATTTGTATTATCTTCTTCATGGGTTTCCATTATTTTTCTAGCCAACATCTGCAACCATATCTGTTTATTCTCTCTAATCCTTCTTGATAATGAACACCCATTGTTGTCCAGGGTGTCCTCCAGTATTCTCCAATGTTTTTCAGCATTTTCTGGTCAACCCAAGACTTCTGCAACCTGATCTTATCTCTCTCTGTAGCCTGTGTCCCCTGTTCTTTTCTCTGTATCCTTGACTTTTATTTTTATTGACGTGTGTTTAGCTCCAAATTCTGACTTTTAACCATTAATTATGAATATATCCTTAATTTTGGGTACTATATGTACCCTTCCTACTATCCCAGTTTCCTCCTCTTTCACATTGCTATGCGCTTTTTATAAGCGATACTGATTATATGTCTAGACTATGACTTTTGACTATTAATGATGAATGTGCCTTCAATTTTGGACAATATTTTATTCTCAATATTCAATCTTGATCCATAATCTTTGGTATAGCAGTCATCCTCCTATCCATTATCCAATTATAGCATTTTTTGTGACTGGCCAATTCATACACCTATATGACTTCAACACAATGTTATTGATGGTGGACAGCAAAAAACTGTCATAAAATTATGGCAGATGCCATGGCGGGTTATGGTAGCCTGGTGATCATATATATATATATATGCAAAATGTGATATAAAACTAGAAAACTAACTACATTTAAGAAGGTTTTGAGAAAAAAAGAACAAAATGGTTGAAAAATAGAGAAAAAAGAGAGCTGAAGTTATAACAGAAAAACAGAGAATTAAAAATAAAAATGGAGAAGGAAACTTGGAAGTGAAAACAGAAAAATAGAATGAAGAAAACAAAATAATAAGGAAAAATGAAAAAAAACGGGGGAGTAAAACAGAATGGGAGAGTGAAAAACAGAATTATAAAAAAAATAGAATAGTAGAGGGAAAAACTAATAAAGAGGGAAACTGAAAATGCTGACTGAGTGAGAAATAGAACACTGTTTGAATAAGAATATAGCACCACAAGAAGCAAAATAGATGCAAAGAGAGTGGCGGATAGAGGACTGTATGAAGCAGAAAAACAGATCGCATAGAAGCAAAAGTAGATGCCAGAAAACAGGGCTCTCCACTCACAGTTGCCGGAAAACAGTTGGAAAAGATGTCTTCTCTGGTGAAAATGGTAAAGAAGGAAGAAAAACAGAGCAAGAAAGAACATGTGTATGTGCTCAAGAAGAGAAGGAAAAAATTTTTAGTGGGACAAAAGTCCATTTTGCCCTTAAAAAAGCCCAAAATGACGTCATTGCAAGGGCGCGATTGTTCCTTTGCTCCTTTTCTCCATTACGCTTTAGAAATGCGCACCCACACTGAACACTTGTCTGCGATTAGGGTTTAACATCTGCAACTAAAGATTAGGGTTTAACATCTGCAACTAAAGAAACAATTAACGACAAGTATCATGCAGCAGACTGCTGCTCCACGACAGTGCAATAGTAATGAAGATGTGAGACAAAGAAGGGAGAGGAAGAAGAGATGTGATTTAGGTTTTGGGCTTGCAGGTTTTCTCTTTGACTGGGTGGTGTCCACGGCCCAACCCAAATTTTCTTGTAAAAATGTCATTTCCATGATGGCCACCGTTACCGCCAGGCACATAATAGCTGCCATGGCACTGCCACTAAAAACCACCATTTTTTTTTGCCATGGATGTGGCAGTTTGATCCAGAAATGCCACCGTTACCTGCCATGGTGCCTCCATAACCGGTTTTTAACAACAGTGCTTCAACAACTATGTTTTTTGGAAAAAAAAGTTTTCCAAACTATGTTTTTGATTTGATAAGTAATCACTCCCAATCAGTTTTGTTTATAATTCTGATCTGACTTCACTTTTTCTTCTCCAAAGCCCAATAAACAGCAAATTGGTTATAACAAAATTCTGATAGAAACATTCAAGCCAACACAGTGACACTCGTGCGTGCAAACACTCTGCATACCTACCTATGTCCTTCCTTCTCTCCATCAATTGAAGGGAATGCAATCTTCACCGAAATATGTGTTTGGTTTGATTTCATTAATGAAAATTTAAAACCAAACAGAAAAAAGAAAATTTCATGAAAAGAAAACCATACATAACCAAGTGTAATCAGTTATATCCAGTTTCCTTTTTTAAGTTTTCAGTTCAGATTTTTTTTCCCATTATGAATGACATCTGTTGTAGTTACTAGTTTCCATGGTTAGTTATATCATAGTCAAGATCTATGAAAAATTACAATTAAATTTTTAATTTATTCCATTATTTGCTTGATTTCTTTGAAGACTTTTAGTCTACTTTCTGGAAAAAAGATGTTTGATAGTCTAGGATGATTGCTCTTGTAATCTTGTACTTCGTTTGATTCCCTTTATCCCTCTCTGAAATGCTTTGTACCATTGATATAGTGCTGTGGTTCTTTTGGTTAGTGTTCCAACATGGATTTCACTTTGCATTTATCATGTATGCAGGTAAGGGTCTTGTGTGATAAGGCAAAAGAGATTTTGATGGAAGAGAGCAATGTCCAGGTGTGTATGTCTAATTTTATGATTTATGTCAGCATGATTTATATAGGTGCGGTAGAGTTATTTTTTCATTGTTTTCATATCTCACTTACATTGTCTGCATTATGCCCCCTTTCCACTCAATTTTTTATCATTATCAGTTGAGGTCATTAACCATCATTTGTGATGGTTTTGACTTTGTTTAATAAGTTTATTTGTATGGCTTTTAATTCATTATGATTTTGACTGCCTGAAAAAGCTTAAAATATTATTTCTTTTGCTTATAATTGCAGCCTGTGAAAAGTCCTGTTACAATTTGTGGTGATATTCATGGACAATTCCATGATCTTGCTGAGCTTTTTCGAATTGGAGGAAAGGTATTTTTTTCTGATAATAGGTTTTATATTTAACCTGGAATTCTTAAATTTGTGAAGACACCATAGTTTTTAGATGTATGAACTAAATAATACCTTGAAAATCAGGAAATCCCATGCACCTCATTGAGGTATTGCAAAATTAGGTTTGGCTTCTTTCTGATTTCACAGTAAGGGCCTTCTCCTTTTAAATTTCAACAGTGTAGTCCCTTCAAATGCTTTCAAATTTGGTAGCAGCAATAAATAGAATTTTTCTTTCCAAGTTACTCTTGCAGTGTAAAATTTACTACACAGACATTTAATTTGTATGAATAGGCTTAATGATTGATGGTTGTACTTGGATTTGTATTTTTGATAATGTCCTAGAATAAAAAATTGTAATACATGTTCCAAATTTTTTACTTAGGGAAGTTTCTTTTCTTGGCTATTTTGATCACAAAAACATGACTGTCTTTTTAATGTTTTTGGACCCTATGACTCTAGGTGCAGTCTGATCTGATTCTTAATTTCTAATGCAGCTAGCTACTCAAATTCTTAATTTTAATTGAGAAACAACCTGCAGTGTTGACTGCCAATCAGAAGGCTTACATAGTCTCTCTTAGCCTTATTTCTAATTCAAGAACTAATGCACTATGTGTTTATCTTTCAGAATTGTTTCATAGTTGAACCATTATTTTTTAGCATTACATCCCACCGTTATATATGTTTTCTTGCTTCTACTTGAAATTGAAACCTCATGATTAAGTGCTGATTTCTAGTTACAAATTTTTGTTGGTAGTGTCCAGATACAAATTACTTGTTTATGGGAGATTATGTTGACCGTGGCTATTATTCTGTTGAAACTGTTACGGTAAGTATGAGTTATCTTATGGTTTCCTTTTTGTGTTTTTGGTAATTCTATCTAAAATATTTTATTTTGTTATTTTTTTATAAGTCTATATGACATTATTTGATTGAAGTGTTCTATTGAAATCTCACTGATCTTAGACTAAGTGACTGAGCTTCAATTGTATATTTTTTTTATCAGTAATTTGGTATCTGCTAAGAGGAGTTAAAGATTTCTAAGTTACTCAGCAGTTGTTTTTGCATTTAAATTTTGTTTTTTTGGATCGTAATTCGACTATTCATTTCCTTGTGGCATCCTCCTGCTGCAAGGATGATGTAATTATTTCTTCAACCTTTATGCAATGTGCCATGTGTGGGAAGTTATTGCAATTATTTAGTGCCACTATTAAACCATTTGTAGTTGTGCACAATGTGGAAAAAGGCAAGAACTATGATTATGTTGCATGTGTAAACAATGCATCATGTCTATAGAACTGGTGGAATGCCATGGTTTATAAATAAACATTAACCGCATTGTTTGGACAGTATTGATTTTGCTTTGTGATGGTATTTGTTTTGTAAGTAAATTTTTGGCTCTAATCAAGTCATAATGCAGCTTTTGGTTGCCCTTAAAGTGCGATATCGTCAGCGTATCACTATTCTGCGGGGAAATCATGAAAGTCGTCAGGTTTGTTCTTTTCTCTTTTTAAAAAAGAATCATGTGACCTTCCTGACAATAGTGAATTGATCAAAATCCTATTTTGGTCCTTGGAAGCATGGTCATGTCAGTTGAGTTCTTGACTGATTTTTTCCCATAAATTTACTGCCCGAAAGTTCTTATTGTTCCTAATTGAATGCTTTTGCACATAACCAGATGAGTGAAACTACGTGATATTTCGAGAGCCAAAATATGCTTGTCTGAAAAATTGAGAGCATTGAATTTGATAAATTAATTAGAGATAGAACTTCTTTTTTTTTTTAAGCAATTGATGTTAGGCGACAGTGCTGAGTACAGCATTAACTTCCTGGTTTCTTTAGTTGTTTTTATATGTTTTTAACTTTGAATGGTAATGGCTGATCTTATCTTTCTGCTGCAGATTACTCAGGTTTATGGGTTTTATGATGAGTGCCTGCGGAAGTAAGTACCTGCTAAATTCATTTTTTTAGGGTATCATTGTGTGAGATAACTTTGATAAATGATTATCATTGTCTTTGGTTAGACAAAATTTTGCAGTTTTATAATTGTTTATCCTGTATTCCTTACTAGCACTATAATTAATGCGTATTCCTGTCCTGTTGGTATGGGCTTCAGATTTAGTTTAAATTCTTGCCACTGGTATGAGGCTAAGTGATGATCCACTTACCTGTGTCAGTAAAAAAGAAAATGATACATCATTGTTGTAACTAAGGTTTATCACTGGGGGTTATGTTTGACTTACATCTTAAAGCTTTGAGATATGATTCATGGATCACTCACAAACTTGGAATTTTTTAATTAAGTAGCAACTAGCAATTAAATTACCTGTCATCTTGATTTTATGACACTGATTATACAAAAATATGTTCTTTCATTGATTATATTAGTCTTGGAAGATTTTTTTTATTTGAATATTCACTGTTAAGATGTGATTTAATAAAGAGGAAGTAATATGATCTTAATTGCACACTATGTTTAAGGGATTTGGATCCTCTCATACTGCTTACTAACATGATAATGCCAAGTTATAAGAATGAAAGAACTAAATAAGTTGAATGGACCCTACATAAATAATGGTGATCTTACCATCCTATATTTAAGATACTTTCGCATCTTTCTCTCTTATGACATTGTCCCATTAGACAATTATAAAATATATCAAATCAAATTTTTAATGCAAGTTGATTTGAAATTCATATCATTTTACTAATTGGGCCTTTTGGTGGTGTGTTTCATTCTCTTCTGTGTTTGGCACTTTGTATGTTTTTTTCCATTTTAAACCCGTCATATTTTTTTGTTTCATTTCAAAACATTCATATTTGAAGTTCTGCAATCCTTTATTGGTGAATATTCTTCATATTTAATTTGCAGGTATGGTAGTGCTAATGTTTGGAAGATCTTTACCGATTTGTTTGACTACTTTCCATTGACAGCATTGGTTAGTATACTGCTGCAAATTTTTGGAAAGGAGTGTTGGATATCTTGCTCTTGTCTTTTTGGGATTGTTGTTATGTTTGTTAGATCGTCATTGTTCTTAGCACTTTGTACATTATGATCTTGGTACCCTTGATTCGGTAGGCTTCTTTTTGAGTTGTGTCTAGTTACCTGTATTTCTTCTTTCCCGTCCACTGAAAAATATGCTCTTTCTCATTTCCTTTTTACCTTTTCTGTTATCTTCATGATATACTGCCCAAACAATTGTAGTTCATATATTCGATAACTGAATGTTGCTAACATGACTTTCTTCCCTTTTGTAGGTTGAATCTGAAATATTTTGTCTTCATGGTGGGTTGTCACCATCTATTGAAACCCTTGATAACATACGTAATTTTGATCGAGTACAAGAAGTTCCTCACGAGGGACCGATGTGTGATCTTCTATGGTCTGATCCGGATGATCGTTGTGGTTGGGGAATCTCTCCTAGAGGTGCTGGATATACCTTTGGCCAGGTAATCCAGTTTTTTGTGTATCAACCAAGCTTGTATTGTTTTTACCTGTCACGATAATTTTTTGTTGATTTTGCTTATTTTTATTGCTTTTATAGGATATATCTGAGCAATTTAACCATACCAATAACTTGAAGCTGATTGCTAGAGCTCACCAACTGGTTATGGAAGGATATAACTGGGGTCATGTAAATACTTGATGTCGTGTATTTTTTTTTTAATATTCAGTGGTGGTTGTAAATGGTTGATTTATAGTACCTCATTGCAGGATCAAAAGGTGGTTACCATATTTAGTGCACCTAACTATTGTTATCGATGTGGGAACATGGCATCAATCCTTGAGGTTGATGACTGCAAAGGACACACATTTATTCAGGTTGAGCTACCTTTTCTGTTACCTACTTCAGGTCGAAAGACTGCTGCAATCATTTTTTAGCTGGCTACATTAAGCAGTGTAGTGAATATGTAACTTATGTTTTGTCTTCGGTACTTCAAGTTAATTTTCTTTAGTATTTTCTTTTCCCAGTTTGAGCCAGCTCCAAGGAGGGGAGAGCCAGATGTAACCAGGAGAACGCCTGATTACTTCCTATGATAATATGGTTGAGTTGCCCTGCAGTAATGAGCAAGCTCATCTACTTGTCCAAATCAGAGCCATGAGTCAAATTGATACATACATTTTCGAAGTTGGGCTTCATTGGATGTGTTATTTAGTTCAATTATAACTGAATCTTTCCAAGAGGAAGCTGAAGAGCAGGCGATGCAATTGTGGGCATGTGTACCAATCCAGCATGCAATGTATCAATTTTAATGTTTTTCCAATTTTTGCCTTTCTATTTATTTGCAACTCTTGAACTTTCTTATCTCAGTTTAGGATACTTGTTAAGGGGATGGGTTTCTGTAGATGCTTAATGCTTTGACATATCTTTTAATGGGTGTTCATGATTTTTTACCCGGCTTGTGAGAACTATGTTCTAACTTCTAATAGCTAGTCTTGTTTTTACATGAAATGAATTTAAACCCCCCCCCCCCCCAAACACACACATAATCGTTGTCGTCTATTGCATAGCCTGTATTGATACAATATTAATGAGGACCTCGCATGCAAATCTTGAAACAGCAAACTATTTAATATTTTTACGAATGATATTTGTTGGTCATGAGAGGATTCATTTGATTCAGATACTGTGTTGATTGAATGTAAGGAGAGAAGTTTTCGAAAGAAACATCAAACTAAAAAGTGAAGATCTTAATGCAGGCACATCTCGGTTCTGATTCTTTTCTATGCAAGTCATGCCATTACACGTACTAGCTCATGCGAAAAACTGTTTCCAGTAAATATTACTGGTAGGGGATTGATCATTGTTCGTGTGGGTTCTGCAAACACTTGCGTACTTGCCAACCAATGGCCAGCCTTTTCAAGCTAAAAGATCTTTCTACTGCCAAGTTGAAGTAGAATCCTGCCCTTGTAATTTGCTGTTCCACAAAGTCTCCATTTTTCAGCGGCCTTTTCTTGAGAAGACATCATTGCCAGTTAACTAAAACTGGGCAATTACATCTTGGATAAGCTCAACTCTTCCTCTTAATGTACAAGGAAAAATTCACAAATCAGCAGATCATGCACCCGTGTGTATTGATATACGATCAACGCAAGAGAAGCAAGTGAAGTAATGAATTAGAAACTTACTCCTCTTCCACAATTCTAACTGTTGCAGCACGGATAAAAAAAGTGATTTTTACTTTTAAGTCTTAAAATTTGCTTAAGCAAAAATTAAAAATTTCGCATCAGCAAAAGATGGAGCGAGAGAGCAAAAAGGAGGGGGTGGGAGGGAGAGAGTGGAAGGGGGCTGAGAGGGATGGGGGAAGAGAGAGGGGAGGTGGGTGGGGTAAAAGGAGCAGAGCGGGAGAGGGGTGAAGAGGGAGCGAGACAGGAATTTTTCGTTGCACCACACCATCGTCACCATCAAAACCTGGAGACTGGTCCAAGCTATCCAACTCTGGGATTTAACAACCCAATCCGACCGTAAAACTAAACTAAACTCACCATTCCTTTTACCAAACTCTGGCATTTTTTTAACCAAAAAGAAAATCACCATTTATATTCTGACAAAAAAGAGTTGCATTATATTAGTTTTATTTTATTTTATTAGGCAAACTTTTACGAAGTATCAAATTATAACTGTCACCGTCGGTAATTCATATGTATCAAGTAGCAACTCAAATACTAATACAAGAGACATATAATAATTGGACAAATAATAGTATTTCTTATTGTGTTCACAATAATTGGAAACGATTTTAATTCAGAATTTGTTTTATATTAATATTACATTAATTTTGTTTTATCTATTTGTATTATATTCAAATTTTTAAAATTTATCATATCCACGTATTAATGTTATGTTGTTTTCAGATCTTGTATGTGTATTTGTGTTTCCTTAAATATTATTAGTAATTTAGCTCCTCCTTTTTTTCCTTTCTATCCCTTCAAACTCCTCAATTAAATAAGCAATTTTATCCAAATTTCATTCCTTCCTTCCTTTCCTTTCCATCCAAGGTGTGCGTAAGAAACACTTAAAATGAGCACTATACAACAATGGCCACATTGATTATTGTAACTTACACCTGGTTTAAAAATTATACCATTTCACAATCGACAAAGTAATTAATATTTCTCCTTGTCAAAAGCGAAAAACTATAACGCTACATATCACTTGGTAACTTGGGACCTGGTGTTAATAGGCTTAAATGCAGCCAACACCACAGAAACTTTACATGCAAGAAATCCAATAATTCCAACTATGATATCCTTTGGTGTTAGCATCACTTGAAGATCTCCTGAGCTATACTTCACTGCAAATACAGCAAAGCCTAGAGCCAATGCCACGCTTGCTATTGGACCCTTCAATCCTTTGAACAATGCAGTAGTTCCACCCTTGTCATTGTTGAGTAATTCTGAGGCTGGCAATTCATCCACAGATCTCTGCAAGAATAGCAGATACAAGAAGCCTCCAATCCCACCAATCAAGAAAGCAATTCCAGCATTTTCCCCATGTAAGAGAGAAGCAACAGATGTACCAAGAAGTGTAAGCACAGCATCATAAAATAGCAATGAAAACTTCAAATCTGCATATTCCCTCATGCTCTCTTCATTTGAGATCTTAGCACCTGAGGGCAAGGCCCCTTTGTTAAAGAAGCTTATGGGATCAACCCCTTCCAGCTCAGTCACAAGGCTAGGTCTTAATTCCAGCATGGACAGATCACCTCCCTCACCAAACAATACATCATCAATCTCAAAGTCATACTGGCAGCCAATGTACCTTAGTGCATCACCTTCCGGCCCTGACGGTTGCCCTTCATAACTAATAACCATTAAGGATACACTTCCAAGGCGCCACTGACCTGACCTTAAGAGATAGAAGATCATTGTTATTAGAAAGCGTTGGCTTATATGGATCAATACGAGATAAACTCATACTACTGTACCAACCACTATTTTTTTCATGTTTCACAAAGAGCATAGCATATAGTGGTTGTACAAGGCTTTTCAATACTGGAATTTGAGCCTAAGATAGAAGAAATATAAAAGTACACATGCTTCCAACCAAGGAATGCGGAAAGGATATTTTCCTCCGCACATAAAATAAATTTGTGGGCAAACAAATGTGTGGATCACGGTGGGCACTTTAAAATTGTAGGTCAGAGGTAATGCCTACAGAATCTTTTAATCACTCCAAAACAGAACAACAATAACATACCTGATTCAACACTGACCCAAAGAGCCTCAAGTCTTGCAATTTTAGGACCCTCAAAAATGAATTCATCTACCGAACCTCTTTGGAAATGCAGCGTGTCAATAATATTCATATCCTCTGATTCTGTAGAATGATCCATCATCAAACTTGCAGGGATTCTTTGCAAGATGGAATTTCCATCATCATCTATCAAGCATAGGAGAATTCCAGCATTTAAGTCACTTATACTTGATCCATATAAGTTGCTTGTACCTAATTTGACTCTAAATAAAGATTTGGTTCTGTCCTCCTTTGGAAATGACAAAATATTTTCTACTAGTGAATTTGTGCACACTTTCACTTCAGAGGCTGGCAAAAGGTATGAAGGCTTTGCGTAGCGCTGAAAATCTGTGGCAGCAACATCAGAGATCAACAAATAAATTAAATTATATGCAAAATCACAAGTAATTCTTCAGAACACTAGTGACTAAAGAGTCTACTCTAATAATGCACATACTAGCTACACAGTTAACAAGTGGTCTTCGTTGCAATGATGTGTTGATAAGTTAATAAACTCCCCCCAGTCCCTTCATCACAAAATAGGAATAAAAAAAAAAAAAACAGAACGATTGCTTATGAAGGGAAAAGAAATGACTAGATCTTCATTTCAAATAAAGAAGTGTCTGATAAGAACATAATGATGTTAACAAAAAAATGGGCAGCCAAGAATTAGATAATCAACAGAACTACCACTGATCAATCCTCTTAATCAGAACGGAAAGTACTTTTTGGTCCAAAAAAATGTGGAAAGCAATCCATGTTGGTTGCAACCAATCAGTGCACCCAACAAGTATGGAACCGATTAGTTTTAAAATTTCAGAAAACTAAAGTGATTAGTAAATACAATATTTTGTGCTTTTACAACAACTACTACTACCTTGTAGATACATAAATCAGATCACGCCAACTCACATCTGGACAGCCAAAACCGACCAACTAGACACATTGCAATAGTCTTGTACACAGAAATATTTAATATGGTAGGCGCTGCATGTTGCAATTATAATTACGATATTAAAATGTTAAATATTTGACTAATACTTCACCCCACTAAAGCAATTGATGTAACTACTGATTGTGATAATTGGTTCGTTGCGACAGTGAAGACTGCCAAATAAATGCAAATCAAGGTCAAGTGTAAACCACACCAGCCTTGACAACATTTTATAACTAAAATAAATCCTCTTAAATGAGATTTCAGCATGACGATACTATAAAAAAAATTAGATTTGACTCCACCAATTTTAGAACAGAATGTTAATAGTGAAATGAAAATTTTAATGAATTTGTTAGATGATATTTCATCAGAGAAACCTCGTGGGGGATTTGAACTAAGAAGTTATTTAAATCTCAACCATCAATTTTCTCATCAATCACCTTAGCTCATTGCTTTACCTATGAAGTGAATCCAGCGGTTTAATGGAGTAAAATCTTGAAAATTTTGTTTTTATACAAATATTAAATACATGGGATGCTATTTAAATTTGTTGAAATTTATTAAACAGATAGGTACAAACAATATCGTCTATTCCCAGAATCTAATACACGAAACCAATGATTTCTTTTTTCTTTGCAGTTCGAAACGAAAAATTTACAACAAGTTCAAAACTTATTTCAACACCCCACCCCCCAAAAGAGGAAAAACAATTAAAATACATTTGAGTGAAGCTTAAAAGATAAAAGTTGAACTTTTAAATAGTTTTCTGTGAGAAATTGTAAAGTGGGTACCTTGAAAATGAGTATCAGAGAGTTTGGCCCGAATACCAGAGCGTAAGTGTCGACTTTGGGAGAGAATCGTTCTTGAGATTTGTCTAAATGCTTTCCTTTGACAGTGACACGCTGAAGTTGAAGGTATCATCATACTCCTTATGCCAATTCCCTCCATAGCTCAAACACCACCCTCTACACACCAATTGCAGCTTAGTCCAAATATGTTCCATGATAAAGAATATAATATTTTATATAAAAGTATAGTATCAACCAGCGTTTGTAGTCCAACGGTTAGGATAATTGCCTTCCAAGCAATAGACCCGGGTTCGACTCCCGGCAAACGCATCTTTTTTACCTTTATCTTTATAAAATAAATAACTTTTATTTGTTTATTTAATTTACGCAACATATGATTATATAGTGAAAAAAGGTATATTTTTTATTTTAAATCTCAAATTTATTATCTTTTGGATCAACGGATAAATGAAATAATTAAAATAATATCAGGCTTCGTTATTTAGAATTTTTAAAATAATAAATTAGAGTGAATAAAACCTATCGATATTATTCAATATCTATATTTTTTTATATTATCATTCAATCATAAAGTTTTTTAATAATTAATTTTACAATTATGTTTACTATAATTTCAGTTAACTGACAATATAAAAATTTTAAATTAAAAGTGTATGACAGTAAATTTAATTTTAATGTGCTTTCTCTGAGGAATAATAAGAAATTTTGTTTTAATTATATAAGTTTTTAAAATTAATCATGCATGCTTTTTTTTTCTATTTTATGCATGTCTTTTTAATAATATATACATTTATACTTTAATATATTTTAAAATTGTAAATAAATTAATTAATTATACTTTTATAATGTTTAAATACTTTCTGTTTTTAAAATTTACTTGAATCCATGTCTATCTCGTGTCCTTGTTCAAAATATTTAATATTTAAAAATGCCAGTTTTGTGTAACGCGCAAAGCCTTTGTTGAGACACAAAATTAGGGTATAGATTGCCATGTTCACAGCTGTTTTCGTATCCAATCATCGGATACGACTATACTGTAAATTATTGAATAAATATCTATTTTAATTTTTAAAATTATAAGCAATTATTATTTAAATTTTTTAAGATTATAAATTTTACTTTAATCTTAATTTTTAAAAATTTGCTCGTTTTAGTTTTTCACATTGTTGTTTATATAAGAAATTTAAAATGATTTTGTATATAAAACCAACAATTAAAAGAATTTTTATAAAACTAATAACTAAAATGCTGACCACTTATAATAATATAAAAGAATAAAATACACATATACTCACCTATATGAAAGTGTGGCAATGAGGAACATTTTTTTATATATGGCTTTTTTTTAATTAAAAAATATGAGATATTTTATAAAATTATGAAAATATGATTTTGTTTTTTTTAAATATCACCATTAACGATTTTTGATCAAAAATTGTCAGACTTTTGATGTATTTTTTAAATATTAAATTATTTTAAAAAAATTATTATTGAGAACTTTTAAAATTTTATTTTTTTATCTCTGAATTTTTGTACTGCATTAAAAATTATTAATAATGATTTTTAAACTTTATATTTCCGTAATTTTACACAAAAAAATCATTTTTCAATTTTAAAAAATAAAAATCATATAAAAAAAAAAAGTATCCGTGGAAATGCTCTATTTTTCTTCATTTTTCTGCATAATATCTGCCACACCATTATTTTAAAGAGAGAGAGAGAGATTTGGTGCCCGACCTTTAGATTTCCTGTTCAAATGGAAACAAAGAATCGTGCAATTTATTGCTTTCTTCATGCATCTATCTCAAATTAATTTTTTATAAAATATATAAAATTATATAATTCAAAAATTAAATAATACTTCATTGTCTGTTCACCTTATTTAAACATGTAATTTATTATTAAAATATAAACAAATAACTATAAATATACATACGCTATTTAACCCTTCATTATTCACCGATAAGAATAAAAACAGAATTCATCGAAATGAAAAAATATATATAACTATTTTAATTTTCAATTTAATTGTTTTTTATTATTTTGAAACAGCTTGACAATTTAAAAATTATCTGCATGAATGAGTTAGCAGAGGTAGAAAAGATCCTCATGCGTTGGTATTGTCTGGTAGAAAAGCGATGTGCCTGAACCGGCCCACCCCCACCAGGACCAATTATTATTAAAATAATATTAATTCAAAAATATTATTTTGAAAATATTATATACTTTTTATAGATTGAGGATTATAATTTTTTTAATATTTTAAAAATTAAAAATTATTTATATATGTTTAAATAAATTGTTAATTTTACTATTTATTTATATAAAATTAATTGTTAATTATTTTTACATATAAATACCCTTTATTTCAGAGAACACTTTAGAACATACTTATAAATACAGCCATGAATTGACGCGCCACCTGTAATCATCATCAATCGCTTTTAAAAAACTATATTGTATATACTGCAAAACTGTTCCTATCATATATTTTATTGCTACTAAATTTAAACTGTTCCTATCTTTGAATTTTCTTTTCTTTAATGAAAAATAGTAAATTTTTTTAATAAAAAAGTGGTTAGCCATTTTTAGATATAATTTAATCAATTCAAACGTACTTTTTTTATTTTATAATTCATTTATCATATATAACTGAATAAATAAAATTAAAAAAAGATTTGTTATGATAAGTGTCTGTTTTAGCACAACTTCTTATATTTCTTTTTCTGTTATTTTATTTATGATAAACATATATTACAGTCCGCAATAGAATAACTTGTTTACGAAAATTATAATAAATAGTTTATAGCGTAATTAATCATTTTACAATTTACTTAAAAGATAAAATATGTGATAATATCCATGATGCCATTACTATATATCTAATATTTCCTTTCATTTAAAACAATACCTTTTTGATATTTTTAAAAATAAATTCAATTATTGTTGTTATTATCTCTGAGCACCAATTTTGTCAGAGATCTCGTTCATTAAAAATAGCTTATGATATAGTTGAATAAAATTGAAGCATTATAAAACTGCACATGTGCACATTATGTATAATTTTAAACTCCAACATTAAAGATCTCAATCCATCACACTATCACTATAGCTATTCGTCTTCCCTTGTTGTCTATTGATAGTTATTGTTCATATGAAAATTAATTTCATTTCTTCAAATATTTGAGTTCTATGAAATTAGGTTGATCATAATCCCAACACTATGGTAGAGCATCTCACACCCAATTTAAACTCTTAATAAATGTGAGGATTATTGATTAAAGTGCTTTGTTTCAAATTGAATCTTCTTCTAGTTCTTTTGTGGATAGGTAACCTATATTAATACCCCCCTCAACTTGGACCAGTGTGAATATAAATATCAGAAACTTCACATCTCCTATATTTCTTTACATATAAAATAAACTCTTTGATTTTAATTATGAACGAATGACAATTATTTGTAAATTTTGTTGAAAATGATATAACATATAAATTTATTAACATATTTCCTTGTTACATTTTATCCCATCTCCCCTTTGGCGTACATATTATCAACGAGTTGAAAATTAGAAAATAATGTAATATGATATGTTTTAAACAGTAAACTCACTAGTTTTATCTGAATGATTATATATCTCTTTGTTTGAATAATTGATAAATAAAATAAGTGTAATTATTTTTATATATATTTGAGACATTAAATATTGTGTCTTCGTTGGTGCATATTTCATTAAAAAGAGTATTTGTTAACATTTGTTTAAAAGTAAATTATATATATTTCAAACTAAATAAAATAATTTAATCAAATAGCTGTCGTGATCATTCTCTCTAAATTAGTAAGACTGACGTAAAAGGAAATTACCCAAAGAGAAGGCGATTTGTTTGAAAATAATGTAGTAGAAAGGCCTGCCAAGAGACAAAAAGCATGATCATGACATAAGTTAAATTATTTTTATAAATTACACACAAGTTATTTTAAATAGAACTTAATATATTTAAAAGAAAAATATTAATTTCATTAATCTTGATTCAATGTTCAAACCTAAATATTAAAGTGGTTTAATCGGAACTCAAATATATGGCTTAACTAAAAAAACAAACATTGAATACTGATATCATTACAAAATATGTATTATATTATAAGCTTTGGGTAAACATGATTTGTTTTTCTTTAATATTAATTGGGATTTTTTATTAGTTTTGCTTCATTGTATTTGAGATTTTTAAAAATTGTTAAATTTATTTCATTTTGAGTATGTAGATTTAGTTTATTTTTCCTTTTATTTATCATGAACTGTTTTATTACTCTCATTATTTAGCATATTTAACTTGTAAATGCTGATAGACATTTATTACCTATGAACAATTGAAAACAAAATAAAAGTTTCTTACCAGAAGAATAAAAGTTTCTTAGTCTAATTTGTTATTTTTTAAAAATAAATACTTGTAAAATATCGCATTATTTTCATTTTAAAGATTTGTATTGAAAAAAATCAAAGTACTTTTTCCTATTTTTATATACAATTTTTTAAAGGTAGTAATGAAATAAAAACAATATAATATTTTTATAATTATTTATATAAATAATAAATGAAAACAGAAATTATTTTCTCAAGCCTTACATAAAAGAAACTATAAATTATTTTTTAAAATCAAACATATCCTAAATTCTCACACTAATATTGGTAAACGAAAAAAAAATCTCTGTATTTTGTGAATAAACTGTATGTATCATCGCGCTTTCTAAAATTTTGTTTATGCAGAGAACAGATTGAAGAGAAAAGAATCACAGAAATATATGCAACTAAATATATTCTCTAAACCAAATATGTTAATTTTAAAAACTGAGTGGGAATTGCAAATATGTTATTTTAGAATCGAATAAAAAATATAATTTTAATATAATATTTTAACTTTATTAATCTATTTAAAACAAATCATTGAGATAACTTACTAAACCTGGCACAACATTGACAGCTACTTGAGAAGTTTCCTCACTGAGAAACGATAGTAAGAGACAAGAAAGATGCTACCCTGAAGCCAATCACATTGCAACCATATGAACTCCCTAAATGAGCGGGTCGACATCATGTTAAATAGTTGAATCGATTCAATTACAGCGACCTAAATCCACCAGATCAGCTAATTATAAACCATCATATATTTGTGACTTTTGGGGGGTACTATTAAAAATAATCATATTTTCCTTCAATAATTATAACCACTTAATAGATAATATCTAATTCGATAGCTAAATAAAATGACAGATTTTCTGCACAAAAATACCCTCCCAATTTGATGAAATTCTTCAGTCAAAAGAAAAGTTTGACGAAGTATAAGCCTAAAATTGTGACTTTTCCTGCAATTTGGGGACCATCAAATAGAGTACACGTTAAGTGATTGATAAAATAAGGCCTAGGCATGTTGGCTTGGCTTGGATTAGAGTTGGAGTATAAGCATAAAAACGTGATGTAGAGACAGACGCAAAGGAAAGTGCACGTTTCATGAAAAAACAAACATTGTCAACCCTCTGATTGGGATCTTAAATACTAGAATCTTGTTCGAATTTGGAATCATCATATAAGGCCCTTGGTGGCTTCCAACCCACAACAACCCAACATGGAGAATTCCCTCTACTCTCCAACTCCATGTTCCCAGCAACATCTTCTTGACAACAGGGAAGAATCAGAGACAGAACTTCCTAGTCTCAACACCAAACCACACAAGAAGCTAGCACTTCTTCCTTTGGTGTTTCTCATCTATTTTGAGGTTGCTGGTGGCCCCTATGGTGAAGAATCTGCAGTGGGTGCTGCAGGCCCTCTCTTTGCCATTCTTGGCTTTGTTGTGTTCCCTTTCATTTGGAGTATCCCAGAGGCTCTTCTCACTGCAGAATTGGCCACAACCTTTCCTGGTAATGGTGGGTTTGTCATATGGGCTAATGAAGCCTTTGGTCCCTTCTGGGGTTCCCTAATGGGCTTCTGGAAGTTCTTCAGTGGGGTCATAAACTTAGCCTCATACCCAGTTCTGTGTATAGATTATCTCAAGCTTGTGATTCCATGTTTGTCTTCTGGTTTACCTCGCTATGTGTCCATATTCCTCTCCACTTGTGTGCTATCTTTTCTCAATTATTCTGGTTTGGCTATAGTGGGTTACACCGCAGTTGCTCTTGGGGTTGTTTCCCTTTTGCCCTTTGTGGTGTTGTCCTTGTTTTCCATACCCAAAATTGACCCCACCAAGTGGCTAAGTTTGGGTCAGGAGGGTGTTAAGAAGGACTGGACTTTGTATTTCAACACTGTCTTTTGGAACTTGAACTTTTGGGACAGTGCCAGTACTCTGGCAGGTGAAGTTGAGGAACCCCATAAAACGTTCCCAAAGGCTTTGTTATCTGCAGGGTTGCTTACTTGTTTGGGTTATATAATTCCTTTACTTGCTGCCACTGGGGCCACGCCACTTCACCAGGAAAGTTGGGTTGATGGGTATTTTGCAGATGTGGCTGAGGTGATTGCTGGCAAGTGGTTGAAAATTTGGATGGAAATTGGTGCTGTTTTGTCAATAATTGGGCTATTTGAAGCCCAATTAAGCAGTGCTGCTTACCAGCTTCTGGGTATGGCTGATTTAGGATTCATACCAAGGATTTTTGGGGAAAGGTCTAGGTGGTTTAACACTCCTTGGATGGCCATTTTGATCTCTACATTAATTGCACTTGCTATGTCCTTCTTAACCTTCACAGAAATCATATCTACTGTGAATTTCTTGTACAGTTTGGGGATGCTTTTAGAGTTTGCAGCTTTCCTAAGGTTAAGGAGAAAATTCCCAGCTTTGAAAAGGCCATTTCAGGTTCCACTGGGGTTCCTTGGTTTGATCCTAATGTGCTTGGTACCATCTGTTCTTTTGGTGTATGTGATGACTGTTGCTTCCAAAATTGTGTATGTTGCCAGTGCTTTCTTGACCTCCTTTGGGATTGTGTTGTATTATTTGATGAATCTTTGCAAGTCCAAAAAGTGGATTGAATTCAGCAGGGTAGGAGATAAATTCGATGAAGATGGAGATATTTTATAGAAGTTGAGTATGATTACCATATTTGTTATTATTTTTGGTGGAGCAACTTTGGTTGTAATTCATGTGACATATTTTTTATTTCGGGTAGAAAATATGTTTATATTATTTATAAATGTATATTTCTGCCGGAGAAATTGGATTCTCCTCAGTCATTTTTTTCAGTATAATTGTCTTGCAAATATTTGTATCATTGGCTATATAGATTCCCCAATCAATTAGCAGGGTGTTGTCGTTTTGTTCCAATTATTATTTTATTTCAAATTGCAGTTTCTAAGATTCCAATCTTAACATGTCATAGATTTAAAGTGTATATGAACCTCTGATTTAATAATTGATTTCAATTACTGCTGCTGAGGTCACGGGAAAGGGAAGATAAGAATCAAGGCATAAAGTGTGTCCGGGGTGAGTTGTATTTTTCCTACCCGATTATACATTATTAATAATTAAATATTTCATTTTTATTTATTAAATTCTAAAATAGTTATGTATTTAATTAGTTTTGTTTGCTAAAATTAATTAATATTTTTTTTGTATAGTATGAGTATTATTAAATTAAAATATATATTTAATAAAAAATAAATTTTTATGGTCCTAGTATTATTACTAATGTATTGCTTAAATAAACTACGTAAATAAATTTTTTATGGTCCGAGTAATAAGTGTCTCAATGATTTTGTTAATTGCATATTTTTAATAAAAAAAATCACAATAAAAATATATTAATAATGTCAAATACTATTTTTATAATTTTTAAACTTTTTAATCAATATTCATAAACTACTTATAGATCAATTAGCTCTTTTTTCGGGGGTTTAAAGAGACCCTTTAGTTTTAAATTATTTATTTATTGTGGGCTAACTGAAAGCCAACCCGATAGGCCCAACTAACTAACACGAAAGGATGCCAATATTTGCAGGCTGTTTAGAACAAAATACGTGAGAGAGATGATGAAAAAAAAAGTGCTTACTACGTTTGTAAACGTGAGAGGGCACGGTAAGTATAATTTCTTTAAATTAATGATTGTAATTTTTTAAATATTTTAGATATTAAATTATATTTATATTTTTAAAATAAAACACTAATTATAGTATTTATTAATATAAAATTAATAATAATAATTTTACATGTGTAAAAAAATATAACATATTCTCTTAATTTATAAGATATTATAAAAATTATAAAAAAAACAAAAAATGTACAAAAATATTTGAATTAGATTAACAAATTTAAGTAAAAAAATTTCTAATCGAACTTAACCTAACCCATAACGAGCCGGACCAGTTTACAAGTTATAAATTATTACAATAACTTAATATAAAAATTAATTTTTAATTTTGTAAAGCTTGTACAAATAGTATTAAATCAAATATTGTATATTTTAAGTGATTTTTTAAAATTGTTTGATATTAATGTATTTAAAATTTTAACACAAAATAGATGAATAAATTATTTAAAACCCCTAGTTTTACTCTAGTTGTATAAATAAAAGGATACAACTCATAAATAAAATGTAATTATTAAAATGTATTTAAATAATATTTTTTTATATTTGTTAAAATAATCCATGCTAATTGATATAGTAATTATTAAAATGTATTTAAATAAATACTATATTTAATAAGTTTTTTTACAAAATAATTTACGTTATAAATTTAATAATAAAAATTAATAAAATAAATAAAAAAACTTATAATTTATAAATAAAATTAAACTCTTTAATATTTTCTAGGTTATACGAAATTAGGCAAGTAAATACGTTTCTGAGGTACTGTTTCTTAGAATGATTGCCTAAAAAAAAGTAATTACGTGAACGATCTTTTATTCTTAGGGAAACGGTTGCCTGAAAGAAAAAAGGTATTAAAAACAAAAGAAAAATCGCCTCACAAATCTTAAATGATTATGATGAGATATTTTGTGAAATTCGTGGTCTATTTTATTTTCGTGTATATATGGTGTACATGTTATCTATTTTATTTATTAAGTTTGTTGATGTGTAAAAGCATATGTTAATGAATAAAAATGAAATATAAACAACAAAAACAAGTATTCAACAAATTGAAAGATTAAATATTTAATGTATTTAAAATGATTAAAAAGTACTAAATAATATTTTAAAAAATTTTATTATATCAACTGTTAACACGTCGCTTTTGTTATAGCCTAGAGAAAGGTAATAAACATTGTTTTTAAAACTTTAAATATGTGTCCTAATTAAAATAAAAATCGTATTTATTTAACTGTTAACATGTCGGGTTTTTTTAATAAAAACAAAAAACATGGGTTTCGTCTTCGCTAACGCAAATTTTCAAGGTCCTCCATCATTTGTTATCAAACTTGGGAATTTCTTCTTTGCTTCAATTTGCTGTTAACGTTAAAATAAAGTGGTTGATAGTTACACGCACCTCTTTTTAATGCAGAGTGCTCTTCCCAGTTATAACAACGTCCCTTTCCTGCATCTCTGTCCAAAGAGGCAAAACCATTTAAAGACATCTTCGGTTTTGATAAACTATGGGAAAGTTCAAAGACGATTCTAATGAAGATACAGCGTTATGTCTGTTAACCTAAATCCTAAGATTCATAATGTCACTCGTTGCCAGTTATATAAGGATAAAGGTATTTGTTAAAAAAATATAAAATAATTCTAAATACTATTAAATTTCCGGTTTTACCCCAGGATTGAATGTTGTCACTCATTTTTTGGGTTCAGACAAAAGAATCAGCGTAGGCATTGGCCAAATTAACCAACTTGAAACATGAAAAAGTTGATGAGGAATAAAGGGAAATTACGAACCATTTATGTGATACTAACTACCCAACATTCTTGGAACCCACGTTACCAATGTTTCCAACTGATTTTGATCCAATGAGACAGCTATTTTTCAGATAGGATAAGGAGAATGTCCATGTCATGATTATTTTATATTCGAATCCAAAGTGAATGCTTCTAGAACTATATCAGATGCATAGAAAATTAAAATTATATAGTAATATCTATGCTTTTTTTCAAAATTTATCGGTGTACTGGTTCTTTAAATATAGCAATTGTAAGAGAGATGAATATTGGTATAGCTTTCAGACTTCACAGTCTTGTGGTGGCTTTCTTGAAAGCAAAGATTGCACTAAATGTTTGAAATCAACGAGTAAACGGCTAACGAGCAACAATCAGAATAATAATTGAGGTTGATTCGAATATCACCTTCTTAAATAAAATTTTAGCTTTAAATTTTTTGTGTTTATAAAATTTTCAGTATTTAAATTCATTTATTATGTCTGTGCGACTAATCTAGATTAAATATTTAAATAATATTTTTATTTATTTATACAAAACTTTCAAATTTTGAATTCATTTTGACGAACATCACATTGATTTTAAATCACTCTTATAAACATCTACCAAATTCCACACAGACACTTAATGAAATTTAATTGAGATGTCGTGTTTAAAAGAATTTAATATTAGTTTAAACAGAACTCAGTGGTATAGTTTTGTTGATAGTTGTTTACCAGCCCTCCCATTTTTGCATTTATCTGTTTAGATAACACAGCCATTGCGTGAATGTCTTTGTACAAGTGTCGTCGTACCAATTCATAAATGGATAAGGTAATTGAAATTATCTTGTTTTTTGCACGTCACATCCTTCCACGTTTGGTTATTTTTTTTTTTAATCATATTAAACTATTATCAATTAATAAACTAAATTTAACTCTATCTTTGTAAGTAGTGACTCCTTTTAAATCAACATTAATTTTTTATTAACAGTGCATATTATTTTAATTAGACATTATAAAAGACAAGAACAAAAACAGATAGAATGTTCAAGTCCCAGACTAACAACATTTAATAGTTGGTAATCACAAAATTTATGATGAGTATAATTCAATTATATAAATACAATTCATAATGCGTGAATTGAAATTTAATCCGACAAAATTTTTCTGTGCAAATTTAAAACATTTTTTATTTTACTAATCGAAATTTTGTAACAGTGGATGCATGACATTTTGTTCATACATTAATAAATTCGGTCTTGTATTTTAATAGTAGTTTTCTTTTAGAAAAACCTAAATTATTTTAAAACTTCAAGAAATTATCGTAATTAATTTGTTTTTATACAATAAAATATAAAATACAATTAAAAGAGTTAAAAGAAACATCAAATATATTTTTCTTATGTTGTTAAAAAATTTCATTTATTCATTGCTTTAAGTTTATTTTGTAATTTTTTTTCTCTGAGATATTATAAAATAAAGTTTAATTCCACTTTCGATCTCTTTGTTTTTTTTTTTACAAACAATGTGTGATACGCCTTAATAGTTATTTTGTTCGAATTTAGTGATTCAGCTTTTTACATTACAATTAAGTCATTACTGTTATTATTATTATTTTGTATATACACAAAAAGGGCCAGTAAGTCCTTCAAATTTTAGATTACTGTTAAAAGTTCTTCGAATTTTTTCCTCTAAAATATTAATTTTTTTTCTTAATATCACGGAATATAAAATTTATTAAACCATTTAAAAAAAATTCCTCAAAAATCGTTAATTTAAAAAAAATTCCTCAAAAATCGTTAATTTATCGTCGTCAAAACATTGATCTCATGATTTATGAAATTTTTAAAATATAATTTTGACAATGTTACTGAGAACGTTGTTTTTGTATATTATCCGGTGGGAACTAGGAAGCAGTTTTTTGGATGACTTGTCAGTTTGGGATTCCCTACATACGTATGCATCCTCATCCACTTCTCAGTTGTCGACAGAGTTGGGACGTGGCACTCGGGTAATTTACAGGAAACAACCAATAAATAATAGGGTCCATCGTGAGTACGATATGTCACGAACACCAATGATTGTAAATTCATTTAAGTAAATTAACGTTGTTTAAGGGAAAAGACATTTTTGTTTAAAATTCAATAATTATTTAAATGAAAATTATAAAAAATTTAGAATTATATTTTCTTTCTTTCCAAATTAAAAAATTTTAAAAAATCTATTTAACGTCCGCTTAATATTTGTTAATTTATAAAAAATATAATTTTTGAAGTTAATATAACTTAATGCTTGTTCTTTCTATAAAATTATTTTAAAAAATATGAACACAATATTTCTAGATATATTTATTTTATAATTTAAATTAACTTTATGTGTTACTACATCTTAAAAATAATATTTTATTTTTTATTAATTATAAATTTAACATTTAAATTTAATAATTGTATTCTTTGAATTAAGTTTTCATAAACTATATTTTATAATATTAAAATTCATAACAATTAAGACGTCATAATTTTAAAAAAAATTATTTTTTTACGATTTTAACTTAAATAATTTTTTTAACTTAACCAAAAAATTATCTTTTATTGAATTTATTAACATAAATGAAAATTGTAATTTTACTTAAGCAAAATTAATTTACTTAAGTAAATTTAGATTATATGATCATGTTTGTGTAAAAAAATAAGAATTTCGAATTTGATATATCAAACTAGTTCAATACAAATTAAATTAAAAATAACATATTCTTATGTTTTTAAATATAATTTTACACATAAAATTATTATTTAAAAACTTAAACTCAACTATTTAACTTAATTTATTATTATTATCATTTTAATCTTGTTTATATAAAACATATTCATCTCAATCCATCACTCCTTATAGTTTTTAATATTTTACTTTCCAAACTCCAAAAATAAATCATCATCAACAATTTAATATTTAATATTTTTATTATTTATAAGTTTTTAATTTAATAAATTTTCAAAATTTAATAAAATTTTAATAATTTAAAATTTTATAATATTTTTATTATATTTTTTCCTAATCTTAAGAAATATCTTTATTTACTTACGATTTTTGTATTAGCGATCTATTATCTTATTTTTATTATTAAGTTACATAATAGTTAAATAAACTTATATAATTTTACTAAAATTTGTCGTTATCAAAGTAATAGAAATTTAGGTCACAGGGCTGAGAGATTTCAAAATATGGATGGAACAAATATAAAAATGTCATATTATTATTTATATAACTTTGTATTATATAGACCTTAGGTTGACAAATGGAATAACAAATTTGAAATATAACAATTTGTAATAGTTTATTATTTGAAAACTCCAGTTATTGCATAGGGTGGTTTGTTTTTAAATATAAAATGAAAAAAATTTAAATTATGTGTCATTTTAGAATTATAGAAGGAAGGTTTTAAATAATAAAAAACGCTTTAACAATTGTAACAAAACAACGTGTAATCTTGATTTTTTATACATTTAAAATTCATCTTTTTTAAAAGCTTTAATAAATGAACCCATTTCTAATAGTTATTAATTTTTGCAGTGATAGGTCAAATAATCTAATCAACTAATTTTTATTTATTCAGCTTTCATCTTCTCATTCATTTCATTAGCAAATTTCTTTTATACAACACTACTGTATTTTTCACGTACTACACATGTATTATTAAAATAAAGATTTTTTTAATTTAAAAAATATAATTTTAAAAAATTCCAAAATTAAAATTAATTAACTCTCCCCATCATTACACACATATATATAGTGACACATGATAACATAAATATAAATATCAAATAATTAATTAAAAATATTATATAATAATTTTAAAATGTTATAAATTTTAAAAAGAACAAATTTTGCAATTAAAAATAATAAAGATTCCATTATATAAAAAATAAATAAACTTAAATTTAAAAATAATTTGCGAAATAATTAAATTAAAAAACAAACACTTAATACGTTAAATAAATTATTATTTTAAAAAAATTTAAAATCACTTTAATTTAAAAATTTGTAGTATATAATTATACAAGTGCTGATTTTACGTTTTTTATATTTATCGTAGAAATAATATATATATATATATATTTATATATATAATAAAATTACACGCTTCCAATGAAACTAAAAAATTTCTAAAACTGCATTTAAACATTTTGTCGACTGAACCACCTTTTAGATTTTTTTTCTGCAATAAAAATAAAAAAATGATTAAAACGCTTTTTCTATATATAAAAAAAGGAATTATGAAGTAATGAATATCCGAGACGGGGAATCGAGGATAATTTTCTTTGATTTTATTTAAGTTAGTATTTTTTTTATATTATACAAATATTATTAACTTATTTTTTTAATTAAAAACCTAGTGATATATTCCATAATATTTTAAAATTTAATATTTGTTACAAATTTAAACATAGAAAAATATTTTTATAATTAATTATAAATATTTCGTTAGAAATAAAAATTTAAAAAATATGCAAGAGAAGCCAAATAATATAATAAAAAATAACAACTCTTAAAATTATTTTTTTTATTTAACATAAAATTTTAAAAAATCTCATTAACAAAAGTATTTTTTTAATATACACTAAAACTTAATATATAAAATAGATAATTTAAATCCTTTGGTATTTATTATAACATAATATTTTATATAATAAAAATATCATCAGAATATGGGAATCCATTCGATCCCTCTCCTGCGGGACAAGCATTAGGGTTTGGATCTCCTGCACTTATGTTTTGCTTGAATAAAAAAGAAGATATAAATAATGAGTTTAATTTATATATATATATATATATATATATATATATACGTCTTTTTTAAAAATTTATAAAAATATAATAAAATTTTAAAATTATTAGTAACGATTTTTAATGTATATATTGTCAGAATAATAAAAAAATTATCAAAAAATTCAAAATTTGTTACGGATAATATTTTTAAAAATATATTAACAAATTATAAAAGTTAAAATTTACCGACGAAGATTTTTTAAAAAATAATAATTTTTTAAATTAATAGTAAAAATCCGCCAGTGTTATATTTTTGTAATTTTGTAAAAATATTATATTTTGATAAATTTATCATTTTTTTCATAATAAAAATATGACCCCTAACCTAAAAAATGATGTGTTTATGTTTATTTGGCTAAAAGATATAAAGAAAAATATTTATTTTCTTTCACTCATTCTTGTTCAATTATAACGAACAAAAGGTTACTGGATTATGAGCTATCTAAATTGTGACGGATCTATAAATGCTTCAAAAGGCACAAAAATTTTCACACATAGAGTTTGAAAGCAATGAACATCTCCAGTTTCATAGAGTCGAACGAGTTGATACCCGGGTTACCGAGCGACCTTGGACTCGAGTGTCTCACACGCTTGCCTCACTCAGCACACCGAATCGCCCACCGAGTCTGCAGCCAATGGCACTCTTTGCTCCACAGCGACCACTTCTACTATCACCGCAAGAAAACCGGTCACACCCAAAAACTCACGTGCTTGGTTCAAGCCCATCAACAGCTACCGCACCACCACAAAACAACTGGGTCGCTGTCACCCAGTTACGAAATCACCGTGTTCGACCCGGAAAACATGTCATGGGACCGGGTCGACCCGGTTCCAGATTACCCGCTCGGATTGCCACTGTTCTGCCAATTGGCGGGCTGCGAGGGGAAGCTCGTGCTGATTGGAGGGTGGGACCCATTGAGCTACGAGCCCTTGACGGCAGTTTTCGTCTACGATTTTCGAACGAGTGAGTGGCGACGGGGGAGCGACATGCCGGAGAAGAGGTCTTTTTTCGCGATCGGTTCGGATCATGGTCGGGTTTATGTGGCGGGCGGGCACGACGAGAATAAGAACGCGCTGAGCACGGCATGGGCCTACGACCCGCGAAGCGATGAATGGGCCGGGCTGGCCCAAATGAGTCGGGAGCGGGACGAGTGCGAGGGGGTTGTGGTTGGTGATGAGTTTTGGGTGGTGAGTGGTTACGCTACGGAGAGACAAGGGATGTTTGAAGGGTCTGCAGAGGTGTTGGATTTCGGGTCGGGTCGGTGGAGGGTGGTTGATGGGATTTGGGGAGCGGGTGGGTGCCCCAGATCGTGTGTTGGGGTTGGGAAAGACGGGAAATTGGTGAATTGGAGAGGGATGGATCCGGGGCTCCGAGTTGGGGTTTGTGGGGTGACGGTTGGGTCGAGGACGCTTCTAACTGGATCCGAATACGAAGGGGCACCGCATGGATTCTATTTGGTGGACATGGAGGAAGGGCACAATCGTAAATTGAGGAAAATCAGTGTGCCAGATGGTTTTTCCGGGTTTGTTCAGTCAGGGTGTTGTGTTGAAATTTAGTGAGTGAGGTACAACGGAAGTGTTTAAAGAAACAGGGTTTCGGTTTCACTCTCTTCTTGTTTACAGATGCCACCTTCCAAAATAGGAAAGCAAGTTTTGTTTTCATGTTCACATTCACATAGAGGGGTGTGGGGATACATAAGAACCCTGTTTCTTTTCTTTTTTATCTAGTTACTATACAAATGCTACAAATGTTTTTTTGTTTTGCTACTTGCTAGCAAAGGTTTGTCGTTAAACAAAACGCGAGATAGATTCAGCCTGAAAAAGAGGTCGGCATGGATCATGAGGTGTCATGTCACTAACATTAAATGGACCATTTACTGATCACGGATTGATAGGTTGATAAAATTGTTGGATAGACATGGAATGGGTTGGTCATTATTTATGATGCGCGGTGTTGGTATAAGATTTTTTTCTCTTTTTAAGCCATCAATCTTTAATGAAAGACAAACAGGCCCTTTGTATTTCAGAAATCTTAATTTGGTGCTGTTGCAGGGTTCCTCTGCGCTTGTTGGGGCGAATATATACTTACCATTGTGGACCCAACGCACTTTATTTGCATAATGAAATAAGTTCAAGAAATTCAATAAAACGAATCCCCTTGGGGAGCAACTTAAGAAGAAAACAGATTATGGTGTTAGTGTTCTCATTTTCGTTTCCAATATTAACACTTCTGTTCAATACCAGAAGAAAGACGGCTATGGCAAGGCATTAATGTGTAACGTTGCATGTTGACCTTGTTCAAACGTTTATTAGTTTAACTTAAGAGGTCTTGATTTATGGAATTTTTTTTGGTTACATTGCTATCTTTCATTTGATGAGAATTTCTTTTAAGCGGGGTTAAGACACGGTGAATAGCAAAATATTTAATTTTAAATTCGATTATTAGAATAATTTTTATCAATTGATTTGTGTATTTTTTAAAGGAAAGAAATAAATAAAAAAAAGAAAAAAATTACAATTTCAAGTACGAGACTTTCTTAAATATATAGAAGGTTAGAATTAATAAATTTATCAAAAAGTGAAACAATTTTCGTCACGTGACTTCCGTTGTTGTTGCGTCAGACTATTAAAATAATTTACAATATCTATATATAGTTTTTCAGTTCATGAAATTCTAATATTAAAAATCAAATGACAGAAAAGTCGCAGGTTTGCAATGGATCAGCTCGAATGAATCTTTAAAAATCGAACCGAGTTAACATATTTTAACGACCTTATCCCACCTCTGTCTTATTGTTCTTTTTTTTTTTAATATTGTTGACCGAAAAAAAAGAAGCGAATTATTAATGCATTGGTATGAAAAAGACAAAAGCTTATTTGTTCTCTGTTGTTAAGAACAATTATTTAAAAAAAAAAAATTTTTAAATTGACATAAGTTGTATTTTAATTTTCTTCTTAAAAACAGTTTTTAAAAATATTTTAAAAATTTAAAACCAAAACAGCACTTAGTTTTTATAAACAATTTTTTGCTTTTTAATAGGCATTATTTGATTCATAAAAACTGATAATTAAAAGTTTAATTTTACTGCACTTTCAGTATAATTTTTTTTTACACTATCAACTGATTAATTGATTATAAAAGTTAAATATTTTTGTTAATATAAAAATTTATAATTAGATATAATGTAAAAATTTATATGCTATCGATGTATTTAAACTTAATTTAATAATTAAACTGTAATTCATTTTGTTAAATTATAAAATGACAAACACATTAACACTAACAAATTTTAACATATTACATGATCGTTTTTAAATTTAAAAAAGTTTTAAAATATTAATGATAAAATAATGTGTTTTAAGAAACAATATGATAAAAGATGCACTTTTTATTATCAAGCATAAAGTATTTGAAATAAAAAAAAATGTAGAAATAAACCATTGAATTGATATAACATGTCAAATTTTAAATTTCGTAAAATATAAATACGATAGATCTAGCATTGATAATTAGAAAAAGAAAATAAACTGAATTTAAGTAATAATATATAGAGCAAAAATATGAATAACAAAATATAAGATGGTTGATGTAAAAAAAAAGTTACACAATATATCGAAATATAGAATTAAAAGAAAGTAATATTATACAAAATAATAACTGAAATTTAATAAAAGGAATTGATTAATACATGTAGGAGATTCAAATGTTTTATTTATTTATTTTTCATGAAAAAAATTTAAAAGTTGTGTGCAGTGAGCTAGGTGTGGAAGAGAGGCGTGTTTGGGAATCTATGAATTGATTAGAGAAATAAAAAAGAAAAGCAAACCCTCAGGAAACCCAAAACCCTGTCTGCGTGTGGCGGGGATGGATTTCCAAGTGGTTGTTCTCGGCGGTGGCGTCTCCAAGAAACTTCTCCCCCTCGTCTCACAGGTTCCAACCAAGCCAAATGCAAATTCAAATGCAAATGCTTCAATCCAAACGCACTTCCCCAATTTCCTCGCTTATTGTATTAATTATTAAAGCATTTGTTTCGATTTGCAGGAGCTTCCAAACGCTTTGCTTCCGGTGGCCAATCGCCCCCTTCTCTCTTACGTTCTGGAGTATTTGGAGCTTAGCAACCTCAAAGATCTCATTGTGGTACCACTCCTATTCCCTCTTCTTTCGTTTCAATCTTTGATTTTAGTGTTACCAATTTCGAGTGTTTTCAATAGGTCGTCGAAGGCGAAGAAGCCGCTCTCCATGTTGGGGCTTGGATTTCAGGGGCTTATGCTGATCGCCTCCATGTCGAGGTAATCAATAATCTTAATTTCATCCGCTCATTCAATCAATTTTTTATTATCGCTATGTATTACCAATTAAAATCATCTTTGATTGAGGTTTTTTTTTTTTTTGTTTGTGTATTTAGTTATTCATTTACAGGTTGTTATAGGATGGCCATTTAGAGTGGTACACTTGGCATACATCATTTTTAGTTATTCCTCAATCCTATAGGCAATCTGTATGGGTGATTCTGAATGCTTGTATAAAGCAACATCATTGTAATTCATTTTTCACTGAATCAATGAGAAATATTCTTCTGAGACTATGCGAATAGTCAAAGAATCCCATGGCTTGGAGCATAACATTAAGGAGTAAAATGTTCTGACTATTCTTATCATTATTGATCACTTTTTTAATATTTATTTATAAAATTAATTAAATGTATGACAGTATGAGTTTTATGATAAAGGTTGCTTGGAAACATGTAATATTGATGAGCGTTTGATTATAAAGGACGTGACTAGTTATAAAGCAGCCTAAATATGTGGAATTTGAGTTCTGATTGCGTTTTTAATCTTTAATTTATTGAAGTCAATAAAGTAATTGATGCGTAACCTAAAATGCTATTATTTACTTTTTAGTTTTTGACCTTAAAAGTGTTTATACTCTATCCAAATGTGTGATGGTTTATGTTTAAAAATTTTCCAGGTCGCTGCAGTTCCTGAGGATGTGGGGACAGCTGGTGCAATTCGGGCCATTTCACATCACCTAACTGCAAAAGACATTTTGGTGGAATATGGCACTCCCTTGCCCCTGTACTCTGAGATTTTTAATTGATATTGTTCTTCATAGTTGTGTTAATTTTCTGCAGGTTGTCAGTGGTGATCTTGTCACCGATGTGCCACTTGGTGCTGTTGCAGCTACTCATAGACGACATGATGCAGTTGTTACTGCTATGCTTTGCTCTGCTCCTGTAAGTGGACCTTCAGAGTCAGTATCCTCTGGTGGGAAAGACAAAACCAAGAAACCTGGTCGCTATGATCTAATAGGGCTGGATCCCACTAAACAGTTTTTAGTTCACATAGCAACCGGTTAGATATCAAGCTTTCGTTATCCATGGCATTTTATTATTGTATGTGTTCTCATGTGGAATCTTGCCACTCTTTCAGGAGCTGAGGTTGAAAAAGATCTTCGTATTCATAAGAGCATGCTCCCTGCAGTTGGCCAGGTATTTTTCTTTCCTTTTCTGTTGACCTTCCTAGTTAGTTCTTCCTTCCTATAGTTTCTCTGATGTTCAAAAACTATTGGTCTTCCAGTGTGGAACTTAAGTGTGTGTTCTATTACATTACTTTCAAGTTTCTGGCACATTTTTCTGCTATACAGTTATTGCATCTCTTATTCCGCACATTGACCAATACTATTCCCACAATTTTTTTCTATCTTTCTCCATCACCATCACATCTCCCATCTTCTCACCTCCTTCTCTCTTCTCTTCCTATCTCTCTAAGCTGTAAAAGAAAAATTGTAAACATTGTTGTACAAATATCGTTTATCTATTATTATTGGTGTTTTCTGTTTGTCTAGAGATGGAAAATGATTATAATTTATTATGTTTATGTTCAGAGTAAGAAAAATGCTCAATCTTATAGAAATAGTATTTTTCTGTGAAAATATGTATTTGTCACCTAAGTAGTAGAAAATTAAATGCTAGACTTTTGCATGTGCTTATTTCTCTTTGATTCTCTTTTCACTGTTATCTGTCCTTCATGTAGATAGAAATAAGAGCTGATCTAATGGACGCCCACTTATATGCATTCAAAAGGTATATTTATTTACTTTTTAAACTTTCTCTATATTCAATATCTTAAATTACTCATATTTGTATCCTGAAACGAACTTTTCTTGCAGATCAGTTCTACAAGAAGTTCTAGATCAGAAGGGTACATTTCATAGCTTAAAACATGATGTATTGCCATATCTTGTCCGGAGTCAACTGGTTAGTTGTTAAATGTTTTTGCAGAGATAGGTTAGGGGATGTTATACTTTTAAGGATTCTAACCTGGTTCAAATTTTCTCAATGAGAGTTAGAAATCAGAAGTATTGTTAAATGGTATGCCACAAGCAGAAGAAAATGGAACCGAAAAGGTTATTTCTCAAAGCAATCAACAAATGCTATCTCAAATACTCGCTAATGCATCATTACCAACCTTTCATCTACGGCATGCACTGGGTTGTTATGGTTCTTCTGTTCGAAGAACCCATAAATGCTGTGTTTATATTGCTGGAAGTAGCAAGTACTGTACTCGCTTAAATTCTATACAGGCATACAGTGACATAAATCGGGATGTAAGTTTGTGATATTGTGATGGCTTTTATCAGGAACTTGATATTGCCTTACATTTTTTCTTTGGGTACAGTTCTGCTTGCTTGGGCTCTATTCATTTTTTAATATGACAGGTGATAGGAGAGGCTAGTCATTTATCAGGGTATTCCTTCTCTGCTCAAAACAATATCATCCATCCTTCTGCTGAGCTTGGGGCAAAAACAACTGTGAGTTAATTGCTTGTGCTGTCTGGTGTCCAGTTTCAGATGCATTACTTTTGTTCTTCTCATTTTCGGGTTAATGTATGTCATTTGTTTTTAGGTTGGACCACATTGTATGCTAGGGGAAGGTTCACAGATGGGTGATAAATGCAGTGTGAAACGGTCTGTCATTGGGCGTCACTGTAGGATAGGTGCCAATGTTAAGGTGGGGTGATATATTATTCTTGAGATTTGCTATATCCTTCTATAAGTCTTCCTAATAATCCTCCTCCTACGTTATAAAGTAATTATTAAATAGAAGGTAACTGGTAATTAGGAGGGTTTGTAGGCATAAAGGTAAGAGGACATGTTAACAGGAAGTCATTTTTTTTTAATCTGTAACACTATGATCTCCAACACTCAGTGATTGGTCAGCAACACTGAGTTGGAATCTTAATAATGGTTGTATTCAATAACGTTAATGCTAAGTTTTCTTTAACTTGCTTTTATGCATGCAGGTTGTTAATTCAGTAGTTATGAATCATGTTACTATTGGAGACTGTTGTTCGATCCAAGGTTCTGTCATCTGCAGCAACGTACAGCTCCAAGAACGTGCTGTACTAAAAGATTGCCAAGTAACTCGTTTTTCCTTTTTCTGGCTAATTTTCATGATTAAAATTTGAATTGGAATGTAATATTGCTTGTCTTGGCAGGTTGGAGCAGGTTTTGTTGTCGTTGCTGGTAGTGAGTGCAAAGGGGAGATCTTGGCTAAGAAATGGAACTGAGATGTGAAAATACAGGCTGGGGAAATACATAGCAAATTGACTTTTATTCTGTTTCTGCATTGCTTGGAGCAATTTTTGCGCTTTTTTGCTGGCAGCAGTTACAATTTGGTGATCTTGGCAGGAGGAAGCAAAATATTTCCAATTTGTATTTCTGTCCTTTGCAGTTTCTTTCTCATGCAACTTAACGTTTGAAAATGGCTTCGATGGGTGTTGAGTATCCATTTCTGTAAATGACTACTCATTGTTTCCTCTTGTCACAATTTTCTGCCATTTAAATGCATGTTACAGAAGATTTAGGTTGGTATCTTACTGCCGTACTAAAGAGGTATAATCCAGCGCCGTCAGTTTTGTACTTGATCAAATGTAGTACTATTGACACTTCTCTTGTAATCCTTTTGTTTTCTAGTGATTGATAATGTTGATGATATAATTCTACTTTAATACGATTCTTGCTTTATAATTCATTTAAACTCACTTTTAGTTCCCTGTTTTTGCGGGAGAGGGGTCTCAAAGCTTGGCAATTGGCAGCATCAACTAGCAGATCGTGTGATCGGATTTGGATGGAGGTGTATTTTTGAAACTACAAAATGGCCTCTAAACAAGTTCGACTCTCAATGAAGCCAATTACATATACTTTTCTCTTGGTAGAAATTAACCATATTTTGGTTCTGCCAATACGTATTTGTTTAAGATTGCTTTAGCTACCAAATGATGTTTAACAAAAGGGGCAAAGTATATTTTTGAATTAATTATGTTATAATTCATCTCACGATAGGTAAAAAGTGATTTAAGATAACCTTTTGTTTGGATTGACTAAGAGTAACTTCTTATGGTAAAAATCACACAAAAATGAAGTTATTTATCGTATTTAATCTTGTATTTAAAATAATCAACTGATGAGGATAAAATGAAAAAAAAAGTTAAATAGAAAATGTTATAATTATTTTTAATCAAACTATTAGTTAAGCATGTTTTATTTTAAAATTTTATCTGGAAATTAAAAACTAAAAACCTAATGTTATTACTATAATTCTGATTGGAGAATGATCTCAGGTTCAATATTCATGGTTCAGTCCTTATAAAATTGTAAATTTTAATTATAGTTTCTAATTAAGTTTTATTCATCTTTAGTTCTTTCAAAATATAAAAAACGTGCTTGTAGTGCTTAACAAGGTCTAAAAACACATTACTTATATTTAATATAAAGGTTAAAAATAAATGAAATTTTATTTAAAATTAAAATAAAATTTAATAATTTTACGGGAACATAAAATATGTTTTATCTATATTTAAAACAGAAAATATGTAATTTTTAAAATGCATATTTAAACTTGTTTCAATGATAACGATAAATTGACAAAAGAATGATTGTATGATATTCTTATTATTATTAATATATGAACCAAGCTGTTGAATAAATATTTCTTAACAAAATTTGATTGTTGATAAAATTAAAAAAAGGTGATTACAAAAAAAACACAAAATTTGATTCACATGTTTTTTAACTTAAATTGATAAGTTTTTAAAAATATTACTAATCAAAGTTTTTAAAAAAGGAAAACTATGCAAAAAAGGGTGTCGCTTTATAAAAATTTATCAAATATATAATATATTATAGATATAGATATATAAACTATAAATTTAGTTTAATGTTTCACTGTTTATTTTTTATTTTTGAAAATTAAAATATCACCATGTTAGTAAATATTTTACATTAAACAATATTTTCAATTATCGTATATTTGTTTTAGCAAAGGGTTATAACATGGACAAAAGTAAAATTATTATTTTGAAATATAATTTAATTTGATAATATTATAAATTTAATTTAATATAAGTTATATAACTTAAGTAACAAAAAAAAAAATTAATATGCAAATAATCAAAACTTATTACCACACTTGAGAATCGAGATTCGCGGTCTAATAACATATTTTGAGCACAGTAGAAGCCACCTTTGTGACGATTCACTCACAGCTTTGGGTTCCCACTTCAGTGAGTCGAGACGTGAATCTATGCCTCAGCCTTCGTAACCATTCCCAGCTTGAGCCCTCAATCCAAATTCGCAAATATAACCCTAATCTATTTCCCCAAATCTGTAACTGAACCTGAATCTAATCTAAGCGTGCGTTTGCATTCGAGCTTCGTTCATGTTCATGTTCATGTTCTCTCTATTGGCTATTTTCAGTATGTTGTTTATTATGCCTTGCTATTTTGACTATCATCTTCTGCTTTATATTTGTTTTAAAACATTGGAGATATCTAGCATGAGTCAATCTGATACTGATATGTTGCGTTGATATAATTCCAAGTTACACTGTCTCTTTGCATTTATATATATACACGTGTGCAATCAAGTTTGATTATATATACTGTAAATGCCTTCGCTACATATCAAATTCAAAAGAAGGGAGGCTAAGCTCAAATGCACTTATTAACAACCAATTATAATTTATTAGAATTTTGAAACAAGAATTTTGTTTTCACCATTTTCGAAATACTTAAAGCAAGCAACATTGTGGAACTTGATAAGTCCATTGTCAGAGATGGTCGAAGTGGGAAGGCAAGTTTCTGATGAGAATTGTTAATAGAAAATGGATATTTTTAGCATTGCTTCTTGCCCTGTTTGAATTTGAAGCTTTCTATTTTCTTTTCCTTTTTCCATGGTCTATAAGCTCAAATTCAAAAGAAGGGAGGCTAAGCTCAAATGCACTTATTAACAACCAATTATAATTTATTAGAATTTTGAAACAAGAATTTTGTTTTCACCATTTTCGAAATACTTAAAGCAAGCAACATTGTGGAACTTGATAAGTCCATTGTCAGAGATGGTCGAAGTGGGAAGGCAAGTTTCTGATGAGAATTGTTAATAGAAAATGGATATTTTTAGCATTGCTTCTTGCCCTGTTTGAATTTGAAGCTTTCTATTTTCTTTTCCTTTTTCCATGGTCTATAACTTATGCTGATTAGAGATATCGTTTTTGTTTATGATGGAATTTTTGAAGGCATGGATTTTGCTTGAGATGATAAATTTAATAGAATAGTTTGCAGTAGTTAGTCAATGGTCAAACTTGTATGGCAATGTTCACTGCCCTTACTCATATACACCAAATAACTAATGCTTTGGATTTGGTTATTGTTTAATTGTTGCTCATTATTATGTGTTCTTATTTGCATGCCTTTCTGTTTGGATTTATCTTCTCCCATTGTTTAACGTTAACAACCTTGTTTCCATGATTCGTATCATATCTAATTTTCAGCCACTTGACTTCCAGTTTTTCTTCATAAATAAAACTATGAATACGTGATTTGTCACTATCTTATATGCTTCTCTATCTCTTCTCATTCGGGGGAACTTTCACTGGCCTTTCCTGAAGCATTCTGAATACCTCATATCTTTCTTGCTTTAGTTTCTCTCGCACACCTTAATATCTTTGTCTCTGGGACACTTTTTGCCAAATTTCCTAACATTTTATATCATACAGTACTGAGACTGTACATATTCTCCAAATTTCCTACATATTCCCTTGCAGGATATCCCTAAATGGATCTGCACAAACACAGTTTAAACATTATAGGCATTACTATTTGAATCATGCATGTCTTCAAGCTTCTGTGACTATAACATATTCTGCAAATCTGTCATTTATGACGTGTATGATTTTTTACGTGGTCTTGAACCATGTAGTCCCAACCAATTACATTGTGACGTATAAATTTTACAATTTATGAAAAAAAAGTTCCATGTCACAATATGAGTGGTCAGGACTACTCTGAACCATCCAAAAATTTCTCCTTTCCTCTAAGGGCTTGTATGATTTTAGGTTGTAATGGATAAGTACACATTTTAAAGGAATATCGTTAATCCATTGTCTAAGAGAAATGATCTTATTAATTAAGAGAAATGCTTGTTAGTATGATCGAAAGCTATTTACAATAAACTAGCATGATTTTGGCTAAAACTGTCAAGTGTCTAGCCAACCAAAAAAATAGAAAACTTCTATTAAAAATTATGTTGAGGTGCATTAAAAATTATAAAAAAGAGGTACATTAATAATATTTTGTATATGAAAAAAAATATTTTTTATTCTTTAACTAGAATATTTAGAGGCACTCTTCTTTAGCACTTGTTATTTTTTAATTTATTTATTCTTTAACTTAAGTACTTTCTGTAGTTTGTTTTATAAGACACATTTTAAAAAATTTTAGTGGTCTTTTTTTACAAGGCATTTTATAGTTTTTATGAAGTGTTTATTCTTATTTTTCTATATGTCCTTAACAAATGGAGTTGGTAGGAACTTACATTAAAATAAAAAATAATAAATATTGATAGTAAGATTAAGTGTAAAGATCTTAAATGAGCTGTAAAATTGCATTATTAACTTGTTATAATTCTTAAAAAAAAGAAAACAAACAAACTTTACCTATTTTTATTAGATTCTATAATTTAATGCGCTTTCCTACTTAATATTAATTTTTGGAGAGAGAAAAATATTTATTTTTTGTACTTTTTGAAAAAAAAAAAAGAAAAAAAAAAAGAATAAAAAAGACAAAAGGGTGATAATGTCATTTACATTATTAATCCCCCATTACCCTTCCTTCTTAATATTAAATATTCAAATAAGGGAATGGTATAATCCTCCTTTTCCTTTCCTTACTTTTCAAACCCTTTCTTTCCCCCTCTCTCCAACTTCCAAACAAAATATTAGAGATTGATTTGTAAAACACAGCTCTTGCAGTAGATATCTGTAGTACTTATCAAAATTCAGAATATTTAGGAATCCTGTAATATTGATGGTTTTTCTAGTGCTTATTAGGTAAAGGTAATCAATTAATTTATTACTGTATCAGCGTATCCAATGTTCAAAATCTCCTGATGCACTTGTGCACCATTTAATCATGCACTCACTGCAACCCAAAATCACAATCTGTACTGTCTGAGCCTTGAATGAATTGTCTCTGGTCCTTAGCAAAAAAACTGAGTAGCTGCAGTGTATATGTTATTGTGAAGGCAGGTAGAGTAAGATAGGTAATTACCAATGCATTCATTTTAATTGTTTCAACAGTGTTCGTTGTTCCTGACATGACAGTGGCAAGTGGATGGGATGAGTCTCTCTGATCTGAAATTTTCTCCTACCTGATCCACAGGGAATATGCTTAATAGATTATGTAGGCATTGCTTTTGCACCGTTATTCCGCGTCCTTGGCTTTTTGTGGGGTTGGGCAACCCTGGCGGCAAATACAAAGGAACTCGGCACAATGTACCTTTCTTTCTGCTTCTGCTTATTCAATACTACTGTTTCTGTTGGCAGCTTGTGCAGTTCAGTTACTGGTTTGTTGGGAGTTAGGTTCTGTAGTTACTCATCAACCATCAAATTACTTGAAAAGTGTTCTGTAAAGGGGCTTAGTAAGTGTCTGAATTGACAATTGGAGTTAGGTTCTGTAGTTACTCATCAACCATCAAATTAATTGAAAAGTGTTCTGTAAAGGGGCTTAGTAAGTGTCTGAATTGACAATTCCACATTGAAATTCGATTTTTTTCTTCTTGTCCAAACCAGGTGGGATTTGAGATGATTGATGCATTTGCTGAGTCACAGGGGATTCCTATGAACACTGTCCATTCCAAAGCCATTTTTGGAAAAGGTTTGTCCGCTGCATTTAATATTCCTCTTTTGATATTTGTTATAATTCATCAATTTTAGACTTGATAATTTGTTACAGGTTTTGTTGATGAAGTTCCTGTTTTCCTTGCAAAGCCTCAAACTTACATGAATCTGAGTGGTGAATCAGTAAGGAATTAAGATATTCTGGCTTTTCTCTTCCCTTTTATCCATCTAGATATTTTACTTTAGTTTCTGCATGTTGTATCATCTATAGCTTTTTTCACTTGACACTGGCATATGTGTCTTAACCTATGAGTTCATTTGATTATACATTTGGTTTCTTAATTCTATAACCTACTTTGAGGGTAGCTTTTCTGGTTTGCACATTGAAATTTACTCTAATTGATTGGCAATTTGGCATTGTTGTGAGGTTACAAGGTAGCACTATAAATGCAAATAGTTAAAAAAGTGAAAGTTCATAGGCTGTGAGGTTACATTGTTATGACAACTGTGATAGGATCATAGGAAAAATCTTGAAATTGACAATGCTTGCTAGAGAAATATCTGGGTATTGTTAGCAATTTCAAGTGTTGACATGTCGTGTACCATTTTGTAATTTTTTGCGCAATATATTAATTTTTTTCTGGAACTGTCCTATCCACATAATGGTGTTGTATCCAAGACATGTACCTGTAATTCTATTGGATATCTCATTTATTTACTTGATTTTATATACTGATATTTGCCAATGGAATTTATTATTATGCCTTGAGCCCCACATCTGAATCTCTTTCCCTGACATAATTATTTGGGTGCGGTTTGATAGTGTTTAAATTTGGTTATCAGTTCATATTGTTCATATTTATTGTATTTTGTATCTTCCTTGGCCTTGCTGCTCTTTGGGATCCATGTCCTTGTTTATGTATGTGCCTAGGAAGCTTTGTGCTTGTTTTCAATTTATATCATTCTCTGTCTTCGTTTTACTGCAGACAGGACCACTGGCTGCTTATTACAAGCTGCCTCTTAATCAGGTGCTTGTGGTAAGTCAATCCACACACTATACCTTTTCTTTCAAGTATTTAATTGGTGATAGATGTATTGTTCTTTATTTAATCATGAATATTTGGTTGCAGTTCCACGATGACATGAGCTTACCATGCGGGGTGCTTCGTATTCATGATAAAGGGGGTCATGGAAGTCACAAAGGGTACAACATTACATGATAATTGTGAAATAATTTTTTTTACACTGACTGTAAGAAACTTGTTGCCTAATTCTAATACCTACGCCTCTAAAGATATTATAGTGTTTATTATGCATCATTAGATTATGTAATCCACCATTTTCATTACATTTTCACTTGTCTAGTGGCCATTTGTTGTCATCATATCTGTAATGCTTCACTGTTTCTGGTGAAAGGAAAATCAATCTTGTGAAGTGGCTGAAGTAGAGAAGCAGGTGTTTATAATTCAATATTAGTGTTTAAGGGGATGAATTGTGATGGAAAATAAGTTCATGAAATCTTTCAAGCTATATTTTTTCTACTCAATTGCTTCTTGAGTAGTGCTACGCATCTTGTACTTTGTCCTCACTTTCCTCTGAACCAGGCTAAAGAGTGTAATCTGTCACTTCAGAGGAAATAGAGAGTTCCCTCGGCTAAGAATTGGTTGGTACTTTTGTAACCAATCCTCTATTTTTTCCCTACATTTTAGATTATTACTGTTATTTTTCATTTTCAGTTTGTTTTGTTGTTAGGGATTGGTAGGCCTCCTGGGCAAATGGATCCTAAAGCATTTTTGCTTCAAAAGTTTAATGTAACAGCTAGACAGCGGGTAAGGTCTTGGTGTACTGTTAAATGCACTTTGGGTTCCTCGTGTAATGAATGCTTCAATTTAGTTCCCATGGTTCAAATTGCAACGACAATATGACATTGCTCGTTGGGTTTTCTACTCAGTATAACATGAATCCAACCGTGAAATATGTGTGGGGGTTGTAGAACACTACCATGAAAATAGGCCTATTGTATAGAGGTTTTCATGTGGCCAGCTTTTGGCAATTGCTATTGCATGTTCTGTTTTTCGTGTTCTTTGTCAACACTATTGCATGTTTTGTACATCGTGCGACATGCAATATATTGAAAATGGGCCAGTTACAAAAATCTTCATCTCTGTTGCTTCTCGTCCTTCTTGTTGGACAGATTGATGAGGCTTTGCAAGAGGGGGTCGATGCCTTGAAGTTCCTTTTATCTAAAGGTTTGGCAGAGAGTGCCAAAAGATTCAACAAAGAACAAAAGTATAAGCACTTAAGAGTGCAGACATTGCCAGTTTGATAAGATTCCATGAAGGCAAGTTGCATTATAAGTATGACCAGTTCCTCGCCTTGTAGGTTGCGATACATTATATAAAACTTGAGTTTAAACACGTTATGGATGTGTTAAAATTAGCGATAGGAAATTGGCTGGCTGAATTTTGTAAATTTTCCCGAGATACATATAGTTCTGATTGGACAATGATCTCAAGTTCAATATTCAATGGTTTTTTCAGTCCTTATAAAATTGTAAATTTTAATTATAGTTTCTAATTAAGTTTTATTCATCATTAGTTCTTTCGATATATATATATATAAAGTGCTTGTAGTCCCGACTAAAAACCCATTACTTTTGTTTAATATAAAGGTTAAAAATAAATGAAATTTATAATTTTACGGGAACATAAAATATGTTTAATCTATATTTAAAATAGCAAACATGTGATTTTTGCCGGTTTGACAAATCACACCCACGCATCCAAATTACCATGGTCTGAAAAACTCATTTCATAATTGGAAAAGGGGACAAAAAGAATAATGCTTCTTGCACCCTTATTGATAAATTCAATTAATAAATATTATCATAATGCAGATGACGCAGAGGACTACAAAACCGTTTTAAACTTTCTAGAGAGGTTGACCCCATTTTGGTAGGTCATTATTGTCACACCTCAAACCACCAGAGCATTGACAACAGAGCGTTACACCAGAATTTTTGCAAATTAATAATGCCACTAAAGTCTGCTCTGAACTGATAGCTCACGCTTCAGTTGATCCCTCAAAACTCTCCTTAGTAGTTTGTTAGAAGCTGTTCGAGGAAACTCGGGCACAATTTTAACAAGGCTTACCTGTAAAGTAACAAAATGAGTTGTGAGCGTCAAATCAATAACTTAATCATCACAAGTCAGGTTAAAATTTCCATAAATTTTGAGTTTCCCTTCAACCTTGACTTTCGTGAATCCTTAAGTTCATTAAGTTTTTTCTTTTCACAAAGTAATTAACTGAATTCAATTCATGATCATAATTGTGCATGATCAACAAAGAGTCAGACCTTAAACAAAGGATTAAGGTTGCTTTGAATGGCTTTGGTAAACTTCTTTTTTAGATGTTCTGCACTGGAATTGTATCCTTTCTTTGAAACTACAAATATAACCAGTTGTTCTGGGCCTCCTTGGGCGGGAGCAACACTGATAGCAGCTGTCTCCAAAATGCAGTCATCAGCCTTTTCACAGACTCGCTCAATTTCTATGGAACTTGTCTGCATTATGAGAATAGAAAACTCCAAGTAAAAAAAAAAAAGCCCAGTGCAAGGATGCCAAAGTACAAATTTAAGAATGTCTAATGAATCCATGATCAGTTATACTTTCCATTCTCGTTAAGAGGGATGCCAGGAACACACCTTTTTTAATCCACTCTAATTTATGGACTAAAATCTATTAAAAACTACAAAAGTACAAGAGAGAATCATTAAATTAAGACTGAGATTTACATGATTTTTAATGAATTTTAGTAAATAACTAAGATTGTGTTAAAGAATGTGTTGCTAGCGTTTCTCTGGTAAGTAATTTATGTAGGCACTAGACATGGAAAGATATAGAAATCTTAACCATGTGTATCAAGCAGACCTATCCTTCAAAAGCTTAATCTCCTGTCAGTGTAGAACTGGGAGAAAGAGCCATAAACACACATATAGTGGGTGATGTGGTACCTTTATTCCACCAAGATTCATTGTGTCGTCAGCTCTTCCCTGCACAGTAAAATAGCCTCTAACAGTTCTTTTGATTATATCTCCATGTCTCCTAAGAACCTGCTAATATCTTGTTAGACATCACAAATGATAGAGAAAAAAACCAATTGAAAATGTAGACAACAAAAACAACAGAATGGGAGTAGTTAACATTGCAATTGGAGACTAATTATTATGTAATTTACAAAGGGACTATCTGAAAGGCCTTAATGAAGATCTGACTAATCTACACTTCTATGGAGTATCTGGATATTGATAGCTGACATAGACATTAACAGTAGTTGATAAACATCCAAAGAAAAATCCTATCCTCTATTTTCTTTTCCTTGGATTTTATATGTGCAATTTGGTCAGTGTCTCCATTCAAATGTGTGCTTGTGCAGTTGGAACTCTAAAAAACATTTAGGAAGTAATAAAACAGTTGATCAAGGACCTTTAAGAAGCCATTATGATGTCAAAAACCACAAAATACCTTCAGAACTGAAGACTATATGGTGTCCTTCGGGTATAAAAAAACTAATATTGCAAGATAGCGATATCTAGTGTAAAAATCATTTGTCACATTGGCACTAAAATATTTACCTTTCCTTTGTAAATGGGCATTCCTTTAAAGTAAACCTCCGCATTATCAGCATTGAGTAATCTATCAGTTGCTCCCATATGTAGAGGGAATAAACCCACTTCGCCAACACAAGAAACATCCTCTGGCTGTCATATCGGTCAAAGGAGATCAAACAAATTAGAAAGTGTAAAATATAAATCTATACTCAAAGATAGGACAGCTATTATATAAGACAATGAACATTTATTGAAGATAATTTGATCATCTACTAGAGGAAATGCAACTCCTTTGGGAAGAGAAAAAAGTCTAAAGAGAACTGAAGGGTTAATAGTCTATCAGGATATATGTTACAGGAAAATATCAGTGGCCAAAGGGTTAGTACAAGAATTACACCATTCAGAAACAAATAGTAGTTCAGGTAACCAGTCTCAAGATTTGAGAGCAGCATTTTCAGTTAGCCATCATTGGTCCCAAGTCTGGATTATGCACTATACACACTTGGCATCCATTATCCATTGCAACAACAAAATTATATGTAGGTATTGGCACGATGAAAGCAGTGTCAAGTCAGTGGTAGCATAAGTATATAATATTATATGATCAAAAAATAGAAACTAATGAGAAAATGTTCTTACGTAAGGAACTCCATTTTCGTCAAGGATGACAAAGCCAGTTGTCATTGTTGCTGAGCTAAATGCTCCAAAAGCTTGAGGCTGCAGTGGATTTCCCGCGATGTAACTAGATGCAAGCTCAGTGCCCCCACAACATTCAATGACTGGTTTGTAATAAGACTTTGAAGAAAGCCAAAGATCATCATCAACATTTGAAGTTTCCCCAGTTGAACAAAATGTTCTGCATATAACCACAGTTTAGTTCTTTTTCATATTAGTTACTTGATTTTTCAAACTTAAGAGGAATTACTTTATCTTTGTCCAATCCAAGCCCTCCATGCATCGTGTATTCTTCCAAGTTTTTACTAAGCTTGGAACTGTTCCCAAAATATTAACACCTGCATCCTGAACAATTGTAGTTGAACGAATAAAGTGGTGTTCGGTGCAATGTGTCAAATTCTACTGATGCAGAACACAACATCTACTATTATGACATTTTTGCTTTATTGCTGAATTTTCGTTTGCCCTTCATCCCATCCAGATCTTATTTAACCCCCTTTGTAGCCAAGTGCAAGTAGTGCGAGTCTAGCCTTCTAGTTTTATTTTTTTTTTACTTTTCTCCACATTATTAAGAATAAGACCCATTTAGATCACAAGTATAACCCATTTAAACCTATAGTGCAAGGGATCAAATTTGACAAGAAGCACCTGACACTTAGTGTTCTAACCATATAGATACAAGTATACTTTATTCCAGATTTTAGGCACCATTGGTGAATGAACAAATTTAAACAAGATTAAATTATTCAAATAATGAAAAAGAATGTCGTATGTAGTAATTTGAGTTCTGATTAGAAAGGTGGAAAACAAAAGTTAGTCTTTTAGCATCCTAGTTTCTTCAACATTAAGCCAACTACTGGTACATTAAATATTTTCAAATTCTGCCCTTTTTCTTCCCAAAAAAGAATTGCATAAGGTAATATAAATACTTTTACGAACATAGCTCGCTGACACAATATATTCTATCTTTCATCACAAACCTCATCTTAGTAATTCTATTTAATGAGATAAGACATTTTCAAAAGAATGAGAACTTTTTTGGCCTTGTTATGATATAAGGTGGCTCTGGCTCATAGTTGCAGTTTTCACAGTGAATAGGAAAGTTCATGGGATGTCACTGAAGATAACACTAACAATTATTCCCCTCAACATCCCACTGCATCACAAAAGATATAGAACTCCAATTAGTTCATTGCATCCATGACTTTGAAGAGAAAATTGTTGGGTCACATGAGGGGTTTAAAACATAGGAGATCTTGTTGGATATTTTTTTATGTATTTCAAAAGTTTATTGCAATTCAATTTATTTTTATTTATTTATTTTAAGATTGTGAGATTTATTTTAACTTAGTCTATATCTATTTACTATAAATAACCACTACGCTCTCCTAATAAATATCTATAACAAAGTAACAAACTATCAACTCTCCATTCTCTTTCTTGTTTCATTTTTCTTTCTGATGATGCTTCTCCTTTTTTATCTTCTTCCTACTCTTTTCTTTGATAATTGGATTAACAATAATTCTATTACTGCAAGTTCATGAACTTAAAGTTTATCCTAAAAGTGTATATTAAATCGGAATCATTGCATACCACAAATAAATTGTTAAAGATAGTGTCCAACGTGTGGACATCTCAAACCAATTACTTCTAACATTATTTTTGTGATTGCAGGTTAATTTTTAAAATAAATCTCTCATCAACAAGCCACGAACAAACTATACAAACAAACTTGAATACCACATCTGACCATAAGGTTATTAGGTTGTAAGTTCTTATCACTTATATGTTGCTCAAATTTTTTATTTTTACTCGATGTTTGACTTCTTCACTCATGCTTACTATATCAATAATTTCTTCTCAAGTATGAGTCCTTTTTATTAGGTACAATTTTCCTCTAGTGAAAATATTTCAACTTTTAACTACGACTATTATGGTGACACAAGTACACTAAAACTATTGTTTCTCAATTTTCTTTTCAACTTGTATCGTTGGTAGTTATCATCTTATCAATGAGATAGGTTGCTCAACCTCCACATTGCTAGGAAAACTTTCGATATAAGATCTCTTCACATGAATTTACCACCCATTTCATACCTCTCTATGTCACTCATGTGAATAAACTATTGACTTTGATAAAACTGTTAAATTGTACAAGAAGTCTAAAATATCGAGGAGATCTCTTATTAATGGGCTACGAACAAATTATATACATAGACTTTAAATACAACATTCAACCTAAAATCTTTAAGACTATCAGGTTGTTGGTCCTTGCATTTGTATGTTACTCATTTTCTCCATTCCTACTCAATGTAAGACCTCTTCACCCATACTTACCTTAACAAAAACTACTAGTTTTGTTTTCCCTTAGTTTCTACTACTAGTCAGCACTTATTTAATTTGTTGTCCAAACTTCTTAGGTGATTAACATAATAATGACTATTTTGTAAAATAAGACATGTTATTATGTTAAACATAGATAATATAGGGAATGAAATATTAGAGGTGGAGGAATCACCTGAACAAACTTTCCAAAACCATATCCTAGAGGAGATCCATGGTACAAAGCAAGAGTTGCACCAGATAGAAAGCATGAATATATTAGAGTTGGGCCCATCACCCATCCTAAATTTGTAGGCCAACAATATACATCTCCAGGTTGAATATCAATGAAAGACCATCCATCTGCAGATGTTCGTATCGGTGAAAGTTGAGTCCACGGAATTGCTTTTGGCTCCCCTGAGAAGCAACAATGGAACAAAAAAATCATTACAAAGGCAACTTTTTGCTCAATGTGTTTAGGGGAAAATCTTTACCTGTGGTTCCCGATGAGAAAAGTATGTTAGTAATAGAATCAATTGGTTGATAGAATGGAGAGTAGTGGGGTGACCTGCCAGAATTTAGATGTTATGAGACAAAACACAAGAAACAAGGCAATTTATCTCTCTTTCTGTTTTTTGGATTTTTAGTAGACTATTTTAGATTAGATAAATTATTAATGATTTAGATGAATATATAGCTTAATAGACACATTTTAACTTGCATTACCTGGGATGTTGTCTGCCAGAAGACAGAAAATCCTTCCATGATAAGTCATGTTCTCTTAATTTCACACCAAGATCATCACCTATCACAGGCAAAACAATGACTTTACATGCTGAAGCTGCCTCAACGACTCGACTGCAACGAAAAATAAGATGAATGAGGCCAGAAATGTTACCTAAAAGGAAAAGCCTTAAGTTTATCTAACATAAATTCAAACATGACTTCAAGAAAGCTTGAATTATTTCATCTTTTCAAGTTTTGCACGGTAAAATAGTTGAGAGTTGCCAACTCAAGTAAAGTAAGCAACAAACATTAATTAGGAAACTAGCATTCTAGAATTCAAAGTTTGGCCATTGGCCAATGAGAGGCAGTATTGTATTCATTTCTAACCAAAATCTATTGAGGAAAAGTTGTGCACATCAAAATGCCAAGAAAATAACATGCAAAATATGAGGCTATTCAAGTATAAGATTCAAAGAAGATATAGTAGAAGGGCCAAAATTATACTCAGATAGAAAAGGGTAGATAAATACTACACATCCATCTAGCAACTAAAAGAATTAGAATAGGTAATACACAAAAAGACTTAAAGAGTGGCTGAGATTGAGATATCATTTCTATTTTCAGAAGTGAAAAGCACAATTTGCTACAAAAATCATTCTTTGTGATTCTTTTTCTTAAATTTGAGCTTAACTTGATGGAATCCCTAAAACTGACATTTAAGGTGACTTCAGTCATATCTATGTCCATGTAAAATTTCAAAACACACTCCTTACACTCAGGATTTGACATCTAGAGCATAGAGATTATTGGACTGTTTTTTTTTACTGCATACAAAAAGTTGCGAGCGTAAGTAGATTGCACTGAAAAGGTTGCAAATCAGGTTAATTGCATTGGAGAAATTTGTGGGGCCAAGTTATATTTTTATAGTAAAGGATAACTCAATATCAAAGTTATGATAGATTCTAATACTATTTTAAATTGTATTTGAATCTAATTCAACTCCAAAAATTAACTTTCATGGTCAAAGGATTGTCTTAAATTTTATAAATTCTATTTTAGCCATATATATAGTTGATGTGAAATCTCAACACTACTAAATAACTAGACTCATGCCTATTACAAATTCATAAAAACAAATGCTACCAACACACTTTTTAAATCTATTTTTTGTTATTAATTAAAATTTATTAAATATCATAAAAATTATTTGGCAATGACTTTTTTAATTTAACGAGTCTCACTCATACATTTGTAATTTTTAATAAATTTCAATTAATTATTGAGAGTGTTAAAAAGAGTGTTTCTAGCACTTCTCACGCCAGAAAACAAACTGAAGTAGAAATGAGAAAAAGAAAACAGGGTCTATAAAAACAAGTCCCAAAATACATGTTTGATGATTTAACATCATTTACATTCAGCTTGACTCGTCTATTCTAACACAAAGACTTTTCTGTTCCATAATATATTGTTAGTTGTCCCAAATTTGCTCAATCATGGATTTGAAACCAAAAAACAATAATAGGAACATAACATTGAAAAGAAAACTTTAACAGATGATCATTAAGTAACATTAACAAATCTCGACTTGGCAATTATGCTAGAAGTTAAGGATAATGACAAATATAATTGACTTGTAAAGATTAAGATGCCAATTATCATCTTCTGACTAGATAGACTAGACGCGAGCATCATAGCTGTGCCCCTGGTAAATATGATTTTAATATTTCAACAAGTATAATGTTAACAAGTTTTTACCTGTACAAAGGGAATTTCCTGCCACCTCTTGATATGAAATCCTGAAACAAATTTAAGCTGAGTGAAATATAACGATCTTAATTTCATACCATGGAAGTTCATTTCGTTGTTTATATCAAATACCTAAATGTGAGGACAGCAATGATGAAGGTTGAATAGTTTGATCAACAATAGCTTTGCTATTATAGTCAAACTCAAGGTACCAAATATAAAGATTAAAGATCACCTGTGTGAAAATACCCTTTGCTTTAGAAACACGGAGGCGAGTTGCAATTTCCTTTGGTGCAAAGCTATCAGCTATTGATACAACAACACATCCTGCAAGAACAATGGCTAGATATATAATCACAGCATTGACTGTCATCTGCATGTCAATAGCGATTGGATCTCCCTTCGAGAATGTGGCATCTATTGCATTTGCTACCAACCTGGAAATAACATGGCAAACACGAGAAGAAGAATATAAAACATTTCATACCCTTTAAGAAAAAGTCAAGAAACCAGTAGTGTATGAGGATTAACATAAGCAAGAGAGTGAGTTGAAAAGCTTACATGACTTGTTGTCGGAGTTGTTGGAGCGTGATACGGTTAACCTCGGAATGATCAAAGCCCTCGTCTTTCCAAACGATGGCGACACTGTGATCGGGTCTGTAGGGGTGTGAGGAGGGTTGCAAGCAGCAGTCGGCAATGTTGAGGACAGAACCGGGAAGCCAAGTGCCTCCGTGTTTTGAGGGATCAGAAGTATCCAAAATGCAGTTGGGAGGTTGAACAAAGGAGAGTGAGAGTTCTTTGAGGATAAGGGACCAGTAGAGCTGAGGGTGTTGAACAGAGAAGCTCTGAAAGAGAGAATAACTACTAATGGGATCTTTGTAGGAGGCTCCTAAAAGCCTAGGGGCGTGAGTTTCCATGAGACGACCCAGGTTGGTGCGTTTGGACTGCTCTCTGCATAAAAAAGTGGATTTTTATGAGAAAGATGTGATATGAGATGAGAATAAGCAAAAGAAAGACTTACAGAGAAGGGAACCAATAAAGGGGTGGGAGAGCATCTGCATGGTGGGAATGGAAAGCAGAGTGATAGACAGAGTAGTAGAGAAGCTGATGCAAGGGATGTGGGTAGGATGGTTTCAACACTCTGCGACTCACAAGTTGGCGCCATATGTCTGAGGGTTGGGATGCTGATAGGGAGAGGATTTCCCTCAAGACGCCGTACAAATCGTTGGCTTCTGACGCAGTTAAGCCAGCCTTCACTAAGTCTTCAACTCCCAATTCTCTTACGCTCTTACCCATCTCTCTCTCTTTCTCTGTGTGTGTGTGTGTTAGACAGAGAGAGTTGGAACATTATCGAATGGAAGTGGTAGTTGAATATGAGGCCACCAAGTTGACAACGCAGACGCAGTGCCTTGGCATCACCTAACACTGTGAGGGGGTAGGTGACAACTGAATAGGTAGGCGTTCCAAAGTGAAATTAGATAAACAAAGAATAGTACAACAGACATGTCCTTACTGTGTTTCATGTCAACAGAATAGTAAAATTCATTTTCCTATTTAGGGTTATTTTTACCATGTCATTTTAATTATTGCATGCTACATTTTGACCACTTATGCTTGCAATTTTACCAACTTCATAACTAATTTCGTCCTGCATCTTATGATACCAATTTTTCATATTTCGTAATTAGTTTGATATACTATGACAAGTTGAACATCATTTCGGCGGTTTATAAATTATAAATTTAGTTTAATGTCACACTGTTTACTTTTTATTTTTGAAAATTAAAATATCACCATATTAGTAAATATTTTACATTAAACAATATTTTCTATTATCGTATATTTGGTTATATTATGGACCAAAAATAAATTATTATTTTAGAAATTTAATTTAATTTGATAATATTATAATTTAATTTAATATAACCTAAGTAACAAAAAAATATCACAGGCAAATAATCAAAACTTATTTGTTATTACCACACATGACTGCATGAGATTTGCCGTAGTCAAATAACATATTTTGAGCAAAGTAGAAGCCACCTTTGTGACGATTCACTCAAAGCTTTGGTTTCCCACTTCACTGGGTCGAGACGTGAATCTATGCCTCAGCCTTCGTAACCATTCCCAGATTGAGCCCTCCCACCAAATTCGCAAATCAAACCCTAATCTATTTTCCCCAAATCTGTAACTGAACCTGAATCTAATCTAAGCGTGCGTTTGCATTCCAGCTTCGTTCAGGTTCATGTTCTCTCTATTGCTGGAGAGCTACTATATTCAGTATTTTGTTTATTATGCCTTGCTATTTTGCCTGTCATCTTCTGCTTTATATTTGCTTTAAAACATTGTAGATATCTAGCATGAATCAATCTGATACTGATCTGTTGCTGTTAATATAATTACAAGATACACTACACAGTACACACACACGTTGCAATCAAGTTTGTTTATATATTCAAATGCACTTATTAACTACCAATTATAAATTATTAGAATGTTGAAACAAGAAATTTGTTTTCACCATTTTCGAAATACTTAAAACAAGCAACAGTGTGGAATTTGGTTAGTCCATTTGTCCGAGATGGTCGAAGTGGGAAGGCAAGTTTCTGATGAGAATTGTTAATAGAAAATGGATATTTTTAGCATTGCTTCTTGCCCTGTTTGAATTTTGAAGCTTTCTATTTTCTTTTCCTTTTTCCATGGTCTGTAACTTAAGATGATTAGAGATATCGTTTTTGTTTTCAATAATGGATAAACTGTACTGGGGCTTGATGGAATTTTTTAAGGCACGGATTTTGCCTGGGATGACAAATTTATTAGAATAGCTTGCAGTACATGTATGACAAACTTGCATGGCAATGTTCACAGCCCTTACTCATACACCGAATAACTAATGCTTTAGATTCTGTTATTGTTTTATTGTTGCTCATTATTGTGTGTTCTTATTTACATGCCTTTCTGTTTGGATTTATCTTCTCCCATTGTTTAACGTTAGCACCCTTGTTTCCATGATTCGTATCATATCTGATTTTCAGCCACTTGACTTCTAGTTTTTCTTTATATATAAAACTATGAGTACATGATTTGTAACTATCTTATATGCTTCTCTATCATATTTTCTTTAGACTTTGTTTGAAAGGGAGGGAGATGAATCATGTCATAGTTATCCTTGTTTGGAAGTTTTTAGATGAAAGAGGGAGGGTTTTTTCCATTCTAGTTTCTCTAAACTCTCAAACAAAGGAGAAACTTTTACTTTCCTTTCGATTTTGAATACCTCGTATGTTAGTTTCTCTCACACACCTTAATATCTTCATCTCTAGGACACTTTCTTCCAATTTGTCTAACATTTTATATCATGCAGTACTGTGCCTATAACATATTCTCCAAATTTCCTACAAATATTTCCTTTCAGGATATGCCTAAATGGACATGTACAAAACTCAGTTTAAACATTATAGGCATTACTATTTGAATCATGCAAGTCTTCAAGCTTCTGTGACTATAACATATTCTGCAAATCTCTCATTTATGACGTGTATAATTTTAACTAGTCCCGACTGCTTTGTGACACACAAATTTTTTACAATTAATGAAAAAAAAGTTACATATCACAGTATGTGCGGTCGGGACTTATCCAAAAATTTCTCCTTTCCTCTTAGGGCCTGGGTGATTTTAGGTTGTAACGGATAAATACACATTTTAAAGTAATATCATCAATCAATCGCCAGTCTTTTCATCTTATTAATTAAGAGAAATGCTTGTTAGTATGATCGAAAGCTATACAGAACAATTTTATTAAAAATTGTAAAAAGGGGGTACATTAATAATATTTTGTAAATGAAAAAAAAATAATTCTTTAACTAGTGTATTTAAAGGCATTCTTTAGCACTTGTTATTTTTTAATTTATTTATTCTTGAACTTAATTACATTCTCTAGTTTTTTTTACTGGCCACATTTTGAAAACTTTTAATGATCTCTTTGGCAAGGAATTTTATAGTTTTAATGAAGCATTTGTTATGTTTTATCTATTTTGTCCTTAATAAATGGAGTTGGCAGGAACTTACATTAAAATTAAAAAGAATAAATATTGATGGTGAGATTAAGTGTAAAGATATTAAATGAGCTGTAAAATTGCATTGTTAACTTGTTATAATTCTTAAAAAAAAAAAAAGCAAACTAACTTTACCTATTTTTATTAGATTCTATAATTTAATTAAAAGCTCTTTATAAAAATATCAGAAAGAATCTTTACAATCTAATAAATTATAAACACGCCAATTTGTGTAAACTTTGTTTGTGTATTTGGATTGAATTATTTTGATTGATTATTTGAAAAAATCTATCTAAACAATATGTTAAATCTTATATGATAATTTTCAAAAAATTAATGATGATTTTTAATAATTTTATTTTATAAAAACATAATTTATTTTAAATAATTAAAATTTATTAATTTATTTTTATTTTATTTTAATAATTAATTATTTTAAATATAAAATTAACTTATTAAACATAATATTATGTATTTTTTTGGGTAATTTGGCTCACTCCAAACCAAAGGAAGTGAATTTTGGTGCAATATTATTAGTGGCATGGAATAATAATATGGAGAAAAAGAAGAATATTATTATTAATAAATTGTTGTGTGTGGAGAGAAGAGGTGAGACGATGATATCGGGGGGAGGAAGATCGTCAACATCGTCGTGGGTAGCGACGACATCGGTGTCGGCATCTGGAAAGAGGATTCAGAGGGAAATGGTGGAACTTAACAACGACCCTCCTCCCCATTGCTCTGCTGGGCCCAAAGGCGATAACCTCTATCACTGGATTGCCACGATTATGGGTACCCCGGGTATGTGTAGTTGTAGCCATGTAACAATTCCAAACCCTAGCAGTAGCCCCAATCATTCTTCAACTTATTTCTTTAATTTTTTTAGGAACTCCATACCAAGGTGGCATTTTCTTCCTTGACATCATTTTTCCTACTGATTATCCCTTCAACCCTCCACAGGTACGAACATAGGTTGGGATTTTTATACTTTCTTACATTATATAGATTAAAGAATTAAGGTTTCAGGTAATTTTCAAAACTCGCATTTACCACTGCAACGTAGACCTTGATGGCCATGTTAGTATGAGATTATTGAAGGATGATTGGAGTCCAGCACTAACAATTACTAAGGTCCTACTTGCTGTTAGATCAATTTTTACTAATCCTGACCCTTGTAAGTTCATCCACTCAATCCTATTCTAAATAATTTTCTCTAGGTCATGGTGATTCATGACGGTTTGCATGTTTGTTCAAAACATTTTACTTTCAAATTTAGCAGAAGGGGCAAAACTTGTCTTAATTATGTGCCCTCTCTGGGAGAAGCAACATGTTTTTACAGGACACCAATTAATGTTTCTGTCTTTTGAAACTTTTGATTCAGTTGACTTAAGAGCCTGTTTGGTAAATACTTTCTATTTTCACTTCCTATTTTTACAAATAATTATATAAATGTGACCTTATTTTCGCTTAATTTTATATTTTCAAAGATTTACACAAAATAGCTGCATGTTTTAAAATCGGCTTTTAATTTTAATGGAAATCTTTGAAAACAATCAAGCAATATTTGCGAAAAACCATTTTCTCCCAACCAAATATCAAACAGACATTTTTTTTTCATCTTGGAAAATCGTTGCAGATAATGCAGTTGTACCTGGCATTGCTCACTTGTATTTGGGAGACAGGGAGAAACATGATGACATTGCTGCAGAGTGGACTGTTCGATTTGCCAAGTAAATATGATACAAGAGGCCTTTGACTGGCTTACACCTTAGATATCGTGTTTCAATATTCATGTAAATGAGAATGATAGTGAGGGTTAACCTTACAATTGTTTAGACTTAAAACGAATTTTAAGATAAAACTAGTTAGCACTATTGAACATATATTTCAAAGTTTCGAAAGATATTGATCTTTGGCACTTTCCATTTTAAACTGTCGTCCATTTAATAACTTAATGTATATATCTTAAGAAAATTTATTAATTATATAAATTATTGTGGAAAATTGTCGTCTTTGGTTGAAATAACCTTGTTGAAAGAATAAGGTGTAGCGTAGACGTGTAGTTATAAATTAATTAAGTGAGATAGTGATAAAGAAAAAAGAATTTTTTTGGAGAAAATAATTAATACTTTTTTTTTAATTTTTAATTTCACCAATATTTTGAAATAAACCAAGATTCTTAAAGAGATAGATAATTTGCAATCAAGGGAATAAGATTTTATTAATTTTAGTTTTGAAAAAATTATTCTGCTAAAGTTACTTCAATTGTAAACATTATTTTTTAAGTAAGCCATTCATTTAGAAGAGTAAACATAAAAGAAATGGTAAAAGAAAAATGTCATCGAGGCAATAAATAGTGGTGGGTGTATGGACCTTAGACTTGTCAAAGTGAGCCGACTTTAATATTTACACTAAATTTTAACTGTAGAAATTAAATAATTTAACGGGTGAAAAGTTTTTATGTATATATTTTAAGTAATTTTTTAATTGTTAAATAATTTAATTTATATAATTGAAATTTAAGATAAGTCTTCTAGACTTATACTTGATATCAATGGATTCTATCTCAAATTTAAAATGTATATTTCTCCGTTACAACCTACGAATGTTCAACTCTTTAAGGAAAGAATGTTCAACGCAGCAAATGTGATTCAAAATTTATACCCACATATTTGGTTATTTTCAGTGAAAAAAAGCCCACAAGTATATGTTGCCAAAAATATACTCATAATTTGGTATTTTATTATCACTTTGACAATATTTATATACTCGGTGTATTAGAATCACTTTTCATGTTCAAGTTTTCAATCATAAATCAATTTACTCAAACAGACAAGTAAAATCTACTTGACAAAATCAAGTATATCAAGGCAAATGAAATGTTTGTTGTGTTAGTTATTCTGAATTGAGTGGACAAACACATTTTAAGTTGAAGCCATAGAAACAAGCACACTTGCAACTGGGTATTCAAGTATTCAACCACAAGAATGTTAGATCAACATGGGTTGCTAAAAGGTGCTAGAAAAATTTGGGTGTCAAAAAAATAAAAACCAAGTTGAATGAGATCATTGCAGGGGATACAAAACAAATACTCTGTTGGAATAACAGTCTACAGAAGACTTCAGTATTTTACAGATGGCAAAAACACAGACATGTCATTGACATCATCAAGGCAGTAAACATGGATACATGGTATCCTGTCAAGGAATTTCAGAATTTGAGTAATAGAATCCAAATTCAGTTTGACAGGTAATGGGAATGATAATAGGGTTTCAAATAATTTTTACTGTCTTTGAACTGGGATTCGTTTTGAATCACTACCGGTATTACTAGTATATGTATATCATATGAAATAGTGGATAGCAGCAATACTGTCATATATGTAAACCTTTCCCTGTAGACACTTGTCAGTGAATAGAGTCAATTCCATAAAAACAGCAGAATTTTTAAATTGGAGTGAATCAATTATAAAGAAAACTCAATTTCCCTTGTACCCTGCTAAAAGATAACGATTGAAGGTTGAAATCAGAATACCATTACAAAATTAGAAATGGCATATAACAACTTGATATTCCAAATTGTTGTTGAGAATTGGATGCGGTTCTAATCAGCGCTAACCTTGTTCTGAAGACTTGAGTTACTAAGAATTAGAACACCAATGATTATAAGAAGGGCACCTGCAAACCACTGGAAAGAGAGGGATTCGTGAAAGAAGAAGTAACCGGCGAGACCGGAAGAGATGAAATTGGTAGCGAAATTGGTGACAGTTGCTTGAAGAGAAGAGAGAGCTTTGAGGCTATTGACATAAGAAGCCCACATCGTGAGATTGAAGAACAACACCAAACCGTACCTGACAAAGTGGTGAACGGAGAGCTTTGCGGAAATGGCTGCAAGACCCGCATTCAAACCTGCGCATACTGCCCAACCGTACCCCTTTCTCTCCATCTTCCGATCCGATCGATGATATAACCAAAAACAAATTATACTTAAAATACAAAGGGAAATCGTCACTCTTAGGAATTTTAAAATGAATATTCAAATAGCCCAACTTAAATAAATTTCTAAATAAATATTTATGCGAGAAGAAATAATAAGGTAAAATGATTAGTTTTTTAAGAAAATAAATCAAGCTATGGTCATTATCCTATAAAAAAATTTAAACGAGCGAATTTTAAAAAAAATAAATAAATTAATTAATTTTTACTTATAAAAAAGACTTTACTCATTAAAAAAAAAAAAAACTTTCCATTAACACCCTATAAACAATAACAACTAAAGAACCTGCTTTAAATATAGCTAACACAACAATCCTTATATCACCCCCATTTTTTAGTACTTTTACATTGTTTTAGGCACCAAAAACATTCTTCCATCACCATGCTTAAAAATCACAATGCTCGACTCTCCTATTAGTTATATGTTATGTATGTACACAATATCAATTGTTCAATTTTTCATAGTTGTATGTACGTAACTGTGGAAGGCATTAAAGGTAGTTTGCGACTTTGTATGAAAACGAAAGACCAGAAACAACAGGAAGAGGGTAAAAGGAAGAATGAGAAAGAAGAAAGTCATATTAAATGGTAACATTTTGAGACTCAATTAACATTGAACGCCTTTAAAGGTGGATGCCCCGGTTGAGTGGGAAGATGAAGGCAACAACTACGATAAATTAGAGCAAAATTTCAGAGAAATAAAATAAATAAATGTCCCAAGCCCGAACTGAAATTTATACTAAATTCAGAAGACAAAAATATTATTTTTGAATAAAAACTCTTTCTCGTAAAGAAAAACCATTCTTGCATGGACTACGTTCTTACAGACACTTCAGGGTCCCACATAATAATATAAGCTATTAATAATTCGTTGGGCTCATGCTAATTATTCTTAAAGTTCAAATATATCCGCCTTCATTCTTGGTAGTTCGAATAAATTGTATGTAAATTTAAATAACAATAAGCTTAAGAAACCGGTGGATAGGAAAAAGGCTATTCTAATTTTTATTTTATTTTTTTCAATCCAAACAGAGGTCAGAGAAGGTAAAAACGATACAAAGGCATCATTACTTCAAGGCTCTGTATACGGTTTGTCTCCTCCAGCTAAAGCACTAAATTAAGCTACCACCTATCTTAAGAGAGATAAATTAGGATGACCCCAAAATGCACAGGATGGGACATATCTGTGAAGAATAAAATGGACCAAAGAAAAGTTGGAATCGACATCGATGAAAACTACATGACACGAATCATTGAATAGCAAATTAAAGTGCATCGACCTTTTGGTCATAACACTACCAGAGTCAAAAATACCCCAAATGCAGACATCAAAAACTTAAGGCACACTTGCAGGTTCAAACTTGCACCAAAGGGGCTTGAAGGTCCAAGTGCCGTAGGAGGTAAACTCAATTCACCAGTGCTCGAGTTAGAACTGTTGTCAAAATATTCCGTAACCAGTTAAGAATTTTTGAAAAGTAACAATTAATTCTAAGTCTAATAACTCGAGGATGTATTAAGATTAAGATTCTATACCTTCCGGCAAATATACAGGATGAATAACCTGCAATAAAGTACACAGAATTAATTGGTTAAGTAACTTCGACAAACCCTCAACAAAAGGAAACATTTCGGCAATAAAAACCATTGAATGGAATACAAACCCAGACTAGTACTAGTACGATGCTACTTGAAAGTGTCCACCACTAGTTTCTCAGTTACGCAATCCAAGTTTTATCAGTTTCAGGTTGTAGTAAGATATTAATGGTAGCCTAGTTAGTTGGGCTCACGAAGTTTCAATAGGTCTTATATCTGGGACCTGAGGATCACAAATACTACCATTGCCAAAACCAAAGATCTGAAACTCTATAAAAAAATCAAAGAGGTGAGTGGTCTGAACACCAAGCCTTACGGGTAAGAAACCAGCCCCAATGTCAGATTTAAGGGGAAACATCAATACTAATACACTAATACTGCTACTGACCCAAGACCTAGGCTCTGAGGCATTTCTATAGACCATGTTAATACATAATTGAAGTGCAATACACTGACATTATCACTCCAACTCACTATTATCAAGAAATGGAACTGGATCCAGTGATAATTTTGCATTACTTTATGATCAAAGAAATAAAAAGCTAATGGAAGACAGGACCTGTACTTTTAAGTAAGGTCACTAAAATTCATGTGATGGGGCAATGATGGTAACTAAATTCAATTTGCACTGTACAAACCTACAGCTTTACACATTCATACGAAGATTCAAAGATTATTTATATAACAGGGTGAAATTTACAAAATCACATAGAAAATCCCACATTTTTTGCAAGTAATCTGTGCAAAGCACTTTATATAGCAAGTACTTTACAAAACCCCAATTAAAAGTAGTTTTTCCATATAATGAATTAGACATATTTAAAGCTATGCCATTAACCCATCAAACAAAAAGATATAGAATGTAACTAATAACATTTTTATTAAACAGGATCTTCAGGTTCAAATCAAAACAAAGTGCAACTGTTTTCTTTCCCTGCTAACATGACGAATAGAGACATGGCACCAACAATAGACTTCAGAATCCATAATTTTATCATCCAGTCATGTTTTGAAGAAGGGAAGGTATGCCCTAGTACTAATTTAACCTTCAGTAAAGGTATACGCATGAAATTTGAAAATCACACTGGTATCTGCCTATGACTTGAATAGTTATTATAACCCAATGGCTTTCTTGGACCATTGGTCCTTCAAATAGAGACAGCAACCAGTGAATTTAAAATCTATGATTTACTCCCTAGGGCTGTTTTTAAAAAGGAAGAGGTGTCATCAAATTCCTACAACTGTTAGAAAGTGTGCAATCAGCACATAAAAGAGGTTTATATATGTGAGTAAATATCCAGAGAACTAACAAGAATACCATACCAGAAGATCTGAGTTAAAAATAGAAATAAGAAGTCATATAAACTTACTAGGATCCTTGATAGTAGTTGTAGCAGTACCATCAAAGTCACAAGTTCCACCACTAGTATGCTTTTTTTGATAATAATCATTATAAGCATAAGAAGCATGGCTTTTCAGATTATTGGGGAGATAGCATGGCTGCCCTTGTTGAATTGCAGCACAGTTTGCTCCGCCTTGTCCACAAGCCCAGCTCAGGCCAGCTTGCAGCTTATCAGTGTCTGCTCCATCTTTAGCCACACAAAAAACTCCTGAGGAATTTCCAGTAATCTGACCAGAAGCACTAAAACTCAAAGGATAAACAGTACTTCCATTAGTATAAAAGATGCCCCAATTTTTTTCTGATATAGGACCATTCCTCTTGTCTTCATTAAACAATTCATATATGTATGAATTAATGCCTATGTTTGGTTGACTAGGAGGACCAGAATCATTGAGGACCCGCTGAATCATATTATTATTGTATGTCTCGGCATTTTCTACAGTAGCATCAGGTTCATTTGCCCCTCCAAACCATGGCCAGCCCGTTTCTGTGACAACAATGGGTATGTTGTTGAAATTTAAGGCTTCTATGGAGTAATAGGTAGCATCCAACATAGCATCAAACATACTGTTATAATGAAATAGAGTGTTTGGGTCAACAATTTGCTTCACTGAAGGAAGAGGTCGGAAAAGAGCATATTCAATGGGGAAAATGCCATCTCCTTTAGTGTATCCATAATAAGGGTAGGCATTTAACATGTAGGAGGAATTGGTGTTCTTCAAAAACTGAAGGAGTTGGTAGATAGTAGAGTTCCACGAAGAGTTAAAGGTAGCAGTGGAAGGAGGAAAGGGCCTAGGGATAATATCCATAGACTGGGGAGTTGAAACTTTGACCCGGAAGTTAAGGTTTGCAGCAACCAGGGCTTTGTGAAGAGAATTCATGGCAGGAACCAGAACAGGGGCAACATTTGGGATTGTGGAAAGAACCTCGCTGCCAACTGCTATTGCAGTAATATTGGTGGATGGCACATAAGCAACAACATTTTTATTAATCCAGGCAGCAGCTGCAGATGGAGATTCTCCAATCCTCAGTACCTCCTCATTAGTGACACCAACAATTACTTCAATACTGGAGTTTGAAAGGGCTTGCAGTAAGTGCGCATTTGCATCATACAAACGCACATGAGTAATTTGATTAGATTTTAGAATAGCAACCACATTTGAAGCAGATGGCATATCAGAAACATCAGTGCCAATATTTACCCCCACAAATGCACCTACAAGTTCAACAATTTGACCCAGCATCAACTCAAAAAATATAATAGACGTTCAATTAGTAACTGCAAAAGTAGGAAGAACAACGACATAGCAGACTGTTGAGATAGACAAAAATAAACAGAGTTACAAATTACCAAATGTAGTGGTTAGCATAGCAATAGTGAGCAACAGAACACTCGCAAGGCATCTTTCAAGCTTCATCACATCCAATATGACCTCAGTGAGCAAGTACAGCCCAGCAAAGCCTCAGCTACCAAACTTTGGCAATAAAAAAAAATCACATTTTGAGCAACTCAAATTACCAAAATAATAATAATAATTAAAAATGTCCGGCAGTCGGTTGAAAAATAATAATAGATGTAGAATCTTCCATGCATTTATGTGCCCTAATATGAAATGGACATAGACGAAATCAAATGCAGTAAGAACATGGTTATCGTGGGAAATTAAAATAACTGTACTACAAGTATTTATGAAGCATTGGATTTGGGAGGAACCAAATAAGTAAAAGAGTTAATATATATTTCTTAAAATGGAAAAGAGAGAGATTCTTTAATTAGAAATGCATAAGGGAGAATGGGAGGCATAACCTAACCTGAACCTCACTGCGAGTGGCAAACAAAGAAACGCGAAGTAAAGAGTAAATGGGTAGTAAGGAGTGCATACTTTGATCTAAACAATGAACAGTGTGAGTGTTGGTGTTGAGTAGCTAAGTAGAAACCCAGAAGCGAAGATGATGAATTGAAGGCGTAGTTATTACTATCAGAAGCAGAAGGAGCAGTGAGTTGGCGAATGGCGAAAGGGAGAGTGAAGAGACCACAATGCTAAGTCCCACTCACTTTAAAGTTATTACATTCCGACAATAGCACATCTACATCCTTGCCGTTTGCTTTGCCCTATCCTACCCCTTTCACGTTTTTAAATATTTCATTTTAGCATTTATTTTATTTTATTTTTTAATTGATTTTTTTAATCTTTATTTTCTTATAAATTTTATTTTTAGTTCTTAACAATAATTTAATTTATTAAAATATTTTCATGTATCAATTTTTTATTTGACCATGTCAATATTAAAAGTTAAAAATAAAAAATTATAAAAAAATAAAAACTGAAATAAAAAAATTATTTAAATGACCTAAAACTAAAAATTCATTAAAATACGATGACTGAAAATATATTTAAATTTTTAAAATATTTTGCATTAGAAGAAAACATTTTCTTGATCTGGAGTAATATTTTACATGTGATCAAAAAATGTTATTAAAAAATCATACTTTTTATGTCAAGTAGTGCTTTTAAAATCAGTATAAAGAAATGGCATATAGTAGACAAAATAAGCAAAAGACCAACAAAAGGACATTGACGAAAAACAAACAAAATTGCAAAAGGTTAAGTTGTAAATTGAAGAAAAAAAATATGAAATAAAAATATTCGTGACTTATAGATGGGAAAACAATATATTAGAATCAGAATGTCGTAGCAGTGACTTAAAATGTTAATTATGCTATAATTAATTAAAATAATTTAATATTAGTTAAAGAAAATAAATATGTTTTTAAATGAACATGTGTAAAAAATAAAATAAAATGCTAGTTTAATTAATATAAAAGTTTAAAAAATCGTAAAATTTTATAAATGTGTAATTATTAAAATAAAACATGTTTTACTGTCAAAAAGAAAATTTGCTAATTATATATGATGAGTTACCTAAAGTTGTATTCAGATGAAGTAACTAAAAAATGTAAATTACATCGTTTAAAATTTGATTATTATGAAATATTTTGTTTAGGTAAAATAATTGAATTTCTTTTATTTTAGATTTTTTTTGGATAAAGTAGTTAAATTACTTACATTCTTTAAAAAATATTATTGCTACATTTGATAAGATTGATTAAAAATATGAAATTAAAAATATAAATTAATTATAATTAAATAAAAACTTGAATGAAACAAAAAATAAATGAAAAAAAATATTTTTTCGTTATTTGTTATAATTTATATATTTTTTATTTTAGTATATTAAAAAAATCTACTAAAATTCTTAACTTCTTTGTTAAATTATATATCAAAACAAGAAAATTTAACCTATGAAATTAAAAAAAAAAATAATAATTACTCACTTGAAGCATTTTATCAAACACAAGTTTGAATCAATTAAATATTGGTTCTATCATCGATGAATAAAAACTAGAGCACAGAGCATATATTGTAGAATAAGAGAATTGAAAAAGATAACTTAGCCTTTTCACATTGAAATTGATAAGGCAAGGCTTCTTCCTCCTTAGTTCGCTCTGTATATGTAGTTTATTCTCCTCACATGTAGTGAGTACCTTTGTTTGTAAAGTGTATCTAACTTTCTTTCTTTGTCGAGCTTCTATGGTTGCTAACCTTCCTATGCTCAGAAAGAGAGATTGAAAGAAGGTTGGATATGATATTAAGATCAGTTCTATTAAGCATGCTCGAGTAACCTCACCATATGGACCTCTAACTATTTATTTATTTTTTCTAAGCATCATTTTAGCAATGTTGTGATTTTTTGTTTTTATTTTTTATTTTTCTTGAAACTTAATATTATCGTGATGTAGCAAAGAACTTTCAAAAGAAAGGCCCGTTACAAAAAGAAGAGTCAATAGGAAAAAATGATGTGACCCATATTCACTGGATTAAAGGCTTGCTACTTCACTTTGATTTAAGTCTTGAAAAATGTATTTCATAAATACTTTAGTTAGATTCATATTTCAATGGGTTTAAAAGCACAAACTTATTTCAATGGGTTATAAAAATGTATTAATATGAACTAATTCCAAACTTTGTTTTAATTCATAAGATTTCATTTGTTCACTCCTACTTAAATCTTCTCTTTTATTTTTTTTCTCTTTCTTCTTACACTTTAAAAGTGATGATGAGATAGAAGTTACTTTTTGCAAGCTATGTTTTTCTTTTTATACTACTTATGTCAATTAAAATTTTTATAACTTATATTTCTAAATCATCATGATCTTCAACATTAATATCTCTCTTAAACAATCATGTAATGCAAAATAACTTAAGCTTAGCTCCTTATTTTTTATAACAGTGACTCTATTAAAACACTTCCTTCGATCAATAACGAAGTAGATGCCAATATTAAGGTATCCATATCCACAGATAACTGTACACACAAAATTAACAAAATATTATTCTATTTTTAAAACTTAAATAGTTTATTTTAATTATTCTATTTTATTATTTAATAAATATTCACAGACATCCATAAATACCTACGGATGATAGTAATCCGTTTTAAATAAGGCAGTCACATGAAAAAAAGGGAAATTTTTTTTTACTGAATATTTATGAACAAAAAGAAGGGAAGAGCGAGAGATTGAAAGAGAAAACTAACACCGAAGTTGAGATGGTAATTGCGAAAAAAAAGTAGGAAAGCAAACAGAAAAAAGCGGATGTTTTGATTAGTTGGGCTCTTCTATAGTCCGCATTAGGCCCAACCCCAATTTGACATTTTATGTGAAAAAAACCCTAGAATAGACGTTAATGAATAGAAAACCCTAGACGCAGCGCTTATATATACTACTCTAATCCCAACCTCTTCATCAAGTTAGTTCAGCGAAAATGGCTGTGCCCTTACTCTCGAAGAAGATCGTGAAGAAGAGGGTCAAGAAGTTTAAGAGGCCTCAGAGCGGCCGCAAGATATCCGTCAAGGTATATCTTATACTGATTATTCGATATACACTCTTTCTTAGTTGATTTTATTCGGAAAAAGTAGGGCCATGTTGTTTGAGCAAGTGATTTTGTGGTATTACCCTGATGTTTAATTGCATCGTAAAGTTGTCATTTTTTTTAAAGATTGTTAGCATTCATTTCATCATATTGTAGCGGTGCTTATAATGGACATGATGATAGTGTTTGTCGCCCCAGTCTTAATTTGCACTACAAGGTGTAAGATGGTGATTGACATTTTATCTGATCCTGCTATTTTGAATTTTTGGTTCGGTATTTATTGTAACTTGTAATATATTTTTCCTTGTTTTTTATTTTTCTCACGATTCCCTTTTTGATATTTCAGTTGATGTTTTCGTTCCAATGGGATATGAGGATACGTTTTTGACACCCAGTCTTACTATGATACTATCTGTTTTTATAGGTGGTGAAAGATCGACTATCTGATCCCATATTATATATCACAATTGTCTGTTTTGTACGGTTGGAAGTGTTTTTTCAATAATCGTTTCAATTGGGTCTTTTGTTTGCTAGGGTTTCTTTCTTTTGGTTTTTGTTTTAATTTGTGAATGGGATTTGATGACAAGTTTTTTTTGACACCCAGTCTTACTTGCTCCGTTGGTGCATTCTGGTGAAATAATAACTGTCTGATCCCTTTTTCTGGGATTTTTCTTTCATCTACTTCGTCACTTTGATTTTTCGTTTTACCATTTAACTCAACCTGCTAGTGTTTTTTTAATAATTCCCCCCTAATATATGTTTTTGTTATGAAATGCAAAGAGATATGATGATCTTTATCCATCAATTCTGCAATAGAATGATGATTTCAAACATGCACTACCATCTGATCTCTTGCTTTTTTTTCTTATATTATTGTTGAATGTTAATTACCAATTGTCTCCGACTAAATTGTGATTATTAACCTAAAGTTATTGTATTTTTGTGGAGTTAGCAATTATAGGTTCTTATTTTGTTAAATGTTTCGTTTTGGTGGTTGTATTGTGCTTCAATGTAACCGTGTGTAATTGCCCATGGTATCTGATGTCCAGAGTTTGGACTTTTGTGTTCTTGTAGCTGGACATTTCGTTTGAAGGGCATACATAGATTTTATACAGGTCTTGCGACACAGCTGGCTTTCTTCAATTCAAGCCTTCTGTTACTATTTCCCTGTTTACATCATGAATGGTAGATATTAGTTCACGGTTTTTTGTTTGAAATAAAGATTATTGTTCATGTTAAGAACCCTTTTAAATCTAATATAATGTTGACCTTAATTACTTTTTTTTTTTACTAATTGAAAATTGTCTGCTCGCAATCTGTGATGACATTTCTGTAATATTCTGATTGAATGTGATTATTATCCTTCAAATCACCATCTTTCGGCTGAGATTGCAGATAAAGGTTGTTATTTTTAATGAAATTATTATCTTGGCGTGTACAAACTACTACTACTTTTTGCCCATGGTATCTGATGTCCTGAATTATTGTGTAGTAACTGGACATTTCGTTTTAAGGGCATATATTGATTTCAAACAGATCTTGCGACATAGCTGGCTTACTTTCAACATAAGCCTTCTGTTACTATTTGCCTGTTTACATCTTGAACTGTACGTCTTACATCATAATCCTTTTTTTTTTTTTTATTATGAAAGGAATACGAAAATTTAGTAGTTTTTTGGCGGTTCCGGTAATTCTAGTTCTTAGTTACCTTGTTGATATTTTGATTGTAGAATGGGTTGCTTTTCTTCTAACCTGATCTTATTGTTTTAAATTGAGTTCTTAATTCACGTTAAATATATTCTACAGCCAAGCTGGCGCAGACCAAAGGGTATAGATTCTCGTGTTAGGAGAAAGTTCAAAGGATGTGCTTTGATGCCAAACATTGGTTACGGTTCAGACAAAAAGACTCGCCACTATCTCCCAAATGGTTTCAAAAAATTTGTGGTTCACAATGCGAAAGAATTAGAATTGCTCATGATGCACAACAGGTAGGAATTTCGGCCCAAATTGATTTGTGAATTTTACTGCTTCATTTTCTTATGAACTGTCTTTATTTTAGGACATACTGCGCTGAGATTGCACATAATGTATCCACAAGAAAGAGAAAGGAAATTGTCGAGAGAGCTGCCCAACTTGATGTAGTTGTAACAAACAAAACAGCCAGACTACGCAGCCAGGAGGATGAATAATCTGATTGACTGTGGATGTTAGTCAAGTCACCCGCGTTTGTAGTAATGCTATTAGGTCTTGATAATTTTTATTTATTTAGTGGCAAATTGTAGCATGATATACTATTTTACTATGCTATTGATTTTTGTAACCTGCTGTCTGAATGTAGTTGGGGTTTTGGCGATGGACCATGTTCCAGATAATAGCCTGTTCAAAGAATATTCTTTTGTAACTAGTTGTCATTGGCTTGTCTCAATGTTCAGGAGTAATACGGAGATTACGTTTTTTGTAATTTAAACCAAAATAAGGAAAACAGATGTTTTCTCAAATCAACTACAAACTACATTTGAACAGCGTATGATTTAGGGACTGAAACGTCGATATGATTGGGCAGGAAAATAAGATAAAAAGACCAGGGTAAGAAATCTTATTTTATGTTTAATCAATGAGACATGCTTATTATATCTTAATAAATAAACCGAATTTTAAGAACGGATTGTAGAGACTAATTTTTATCACTTAAACACATTTTATGAGATTGTTTGGAACTATTATTCTTCTAAGATTACATAATTCAAAAGCGTATTCTTCTAAGATAACATGAGAAATTGTTATATCATATGATTAAATAACACCTTTATTGACGATGATTTAATTATATCGTTTGTTACAATCAATTGTATTAAGACATCTACAATTAAAAAATAAATTAGGAATTTTTTATATAAAGAAGTAAAAAATTGAAGTGTTAGTTAAGCAATTTGGCTTATTAAATGAAACCGCTAAATTGTTTGGAGCTATTGTTCATATATTTCCATGAGAGGACTCACCAACCGTTCAAGCACGATTAAAGACCTGCCACCCGTTACTGTTCTAACTTGATTAAGACGTGACACCCATTTATTTTTGGTCCTTTTGATGATCCATTTGTATGCTTTTGATGCGAGTGTTGCACCGGCTTAACTATGTTTGGCAGTATAGCACTGTATGGTCCCGCCGACGTGGATTTGTCACACGAACACCACGTATGCTGTGAAGTTTGGGTACACAATTTTAAACATCACATCTGGGGGCTTCTTGGTGACACAAGAACAGACGAACAACACGTTGAAACAGGAAACAAGATTTACAGTTTGGATAGTTTGACGAAGATCTGAACGAAGGTTTCCTCCACTAGGAATACAGTCATGTCCGAAGGGTGCGGAGGACCTTCCTTTAAGCAGGAGGAAATGTTGTAGTGTCCTGTTTGTTCCATTGCAAAGTATCTAAATCTGCGTGAATTTATAAGAATGATAGGAAAGGTAAATTCCAGTTAACTGAACCTGTGGCAGAACATATAATTGTTTCCTATTCGGGACGGGACCTATGTATTCACAGAAGTAAACACAAAGATGAAGTATACAGCACTATACAATCAGATGATCAAATGCCTTTCCAGGAGGAAAAATAAAATTGCATCAATCCGGCCAACTTGGTTAGGGCTGTCAAAGATTTGGGTAGAGGTCAAAGGTTCAAGTAGTGCTAAAGACCTTTTGTATTACAAAAACTACAAAAGCCTGCATCAATAAACTTTTTCTCATTTTAGAAGTGTTTTAAACTGGGAATTAGAAAGAAAGGAAAATTTGGCCAGAAAATCAATTGTTGGGTGCCATGTTTTGCTATTCCATTCAAAACAATTTCCATTTCTGCAGAAACATAAACTAGTGGACAACAAACTCTCATGCCACCCATCAGAAAGAGCCATTTGTAGTAATTTTTGTTTTCAATAGAAGAGACGTTTGAGGTGTTGACAAGTCGTGCGAAGGCAAGGAAAGAAAAATACACATCAATCTACGGTTCACCTACATTGTCTTAAATTAAAATCCATCCTCTAGATAATAATGAATACAAAGGAGTATCATTAATGGATGGCGGCATGGAGATAGGGGTCCACCGGAAAATGGCAACTTGTGGCTGCTAAAAAGAACAGTTATTCCAAAGATACAAATACAGAAATGATGCAGATACATATAGATGATGTTAGAGTTGGGGGGCAAAAAAAAAAAAATAGGGCTATGCAGAGCTTGTAGCATTTTGAAGTAAAAAGTTTGGTTTGAGGATTCATCAGGGTATAAGTTTCTATTTAAAGAAGAGATAATCTGATAATGTGAGCATTTATTGTGTATATGTGAATTTTCATTTGATTTTAGTCATTCTAGGAAGAAATATTAAAATGAGAAATGTGAGACAGAGAGAATGAGAGTCAGGATTTGGCAGCTTGAGTCAATGAATAAGAGGAGAGAAAGGAATTCTGTAGTATGTATACAAAATCATGATAATCAACATAAATCATCAATACAATACAAGAACAAGAACAAGCAAGTACAGCAATAGGCTCAAATTTAACCCAGTGGCATGAATCTGAAACTGAATCGAAAAGCATTGCCTGATTGTATATATTCTGAATAGGCATCAAAATCAGTAGTGCCAACCTGATCAACATGTATTAACTCCATCCTTGCAATCTTTAGTCAAATTATAGAATGTTTCCACCCGCGTCTTTCCACGGTAAAAGACCTCTGTATCCACTGCAACTCTCATGTACCCATCAAACTCAACAGGCTTTCCGTTATTGAGAAGGCTCGTCTCGTTGAACCACTCACTCGTATTTCCCCACAGTTCCTTGTAATCATCAAGCAAATGGACCTTGTAATTTGACCTCAATTTATCAAAGTAATTATAATAAGGCTCATTGGTGGCAATATACAAATTTCTCCAAGGCTGAACCATCCCTTTAAGCTTCTCAAGAAGCGCATCTGGCGACGTATCGGAATCCAAATGAGGCCACAGCTCCTTGTTTTGAGCTTTCTCTCCCCGAACGACATGGACTGCATCAAAATCCCAGTCCAACCTTCCACTGATCTCAGTAACAATATTCATCAACCTCTTAGATTTCCACAAAGCATGCCAAGGCCTCTGAATATACTTTGCAGCCTCACCTTCACAAACCCTGTACCAATAATTCTCAGGCTCGGGGGCATCAAACTGCCTCCATATGATAGTGCTCTTATCCTTCTTAAGCTGCATTGGAGTGACCTTGTGTGTGACAACCTTCCTAACAGGAATCTTCTTCTTCTTGACATGGGTCTTGTCCCATTTCTTCCAATCTGTCAAGAACTCACCTTCCTCCACAATGGAAGCCACCTCCTTCAAATGCTCGAAATCGAAATAGTACCTAAAATCCTTTCCTTCCTCATCCTTGTTACTAGGATTATAAGTTGCAGCCAAGCAAACACTCAAATCCATAACAAAAGTCCTATTCAAATACATAGCCTCACCCAACCCACACAAGAAACTCCACAGATAATGATTCATCCCCTTGCAATAATCCCCACCACGCGAGTAATACAAATACCTCCCATTCCTAAAATTACTCTCCGATCCCAAACTCGGAATCGTGTCATTGATCTCATCATCACGGTTCGCAACCCGTGGCGGCAAGGTTCTCCCCTTGCCGGTGCCGATTCGGGTCACATTGCGGCGTGCATTGGCGCCGGAGTGCCAGCCGCCGGCGTGAACCACCTTGTACCTGCAATCATTGGTGAATCCGATCCTAAATCGTCGAAAATCGCGGTACTTGCGCCAGGACTTCTCCCTCTTGTTGCGGAAGCGCCACGCGACGTCGCACTCGCCGGGGACAGAGCCGTTCACCGGCGGCTGGTAGTCGAAGAAGGCGATGGACTTGAAAACGCGGAGATTGAACCTCTGAACGGCGATGAGGACGCGAGGGTCGGAGCAATTTAGGGTTCCGAGGCAGACAGAGGAGGGAGAGGAAAGGGGCGGGGTGGAATTAGCGATTCGTTCCTCGGATTTCTCGATGATGGCTTCAGTGACGGCGGGGGAAGCGGAGGCGAGCGGCGGAGGGAAGGGGAGAGGAGCGTCCTGCGGCGAAGGGGAGAGGTCTTCGCCGGTTTTGAGAATGGAGGAGTCGATTCGAAACGTTGCGTTTTGGGATTGGGTGAAGAGGTTAGTGAGTGCTGGGGTGGACTCTAGCCATGGGTCTGGTGGTTGGTATGTTATTGCTATTACTGTGAATATTAGAACTGAGAAAACGAAGAGTGAGAAACAGAGGTTGCTTATGAGTTTGATTATGTTTTGCGCTATGGGTTCTGTTCTGCTATTGCTGCTACTGCCTGTGTTGTTTGAGTCCTTCATTTTTCGATTTGGATCTGAATCTCAATGCGATGAAACCAGCGTATGAGAACCTTTCTGTGGTGTGTGTTTGTCACACAAAGAGGTTGGCCGTGATGGCGACGGCGGATCTGAATCTCATGCCAAGTCACTCACTCTCTGTTTCTTATCTCTCTTCACTCCTTCCTTCACTGCTCTGCTCTCAAATGTTACCCCTCTTTTTCTTTTAAAAACTTGCTTTTAAATTTTAAGTACATAAATAAATGTATTTTTTTATATTTAGAATTCTTTTTTATTAAAAAATCTACCAATTTTCAGAATAAAAAAGTTGGCGTAACATTGAGTTTAGGAATTGATTTTATGGCTACCGTTGTGAACTTTGGCCTCCGTCGTCTTTGACGTCGAGTGGCATCCAACTAATTTACAGGTGTGTATCTGTTGTGTTGCGTAACTAACTATTTTTCTTAACATTTACATTAAAATATTAAAAAAATATGTTACAAAACTCTTCATTTAGTGGCTAAAAATTATATAAAAATTAAATTTTCTTATTTTAAGTGTTATTTTATAAAATCAAATTAAATTTAAGCTTTTTAATCCAACTCGTTAAACTTTGTTACTCGTAATTACTCTAACTTAATATAAAATTAAGGATGATAATTATTCTACGTATAAAAATTCTCTCTTGATTTATGAGGCACAGTGAAATGCTACCTCAGTAGCTTTGTTCTTGAAGATAGATAGATACAGCTGAGGAAATGAAGAAGTATGGAAAAAGAATTCAGCGGAAGGCATGGTCGTAGTCATGATAACGGAAGTTTCTGTATATGAAATGAGCTAACAAGCGAGACAATGCAAATGATAGCACTGCAAAGGCAACCATTGAATTTCTTGTTACTGCTGACACTGCACCCTGCTTCATTGTGGCAACGATCCCAATTGAAGCCACAGATATGATCTGCAGCATTACTTCAACCACATTCAGACTCTTATAAGCAAAATTGCAGCTCTGGCAATTCATCACGTGGGACCAGTACCTGTTCAAGATAATAAATCAAAGACTATATAAGTAATAGGATATAAAGTCTAAATTAAATAAGGCCTTTTAGACAATTAAGTCATTTAAGCTTTAGGTTAATCATTCTACTTCACTCTAACAGTTAGAACAAGGGACAAACGTTTACCTTAGACCCTAAACTCAAAACAAGTGCGGTCTTATGTGAGTTACCTGTCCATAAGCTGTTCTCTTGGAGATGTTGGAGGAAGAGCCCCACTATATTTGCCTCTCCAGTCAACTTTACTGCCTGCATATTTCTTTAACCACTTTCTATAACCAATCACAAGTGCATCTGACTTTGTTGGCACAAAACACGCTTTTTGCCAATTGTTTTGACCAACATCCATTAGTTTATGTTCCTATCAAAATAATTTAATACCCAAATATGAGGAATCGAATTCAATTGTTTTCTAGGGACTAATTACTTTTCTATGTAAACACCAAATTTGAGAAAATAAAAAAGGCCATAAGAAAAGAGGAAGAAGATATACTAGAACTTAGTTGTTAATTTAAAACATAATTTAGTAAGACCCATCATTGTTATGTATTGTTCACCATTCTAAGAGATATTCGATCATAAAAGCTGAACCATGGGTGGACTTGTACAGCAGTAGATTGTGTTAAGGACAGGAAAATATGGGTGTGCAGCTTACATTTAACCTAAAATGTCCATCTGTTCACCCAAGGTAAAGAAAAATTGGTTTGACACTAATCAAGTTAGAATATAAATTCTCATCGAGTCTAATTCATGAAGCTGACTGAAACATGGGTAACCAATCTGTCATTAAAAAGAAGCCAGCATAAAGAATTCATCACAAAAATCTAGAGAAAGAGATTTCCCACTCCACAAATCCAAGGATAAAGCCCACCTGGCAACTACTACGTATAGTAGTAACAACCATTTGCAGTGAAAAAATCATCAACTAATATTTTGATCAGAAATTTCATTTTAAAGGGCCTTATAAGTTAATTACGACAAAGACAAGTTGGACAATTTAATCCTTTGAAAAATAGGATAGTCATTGAATTTGATAGTGTTATTATGTAATAATAAGATCAAATATTTTTCTTTTATTGCTCTTTACGATTGCAATAGAAGGAGATGTAAATCATAGGATTCATGGATGGATGAAATGGAGAAATACTCAGAATTATTTGCGATGAGAAAGGTAGTATTCATACTTAAAGGTAAATTTTACCACACAAATATACTAAAAAAGGATGGACGGCAAAAAACCAACAAGAGAATAAACTCAATGTAACAAAAATGAGAATGTTGTGCTGGATGAGTCTACATATTAGACAGGATAACACCTATTACAAAACAGATGGTAGAACTGAGCTCTAGGTGGTTTGAGCAAGAGTGAAGACCTGGGGAACCCGAATAAGGAGAGTATATAAGATGGAGGGTACCCTAATAGCAAGAGGCAGAGGGAAACCGAGACAGTTATAGGTGAAATATTTAAAAAGAATGTAAAAGTGAATACTTTGTCGATAAACATAACTTTAACATTGTTGTTGTTGGCTTGTTGCTCTATATGATAGCAGAATCGCCTAAATGTGTCAGCTTGGTAGTTATAGGAGAGTATTCAGTAGAACTTATGATAATCTGATTGAAGAGGAAAGTTTACACCTATGGAACCAATTAGTCAATAGAATAAATAATTTATAAATTATAACCAGAATTACCTCAACATGAAGAAGATATAAATCTGAATCTAGAATCAGGTTTTGTCTCACATGAAACATCCATCGAGGCACAATTTTGTCAATCCACAGTCCAAAGTTTCTTGGGAAACACCATATCAATCTGCTGTTACCAGGACTAACCGGAACACAAACAAAGATTAAAGCAAATTTCTTCTGAACCGATGATTTCTGCATTAAGTTTAACACACATTATGCAACACCCTTAAAAAATTGCCTCGTATTGTTTCTAACCTGAAGAGCATATCCACTGAACATTTTACCTGAGTTTCAGCAGATGAGGCAGGTAGATCTGGATTAGAATATGCATAAAAAATGCATGGTGGCATAAATTTACTTTTGCTCCAACCCTGATTTGCTGTAAAACCATTAATATCTAACCTTTCAACTATTAATTCAAGTGGCCTTCCCCCTTCTCTATCAGCTTTCACTGTTAAGTTAATTAAGCTCAACATATGTAAGTGTCATATACAAAGTAAATAGAAATTTACTGAAGTTAGAAGATTTATCTTATATGCCTGCCTTTTGGTTGCTGAGTGGGCATTAGTCCATAATGTGCATAAGGAACATGTGCAGGGTCCATAAGGTTTTCTATCAGTACTTCATACCTGAAATTGCATATTCATTTTGTTAGAAAGATATACCAAGTGGGGAATATGGTTTTCACCCCCTAGCTTCAAATAATTTCTTTTTCTTGCATTCATTTTGTTACAAAATTCATTTAAAAGAAGAAAGGGAGAAAAAAGCTTATCTGGATATGCATAATGTAATGCTTGTGTTTTCATCGTCCAGAATCAGCTAAAATAATTATGAGGACATTTGGAGGAACTTATGGATATAGCTTATCACTTTCATAAGCTTCTTGGTATAATTTATTAAAATAAACTCTTTTCAACTTATTTTAATTAGTTTTATGATCAAATTTATGCCATTAGCTCTTATATGATAAGAGCTTATTGATTAAGTGTTAATTTATGCCAAATGCACCCTATGTCAATTACCAATTACAAAAAAGAAATCACATTACAGGTGCTTCAGGTAAAAGAAAGTGAAGCCACATACAAATGTGTAGTTCTACAACACAGGAAATAGTGTTATACGTTCTAGTCTTAAAACCATACCCATAAGGAATGTCTCTGTTTCCCATTAATCTAGTAAACGATGGATCATCTAGTTCTGGTATGAATGGTGGTTTTTTTCTTGTAGTAATATCTTTGTATTGAGGATCAGTACTTGGCCAGAACCACAATATATCATTCTGAACAACACTTGGGTAAGCAGCTACACATGCTCTTTTGGACGTATGAACCTGCACATTTTTTTTTTCAGAAAAAAATAATGGGCATCATATTGTCCAATTGGTATGAATATTAATCTAGAATATAGAGCATTTTAGGCCAAGAGAAAGATAAGACTGCAAAATTTGGAAGAATCAATCTACTGCTACGCTTCTATATCCACAGTTCTGGTTGGTTGCACAAGGGATCACAAAACAATTAGAAGACACTTAGTTGATGGAATTTAACAATTTGTAAACTACATAACAGCAATATACAAATCATGATCAAAAGCAATTACCGGAGGGCCTTCAGGGGGTGCCTGAGGAATGAGCTTGCATTCTCCTGATCCATTAAAACACCAACCATGGTACACACACTGCAACCTGCCCCATTGATCAATTCTTCCTTCAGACAAGGGTGCTAATCTATGTGGACATGCATCATCAAAAACCTGCCAAGCACCCTCATTTCTATCCCACCACACAACCACATCAAGCCCCATCACCCTCTTCCCATGTGGTTTCCTCTTATCAAGGTCACAAAGTGGCATCAGTGGATACCACTGAGAATACCAGTCAAATTTCTCTGCATTGGATTCACCTTCAGCTTCAGCCTCAGGTGGGTTAATGGGTTCTGTCAATGGAGAAGGTGATAAGGCAGTGAAAAGCTTGGTTTTTGAATTGTTTCTGAGAGCTGATGGGATTGGTGAATTCACGTGGGTGCTCAAGAACGTTGATTTTCTATGTGGGGTTGGTGTTTCAGGTGCTATTGGGATATGAAGGGAACCAACAGAAAAAGCCACCACAGCTTCCATGTTCCTTTCTGCAAGCCAAAGGAACAAGACTAACAACAAGTTAAATACTCAACGGTTCAACTGAAAAACTATGAGGCTCATGTTTTATGCGGTGACGAAATTTTGAGGCTCACGTCAATTCTAGTGTGAGGGGAAGTACGTGTTGTTGCAACATGACCATAACGTGATTTTGGCATTGTTTTATTTCGAAGAACTTAACAGTTACAGTACCTTATCGCTTTGGGGCCTTTGATGAATTATCACAAATCCACGTGGGTGATCAAGAGCATAGAGTTCTGAGTGGACAAGAACAAACGAAGGATCAGAATCAATCACTTAATGCTCCTACTATTGGTAAAAAATCTACTGTTTAACTCTGATTTTTATATTTTCAAGGTGGCACTTAATTTTAATTATTAGTTCTCTCTCAATTTGAAGCACCTGCCATTTAAGTTACACAATTTTAAGGAAATTCTTAATTATATTTATTATTATAATAAGATGACTTTTTTTTTACTAACGTTTTCTCATTAAAAGTGTTACCTTTTGCAAATTATATTAATAATTAATAATTTTTAAATGATAAATTATAATTTTCATAGTAAGTGACGGATAATTTAAAATAAAATATAAGATAAAATAAACTTCATTTTTTACGCCAAAATAAACTTCATTATAATCATAACATTTATTAGTAAAATTTGCGTAATTTTATTTAATAGTAATTTTTATTTTAGGGTTTTAATATTTTAGACCAATCAGAGTCAAATTAAATAAAACGATTTAAGGAAAGAAAGTTCTTTTGGTATTTTTTAACAAAACTTGAACTTAAAACTTTGCAGCTAATTTGGGATGATAGTTAGTTTTAAGTATTAAAATACTTAAAATGCAAATTTAATTTCCAATTTGTTTATGTTATATAGTTTTCAAATTTTTATATTAAACTTTAAATATAGACTACACAAATCACTCAATACTTAATTGCAATTGTCCCACGGTAAGATTGACTGTAGCGTAAAAAAGAGTAATGATAAGTAACTGAAATAACTGTAAGGAGATAGATAATAGACAGCAACTATTAGTTGTTATACAAATGTTCAACAGAAACTTGATAAAGTATATGGACTTGTCCTCCGGCGACTGCGAACGGTGGGTCTCCGATGCGGCGGCGGAGCTCCCAAAGTGCTGTTGCGGAGGTAGCATAAGGGCAAGTGTTCTGTTTCCTAGTTGTATTGTTCGATATGAAACATAGCATTCTGATCCTCGGAACAAACGATGATGAAGGGTCAGTTCAAAAATCATTCTTTTGGACAAAAACAAGTGACCCATTTTTTTGTTTGCAAACAAAGTTTATCTTTATTTGAGCCCATGAACTTATTCCAGTCAATCATTCAAGGCCCATTCTTTATTCTTTTCATGCCTTCAATATTTTTTATTCGCACCCCCATAATTTTTTTTGTTATTTTTAAAAAATTAGTTCTAAAAGTAATTTGTAATATTTTTGAAATAAATTAAGTTCAAAATTTTAATTCCGGAAAACTTATTCAAAATTATTTAAAAATAAACTGGAAATTAAAATTTTAGAAAAGAGAAATGATGTAAAAAGAAATTGCTTAAATCTTACCCTCTTATTTTGGGCCTCAAAAGCTGATAAAATAAAACAGGAGATTCTGAAACTTCCATGATCCTATGATTGGCATGAATGAGTATCGAGGAGAAAACAAAAGATAGAGGGAGATCTGTTTCAGTTTGAAACTTGAATCTCTCTTGAAGTTGAGCTTCACTGCTTTACATAAAAATCTTCTTTTGTTGTGGGAATCAAACACAACATTACAATTTACACATAATACGTAGATCCATTCCTTTTTGTCACTGTCAACAGAACCATCCCTTCATTCACCACCGCCAGGTATCAACTTCTTCTCTTCTCGCTTTCCATTCCTTCATTCACAATTTACTCCTGATAGTGATGCACCATCTCATTGCTTGGTGCTTACGTGCATATGCACCCCCTTCACCGACACCATCCTCTTCATAACACTAATCTTAATCTCCATTTGGCTCTTGCCCTCTTCTCTTTTTCTCTTTCCATCTCTCTCTTTTATCTCAAAGTTTTCGTTTTTAATTTATTCTGATTGAATCTGTTCAGGGACTTTATGGGGTAATTAGTTGCAATATGGATCAGTTTCCTTTTTTTTTGTTCGCCCTCAACTTAACGGTTGATAATTGTGTGTGCATCTTTTCTGATTCTGAGTCCCATGGGTTATGCCAAAAATGACAATTTTTTTCCTGTTTTCCTTTTTTTTTTTTTTTATGTTTTATACAATGGGGCAGTAATGATAACTTGAAGAGAGAAGCAGATATGGACAGTGATCTTCAAAAGTCTATATCTCTACGCCTAAATCGTAGAGGAGACAGAAGTAATCAAAGTCCTCATGCTAAAGGTGAGGAAGGATTGTTATCATTTATCAACTGTTTTGGTTTTTAAACCCGTTGAGATTCTCTTTTCTTTATGGTTAGTTTCTTCTTTACTAGATGATGTGACAGTGAAGGAAATAATTAGTTTGGCTTTGGCAGAAAAACTAAAATTGTTTTTTGGAGATGCAGATTTTGAGGTGGGCTTATTTTCTTCAGGGAGGGTACCCCAAGATTACCCCATGAAGATTGTTTGGAAGAAAGGGTTCGTTCAATTGGTTCTTGTGGCAGGGATCTTGTGGATGCTATTAATTCTTATGGCATTGTTGTTCCATATATGGTCTTGTCAAACTTCTGTCTCCTTTTTATCAGGTTTGAAAATTTTAATGCATTTGGTTACTTCTTTTTCTTGGGAATCTTCTCAAGTTCATATCTTGTTGATAAGTCTTCTAAATTCTCATAACTTAAACTCTTTGTCTAACTATCTATTCTTAGTGTGATATTTTGGGAATTGGGGTAAAAGGAAATAAATAACATCACCTTGTATTCTAGCTTGATCTTTGTAGCTGCACTATGCCTGTAGATTTTAGTTGTTTGGTATTAGAAAACCAACAGGTAAAGAAAGTTTCTTGCCATTCATAGATGATGACCTTTGCCTGTGGAATTAGAAGGTAAGGAACTCTCTAATTTCTAGTTGAAAATACGATTAATATAAGATGTCAAGACACAGTAAATTGAATTTTGTGCAATGTTTTATTGTTATTTTTTGCTCACTTTTTGATGGATGAGAGGGATCATTTGTCAAGGGAAGTAGGATTTTGTTATATACTTTCTCTGACTTGTCTTATATTTTATCTATATTCGTTTACTTGAAGCAAACTTTGGAAATACAAATATCTACAATCAATTGGTGAATTTAGATGCAAATTTGCCTAGGAAGCTAGAATGATCACTTGATGGGAGGTTTTGTTAGGTTATTAAGAGGCATGCTTCAAGGAAAGGTTGCACAATATAAAGATTTTTTGTCTTTTATTTTCTTCACCAAAATTGTCAACATTATGTCATCATTTCTGAAAATATAGCATTTTCTGCTTGACATGCAGCTATGTGTAACAAAGATAGCAAGGTTTACACCATGTTAGACACGATGGGACTTGTATCAAAACCTCACAGTAAGATTTTGATGGTTTTGCCTCCATCCATTCTTTTTGGACTTCACCAAACAAAATAGCTGTCTGATATGGTGCTACCTGTTTTCATTAGGATGTTCAATTCCTCTTGCCAATGACCCTGATAAAATAGTTGTCCCAACTGGAAGAACTACCGATGAAATTGTCAAAAATATATCTTATGTTATGGAAGATGAGGTTCCACAAAATGGATCTAAGTCATCTCCTCTGTTTGGAGGCCATCAAAGTTGGAAACAGAGGGAGGAAAGTTTCAAACTAAATTCAAATATGAAGGTAAATTGATTACCACAATTTGATCAAGTTCATTTTAATTACAGTTTCTTCACAATTTTTTAAAATTATGTTTTCTTTTGGCACAATTAATGAGTCATGTTATCCCATGTGGTCCACCTGTCAGGTGCATTGTGGATTTATCCCAGGTGGTGGTGCTGAAATGGATCCTGTAGACATCATATATGTCAAGAGATGCAAATTTGTTGTTGCATCTGGCATTTTTGATGGTTATGATCTACCTCATGAACCATCAAATATAAGCCTTCGCTCAACAAAGCTTTTTTGCTTTCTCATGGTGGTGGATGAGGTATCTCTGAAATTCATGAGGGAAAATGGTACTGTGAAAGAAGACAATGATGGTGGAAAATGGGTGGGAATTTGGCGACTTGTTCTTCTTAAGTATCCACCTTATGATGAACCAAGAAGGAATGGGAAGGTTCCCAAAATTTTAACCCACAGGTTGTTCCCTCAAGCACAGTATAGTATATGGATTGATGGTAAAATGGAGCTGATAGTTGATCCATTGCTTATCCTTGAGAGGTACTTATATCTGTTTAAATAATTTATTTTTTTTCTGATAGCATCAACGTTTTAAATCTATTTCTCTAGATATATATTTAAATTGCCATCCTTTTGTTTCTTGAGAGAGCTTAGAAGATTAAGGTGGGAAAAAGGCATGTTATTTTGAAGTAGACACTTTTCATTTGCTTATCAGTTACTTACACAATAAACATTGCGGGGCACAATGTTTTAAAGGGCTGAATTTATTGGATGCCTTTGTGTTCCCCCATGTTTCTATTACATAGGCTTTAAATATTTACAATCATGAAGTTGATGCATTATAGAAGCAAAATATTAGTTTGATAGGGACTTGCTCGTCACATGCATGTGGATTTTCTTTGGGATAACTATTGATTGAATCACAATATTGGATTTTCTATGCTGTCCCTTGTGATTTAGTTTGATGCTGATTGCTGAGGCTCCCTCTCCTCACCTCATGAAAAATAAAAAATGCTACTTGATTGAAACTGATAAAACTAATGCTTTCTAGCAGATAGCTTTTTTCTTTATTCCTGGAGTTAGTTGCATTTATTTGCACTTGACACTTCGATCCCCTGCTTTGTACAATGGTGTTTCTAATTCCTTTTGAAAAGACTAATTCACAGATAACTTTGAATGAGCATTTCTATTTCAACCAACAGGAGAAACAACACTGAACTTTTGGTAAAGATCTACCCGTTGAAATTCTTGTTAGTAGCTTACTAACTGCATCTGCATAGTCACAGAACTGCTGACCATGAATGTGGAAGCTTTTCTGTTTTTCATGTAGGATGAAATAGGATTTTCCATTATGAATACATCAACCCCACAAGATGCCAACGATATATCTTGTGTTTTTTTTTTTTTATTAATGTTAAAGCGTCTTTATTGAGAGTAAAATATGCTTTTTTGGATGAGAGATTTTCCCTCTGGATTCCTAGTATACTAGGTTTTAAAGCTTGAAACTGGGACCCGTATTTACAAATTCTGTTCAGTTGGGATCTTGATGATGATATTGTGATGACTGCAACTTTATAAGATTATCTTAACTATGCAGATACCTGTGGCGAGGGAAGCATACATTTGCCATTGCTCAACATAAGCATCACCGTAGTATATATGAGGAGGCTGATGCAAACAAGAGACGGAAGCGATATGCTCGACCCCTCATTGACCTCCACATGAAAATTTACTATTATGAGGGAATGAAGCCATGGAATTCAAATAAAAAAACTATCAGTGGTAAGACAGGAAATGAGAATTTCCAGTTTTGTATTTTATTTCTGCATTTGATTTCAACAATTTTGGTATGTCCATGACAGTCTGAGTTCGTAGATATTAAATCTCAGGGTATTTGCACTTGAGCCGTGGTAAATCTGTCAAAATTATCACAAACAAGTACAACTGTGAACTTAAATCCTCATGAAAAATCGTACTTGAGGTAGATGGAAATAAACAGCCTTTTTTGGAAGCCAGGAAATTTTCGTATGCTACATTCTTTTATTTCAGTGAGCAGTAGCACTAGGAAGAAATGGATAGAACACTCCCTTTTGCCCTCTTCTAGTCATTGAGAACCGAAGGTGCAGGATCATTTTTTGATGTTGAATTGATGAGGGTTAAGCCAATCTTATCCCTACCTTTGATAGCTTTAAGCTTTTATCCCTACCTTGCCAAGATTGATAGAACACCAAGATGGAAACAACCAGAGCAGAGGCTTCTAGACACACTCTTCTATAGCTGATGCACCTCCGTGGAGAATTCCTGCCCAATGTTTAACCAAAAATATAATAAATGGTCACACTGAAAAAACCATATGAATATATGATTATCTATATTTATCTGTCAACTTCAGTTGATCTATATGGTGTGCAAATGTCAATGGTCTATGTAGGCTTGCACTAGGGAACTGCTTGTGAAGTATCTGTTGTACACAATAATGCTTGGCAATGTGATATTGTTAACACTAACATATGATATTTCAGATGTGCCAGAGGGAGCCATTATCATTCGTGAACATACTGCGACAAATAATTTATTTAGCTGCTTGTGGTTCAATGAGGTTCACCTCTTCACGCCCAGAGATCAACTGAGTTTTGGTTATGTTGCATACAGATTAGGGGAGTCATTTAAATTCTTCATGTTTCCTAACTGTGAATACAATTCACTGTTTGTGTTGCACCCCCACACAAGAGAGCACTCTTCTCCCATAGAATGGGTTAAACAGTTGGATCAACTTCAGAATAGCAATCTAAAAGAAAGTAGGGGAGGATTAGGCTTGTTTACCCCTTATCCAGGGGATCTTGATTCTGTTGTGCTGCCAAATGTAACAAGAACATCTAAAGCAGGCTGACATTTTTGTTTATTGTTTAACATATTCATTGTGTTATGTATTTATTTATTTTTACATGGATCGCTTCATGTTGATTTTCCTTAATCTTAATGAAAGTAAAGATAAAGGTCTTCCAAGTTTATCGAGTTTCAAAACCGTACTCTTCTTTTTTTTACCTTTTTACCATACATGATTGTGAAAACTTAAGCCAATACTCCCCACGGTATTTTAAATGGCTAAACTCACAATCAAATCCTTGGAGACAACCGATGAATTATTTTGATAATGGTAGTGATAGGATGGTAGAACGGGGTAGTATGAGACATGGACAAGTTGAGGAGTTTATACACATGCAACCATTGCATTAAGATTTTGGATTGATTGTTGTATCCTATACTTGAAGGCTCCCTTCCTTCCCTCCCCAACATTGAATACATTGGAATATTTCTAACCTTAAGTGTGTGAAATAATTCCATAGTGTGTAAATATGAAATATGATTTTTGTTAATTAGTGTTCAATGTCTAAAGGATACTGTTTAAAGAATTAAAATATTTAAAGAAAAAATATTAAAAATTATGTTAAAAATATATTAAAAAACACAATAAGTTCACATTGTGTTATAATTAACCCCTCTTTTTATTCCTTATAGCTTTTTTTATAACTCATATTTGTAGTTAGTAAAATTTTAATATCGTTTTTGCTATAACAATTGTCTATAATTATTTTTTAAGTCCAAACAATCAACATTCAATAAATTTGTTGTATTTGAAAGAAGTAATTTCATTAATATATCATATTTTATTGATAAAAGAGGTAAAGCACATCTTTTATGATTGGTAAGAATTAATCTCCAACGGACAATTAAGTCATGCCCTTGGCTCACATAATTTTTGTAAAAATCATGTCCTATTGTGTATCTCTTGTAGTTATTATAAAGGAAAGTACTTCGTTATCCATGAAAACACTTAAAAAAGTATCAAGAGGGAAAATGAAGTTGAGAATATCCTTATGGATGAAAATCAAAAGATGATGCAATTAGGCATAAACTAGGTGTCCCAAATATTTACTTCAGTTTGAACTCGGCAGATAAGTAACCACTCAAAAAAAAACTTATTAGAGTTAAAAAGAAAATCTCAATATCAAAATAACATAAACTTAGGGACCGTTTATTTTTTATAAAAATCATTAAAAAAAAACAATAATTTTATATTTAAAATGTGAAAAAATATTTTCTCAAACCAAAGAATTCCTTAACCTTGATCTGAAACTTCCTTTATTTGTTTATTTTGCAGGCTTGCAGGATTAACCCTCAGAGGGGGTGACCTAACCTATACTAAAAATTAAAAACGCACAATGCAAAAGTCAGAATAGCAAACAATAGAGAGACAGACTCGGGAAACTCAAAAAAGACAAAAATCTCGAGTTGAATGAACTATCAGTGGCTTAATGAACTCATATGTAACACCATCCTCTGTAAAACCAAATTGTGAGACTAACAACTATCAGTTACAATACAATTTCATTGAACCAAATCCTCGAATAAAACGAAGTAAAATGATAGTTAAAGTATCTCCATCATAAACAGCAGAAGAAACATTTGTAATTATTTGATAGACTAGTTTATATCTATTACCACTCATCGTTGGTTGTTGTGTGTAGACCATCTTTGATCACGCCAGCGTAATTGATGACCAAGAATCCTTCCGGATGAAGAAATGTTGCTCTGGGGACCTTGTGAGGGCCGAGGCATCCTTATTGAAGGTGTTCTAACCCCGGAGCTCAACTCTCTATAATACTGATGAATATCGTGAGGCATACTCAAAGATGAAAAATTTGTTCTCCATCTAGCCGTACGATTTGATTCAAGATCATGAGATGATGAAACACTGGTTCTCCATCTACTTGTATGAATTCTCTCAAATTGATGGGGTGATTGATTTGTCTGCGTATCATTTGATATCCTGTGCATTGTTCCAGACCTTGCGTCATATAATGGCACTCTATGTCTTGAATTAGATAACCAATTAGTCATCCGGTTAGCATCTTCAATAGAGGAAAAGATTTCATACAAGAACAAGGACATCAAGTCAGCAAGACCCCCAGTCAAAATGGTGTCTCTATTGTGTTCTGCACCAGAACCTGCAAGGACAGAGCTAAAAAGATCTTCCAAGTCCCTTTCTTGTTCCATCCTTAACCAATCACACTGTCTTAAGGGATCCACCTCTGATGGGCGAACAGAAGGGTGCTCAGACCTAGCATGCTTCCTGAGTTCTGGATATGTTCCCTGAAATTCACACGTCTCAGAAGAACAACTTCTTACTTTACAATTCATATACCTTCTTGCAGGCTCAAAAACCATATATCCATATATTTCTCCACGGCAAAGAGGGCAGATGAGCTTTGGTTGCAACTGGCTCCCACATTGAGAGGGGTACCCAGGGTTAGACTGAAATTCCCTGCTACCCAAGGCTGTGCTTGTGAACGGAATTTCTTCCAGTATTGCTGATGAGAGATGAGAAGCAAACGACTTACAAAACTGGTCAAGGCAGTTGGAGTGACGGTAACTGGTATTGCACATGTAAGGACGGCAACCCATCTCATGGGAAGAACATTTCAGAAGAACACCATTATGAGGGGGTTCCATGCAAATAGGACACCTAGCTTCTTCCCATTCTTTCATTTCATCAACTGATCCCAACAAATTCATAGGTTTATGCAGCTCAACATTTTTGGAGTTGGTGGGGTAAGGATATGATCTACTGCGATCAGTAGACGGGGACTGCACTCTTCTAACTTTAGGCATTTTTTAAATTCTAGATGTGGCTGCTAGAAAATAAATGAATCAATCGACGAAATACCAATTGTAATTCAACAATTAAAGTGTAACAAGTCAAAATAAATATTGATAAGATCCGCCCTTTATATCATTAGAATACTTAACTCTTTATCCCAACACAATTTGTTTGCGAGAAAAAAGGAATTGATTATTAAATCTCTCCCCAAATATTAAGGTTTTGAAGATTTCAATTCATTAACCTAGCATAATTTATTGGAACTAGGAAGTTGATTAGATGCAATAATATACAGTAGCATTGGCTATCTGTTTCATTAAGAAAAACATCCCTTGGTAATCAAAATTTATTATGCAAAAACACCAGAAGAGGATACCATGCTTACTGCCTACAACAACATAAATAACAAGCATAACATCTTAAAATTTCAGAACATTGACAATTAATCCCAATGGGTTACTTGGTTTATAGGCTCTTCAGAAGCAAAACACAAAGGTAATCAGAGATTGATAGGACTTCTTGGTGAAAACAAACTATCAAATGCATAAATATTTATACATTTCAAAGAAATCAGAAGGCATAGCAAGCACTAGAACATAATGCATAATTGAGGTTTCCAGTAAATCCCATGGATCAATTCAAGCTATTCTTTTTTCTTATCAATACTAATGTGACTTTAGACATTAACAACTTATACATGCCGATCTAATTCTGACATATTTCATATAAACACGAATAAATAGTACATCAACTAAAAATTTATAGGCATAATATGATTGCAGTATTGCATGAATCTTGACAGTATTCATCCAATTTGATGCGAGTCTGCCTGTGGCAATATGAATTTCCCTGCATCTCGGTTTTGTGCATAAATCAAAGTGGGTATCATTTGAATCGAACAAGAATCTATAGAATAGCATCTCCATTGGGTTAGGTTATGCACGACCCAGTTCCAGAAAATTTTAAAATAACAAAATAAAACTTTATCCCATAAGATGAGATTGGTTACATAAATCAAATGAGCCATTGAGTTTGGTTAAAAATCAAATTTTTATAAATATTACTAATCAATAGATATCTTTTAATGACTTCCTTTAAGGTTCTTCTAGATCTCCCTCTACCCCTTTTTATCATACTAGAAATTATGTTATCCACTCTCCTCATGAGTATCTCCAAAGGTCTTCTTTGCACGTGACTAAACTACCTTATATGATTTTAAGTAATTTCTTCTGCTAAGTGTTACTCTAATATTCTTACATATATAATCATTTTTTATCTTGTCATTTCTCATGAAGAAAAAAAGTTGCAGAGGGAAGCACCAATAACTTATCTTCCTCACAGATCCATCACTTTGAAGAAATAGAGACTATATTCTTGGTTCTCTTCTTCACCTCCCCCAGTAACACATGAAGTCCACCACAACAGAATTTTATTGCTGTCTCCCCATGTTAGGCTTTTAATTACATGAGTGAATTACAACACATTTAGTCTTCATTTTTTATTCTATAAATTTCTCTCTAGGACTTTCCCGTGAAATCGCTCTTTTAACTTCATACACTAATCTTCTAAACACAAAACAGAAAGTTCACTCTCGAAAAATACAGTTAGAAATCGATAGCTCTATTTAAGGTCTTTGTTTGGAGACAATCATGCTTAAGAGGATTAATACAGATGATTCGCCATAAATGCTAGGCTTGGACCGATCTTTCTCCTAACGTGCATGTGCTCCAAACAATTTATTCTTTCAACATAAAGTTACTTTCCAGTGAAACAGCCTTTTTTGGAGTCTTGATGATCACTGGGCGCATCCTTCTACTTCGGAGTAATTTTAGGTCATCAGCTAAGATGAATTTAGTATAATTAAATACGTAATAGGATTTGATTGATTTTTTAATCTTCTGATCAAGAGTTGGATTCTGCTAATCAATCTCTAACTCCTCAGAAAACAATCTTTAGAGGGGTAAGTAACAGCCTAAAGAACAAACATACCCTTAACAATGCATTGCATCTTATGAAGAATCAGAATTAACCAAAATAAATAAATTAAAAAAATTAAAAATACGCTACGAAATGTGTTCCGTGATCGCATACTTGGTTGCAATTAATCACTAACGAGCCAGTTACATCACAAAAATCACAATACAAAACAGTCAAAATTGCAGATGAAGAGCAATTTGTTCAGCGGAAAACATCGAACCATGCGACAAAGAAATAAAGAAAAATATAAATAATAATAATAATAATTGTGTATGCCCGAGAGAGAGAATCAGAGTTAGGGTTACCTGAAAAGTAGCGTGTGAAGATTGCAATGAGTAAAGAAATTAATGAATATTGGCGAGGAGCAGCACAATCAAAATCAAAACTAAAAAGGGTTCGATTCTGAATATATATATATATATATATATATAGAGAGAGAGAGAGAGAGAGAGAGAGAGCAATAGATTCGATTTTAACCGAGTTAATCCACACTTTCGTTGCTAAATAACTATTCAATTTGGCCTTTTCTCATTATCTTATTTTAAAGAGATGTAAATATCGTATCATAAATATTTAACGAACTAAATCACATAACTTATTAATAAACTAATGTTATATGATAATTTAATTTACATACATTGATCCACCGTCACTTAAATATAAATTATTATATTAATAATTAATTCACAATGTAAAGGATTCTTATATTAATAATATATCAACAATAAATTAAAATATATAATCAATCTAGATTGTCTTTTATTAAATAATAATTAATCGTAGTTTTTTCAATATTTTATTAAATGGTCATATTTTGAATTTAAAAAATTTAAAAAATATTATATACTGATAAATTAAAAATATATTATATTTACATATTTTTACAAAGTGATATCTTTTTATGCGTAATTTTTCTTTTTAAATTTTAAAAAAGTCTATTGGTAATATTTTCTATATCAATATAACGTAAAAAAAAATGTGAATATACTTTTATGTATATATTCTGTATCTTTGCTAGTCATTTTCCTCTTTTTTTTTCAACAACCAATTTTTGTTACAAATATTTATTCAACAGCTTGGATCGTATATTAATAATAAGAATATCATACAATGAGTTTTGCATTTTTGGTAAGCTTGTCTGTGGGAAAAATTCAATGGTGTTATGATATGATTTTGTTTAATTTTCAGACAGATACTTTTTTGTTTTCTACAACATTCATATAATATTAAAAAAGTTACATGTTTTTTATATATGTAACTTATCCTTTAACTTAGAACTAGTATATTACCTGTGAGTTAGACAGTAAAATTAAATTAAAAGTATAAAACATTAAATGATGTATTTTAAATTTAATACAAAAAATATTTTTATTAAAGCACAATATAAGAGTCTTATTAAATATACCATAACTTATATATATAATTACTGAATACCTTGAAATGAATATTTCAACAATAGTTTAACATGAAAATTTAAAATATCATTTATAATTTATTTTAGAAATAAAGTTTATGTATTTTTTACTTTTATCGTTTTAACAAATTTACATATTGTACATCAAATGTATTAGTGAAGAAAAAAGTATAATTTTTAGTTAAAAATATTATACTTAAAACAATAAATTATTGGATATAAAAAATATATATATTAAAAAATTTATGATTTAAATATAATATATACTTATTTTTAATACGAATTTAATATTTTTAGATGATAATAGTTTTTCTTTCTTGTCATACGATTTACTCGTTGCAATTTCCCCGATTTTTTTGTACAAATTTCCAGGATTGTATGGCATCTAAGCATCTTCCTTTCATATGTTTTTTTATTTTTTTCTTTTTCAGTTCATGGGCTTGATTCATCGCTGGGCCTCTCAATTAATGGGGCTTTCTGGACCTAAAAAATGCTGCAATATTTCAGGTGAAATAACTTGGGCCCTGGCTAAGTATCTCTATTTGTTCACCCAAAAAAGAAAAGCTTCTCTGTTTCTCTCTCTACTTAATGCAATTGCCTATTATTTTTTGTTTTCTACACTACATAGGTATATATAGGTTAATAATGTTATTTTTTTTATGGAATGATTGAGATTTTTTGTTCAATTAAACTTTCAACAAAAGCATGACTATTATCCTAAAAATTATTTATATTTTTGATTGATTTATTCATCTTACTTAACTAATTTCAGTACATGTTTAGTTTGAATTGTTTTAGTTTATTGAAGGTAATGATACCTATTTAAGTCCTATAGATTTTAATTAAATGGATGAGATTTTCTTAACCATCATTTCATTTCATCCACATTTTAACTCTTTTTCATTTATGATTTATGAATTTATATGATGTTTGAGGCTTTTGTTTCAATAAGATTTGACTCATTTAAAAAAAACAATTTATCATTTAGAGAGAGAGAGAGAGAGAGAGAGAGAGAGAAATCTTAGTTATTAATAAAAAACAATAATTTTGTTTTTTTTTTCTAAAATAATATTTTTGTATATGCAGTGTAGAAAAAATAATAGTTAATATTTTTTCAAAAGTATTTTCGTTAACAATTATTTAAAATGAATTCTTCACTTTGAAAGCCAATCAATTTCATAGACATATCTTTTTGTAGGGAGTTTTGATTTTGATATATTTATACAATATTTTTACCTTATTTTTTTTCTCCGTGTAAGATTATGAATATGCCTCGTCACTATTTTCTCTTTTGAGAGGTATTGTGTGGAGAACTATGAATAATCAATATAATCATTTTTTCCACGTACTGATGGATAGCGTCATGCACGTTATGGACGTAACGCGATTTTTTAATACTGCGTTATTTGTTTTCTCTCTAAAAAAAAACAAAAAACCTACGTAAAATTATCATCTGAAGGGTTTAGGAGTTTTATTAAATAAATTGCTAGGAAAAAATTCGAAGATTAATGAGTATAATTTAGCGCTTTAGAGAGACCTTTTGCTTCAATTAGATAGTTGGGAGTCCTGACATGTCCCTCAAGCCACTGAAAGCATTACAATGTTTTTATTTACGTTTAAATAGTCATGGATCTTCTACATTCAATTCAAGTTTACAAGTTTTTCAATGTGTTTACAAACATACACATAAAGTTGCATAATCACGATCGCTTTAAAGTGTAAAGCTTCAATATATATATGAATAAAGGAATCTGCAGTTCCTTTAAAGTTCGGTATATCTGTTCCATGGTGGAAGATCACATGTTTTCTATGTATTGGGAGAACATATAGATCCTAAAATAATGTTACAATTTTGACTCTATAATAATACTAATATACATGAGTGAAAAAAGAATGCCTATGATAATTTAATTAATGAAAAGAATAATAAAAATTCATATTTTTGTTACCTATTCACACAAAAGAATAAATCAATGTGGAATCCTATTCACTCATGACATATGAATAACTGGTATCACTGATGTTCCTCTGATCAATGGGGAGAATTGTGAGCTTGCATTGGACTCACCTCTTTGACTTTGAGGCGTGTTTTTATTTTCAAGTTGTGGCTCAGTTGTTGTGTCCCCATATAAGCTTGCTCCAGTTGAAAGACTAGTGCTTAAGGAAGTGGTGGTTCTTGGAGCAAAGGATGATTTAGAGCGGGATCTGCTTCTTGGAGAGAGATTAACTTGCTCCAAAGCTCGAAACTGAAGCTCACAAGGGTAGTCCCTAACACAGCCAATGCGTGGTCCCGCTCCAGTTGTCCATTTGCAAGACAACTGCTTCCCCAGTTGATATGATTTCATTTCTTTATGTGAGTTTATTCTTTTAAATATTGACTCTTGTGGAATGGTTCCTACATCATTATCATCAGATAAGTCTTTCTTTGAAGTTGTGTGATCTTGCTCTGATACAAAAGTTTCTTGACCACCTGTATGAGATTCCATTTGGAGACTCACACAACTTTGCACACCACCTCCTTTTTCATTTTCTAGTGCTTCAAACACTTGACCCCTTTTTGGTATTTCAAGTTTGCTCAGTTCTCTTCCATGCATCTGGAATTGCCTTGTTTTAGGTGCCATAAATGCAGAAGCTCTATCTGTTTCTATCAAATTGGCCTTCTCTACAACTGAGTCTTGGACAATGGTTTCATCAGTCTCCAGGCCATTTATGTTCTCACTGAAGTCCTCTTCAGATGAGTGGCTTCTAAGATGACCACTGCTTCTCAATGAACGTAATTCATCAACCTCATCAACTGGAGCCATCTGCTTATACCAAAATTAATTTTCTCAGAATATATTCTTTCACATCTCGTAATTGCAGATCTAAACCATTACAAAATAATGGAAAGACTTGGTTTTAAGTTTCTATACCTTGACATCGGAAAGGCTCACTTTGTTCTCCTGAAGGAAGGAAATAAATTCCTTAAAATTTTCTTCTGTCGGACGATAATGACCACTGTGAGGCCAAACAGCCTGTTGAAAAGAAACACAAAATCATTATTAAATAGGCACATTAAGAAAGTAGGAAAAAAAATAGCCACCTAAGGTAATAATAATCCAGTAAAAGATATAAATTTACAAGCCTTCTACCAGATTTATACCTTCAAGACACCATGTTCAACCACTAATCTCCCAGCAGAAGATGTAGCTCCTCCAGCCAAGAAGCTAGAGTGCTGAAATGAACCTTTTGTCTTCTTGCCAACATACAATGACTTAGATGTGCTAAGGACAAAAATCCACTTGGCATGTGCATCTTCTTCTGTTGTGTGGAGGAGTTCTCCTGACTGCTTGTAGAAGAACTTCCCACCCTCCACAACAACTTCATAAGCCAACCTTTCCATCTGGAAGAAAGAAGAATGACAGTATTTAATAAAAATTTAAATCAAAGAAGCTCAAGTAAATTTGTCTAACAAAATGTTCACATAAATAGAAGAAACCTTACCGGACCCAGATATTTAATACACTGCTGTTGAAGTTTAGAACGAGAGCACTTCTCAAGATTTACTTCCTTTCCTTCTCCTATATCTAGCCTGCAATTTCAATGAAGCTTTAATTTCAATCTTTGGTGATGTCAGATCTATATACAACAGTGGCCTAAGTTGTAACCCGCAAATATGTTTTATAAAGAATATTACCAGTAGAAGAAGGGCTCTCTGCTCTGACACTGAAGCCATTTGTCATAATAAAAGTGTAGATTATGTCCATAGCGATGGCGAGGGTCAATCTATTACACAGTAAAAGCATATCAGTATGTAACAATTGATGAATGACCAACAGAAAAATTTACAAGAATATGAAGAACTAGTGCTATCGAGTTTAACTAACCGCTTCAAGCCAGTGCTGCAAAGCAAGCTTTTGAGCTTTATCATCTTTTGATAAACCTTTTCCAACCTGCAATAACAAGGAGAAGTTTGATTCACAACTACTCTTCCAAAGAAAAAAATAAAGAAATAATTAAATAAAACATCCAAAGCAGAATAATGTTAAAAGTACCTTGGCAGCTCTAGTTCTAGCTCTAGACCAACGAGAAACAGCAGTTTCATGTTTCTCAATCTCAAAGAATGATATAGAGCTACGTTTGAGTTCAGCAAAATCTAAGAGCTTCCACCTATTGATAAAATAAAAGATAAAAACCATGTTAGAAACAGATGAAGTTTTGTAAAAAAGGAAAGAGGTTCTCAGGCTAATAAATAACTACCAGCTCTGTTCAACAAGAATTGCACAATCTGCTAGCTTTCTTCTTGTGCGAAAACTCTTGTACACTTTCTGCAATTTAAGTGCAGCAATGTGTTTGGGACTGTTTGGATTCAAAAGTGCCGATTGAATGGTTTCCACTTGACACTCCGACTTAAAAGACAGATCATCCATTTCTTTGCTCTTTTTGCAAGTCCTTGAGATAGACATGTCTTCCTCTTTGTCAAATGAGAGCGTGTTGGTTGAGATAATGTTACCCACATCTTTTCTTTTGAAGCTCACAGATGCCTCTATTGTCATTTTTCCAGAGCCTAGAGATTTAAGGATAGTGGGTTCTAAATCTTGATTTTTAAAACTAACCGATCGCACTGGAGTTCTGACTTCATCACTGCCAAAGTTGATGGATTTTACAACCACAGAGTCTAAGCCATCTTCCACATCACTGTACTTGGCAAATGGACATGAAAAGGAAATCCCCATATGACAACAAAACCAATCTGCAGAAACTTGTGCAATCCGTGGTCCTGGAAATTGCAAAGTCAACATTAAGGTACAAAGATGAGCATTTTTCATGTGTCAAATTGGAGGGAAGGAGTATAATAAATTATCAATGCAATGAACAGTCATGTGAAATACAAGTACTCCACAACCAGGAGAACTCAGAACATACTCACATCACAGCCACACTAATCCATCAAAACAATTGAATGAAGTAATCTCGGAATTTAAAAAATAGAAAAAGAATATTCATAGGACCAATTTTCCAAAATGCATTATTCTATTTGTCATTATTATGAAGTAAAACACAGAAGCAATTCTCATCCTCATCTAACTGATGAACAAGAACTCAAAGTTTATGCTGCTGCAAAACCGTCAGAAATGACCACGGATCCGCAAAACCCATTAGCAAAAGCTTCCATTTTTAGCCAAAGAAGGAAAAAAAATCCAGAAAACAATCTCATATCCAGGGGAAGGAGAACCTGAAAAACAGTACCAAGGGAACCCCGTTTCATTCTCTTATACAGATTCCAACAAAACAAATCAAACATCACATATAGTAAGGATCATACAAAAAAAAAAAAAAAATTCACCAAAACACCAATATTAAAGAATAAAAAGTCATGTTCCATTTTCTTCATGGGTAGTTAGATTGGGTACCCAGTAGTTTATCTGAATAGAGCATTCAAATAAACATTCAGCACAGTATGCAATATGAAGAAATGGATATCATTTCTTCCAAAAAAGAAAAGGAAACAACCATCAAAACAGGTTTTTGAAAATAAAAGTGAAAATGATGACCAACAGAATTGAGGAGCAGTGGAGTACCTCTAGATTCGAAAACGAGGAAGGAGAAAAGAATCTGTAGTGGGTGCTGATGGGGTGAGAGAATCAAAATGGAATACTACTGAGGGATGAAGGTGTGATGTCAATTGATATGAGTCTTCGAAATGGTTGTGCAGCAAAATTGAACTATCTAGCTAGCCTGTACTTGTTAACAATGGTAATGGGATCCTTTGCTATGAACATTTTACATATATATATATATATATACATATGTTAGGAAAAGAATAAGATGCAGGTGAAGAGAGAGAAAGAGGGAGGTGGGAAGTAGAAAGAGAGAGACTTTCCAACCACGTGGAGTCGGAACAAGTAGACTCAAATTCCTTTTATTTTCTTTTTCTTTTTCTTCTATTTTTGGAAATTCTTTTTTTTTCATATATTTTTAGAAAGACTATGATTTCTTTACCAGCAGACCCATTACCAGAAATATAACTTTCATTTTCTTTTCTTGCTAGTATTATAAATTTCATTTCTATGGTAAGAAATAAAAACCATTATATTATAAGAAAACAAATATAATACACAAGAACTAATAAAGCTCTTAAAGATAAAACCAAAAATGAAAAATTCAGAATGGTTTAAAAGAAATGAACACCAATTCATTTATTTGTAGTTGCAAATTGTGAATTGAAGTGCGGTTCAGCATTTTGATTAGTTTAACACACGTATGTTTATTGATTATTGATGTGTTAGTTAGTACTATATGATAATCCGTTGTCTATTTCTTTTTTGGTCGTTTTACGAGTTTCGGTATACATACGAAAACATTTATGATTTGACTTGCTGCCATTTTCATTCTCTCATATAACTGTGATTGGAATTGTGCATAATTTTCTAGGAAAAATCCTCTCTCGCACGCGAGGGGTCATTTTCACGACAAAGTCTTGAAGTAAAATGCAATCCATTCCAAGTGAGAACGAGATTGACTTTTGTCAAAATCAACCATCAATTCCTCACTGGTCATCTTGGATAATTCTCTTACACGTCTATTTGGTTTAAAATAAATAAAAGTATTTTTGAAAAGTTAAATATTATTGAAACACACACCCATATTTTATTTTTTGAAAAATACGATAATTAAATTCATAACTTAAAAATAAATAAGTCGTACTTCCGTCAAAAGGATATGGTCGTTTCAAGTGCTTAATTAACCACTAAGCTTTGCAATTATTCCAAACGTAACTTATAGATTAAAGTATATCTATTTGAATGAATGGCATGAACTTTCTGCCTGTGCTTGATTTGGTAGGAGCTAATTGCTGACGAAAATGTTACAATTTTTTAATATATTCATTGCATACTTTACCTTCTAAAAGATTGTTAGTTTATTCTGCATACAAAGTCATCAGTTCGAAAATATTTTGGGTATATGAAAGCTAAAAAGTTGGAAACTTCCTTGTTATGTTCTCAGAATGTCCCACGGGTTCTAAAACCTTGAACTTGTATCATTGGCTAATAACAACAAAAAGCATTTTGCTAACAGTCCAAAAATTGTCAAAAGTGATCAAACCTATGTTGGCTCTTTAAATGCACAGCATTTATTATCTGTAAAGGAAAATCGAAAAACAGCTTAAACTATATGGATTAATTTTTTAATTATTATTATTTTTATAATCAAGTTGTATATATGTTAGTGTATACAGTAATTAATCCAACATGTCACCGTTTGACTCTGATTATTTTGATTATTTGCCTGTTAAGATTGTGTCACGTATAGCCCTTAAAACTTCATATGGTATACTTTATACTGAATCAAACCATTTGCTGATAAAATAAAACAATAAACTAATAGGTATATGGTGAACAATGTCGCAATGCACATAAAAGAAGTTTGAATTGAAATTCGATAAAATTCAAAGCAATTGTTGAACAAGTTAAACTAGTAAAATTTATTCATTTATTTACGAATTAATGATAAGAAGTCGTTGCTTTTTAAACTTGATCCAAAAAATTAAAAAACATAATATATTTTTAAAAATAAATAAAATCAGACACTCCATGAATTTGCTGCCAAAATTTATTAACACGCGATAGGAAAAATCAGACACATGCATTATAATAATTGGGGATGCAAGCGTACGGTGTCGGAAAGTGGTATACAGCATATGCATAAGTTGGTGAGAAGATAATATATATATAAATTAAACAAACTCACCTCTCTTCTTGTTTTTATTATGAAAATTGAAAAAGACTGCTTTAGGTGGTAATTAAGGAAACATTTGTTAGGAATCTACGTGTTTGTGTTTCATCTTTCGGTCATTTGATTTATTCTTTTGATTCTTTCTCCATTTTTAAAAAAAATTACAAGTGTGGATCTCCACATTTCAGATTCAAGAAGGCTATATGATGATAAAATTACAAGCCACAGGATCTATCATTTCATTAAGAGATTATGTGCATCACCTTCATGATTCTTTTTTTAATATGAAAGTAATCAACAATATTCACCGCGTCATGATCCGTAGTTAAAAAGATGAATTGAATAAAATGAAGGAAAACTGGGCATCTGTCTCCTCTGAATATTGAGTTCAGATCATGCTTAAATATGTACCCTGAATGAACACCCGTTAGTCAAACTCGAGAAGAAGGCTACGCTAATAAGCCATTTCTGTGTTCTTGAAAACGTTGAATGGTTTAAGAAATTGGTTTTTCAAAATGACGAAAATAATAAATTAAAATACAAGTATTATTTAATGGATACGAATTTATAAGAAATAGTAAACAAGTGATAATAGATGGACAAAACATTGTCACTTCCAACTGTCACATTTCAGATCTGCATGGATCGCGTACCGGAGGAGTACATTCATGTGCACGTGTCAATTTCAGAGTGGGCCACGACACGCTGCTTACCATTACTTGTAGCACCATACAGTTCCCCCAGACCGCCAAATCTCTTCGCCAGTTCCTGCTGTCCCTAATTGTTACCACTAGCATTTTCTTTTGTTAATTATTTAGTTCAAAACAAATTAAATTAAATTTATTTATTTTAATTTTTCACAATGATAAGGAAGTATGTAAATATGTAAATTAATCATCTTCAATAGTTTTTTTTCATGGAAAGAGAAAAAATTATGTAAATCTCTTCATGTTTTTCTTTTTTTTCTTCTTTTTTTTAATTAAATGAGAAATATGAAAAAATTTATTTCGTATTTTTCTCCACTCAAATTTTCTTTCACTCGACTACTATTTTTATTTTTTCCTTAAACAGTGCAATAATGTTACCCGTTTCCTAAAAAATTTTATTGTTAATCATTTGATAAAAATTATAAATTCCGTCCAAAAAAATGACAATTAACTATATTTTAAATTTACACGACAACTCTAAAACAACTTATAAATTTAACATATATTAATTTATCGAATCAATTGTATACATGATGGTTATGCGAATATATGATTAAAATTTAAAATTATATTCAGTTTACACTTAATTGGAGCATACAGAGTAATTAATTATTTTAATTTTAATTGTTATGTTTGCGTGACTTAATTAAACATATTCGAAAGAAATAATTTCAACGCTAGTCCAACAAATTCTTACCATAACAAGCATAACATGCAACTTCAATTATACAAGCACTTTTTAGTGAACAATTAATGCTCGAGTACAGAATTAATATACACCACTTGAGTAAACATTCAAATATATCTCACAGCATTAAAAAATCAAATAACTTAAGTTTGGATCTCATCACAAAAGAAGGAACATTCAATCACATATATTTCTTAGTATCATTTATGAAGCAGCATGTGCGTGTGCAGTGTGCAGGGGTAGACTGGTTGGCTCTTTGGATCTTAACAAATTTGATAGGCAGCATAGTCAATTTTCCCCTATTTCATAGTATCATTTATGAATCATAAAAGGTACAAAGGAAACAGAATATACAAACTTTTGAGAGCTTTACACGGTTTCAAAGAATAAGGCTACAAAATCTTATCATATATTTAAAAATTAAAAGTAAATAAAAAAGATAAACAAAAAACAGTGAATTTCTTAGATTTGAAACAGTGGTTAGAGCAGAATAGTTATGACACAAAAAATAAGTATATTGGCATAGGAGTGAGGTAAGGAATGGGAACATATATAAGAATGACGTAGCAGAGGGGATAAGATTTAGCAGCAGTAAACAGGAACGTAGTTGGGGTGCATGCTTGTGAATTAAATAATGCCAGCTGGTCTGTAAAGTGTCGTGTATTTTTCTTCCTATGTTTTGGTTTAGATAATACAGTGGTCACTAGGCAGAGCCTGAGACCTAATGGGAACACTGAAATGAAACTGAAAAAGAAAGGAAAAAAACACAACGCGCAAACCAAAACACCGACTCAAACACTTTGTAGTAGAGTTTTGTTAGTGACAGTGGCAAACTTGCCCAAATTCCAAAAACCATAACATAGGCAAAAGTCAAACTCTAGCCACCCCATTAATTAATTCATGTGTTGACGTTTGCTGGATTTTCCTTTTGATTCCATTATACTACTGCTACTACTGCCTTAGCTTTCTCTTCTACCGCCAACTACACACTTTCTATTTCTTTTATCTATGTAATGAATAAATAACACCAGGGTATGTGCACTGCACCAACCCTTATCTACCTCTGTTTCTCTGTTCATCACTTCTTATATCTAATTTCTTCCCAACCCCTTCATTTAAGCAATAAACGACCACATCGATCAGTCTAATTAACTAAGTCATGACACTTGACATGGTAAGTTGTCGTGCTATAATGACTTGGTGCGATTGTTTGTTGCGTCAAACAATTCAGATTTGATTTGGAGGACTAAATCCCAATACTTGCCAAGTGTGATTGAGTTAGGTTTTTTTATTTATTTAAAAAAACAGGATTGAATCTAATTTTTATAAATTAAAAAAATATCATGTTACTAATATGTCACATTATATGTTATCTTCAAATAATTACTAATCTATTAACATAATTAGATACATAGATAAGTCGTGACAAATTATTTTATGGGTTTTAAAAACTATTGAGGTCAATATTTTGAAAAAATAGAAATCTAAAAGGAAAATTAACCATGCTTATATATTTATAAAAATTAAAATAACTAGTGTAGTTGAATTATATAAAATATATCATGTTAATATAGTATT